GGCGACAAACCCTCTTCTGGTATAGAGGCACCCATGAACGAATTCCACATCTTGATATATCTAAAATGACTCTCAGGCTAGATAAAATATATAACAAGCTGCAACTAAGAGTAAAGCGAGACCGAGGGGATCTTGAATGTATATGACGACAATCAAATATAAATTGCAAAGTGATGTTTGATAAAGCCAGAGTTGGGGGCTATATATTGAAGCCAGGACTGCATTCAGATGATTTGATGACCGCTTATGTGACTCACTTATCCAGGTGTAGTATATGGTAGAATTTTCTACTAGATTCCATGAACTAAATCTGGGTCTTCACAATACAAATTCGGGTTCTGCTGGATCAAGCCGTCTGGTATCTGTCCTAATATCCAGGGCCATGAAACCCATCAGGTTGGTCCCGTAAGATTGCGATCGTTCTTATGAAACCACACCTCATTATCGAATATCTAGAAAGAAACTTAAGCCCGTTAAAACCAACGAGTACAACAGAATCAGATTTCACTGAGTTGAAAGCTCCAGCCATACACTACCTAGATAATGCGTCACATATCATGTCAGCTTGGATACTTCTACGGGGTACCTACAGGTGGGAATTCAAAGGGGTTCTGTATATGGAACTGTGTTTGAGGAAGCTTCAGGGAAATTGTTCATTTGCCAGTTCACTAATTATTCGTCCATGTGGCTAATTTGGTACGGGTATGCTTCAGTCCACAACCACGGCTTCATACGTATCATGCCTCTAAAATTCCCTAAATCGCCCCGCCACCCATCTGATCCCAGAATTTGTTATACATGATATAGCCTTCGTTGTCTTGTCTTGATTTTGAACATATGCTCAAGAAGTTCCTCCATTCGTAGAGTTTACTATAGCAACATTGTACTGGCCGTTATACCAATCTAGGGGATATGCGATGCATAAACATGGACTGAAAGATCGAGTTGAGATGCCCTTTCGACAACCCAACTCACATAATTTATCTGAGGTATACAATGAGCTCTACTATCTGTTCGAGTACAGCTAGTAGTCGTCGTAGAAGCTGAAAAGGATTTTACTCCTTAGACTGGGACTCCATTATCACCGGTAGGGTACTGGAGAATTACAAGAACCACACCACCCCACCTCGCAAGGTCAGGGTCAACTAGGCCTACTAACACAAGGTCAAGCCTAGCTAGTCTCAACTAGACTAATGAACAATTGTACGGGGTTATGAAAATAAAAGAGAGTTGTTTTTTTTTTGCCAAGCATCGGCCCAGGGTTATATACCCCGGGGTTCTGCCGGAAAAGTCAGCCAGAGCGGACTATCTGAGCATCCGTGCCAGCAACCTTATGCTAGATCGTCCGTGGTTCACCCATCCGTGGTTCCTGATTGCTTGTCAAAGTCACACTCCGCTTACACGTAATCAATCGGATTCATTTCAAAATTCATATCGCACTATCCATATGTTATAATTTTTCCTTCCGCCTAGTCGTCGTTCAAGTTCCAGCCATATTACGGGCAAATCTCGACTAACTAGTTCTAGACTGAAAGAGGAGTTAACAAAGAAATTGATAACCCATTTCAAATAATATTAACTTAGCGTTGAAACAAGTGGTAGGGAACGTCAGAAAACTTATCATTGTCTGAATTTAGGAATTTTAGCATATATAAACCGCGCTCTATCACAATAAGAGTGAAGTCATTACATTGATATTCGATATAGCATTTGTTCCATATCACGGGTTCTCAATCGAAAATGAATCAAGTTAGGAGTATAGTGCCAGAGTCGATAGTGTCATTCAAACTAAGGTACCAACCAAGAGGGAATTGACGACTCGCTAGATTCTCAAGGCACTCGCCAGCTCTGATGTTTGACTTGTTTGCATTACTATGGAAGAGGATTCTAGTTCCTTTGGATCGCCAATACAGTTTTCGAGACAAATCTTCGTATTTTAAAGAGAGTAAGTCATGGTCTTGAGACTGATACATATTAAAACAAGATCGATGGGTTGCATCTCGCTCCAAGTAATTGGAATGTGTTCCACTCAAGGAGACTACGCATGTACTATAGGTAGCAATTCGTGCTTGAATTCTCTTACGCTGTCAAGAGGATTGAACAAACCAGATAGTCTCGCACGTCCTTTGTTCGCATGCTACACTAGAGAGATATACTGGAGTGAGGGCACTAGCCAGTGATTTTCATCATAATTAGTATCTCGGGGAGGAGCGTGAAAAGATATAGTACTGAATAGTAACAAGGAATGAACGAAGAGTGAAGTACAGCTAGTAGAGACTCGATGTAGCCGAAGCCAGGCGATGATGCTTCCTGCAGGGACCGGGAGAAATTTAAAATATTAATTAGATGGTGTGTACCACCATGTACAGCACGCTATACTTGGCCCAGGGCAAGAAAGAGAGCATTGAATGGCCTAAGCTATGTAGCACAGCTTTGTGTAGCGTTTGATTCCTTATATATTTTGAATATGAAATGAGACACCCTCTCACTTGGCGAACATTGAAACATATGAAACAATTGCAACCCATTTTATTGCAATAAATACAATAGGGGTCAGAAAGTCCTTAGTACATGACGCGACATGTAATGCAGCACTCACAGCTCCTCAGTTATGTCTTCACTTCCAAGAGCAGCAAATCCAAGTTCATATGCGAATCCAATCACCAATCTAACATGCTGGAGTATGTGAGTAATGTTAATTGTATCTGCACGATCCAGCGACGTGTGAATGAATTTGCTGTGGTCCCCAAACTTAGACTCAAAAGTCATTGCCGCTGGATACCCATGTAAATGAGCTGACGCATGATCTGAACAGGCATATCCACATGCGGTATCCACATACGGAAGGGTACAGTACTGTCATCTGTTAATGCAGCCCTGTACTAATTATGAGGATAGAGTCACTCACTGTTGTAATCATCATTCTGACAAATTCTGTCAGGCTAGGATCAACATTATCTGTAAGCACACCGATGCACTCTGGTTTATTGGTTCCCACGTAGCCCGTATATCCAGTCATGTCCTGATTTAGCATAGCTTTGACTTTCCTTCCCTGCTTAGAGTACGAATCAAAAATCTGTAGGCTTCCCTGCAGCCCTACCTCTTCGGCCGCGTAGAAGTGGAACTCAAGTGTGTTTGGTGCATGGCCTTGAGCAAAAACAGGGTCCCGCAAGATGGCTCGCAACGCTTCAAGCAGCGTTGCAACCCCAGAGGCATTATCATCTGCCAAAAGTGATTAACGAGGGTTATATAAATCAATGCATTACACTCATAGCCACAGATATGTTATACATACCAGCGCCTGGGGCATAATCTCGTGGGACTAGGTAGCATGGTCTCGTAATGGAGTCCTGGTGTGCTCCCACCACGATTGTTTTGGCACTTATCCCAGGAATTGACACGATGATACTTGGTTGGTCCCAACCAGCATGGTCAAAAGCCTCCACCGTAACCCCTGTTGCATTGCTGGCAGTAACTGTTTGGTTGATTTTCGTATAAAGCCACCTTGATGCCTTCATACTATACTCACTTCCGTTAAAGAAGCGATTTTGAAAGTCTGAAAAGCCTTCGATAATAGTGTGCAAACTCAAAGGATCCAACTGAGTAATAAGCCCCTTCACACTTTGAAAATGGAGAGCAGCGGCAGGATACCTTACTGCCGCTCGCTCTGCAATACGCCTTTGAATAATACTCTCTTCTGTAATCTGAAAGAATTTTTGGCTGGCACCTAACACGGGCATTAAGGCACACCCCGTATTCAAGGGCGAATTTGGTGGTGGTAAAAGTGCTGATGCAGCTGCAGCAATGACAACAACATACTTAACAGCTTTCATTCTGTAAATTAAACTTCTTAACGTGTTGTAAGCGCGCACTAATGAAAGATGATGATGATTTAGGTTCGACTTAGCTCAACAGTTGAAGACCTTTATATAGGTTCCTCGAAGCTCTATGCCGTGGATACCATTAAATCGTCATACTACATATTACTAATAACGTAGATCACAAGAGAGGAAGCTCGGTAGGTCACTCCAATGACAAAGAGCAGAAAATAAGCAGATGGCCCCACTTCCCGTAAGTGGACAAAGAGCTGAGATTATATGGGTTTAGTTGATTAGAACCTTAAAAGTAGCGCCTAATGAAGTTTGTTGTAAAATCCAAATAGATATACTGAAGCAGTCTAATAAGCATACGAGACGATACTGGGTGGCAAATTGAAAGATTACACGCATTTTTACTAATAGTTACCGGTAACAAAACGTACGTAATAATATTCGCCTTTCCAGTAGAGATTTGATATTCCCAGTATTTTCGATCAGTGGTTAATATCCTGATTTCAGACTGGCCAATTATTTCGTTGAATTCTTGAGTCAACCAGATCTCAGTAACTACCGTGTGGTTCAATGCTAACTATTATAAAAAGCCTCCCGGCTCAGGTCGTATGAGCGCATAATGATAATTGCATTCCTCATGGGCGGTTTTAACTTCTACCGTGGATTCATGGGGTTGCAACAGTCTAGGCACCCAGATGAGAAAGCGTAGCCGCCGTTCGCGGACAATATTCTCAAGTTACCAAAAGTTGTCGCATCCACCTAGTAAATAAAGTTATTAAGTGATCCTTGGCATACACTAACACAACGGCAGAAGTCATGCTCGACGTGAGTGATAGGTCCATGTCGCCTAGTACATAGTGATGTTGGCACTATGCCATGACTTTACCTTGTAGATATTTATGTGCGTAATGACACAGGCGTGTCTTACTAGCTATCTATCCATGGAAGCAGTAATTCTTTTCCAGTATGCTCCGAGGGTTAGAGAATCGCGTGATCTCGACTACCCATTCAACTTGGAACTCAACCATAGCTTCCTTTTTCTATTCCAGGGAGAGTTTCTGCACTAGCACTGCGAAGCACAAAGACCCTGTCTTATGCTTATATTCTTACTGGCAGTCCTGGGCACACTTTTGTTACGAGCTAGTGAACCTTCTATAACTTACTCACAGAATGCAAGGCCGTATTCACCTAGCGCGCCATGCGGAAGGTCTTCACAATTTGCGCAACGATCCCACAAGTCCCAACGCTTCTTTGTCTGAACGAGGCTTTGATTTCGCAGAAGATCTAGGACATCGCTTTATCCGCGAGTACTCGAACAATGTCGGCGCAATCATATCCAGCCCACTCCGCAGGGCTATCCAGACATCCTTGACGGCATTCCGCCGGATCTTAAACTCCACCCAGTATCCCAAAAATTCCGTTGTGGGTGTTATTAATGGAGTGATGTTAGCCCTAGATACTAATTTGCAGGAAATCACCGACCTGTCATCCAATAACGGCTCCACTCTGGACGATCTAACAACCGAATTTCCCGAACATAAGTCGGAAATATAAAAGCTGCATGAGGATTGGCATGCCAAGACTGGGCCTCGTTCGCCGCTAACACAACCTGTACGTCAGAGAAAAGCTGAGATTCTAGACCGAATACAAAAAACCCTATCGGGTTTCCAAAATGAACGAATGGGCGACGACATCGTCGTTGTAACTCATCAAGGTGTAATCGCATTACTTGCACCCACTGCGAACATTCCTGTAGGGCATTGGCAGACCTTCCGCTTGGTCAGAGAAGATGGGATACTTTCTTTGGAATAAGGGGTGATTAGTAAATGTGGCTGGGAAAAAGTCCATCTTGATAATGGCACTGTCTAAATGGATGGAGCATGGATAAGGCCATGCTTGGCAAGAGCGTCCAGTAAATAGGCATACTTGTTACTATTTGTCGAACTCGAATCCAACTGGGCCTGGTTATTGCGTTCTGCTACCATCATACATCCATCCGTGTCATTCGGATGTGGCCATACATGTACGAGAGCAATGGAATAAGCTACTTGCTTCTAAAGGTGCCAATCCGGTTTCTGAGAGTCTTGAGGGTCCACACCCATCCCTCTGGGAAGGGAATTCGCATGAGCGTCAATAAGCGATGTTCGTTGTGACAGTTCATGGAGTTGATTTCCCCTTTGTCTCATACTACAAAGACCCTTACTTTCACCATTACATGCTATAGAGCGCAGTTCCTACACGCCATTACCCTCTGTTCATCTTGCCAATAGGTGATCCTGAAAAGTGTATTACGATTTGTAGAGTTATTTCCGTCCGCAGGGAGCTTTTGTCAATGAGGAACCCGTGAATCAGTTGCCCATCTGGGAAGCCTTCTATTTGCAGCCACGTCTCTGATGTATAACCCATAACAGTAGCGCAAGATCGTTCCATGTTATTGGGACACACAGCGAGTCTCCTGACATTGAATTTAGATCTTAGGGGCATATGTTGCTACTGTACAGATACTGGGTTGTGACCGGATCCGCCAATCCCTGGTTAGTCTAGCAAGAGTTGGTCACCTGGGGGCAACAAACACCGTTTTCGTACATCCCAAATTTAGTATGTTGCCATCATCTCCCCTAGAGGCTCGTTCATTTACAAACAATCAATCAGTCGGTCGCTCAGGTGATTATGGTCGAAGCATTGAATAGAACAGTCTGGACCACATCAGAGATTGTGATCATGGGTCAGTAGAATGCCTCGCCATTAATTATTCTCGCATTTTTGCCACTACCTACCACTGTGTATAAAGTGGAAACGATCACTCTACCTCATCTTCCTCTGCAACCATTCGAAAAGCCCCTTATTTCCAACAATCTAAACCCATTATAAGTCAAGACTCGGTTTGTCATCATGTCCTTTGACAGAGACTCAAACGTTGAAGTTGTGCGTAAATACCATGGTGCAGTTCAAAGTCTAGACCATGCGCAACAGCCGTGGTCCCCTGAGACCGGTCTACACGGTCCATCTGATGCTATAAGCGCTGCCCATCAATATCTTCTTACAGTGGCAGATGACTATGAAATCCCTCAGGGCGTTATTGGTGGAACTCCCATCAAGTTATCTGAACCGGCCAGTCCCACAGACACTCCGTTTGGCCTCAGATTGGTACAAGAAAGGCCTCGCTTTAGGAGCAGTAAAGCAGTGATCTACCAGCAGACATTGGGCGGGCTGCCTGTGTGGGACGCCAAGCTTAGCATCCTTGTGAACAAGGAGAATCAAATAGTCAGCTCGTCCAGCAGCATCGACACAAATGCCTCTAAACCAGAAATCCCCCTGGATGATGCTAAATACATGCAAAACGATGTTACGGAGGAGGATCTTCGCCAATTGCTAGCGGTTTCCGTGAGCAGTGATGGAATCTACTTCAAAGAAGAGCAAAAGCAACAACGCCTCCTTGTCTATTACTACCACAAAGATGATAGACAGGAGATATCAGGGGATTCAGCACCTACACTAGTTTTACCTGAAGTCCCTGAGACAATCGGAGATGGACAGTACTATGTGGTGAGAGAAGTTCTTTTCTCTCTCCCGATCTCTGGATATGGTGACCTTAACTGGAGAGCATTTATTGAAGTCGAGACGGGTTCTATCATCTACTTGCGGGCGCTCACAGCTGGTCTAAGTGGCTGGGTGTTTGCCCGAGACCCCGCTACAAAGCTCGGCCACAAAGCTCCCACAGCAACTGGCAGTATTGCTGACTTGAACCTACTACGTGACAAAGTTTTCCTTCCTGATACTGTTGCGACGACCCCTCAAGCTCTCAATGGCAGATATGCTCAAATTAGAGACATTCAGTTGCCTATGAGCCTACCCCCAACGACATCCAGTGGAGAATTTAATGACAGCGTTGAGACGGACAATTTTGCGGCTGTCAGTGCATACTATCATATTGCAAAGCTGTTTAGGCTTCTGGCTGAGCTGGGTTTCCCTGTTAAAACTTTGTTCGATAATACCCAATTTCCTGTCCCTGTTGATCACCGTGGCTTCAACAATATGGTAAATGCTCAAGCCCCGGGAAATGCAACTGGCAACGGCTCTGGAGGATTTATTTTTGGCCGGGCAGATATGAATACACAAATTAGTATTGCTGCGGATTTCCGTGTCGCTGCACACGAATTTGGCCATGCACTTCTGTGGGATGCTATTCACTGGCCAGGATTCGGTTTCGCTCACAGCCCTGGCGACTCGCTGGCTGCCATATACTGTGATCCTGGAAGTGATGCACAAGATCGATTTGATACATTTCCTTGGAGTGTTGTTCGTCGCCGCCATGACCGCGAAATCACTGATGGCTGGGCATGGGATGGACCTCAATATAGACAAGATGACCGCGCCTACTACCGTCGCGAGCAGATTCTATCGACCACTCTTTTCCGTCTCTATCAAGCCATTGGCGGAGATGCGAGAGGTGATTTCCACAAGCAGAACTGGGCGTCTAGGTATACTCTCTATCTGATTATCGCAGGCATCGCTACCATCACAACAACTGCCAGCATGCCGTACCAATATGTCTCCGCAATGTTATCTGCAGACAATGATACAGTGCTTGGCTATCCTGGTGGTGCTGTCAGGAAGATTATCCGCTGGTCGTTTGAGAAGCAGGGCTTGTATCATCCTATTGGCACCCCAAGCCCCGGTGTCATGACAAGGGGGCCGCCTCCAGCTGTGGACACATACATCGATGACGGTAGAGATGGCGAGTATGACTATGCTCCTATGTCTGGCAACCCACCTGGTATCTGGAATCGCCAGGCTCCAGATGGTGGTCTAGTCAACCAGGCTCCCATTGTCGGAGGTACGAATTACTATTATGTCGCGGTGAAGAACCGGGGAACAGAAATTGCATCGAACGTCCAAGTCACGGTATATGAGTCTAATATCCCAGAGCCAACGGTCTGGCCAGCCCACTTCCAAGTACCGGGCACTGTTATGCAAATTAGCGGGCCTATCAGTGGAAACCGACAACAAACTGCTATTGCTGGGCCATTCCCATGGATTCCCAGCCCAAATGCCTCGTTTGATAGGCATAGCTTACTGGCGGCTGTCCGTGCTGACGGTGACCTCTCGAATATTGATGCAAACAGTGGCTTGGCATGTGCAATCGGACCCACAGATGTCGATAGCCTCATTCCGTTTGATAATAATCTAGCAATGCGGCACTTTGATCGGTAAAGATTTCTAAGTGAGATGTCTGAACTGTCGCGCAGCACCAATCTTTGAACAACGAAAAGCTGAAGAACACCAACCTTTTTGATTTAACCCTGCCATTAGTTATCCATTTCCTTCGCATCGTGCCTACTGTACTGAGTTTCAATATTGGCTAAAGATGTCCGGTACCAGGAAGCTGCGTGCTCGCATAGGATTTGAGGCTTAGGAAAACGTCTATGTGAGGGTTTTCCATGCAGACTCAGGCGATTCAACATCGTCATATCTGTTATCTTTGTCTTTCAGTTCCTCCGGGCATGGGTTTTACCTACTGGGTTTTCCCATCCCCAAGCGCGAATGCGGGAGGAAGCTCGTTTGTGGTATTAGTTGACTTGGTTTTCGTATCAATCCTAGTTTTATTACACCCGCTTAATTAGCTTTATTTCATATTATTTACAGAGTGCTTCCTGTTTTATCACAATCTATTTCTCATACAACTAAGATTTTCATTGTTACGCATTCTACGGGTGGTCAAAGACTCTTCCAGAGTATCCTACATTTCATAGTAGATCCTCTAGATCCTCTCTCTCAACTCTTTCTAGGTTTTATACTAGTTTATATTTAGTGTATAGGCTCTAATCTTATAGATATTCTCCTTAAGGTTCTTTAGTAATAGAATATTATAAATTAAGTAATTATAATTACTATACATAATATATTAAATAATAAAACCTTAGTTAATAGTCTATATAATTTAATTAAATAAATAGAGTTTCTTAATTTTACCGAAATTATATAGGTTTTATATCTTACTTATATAATTTAATTAAGTCTAAACGATTTCCTTAGCTTAATAAAGGCTAATTTGAAAAATGATAAAATAGTAAAGTGGAGAGAGAGAAACTATATACAAGATTCTATCGCAAATCTGTCATGGACTAGCGAGATGACATACCCTAAGTTGAGCTAATATTGGGAATTAATATGAAGGTTGTTGAAGAAGACACGAGAAGAAGACCAGGTGGGACTCCAAATAGCAATCAAGAAACTACGTCTTTCCAAGGAGCGGGTAATTTGTTGGTGAAGGGTAAGGGTACTGTTGGATGGAGTATTCCAAGTATATATTGGGCTCGTTCCTCTTCGTCTCGGATTTCGCGCATCCGTTGATAGGCAACGTCGATGCTCCCATCAATCCATACAACTACCATCCTAGTAGCTCTTGGTGGAAGCACATATTGGTTGAGATTAATCACGAAGCTGCGCATATCTTCTAGCCATTGGAGATGTTCGAAGGCCCGCACCAGGGCAGCAACTCGCTGGATCCTACACTCACGGAGCTCAGTAAGCCGTTCAAGTTCTTCTTCTCCCATAGATATAATAGGGTGAGGGTTCGCCACTTTTCTCTTGTCAGGGTTGCTTTAAGAACGCGGTTTGTGTTTGAAGAAGAGGGGTATCTCACTTTTTCTGCGATCTTCAAGATGGTTTTTATGTGTAAAGATGTGGTAGTAGATGATGCTTCGGGTATTCTAGAAAGATAGCACCATGGCTTATTAGCTTTTTGTTTCATCTATCTGGGTTATGAGATATGGAGCTTCACCTTTGATGGACCAAGGTTGCTAGTGGATGAAGATTGTTGAAGAAAACACGAGAAAAAGACCAGGTGGAATATTAAATAGCAATCGAGAACCTGTATCTTCACGAGGAAGGTGCGACTGTCACCTTCAAATGGAAACAGCGAGACACACAACTCGGGGCCATAACCCAAGCCAAAGGGTTTATAAATTTCAGTTAATAAAAATCATAAATAATATAAGTGAGCTGCTTCTAATACCACTTTGATATATAATAGAAAGATATCTAAACGTAAAGTAAGACAACAGTGAGGGTTGGCTATCTGGGCTGGGCAACAGAGGGCTATATATTACCTGCATAAACCATGTTTGCCTCATTATGTGCCTTAGGCTTCATGTTTTGGACCAACTTAATTTTCCTCTCTCACATAGTGAACCGCACACAACAAGATTCAAAAATTCAAATGCAACGTGAATTTGGGGTGTAGTGTCTTTGTAGCTGCTCAAAATATAGTCAATCGATGTGTAGCTCTAGTATTGCATTCAACAAGTTTCTAGCCGCAACCAACTATGTCCTTGCCCATAAAATGGAGTTTTCCCGTACCATAAGAAACTCCAGAGCACACGTTCTTAACCAAATTAAATTATAATTGTTTCAAACAAAACAACTAGCTCAGGCCAGCCTAGAAATAGGAAGAGTAAGCATGAACATATATATCCTAGGTAGAGAAAGACCAAAATACGTGACAGGTAGTTCGTTTAATATGTTTCCTATACAGAACCTATCCATAAAATATACAATCATAAATACAAGGGAAAGAGTCGAAAGAGAGAAGGAGATAGAGAGCCATTGCTTCAACGCTTCGTGTACGTAAGATCCAATGCCCTGTTATTCTATCTGCTTCTATTAAGTCCCATTATACTCCCATCGACATGCTTCGCATGGCAATCACTGATATCAAGCATCCTTCAACTGCCTACAATATATAAAATCGTCCATTTTTCTATCGGGAAAGTCAACCAGGAGAAAATACACCCCAACTAGCACTACAAGTGGTATTGTTCGATACATACGCACAAAGTTTCCCCAACACCTGGGACCGCTTCTATGATTGGTATTTAGTTCACCCCTGCTTGTCCAAGGGGTTCCATAGGAGCTAAGCGTGCCAAAATTGCAGTCTGTAGTATATATGTTCCCGTTAGTTAGGCGTTACTTAGCCATTAATCGTAGGAGCCAAATGTGCCAAAAATGCAATCAGTGGTATATAGGTTCCAGTTAGTTTACCATTACTCGGACGATAATTACACGCTATAATAGGAATAACACAATAATATTAGACATATGGTCCCTATACAGAGATATAAAAAGGTATATGGGTTTTAGCACGGAGATTCACAATAGGAACGTTAATCGCTAGGTTCCTAGGCCATGTACCTACCATTGAAGGCTAAGTAACGTCTAGGTAACGTCCGAATAACGTCTAACTGACGGGGTCTCGCATACCAGCTGCTTATCATATCTTTGTTTAAAAAGTGTCTGTAGCAAATATAGTGCCTACTAAGTTGTCCTTCGCGTAGGTGGGGTACTACACGCATTCAAACGCGTTTGAGACAGCGATCCCATCTTACCTTCTTTCATCTTGCAAGAACCAAACATCCCAAGGATACCATCCAACAGCCTTTCCAACCAACCACCCACCATGGAGTCCAAGAAGCCGGGGGACGGTGAACCTGACAACCAACCACCGAAAAAGACGACATTCCTATGTCCCGTATGCAAAGGTCGGAAGTTTAGGTCAGAGCGTGGTTTTAGTGATCATCTGAGAGACATACACAACATATTTTCATGTCAGAGGTGCGACGCAATCTTCGCGTCTGCAGATGACCTAGCTCGGCACAGAAACGAAACTCACCACGCCAAAGTGGGTATCAAATACAAACGCAACCCGATACACAACAATCTGGGAAACAAAGATGGACTGGCATTCAGGACAGTCTCCTCGCCCGCAGCAGCAAATACATCGTCGACTCAGGTACCACCAACCCCGGCCCGTCGGTCAACTTCCGAGGCCAATCAACCAGCTACAGAGACCCGTAAATCACCTTCACAGAAGCGCCATTCACCTACACAAACACGTCAATCACCCACGCAGGTCTGTCAAGGGGCTGAGCAGGGCCGCCGAGCTCACGGTCATGTACGGAATCAATGCTATCAACCACAAAATCAAGCCTCCCAACCACCGATGGAGATCCCTCGAGTCCCAGTCGAGCTCTCTCAAGCACCTGCTCAAATCCTTCAACTGCCGGTGAATGTCCCACAAGCCCAGGTGGGGTTCCGTCGAACAGCTTCCCAAGTCTGTCATACACCACCTCGGTTCTATCAAACACCCACTCGGCGTATTGAAAGTCAGGTGCCGGTCTATCCGTCCCCGGCGCAGGCTTTCCAGTCCCCAGTGCAGAGATCGCAACAAGCCGAGCAGGTCTTCCGGTCCCCTTCCCAGGGCTCTCAAACCCCGAAAATCACTCGGTCCCGGGCAGAAAGCTCTCACCAAGTGGAGCTCCCTCGCTCTCTAGAACCGGGTTCTCAGTCCTTAGTGCAGGACGCTCAACAAGCAGAGGTCCCTCAGTCCCCACAACAGCGATATGAGTCCCCAGAACACTCTCAGTCTTTAGTACAAAGCACTCAGTCCCCATTTCAAATGTCCGACCAAATGGACCAAATTTCCCAATTCTCAATGCAACTATCCGCACAAGACGGTACAACAGCCGAAACAAACGAAACAGACATCGCAACACCCTCAACCCCAACAACAAACACCACAACCCCCTCCCTCTTCATCCAACCAACAAAATCAAACCCAACCTTCTCACTAGTGTACCACAAAATGAAACACCGCTGGACCGACCTGGAACCCCTCGAACAAACCTTAATCGTCAAATACCTACTGGGAAGATGCCACACACAAGAACGCCTGCACTGCCAAGGCTACAACGCCCCGAAAACCATCGACACAACCTCCTGCCTGAAACGCGGCGAACCACATCAAACCCACACCTTCACCCGCTACTCAACCCACCGAAAAGCAATCGTCATAGACTGTGAAATGATAGAAACAACCCTCTGCACGAGCGAACTAGCTTTCATAACCGCAATCGACTTCCTCACCGGCGAAGTCCTGATCAACAGCTTCGTGGCGCCGACAGCACCGGTGACGAACTGGCTGACGCCGATCAGCGGGATCACGCCTGAGAAAATGGATGCTGCTATCGCTGACAACAAGGCGTTTAAATCAAATGCTGATGCGCGACGCGCGTTGCGGATGTTCCTTGATCATGATACTGTTCTCATTGGTCATGCGCTTCACCACGATCTCCGGACGTTGGGGTTGATTCATGGACGGATTGTGGACACGTCTGTTGTTACGGCTGAGGCTGTTTTTTCTAATTTTTCGGCAAGGACGCTGTTGCCGCGGGTTTGGGGGTTGAAGGCTCTGGCGAATGAGTTGGTTGGGATTGACATCCAGACTGGGGATGAGGGACATCATTCGCTTGAGGATGCGTTGGCTACAAGGGAGGTTTTGATTTGGTGTTTGCGGGGTCCGGAGTGTTTAAAGGTTTGGGCGGAGAGGGCTCGGAGTTTGTATGAGCGGGTGAGACAGCAGAGAGGTGGACAGAAGAAGACTGTGAGGAATTCTGCGAAGAAAGTTAGAGGTACTAGTTCGGGTAAGGGCAGAGGCAAGAAGAAACCTGTTCTGGACTGAGTTAATTTTGGCTCTGATGGCTCTGAAATGGAACGGCGAACTGAGCTAGTTGACGGTGAAGGAGGGTATCCCCATCCTGGTCATCATCCTGACTCGGACCCCCGGAGTGGTTGACCAGTATGAGGATTGAGAGGAAGATATGGATGATCGCACTGTTTGATTTGTGAAAGTGGTTTTTATTATCTCCGTTCTATCGTAGATGGACAGCATGTAGAGGAAGAAGGACCTCCCTGCGGTGCTACGTAGAAAAACAGATAGGCAATTAAGGGTCATCACTGTTGAAAACAGAAGTAAATCACACGGAAGACAAAAGAAACAAGAAAAACAGCAATATTGGGGATAGGGGGAATTAAACGCCAATTTACAGAAACAGAAAAGCAAAAGACAGGCAAAGCACAAGCAACAAAGAAAGAAACAAGCCAATAGGAATAATACTGCTTTGAGGATCAATATAGAATTAACACATTCGATGTGGATTGGGAACACCTCCCCAAAATCCTCTATGCATGCATCAAACAGCGCAGAAACCAAAATCCAGGGTTAAACACCTTGATCCTGAGTAGGATACATCACAAGGCGAATAACGTGTTGATCGTGTTTTAGAGAATGCTCCGACTGGCCTGGCTACGGCTTGCCTGGCTGCGACTAGCCAAACTAGCGCGGCTGGGATTTGTGCGACTAGGCTCGTCTTCCTCAAGAACATCGCTCAGACGCGTGGGGTGGCGATGGCGCGGTGTCATCGACTCCCAACCGGTGCCAGGACCCCAGCCAGCGCCGCTGTAGTCCGCAGCGGAAGTGGGCGCAGCCGGAGGGGCGGAAGAGGCGGCAGAGGTGTATGCGCCGTCGGGCATGTAGTGACCCTCTTGGTCATACTCTTCGCTTCCCTCTGAATGAGGCCCAGGTGGGTAGCTCAAGGAGTTTCCATGCTGGTCGTGGGAGTAGTGGGCATATTCTTCATCGCCCGCTTCACTGCTGCCGACATAAGACCGTGCGTCAGGTTCTGAGGTTGCGGGGCCGGGGTATGGGACACTTGTGTTTTCGTGTTCGTACAGTGAACTTGGGTAGGGGGGTTTTGAGGTAGGTGGGTCAACCTTTTTCGGTTCGATGAAAGGGTCGGACCCTGTGGGGGACATCGGCGTGCCGTCCTCGTAGTATTGTCCATCTGCGCTCCCTGCAGACTTGCCATGATATGCGTCGGTGCCCATGGTTGTTGCTGTCGGTCCACCAGGGTATGGGCCCTCGCGAGTCTGCGAGCGAGAGGTGTTGTGACGGCTAGGGGGGCCAGGAACCATAGGCACAACCTGAACACCTCCAACGAGGGTGGGCTCTCCACTACGCAGGGAGTTGGTTCGGTCTCGCTCTTCTTGTTCACGACGGCCAAGCTCCTCCCAGGCACGGCGTGCTTCCTCCTTCGAGATTTGCAGTTCACGGCGCATTTCTTTCAGCAGTTCCTCGGCCTTGACTTTGTCCTTTTCGGATTGCTGGGCGGCAGAGAAGGCATCGGCTCGGCCTTGTCGCTCTTCTTTGAGCTGACGTTCCAGATCTGCCTGCACTTCCTTCGAGCGTTCTTGTTCAGCACGGGTGTCGAAGAACCAGCGCTGGAACTTGCGTTCGGAGGAGGCTCGTAGACGTTGCAGTTCTACCACTGCATGGAATAGATTGGCTCCAGCAGCGGACAAGTCTGTAATCTGTCGAGCCAATTGCTGGCTGAGCGGATCACGCTCCAGATCATCATTGTTTTGTTCTAGCTTTCGCATCCAATAGCTGGTGAGACCCTCCCAGTGTGAAGACAGCGTTTCCCATCGCTCAAATGCATGCGGAAACCCAACTCGTTTCGGCTGCTGAAGAGCTTGGGGAGCACCAGGTTGTCCTGCGGGTAGTGCCTGGGCGGATTTGGAGAACCCACTGGGTCTGGGTTGACCTCCAATTTCTGCCGCACTTTGCGAGCGACCGTGCTGAGGCTGCTGAGACTGCTGACCAGTTGCTTGTGTCGGTCGTGGCTGGTTAGCCACTTGCCCCGTCGCAGCAGTCGGCGGTGCGGTCTGGTATTCTAATGGTCGGGTACTCGGCGCAACGTCTGCTGTTGGTCGGTAACCGGATGGTGGCCCTGCAGCCACGGGCATGGTTTGGGGTTGTCCTTCGGGGCCTCTTGGTGGTCGTAGGGGTCTAATTCTTGATTGGGAGGTATTTTCGGCGGCAACACCAGCAGCGTACTGTTGAGCTTGAGCTTGAGCCTGGGCTAGGGCCTGTGTCTGGGCATGGGCCTCAGTTTGCGCCTGTTGTTCTTGCTCCAGCTGTTGTCGTTCCAATTCTTCCTGTTCTCTCTCTCGGGCCTCGTGTTCCGCTTTGCGGCGAGCCTCCCGATCCCGGCGTTGTCTCATTATATCCGTAGGTGTTCTCATGCCACTCGGTGGCTGCGATGTCCCTGAGATAGGGTTCTGGGGTACACGGGTTCCACCATTTTGAACACGGCTATTGCCCACAGGCCCAGCGGGACCAGCGACGCCTACCATGTCTGACATAGAAGCATTCACCTCGTCCCAATCAGTGGAGAGCTGTAGTGGTCCCCGGATAGCTTCCTCGAGGGCGAAAAGGATTGCCGACGCGGTGCGCGACGAGACTCCGGTGGTTCTCTGCGGCCAGTAGGAGGTATTGAGGAGCTGGTACGGATCGTCGATTGTAGACCCGTTGTCGTCAGTCTCTGCTTCGGAAAGGGCCGGACGTAGGTGTGCGATGCCACTGGCTGGGGCGTGTTGCACAGAGACCGGGGTTGTACGCGCCGGCTGAGATCGATTGGGGTGTGGAACCGGGGCGCGTGAAGAGACCGCTCGACGGTGGAGCGATTGGCGGACCTCTGGTTGGCGAGGGATACGACGTAAGGGACGCTGAGAGTCAGAAGCGCTCGAGGGTCTGAATTGGGAATCAGCTGAAGCAGAAGAAGGTCGTTGAACAGTCGGCTGGCGTTGCCGCGCAAAGGTCGTTAACGTTGATGGTTCGTAAGAGTCGTGGGCTTCGTCAGACGCTTTTGGGATGTATCGAGACACCTCTAAGAATGGTCGGTAAAATTGTGGATTGGACGACAATGTGAGGGTTGCGTCACTAATTCAAGTAGCGGATAGCTTTCAAGGATCGCGATCGCAAAATGATCGATCGCTGAGAGTTATAATGATGACAGCCTCAACGGCTGTACAAATCAATACCCAATGCACAATATAATGCAATTGAGAGAAAAACAGAAGCAATTCGAAATCAGGAGAGTAAAAGGACGAGAAAGGGTCGGAGTGCGAGGTGGCTGGTTAATTGAGATGGCTGGGGTTGCCGCAGTTTGAGCTGCAGCGCACCAAACGTGTCTCGGGAATGAAGCGCCAACTCTCAAAGTCCGGCTGCCCGGACTCAAATTCGAATGTAAGACGAAGATGAATATCGAAGAGAGGAAGTGTTGGAAGTTGAAGGGTAATCCACGTTCTCCTAAGGCAGGAATGCCAGCGCGGTTCCTGCCTTAACTAGCCCAAGTCAAGGCGTTCTTACTTGTCGCTTTGCTTTTTTTTCTTCCAGGGATATTACGGAGTAAAGACCTAGGTACTCAGTACTTCATAGGCCGTATGTCAGATCTCAATATTCCAATGTCACGCGTCCATATCATAACGTCGCTGCGCAACGAATTCGGGGGGAAGCAATACCTCAATAATTACCTGCACCTGTGCTGAACCGGTCGCACGGACCGGTGCTATAGTAATGCAAAATCGAATACGGAGTACGGAGTAGTCCAAAGCGATGCAATTTTTAGAATATGCAAGTGTACTTTGTATGTTGTATGTGTTGGGGGGTAACTCCGTAGAAAGTCCAAGGATAGGAGAGACCACCTAGGGCTACAGACACTGAAGAACTCGAGGCAAATTTAATTCTGCTATCGTGCCATGGTTGACTTTCAAGGCTAACAATAATAAAACTAAATATATCATGATGCGTTGGCAGATCGCACTAGGTTTGGTAGTTGATGTCGGGCAACAATATATATTTCGTCGTAAGATGTAGCTCATATATATCTTCCATGACTTTATCACTTCACAACTCATCAGGGGGTTTCCCCTAAGGTTATTATGACCATTTCCATCTCCAATCTATCATCTTCACGGTAATATCTTGGCTAGGCTCCATCCGATCCACTGGTTCATTTCGCGCCGGCGGCTACGATTCTTGGAACGAACTACTTTCCCCACAGTTCGCAACCGTGGAAAGAGCTCGTCTCATCAAGTTTCAACTTCCGCGTTTCAATTAATGGTTTATTGAATAACTAAATATCTACAACATATCACTACATCATTCTACTTCTAACATGATTAAGATGGTGTATCAAGCCCATATGGATGGCACGGTTCAGCATCTCCCCCGCAATGACATCGCCTCCAGCCCTGGAAGGGTACTCCCGAGGCAATGACAAAGCAAAGAAAGCTCCAATCAACCATGGAAGGAAGGTTGAAACCGAAGTATTCAGGTACCTCGAATTCAACTCTTATCTTGAACACCTCTAACTACGAAGATCTAGTAAAATTGCGACTACGAATGGATCCCCTAGGCCCTTTCAACACTAGAGAGTGTTAGAACAAACCGAGAAGAAACCAATGTACGGGCCGAAATGCCCTGGGCTTCACTCACCACAGCGGATGCACCCATAAAATCTAGACCGGGCGCCACGGAAGCCCTCGGAGGGACCCGTAACACTGCGCGGGAAGGACATTATAGGGGGGAATCAGGCGATTCTGGGTCCCAGGTACCACCGCTGCGGTGGGTGATCCCCCCAAGCTCTGAAGTGCGGCGCGAGGCAGCAACCATCAGAACTGGAGAAGAGATCAGTCTGGTAAGGAACACATGAAGACAAATTATCCCGTCTCTACATATACTCACCGACCCCATTTTGGTGGTAAAACTCCATATAGCAGTTAAAGTGGCTAGAAATTGCTCCGGGGGACAATTTTTGTATGGGGCTGGTCTGTGCACGACAAAAACACCATACAAAGTGGGCCACTTTGGCCAAACCCTGAGTGACTTTTTGGGCACTTAATCGTTTGAAAATAGTGAAAATAGTGAATACAACCAATTGGCTTCCAAGTATGTATTTGATGGAAATTTTTACAATTCTTGCCTCGAAGACCAAGTGATTTTCTATAGTGTCTGATTAACCCCAAAGCTCCTTCAGGATTGAATCCCACAAAGACAAAACTAAGAAGGCGTGCAGGCATCTTACTGAACTATGGTGATCTTGTAGACTATTACTTCTCCGCGCAGCTTGTGAGCTCACTCTATTGTTACTATTGCATATGCAATTAACTATAGAAGCCATTCTCAAATTCAAATAAACATCTTTTTAGTGTGTTTAGAGCGATCAAAAGTGGACACGGGCTTCTCTCGGGAACGCCGTTCTCGGCCGCACCGAGGGCTGCCCCCCCCCCCCCCCCCNAATGTCAAAGCGATCGTTTAGGCCATCCCGGCTCTCTCTACAATCTTAACTCTAGTTACTTGGGCAGTAATACATGTATGCAATTTAACTAACACACCCCCTAGCTATCCCCAAATCAAATACCTAAAGCCAGGAGGCCCCCAATACAAGACCTCACCGAGACCTCAACGAGACACCCGAACAAACACGAGCGCTCTAGAAGCACTACAACCTTAGTAATCTTAACCCCCCTGCCCAAGGCCTGGATCTCAGGAGCAAATAGACCAGCAAGGGCCATCCTAGAATCGGAAAATTCGACACCTCAGCCGGGCCGGGGAAGGACTTCCCGCAGGGCCGCGGACGCACAAATACTAAACCCGGAGTGTCTCCCAAATCCCAGTATTGAGGTAGGTTTCAAGCATGCCTTGCAGTTTGCAGTTTAGCTCCGCGGGAGCTTGGGTGTTTTGAATCGGGGTGTTTCAGTTTTCCTTGTCCCGGATCTTGAGATTGGGACTATTGGCCAATTAAGGAAATATGTTTTGCAAGACACTTCCGGGGATTGATGTGGGGATTCCTTTGGGAAGGGATCTGTTCTAGGTCTGTGTATCTGGGATATTGGATTGTGATGATCATCGGCAATATTGATTTTGATTCTGCTTCTCAATTTAGATGAGGTTCTCGATTGAGGAGTTTGTTCTATCGAAGGAGTTTGGATGTCTTTGAATGTTTTTCCATTGCATTGGAGAATCCCTTCTGTGTGAGCTAGTACTCGCTGAATGGGGGGTATGTTGCGCTCCAGATGCTGCCAGTCCAATGTGAAGAAATCTATTCGAAACTCTATATGACTGCACTCAACATCCAACGGCAAAAGAATGTGACGGGGGAGACGGGAGGCGAGGGTTTCTGCAGTCGCTGCGTCCGCGGCGAGTTAATCGCTCAAAGATCGCGCACAGTGCATGAACTGGACGATAGAGAGGTATTGGGCCTGCAGATCAGGGGTACTACTGGGGGATGCGTCGATACTTATACATGGGCGGGATGGCTGCACTTCGGCTGTAGGTATAGCGGGATGCATGCAAGTCAGACTTTTCGATGGAATGTGGGGTTTATTGGCTTAGCTGAGCATATGTCTCTGGTTTGTTTTCTTTTGTTTTTATTTGGCCTGCTTGAGGTCTTGCAGATTTACAAGAATATAGAGTGATAACAATTTCGGGCGTATATAATGTAGAGATGGAGATCTATGAGATAGAGCAGCATCTGGAGTTGGATCCAGCAAAGACGATACGTTGGTAGGCTCAAAGTGAATTTGTATGGTCGGATCATAAAACAACCAAAAAAAGAGTTCATCGATAAACCAATGGCAGCACAATATTAGTGTTACAGATGCACAACATTTGTGATCTGTCCACTGTCAGGGTATACCTCGGGATCCTCGAGTGTCCGACCATCCTCTCTATATTGCGGAAAGTTAGGATAGTTGATCCGGGTAAGTTCGATCCAGGCACTAATCTATTAAGGAATCAAGGCAAAACTAGGAGAAATAGGAAGACTAGGAACACAAGGGAGCAAGTATACCTCCTATTCACTCGACCCTACAAAGGTGCAAGAAGACATGATGTCACTAGGATAGAGAAAAGCATTAAAGGTATCTAGCCAGCCACTGTTCAAACGCAAGACGAGAAGAAAAACAGAAAAAACAAATATAATAAGCCCATGACGTATGTCCTAGCAGAACAATTTCCGAAATGGAACGTTGTGGCATCGAAGTGTGAGGCTCGAATTTTAACGTTGCTAGGAATCTTAAGAATGTGCAACACATGCAACACAGAAGCGACCGACAAAAGAGCTAAAAGTACCAAAAGTACTCCCAAAGTACTGCTCCAAGTCCAAAGTACAGCCACAAAATGATAGAGCAATAGACCATATAGATCACGGCGATCGGCATTAGTGGCTGATCCCGGGAGCTCCGCACCAGACTGTGTCAGTGATATCTCACATTTTCCATCCCAGCCATCTGCACAGGACTTCTGCAGAGTGCAGATGTAGCATTAATTTTTTGGTTTTATTTATCTCTGACAGGCTAAAAATTATTTCAAATGTTTGAGTGAGATCTGGTGGTACGACTACTCCGTACCTCGTGTCACACTTCCTTGGCCTCCAGAGCCACATATCACAGATCACAGATCACAGACACGCAGGAAACACAAGAACACAAGAGCACACAGGGACACAGATACAATCCACATTGTATTGTTCGGGATGTTTCTCAGAGCTATTGTACGGGTCGAGTTCCGCGCGCCCTTGCTGGGGGACCCAATCGAAGGGTCCTTGCTGCAACCCCATCCCTACGGAAGGGGACCATGCAAGGTCAGATAGGTCATGATCGTCTGTGCTTTTGTTGTTTACATTGTGCATTGGCATGCATCTGTTTTTTTCGGGCTAGCCACCGGGTCATTGTCCTAGGGCATCTAGGTCCACAAGGTTATTTTTGGTATTTGGTATAAACATATCCCCTTCACCCTGGCCTCCACTTCGGTCATTTCATTCCTCATTCCATCCTTTTCTCTCGTCCTGTGGCAATTCTCCTCTCTTCGATCTATCGTACTGTGTCTAGGTCCTAGCGATCTTGCTCCCTCGTGTTACTTCTCTTTCATCTTACTCGAGCTCACAGTCCCATGGATCACAGAGGCCTTTATTGTCCAGGCGAGTTGGACGTGTTGTATCAGGATCGGAATAGATCAGAGACAACTATCTGTATCCCATCGCCCTCACCTGCAAAGCGAGGATCATCTTACTACCCGGCCGGCCCAAAGGTCCTTGAAGAGTCAAATCTCGATCCGTTCTACCTCGAAGAATCACTGGCTGCCACGCCATCTTGGAACCCTTACACATCGGACATGCGCAATGATAGCTTTGAAGACGAAAACCAATACTACACTCTCTCCTTGACCCACAACAAGGACATCCGCAACCCACTTCAATACCCCGGACCAGATCGCTCCACACTCGCACAGGTCGAGTTGGAGAACAGCTTGAGATTCCATCGATACACTCCTTCCACGGAGGAACGCAGTCCGCTGCACAGCAGCCAAGTCTCGTTCAGCTCCGTTCAGACAGACAGCACCACTCCCGACTTGACGCCTAGCAGCTCTTTCTCTTCTTCGTACGACTCACCTAGCTGCCCCGACTCTGTCCTCGAGGCTACTCAGCAGCTCTACAAACACGCACAGCAGGTCCAGATTGAGCCCCGCCGCCGCTTCTATCTTCCTGCCTCTACACCACCCACATACTCTCTTCCGCCTCCTCCTCCTCCCCCGCCGGTGGCTCCTCTCAACCCGGCTGATATTCGTCCTACTACACCTTGCTTCCAACACTCAAACGACTCCACTACCACCATCACCATGGGCTACGAGGACGCTACAGGATCATACTCCTCGCGGTCCCGCCGCAGGAAGCAGCCTCCTCCCGTTCTCAACTTGTCGCGCACCTCAAGCTCACCGAGCGCATCTCGTCGCAAGCAATCTAGCCCAGGAACCCGCCCTCCCCTGGACCCATCCATGATCTCTCCTCCATCTTTGATCAATCCAGTCACCATGGAACCTCACATGACTCACTTTGACCACCCTCTATTCATCCCCGCCAACGACTGCCCCAGTCCGGTTCCTAGCCCCGTGGCTAGCTCCCCACCCATTTCCCGCCAGTGGACTGCCACCTCGATGGAGCGGCCTTCTATCTCTACTATTGATGCCTTCTGTGAGCAGTCCGTGTGGGAGTCCGACTCCGATTCCGAGTCTACTGGCCGTAAATCAATGTCTCGTCGCCCCATAGATACCCTGCGCAAGGTTCGCAGCCGTGCTAAGCTCCGTGCCGCCAAGTCACAGCCTAGACTTCACCAGACCATGCTTGATGGACAGACCTTTGAGCAGTTCCCGTGCATGCCAGAAGATAACCTCGGAGAGCCGATGCCCGAAGCTTTCCGTCCCAGTATGGATCGCCCTAGCACTAGCAAGGATGCTGTCCGCTCAAACAATGGCCTGCAAACATTGCGCCTTGTTGCTCCTTCCTCCACCTCTCTTACTCGCCCTCCTCGTTCCCGCAAGAACAGCAGTATCAACAGCTCCGACGTTGACCGCTCCGCAGCTGCGGCTTTCCAAGCCCAGTTCCGCCGCCGGCAACGCTCCGAGTCCCCCGAATACACCAATTCCAACTCTTCTCATTCCGACAAGGGCGAGAAGGAGAAGTTGACCTCCTTCTGCTACGATCAGTACTCCTCCGCTCCCATCACCGGGCCTCGCGACCAAAGGCCTCTCTTCCAGCGGTTCATGAACTCTCTCCGTTCATTAAACTGCCAGAAGCCCCAAAAGTCTCACAAGAAGACCAATGTTACCACCATCTGATGCATTTCCCCTCGGCGTTCCGGTTCTCTGGGTTCAATTTTAACGGACGAAGCCATGTTACAACATACCGACTTTACCAACGATCACTCCAACGATTTCATCTCACTGTCTTCACGTCTCCAATGTGTCTCGATGATTACGAACACGTCCACTCTCTCACGCAAATCTCCGATTCTGCTTCCCGCGCAACAATGAAAATAATGATATCTCCAGACCCGACTGTGGCTGGACACAGACGCGCTCAAAGACGTTCACTATTGCGCTATCTCGCGCCACGAAACGAAAATCATGTCTGCTTCTCAGACCATGACTACCGACTCATGACTCGATACCCTCGAGCTAACTATCTTTAATTTTCCTACTTGTGATCTCGTTGCATTCTTTTCCTTCCATGTCTTGATTGCGCCATTTCGCGTGCTGTATTACCATCGCTCTGTTTTATTACGAAGTTACTATCAACGGTCTTCATTTGTACCATGTCTGACTGAATCATGTCTCGCTATCATTGCTACGACAATCATTTCTTTATTTCACTTGTGATCTATAATTCTAAAATAGAGGAATACGGCGCCCTGTGAGGTATGTGTTTCTATGACCCAAAATCAAAATTCTGAACTATTGCATTCATCCAAAATTGTTCCAATACCTCATACTCTATGGATAGACAAAAATAGACACCATCACATTTCAACCCAAGCATGAATGATCCTCTGTTACTTCGTTGTCTAGGAGATGGGGACGTTTTGCGGAATGTTGGACTGCGGATCTTAGAAGATCCTCGAAGGTATCTTCGATACCACCGCACCCTCTTCAAACCACCCATTGACCCGAGTAATGCCCACCATGTAACAACAGCTCTTCTACCTAGGATAACAGGACATCATCGCCCTACGCCACGCACGGGGACTCAATTACACAGCCCACAAGCCTGGACCACCAACAAGGGCGAAGGGAGTCACCAAACCTTCCCTTAGGCCGGCACAGACTTATACCTCAACTAGCAGCTTTTGACTTCTGCCTTGTAATAGCCAATTAATGGCCAATTCATTGCAAGGACTTGCATAGCCAAACTAGCCACGTATGTAGTGTGCCATGATCATTCCAAATCCATAATCATCCTCTTGCAGCTGTTCCAGGGCACTAATATCTAGCGCCATGATCGAATCCTGGATCTCGGGTTTACCAGCATGAGAACACGAATACGGGGGTTACCTGTCGAATCCTTGATGCGCAGCCATTCGTACGTTCCCCACAACGGCTGCACCGGGGACCGCGGGCGGGGGATCCACTGGTCGCGGATGTGGGATGGCCTTTAACCGACATGTCGAGGCGTTGCGAATTGAGTAGTTAGGGCTTGGGATGGCACAATTGCCAACTAACACGCACTGACCGACAATTGCGCCCAGTGTACACATCTCACACAATTCACATTGAATCCCTCTTATTCAAATACTCTCTCACTAACAGCTGCACTCACTGTACTTAAGTATATTGTGCTTCGTACACAGATCCAGATAAGAGGATAAGACTCATCCCTTGCATGGGCCCCTCAACGTCCGCCAAGAGCCAAGAGGTACATTGTCCGAGACCTTGATTTTACACCTCGGCTGAAAACACTCAAACCATATTCTTTTATCTATTTCGCTCTGTGTCACACAGGTATACAAGCTTAAATCAAGTCTACCAATCTGATTCGCTGGATAAAGCCATTCAAACGACGCCATCCCCGTCTTCCCCTCAATCCTCAATCTGATATCACAAGTTCGTTCTCTCTATTCAAGATAACCCCAAGTGACCGGCCGATCTCCCAATCGCCACTTTGACAGGCAACGCTAGACAGGGGTTTTATTTGGACCGGCCAAAGAAATCTCCTCGTCCTGTGCCGGGGCTCTTCCGCTGCGGCCTCACACGCAAGGTGGGCGATCCACCGGCTGTGCGCCCATTGCGTCCCCGAGACCCGCCAGTCTGGCAGGTTTCAGATCTATCAGAGTTTGTGATGTGGGGCTGTAGGGAGCTCGATCTGGGATTCACGTCTAGACCTTTTTTTTACTTTTTTGTAGGTACTTTTGTGTGATGACTACTCCGTACATAGGTTTGACGCGTAGGGCACAATGTATGACATATGACTTGTCGTGTATGCCTCGTGTTTGACAGGCAGGCGCCATTTGCAAGTTGCTTTTTCTGCTATGACAAATTCAATTCAATTTGCATACTGCATTGAACATAATCGAGTTGTTGGCTATTCTTTCAGAGTCTGGCAAAATGTCTCTGAAATCCCAGGAACCTAAAATCGGATCCTAAATCCAACCCGCACCACCGCCATGGCAACAGCCGTGCCTACAGTAGTGTGCAGAAACCCCAGCGTCAGTGTGTCTCAAATAAACACAATCAGTCTATCCCAAAAGACCAAGGACACACAGTCCGGACCGGTCTTCCGCCCCGCCCGTCCGCCGCATCAACCTTGCAGTGGCAGCCGGGACTGTTCCAAGTATTTGGATACTTGCATCACCGCGACAGGGATGGACCCTGCCCTGCAGCGCGGAACGAGCAAGCGGACACTCCGAGGGACAGTCGGCCCATCTCTGCAGAAACTTGATTCTGAATTCGCATCTGCAAGACGAGAGGAGACTTCTTCCTTCCTCTGTCCCTGTATCCAGCTGGGCATTGTTTTGTAGATCCTCAGAGGAAGTACAGCCCTGTGTCGTATCCATGACAAACACATAGTGCAAGCCGTGAGCATGTCTGCATAAATCCAAGACAACTTCAACTGTGCTCCACAGCCTGGCCCTGGCCCTGGGCTTCGCCCTTGCTCTCCTCCTTCTCCTTCATCTCCAAAGCCTCCATATTCTCCTCCCACTTCGGAACATCAACCCTCCCCTCCCACTTCGCAACAACAACATCCCCCTTCCGCCCAAGCTGCTTCTCCGCCCGTTCCTCTTCCCCATCCTCAGCCCTGGGCGCAACCTCCGCCGCGCCACCATCAGCCCCAGCAAAAACAGCCTGCACATCCAGCTCCTTAAGCGCAGCTTCATATAGTACCCGGAGCTGCTCCCTCTTCTGCCGACGCAATTCCGCAATTTCAGTATTGCCACTATCACCCGCCCCCGTAGATGCAGAAGCAGAAAGACCCGCCCGCACAACCGGCTTCTTCACAACACCCGGTCCACTCCGCTCCTCGAACCCACGTAGCAATCCCTCCATAATGCCTAGTACAGTACCAGCACGCATACCCAGCTGCGCGCCGACGGGGAATCCTCCGTCGAAGCCTTCTTGCACGTGCGCGCCCTTTGAGGCGGACGTGCCGTCGCGGTAGCCTGCGGTGACGTGTTGGCGGCGGAGGCTCGGGAGGTCGGAGGGTTCGGTTGATTGGGTGAGTGGGTTGGCTGTTGATGGGAGTGGTGCGTGGTGTGTCCTTTCGTGTGGTGGGGAGGAGCCGAAGATGTCGTCGAGGGAGTTGGCGTTGTCATTGTCGTTGTCGTTGTCGACTGCGGGGTAGTCTTGGGACATTGTTGTTGCTGGGGAGGGTGGGGTGGATTCAGCGGATGATGAGTCCGTGTGGGTTGATGTCATTGGTATGAGATACCTGAATTTGGATTGGATTTTGACTGTAGGTTGTTGTGAGTTGGTTCGAGTTGGAGAGGTCTGAGAAGAAAAAAAGTTGGCGGGTCGGCGGGGCGATCCGGCGATCCATAGAAGTCTATGGAGATACTAATGACGTTTTACTAGGGATGGAGTATTTGTTATGCAATAGTTAATACTTCATATTATATAGTAATAGCTATATAGGATCTGAAGTATGAGGCACGATTGGTTAAATATGGATATATAGTAGGCGCACTAATATGTGGTTGAACATACAGCATACAGATGAAGACTATTCTCTCTGACCGGGAATGCCTTTCGCCTCCTGCTCTAAGACAGATTTCTTTGCCGAAGAGTCTAGCCCTATCAGTGGAATAGAAATTAGCGATTTTCCGTGTTGGTGGCATAGGCCAAACCGCATAACGTACAACGTTGAACCTTGTGGGTGATAATTTGTCCCGCGGGCTTCCAAAATAACTCCAATTCCGCACCTGGACGAGGTGTAGCGAAATCAACTTCGACGACTTGAATCATTGTATTCTCGCTATGCCCCTCAGTTTTATCAACCCCTCTATGAACCAGGGTATTGGTAAATGCAATGAGCTCCCTGATTCCGATCCGAACAGTATTTAGCCATTCGAGTTGTTGCTCATTGCCGTAAAAAGCTTTTGATATGATTTTTCCAATAAAAAACCATAAGGGCCAAGGTTTGATGAAATCGTAAGGATTTCCGGAGACAGACTGCATGATTGAGTCTAGTTTCTTGTCAGAGAGCCTTATATGAATATCATTGTTAGATCCTTAATAATGGTACATCCAAAGGTATGTTGCTTACTGAACAACAACATGAGTGATTTCTGATAGTAGGACAGTTTTAGATTCCTCTTTAATATTTATTTTGACCGAAGGCACTGAGACCGTTATGGCGTCACGATCCGGCAGTGTTTTATCCATTTTTTGTTTGGCAGACCGGCCACGGTGTCAAAATAGATGTCTGCCTAGGGGTTACTGCATGCTTGGTACTTCATCAGATTTCGCTTGATGAGGAGTAAAATAAGCCGGGGTAACACTAGGTTACATACACGTGGCTAATACTATATTAGCGCAACATTCTATTTGGCCCCCAAGCGCATCAGACAATGTACCCAAAGCAGTTAGCAAGTTCCCCCCACGTACTTTCTCCATTTCAACCCTATGTGAAGCCTTCTAAGTAACCTAGACACTGACAGTTATGTCTAGACGTTCCCTCCGCCTGCTGGGCTACACCGCCGCCGCTGCCGGCATAGCTAGCTACAGCATCCACCATGTGTTGAGCCATCTGGAAGAAAAATACCCAGCACTGCCTCCCGCAGCAGGTAGCAGAGCCCTCCGCAAACCAAAAAGCCCAGATACCCAGCGATGCGCATACACCGACATCTACGCAGCTCAGATACCCCTACGAGCCCTTCAAGCACGTGTCCCAAGCCCAAAGACACCAAACCAAACAGAGCTTGAATATGCCTGGGCTAGATCTGTCCTTGGAAGCAAGGTCCTGAGAATTGAAGGCTCGATCCTCGGACTACTCACCAATTTTCGCTTCACACCTTGCGATACAGGGAACTCGGAGGGCGGATTCTCGCCGGACAAAACCACCGGTGCGCCGCGCGTTCTACTGAACGGCGCATTCCATGTCCAGCGGGTTCCTGCCGCTGACACAGATAGTAATGGACTTCTGGTATCATTGAAATTGCCGGATGAACCCCGCGAATTCTTTGAGAAGATTGCGCGGTGGGGGTATCCTTGGCGCTTGATGTCCTGCGTCCGACATGAGATGAGTGTCTCGGAACCGTTCCGGGTGAATGGGCAGGAAATGTTTGTCGAGGTGCGGTTTTCAACTGCCCATGATTATGAGGTCGTTGATGCAGAGGGTGGACCAGAGAAACAGAAGATTATTCCAGATTGGACTTTGAGGTTGCATCGTGGGTATGCTAGGTTTGTTCTTGATTCCGCTGTTCGGGATTTGCGGCGGGATTTTGCCAAGTAATGGCTTTCGCGACATGGGGACTTCGGTTGTACTTGATTTGAAGCCATTGAGTTCTTTTTTCATACCTTTGATCTTCACCCGGGGATTTGGGCGCTGCCGGCATATCCCAGGACACTCCACTCCACGATATGAAACATATATATACTTGACACTGTTTGACCTAGAAACTTCCCTTGGTGCCCTCCAAATGAGCTGATGCGGAAAGCCACAACTGTAACTCAGGGAGTTTCATTTTTATCCTATACTTTAGCTCTTCAACAAATACCCTGTCCAACAATATTAACATTTGTCTGATACAGACCCTTTTACCACGCAGTATCAACAATTCTCCAATGGTGATATCATACAGCTCTATTGCTCCCCACCTTTACTACCATTACCCGCCGCAGCTGGAACACAAGCCTCCCCATTCGGAACAACAGTCCATGACTCAAACCCATTGTACAAATAGCACACCTCCCAGCCATTGGTAATGCTCCCTAGCAGGCCACCTTCCCCACCTGAACAGTCAGGCGAGCTGAACATGCAAAGGTCATACCGGTTCACGTCCGATGGGCTCTTCCACGAGATACTCTTGACATTTGTGGAATTGAATTCCGCAACATTCAATACCTGACAGTCACGCCGTTGTGCGCCAGAGTTGTGGAGAATGGAGTATTCGATATTATTCACGGAGCTGTTGCAAACTGGAGGAGCTTCACTGAGCAAACGGAAGTCCCACTATGAAACATTAGCGGGTTTCATGGGAGATTTGGTTTGTTTCACGTACGGCTCTGTAGGCAAGGACTGTGAGGTCTTCGGGGGTGGGCAGTGCATTCACCGTCCATGGATAGGCGCTAATGAGCGTCAAGCACGCGGCAAGGAATTTCATTCTGCTGTGGTTGGTAGCAACAAGTGTGAAAATGGTGGATTAAGATCAGGAATAAGGAGTGCGATGTTTATTTGAAATATTCAGAACCGCAGAATTGCTTCTTTTTATACACCACTCCCATCCCATTCAGACTATTTTAGTCCCAAACTGCACCTGCAGAAGCGGAGCCAGCACCTCCAATCACATCCATCGACAGACAGTCGAGACTCCATAGGCTCGAGGACGACTCCTTTTAGCTGCAGCGAAAGATCAGCTGAAAGAACTTGGCCAGAGGGGTCTCGGTTATGTTTTCCTTGGCATCGGAGTAAAAGCGTCTCTTGGGCTTTCATTGGGCGCAATAATGTCGAGACCCTGATTCTTGAAGGGTCTCATCCGATATGATGCGGTACGGTTGGCCCGGACCTGATTCTCGGGGAAATAAAAGGGGAGCCATTCCAATGATTACCGGGGATAGACTTGATTGTCTCGCCGATTCAGGAACACGGCGAATGAACGCTTGCTTGGCTCAGGAACGGGGGAAGGGATGTTTTATTACGTGCAGCTTGCAGTCCTGACTTCTAGGGCTCGGGAAATGAGTTCGCTTACTTCATCTCATAATACGGCTTTGATGACTGTGTGGCCAGACCTCGTCCTTTATGGTGGTTTCAATACTCGATGGGCTGATCGAAGTTCTTCACTAGTGATCTTACTATGATTCCTGCAATCGTAAATTGACATATTTCCAGATAACTTGAAGGCGAGCGAGATGTTGCTGTTTTATTGTGTTTACTGACACATCAAGTTGAGGAACAGTGGGTGTTGAGTAGCAAGAAGTACGGAAACGCAGCAAAGTCTTCACATATCTAGATGAAAGAAGCTTTGTGATTCGATTTGTACTCTCTGTAACCTAGTGAGCATATAATAATGCCTCATGCTTTGTGCTTCGTCGGGACCTTTTGATACTCGCACAGAAACCAAGTGAATACGATGGTTCTGCCCATCCTAAGAGAGAAATTAAACGGTGCCACCATGATATATATATCCGGCGTAAGATTAAGACACCCCATCCAATAAACCTCGAGCTCTCGGGGCGTGGTCATAGAAGCTCTCGTTTAGATCCTTTAGCCCCCTTATATACAACCTCCATGGAGCCCTTTAATCCAGCTTCTCTGATTTAACGCCAATGGACTATATATCGCCTGACGACGTCGGGTTATCTCACTCTTATTGATGTTGTACTCTAAGAATAGTTTCATATCTTTGGGGTCAGATGGCTGTTAATGATACGTTCATTCCATACCGACATCAAACCACGCGAGGGAGCGGAATCAGTGTCTGAGATAGCTTGGTCCATGATCGTGGCCCCAGAAGACAAAGTGGACCTCCCGCACAGAACTGACTTTCAGCCCTCGGATCGGCTCAGAGATCAAATAGGGCCGAGGATCGTAACAATCGTTGGTGTAATTGATTTGTTTCTTGTGGGATGTTTGAGATCGTAGCTAATACCTTGCCAACTCTAGAATACGGAGCAAGATCGAGTGTGAAGGCTTGGATGTACTCTATGATAACTGCAGAGTCCAATAAACCTCAAATACATCACAGAGAAAACTAGGCTAGTAGATGGTTGACCGCATAGGGCTTGTTGATTCTATGCTCCTGAAATTTTTACAGGGGATATATATACACTCTCAGTCCCAAGTGTAAAGGTATACTTTACTAGCTAAATGTAGAATATATTATATGAGCGGTAGATATTCGCTTGCTCTAGTATTAAGTCTTCTTTATATATCTGCTTTAGGCTCTAGCAACAAGCACCCGCTGCCACTCGGAAGCGTATTTGTATAAGGCACTGAGAGTATGCATGCTCAAGAGCACAAGGGATCCCATTACAACACCTTCCGTATAGTTAGTTACACAATGCAAGCAATGATGCTCCACACAGAGATATCACCATCCACGCCGAACTGTCTGTAGTATTAACAAATTCAGGTGCTCCGGTTTGATCATACGCAGCTTGGAGCATTTGAGCGGCGCCAAACCCCCGATTCGTATTGGCAAGCGCAAGTGGAGTCAAAGAGTCGTTGTTTTCTGCATCTAGCATGACTTTATGTTTGAGTAGTAACTCGACCACCTCCACATTTTCGGCAATGTCTGCATCATTTAATGGGGTACATCCATCCATAGATCTTGCATTGACATCTGCTCCGGCCCGGAGTAGCATATATGCTAGTTGGAGGGGATGATTGGATGCTAGATGTAAAGCTGAACGACCATCAGAACGTCGCGCGGATACAGAAGCCCCCGCCCCGAGAAGTACCTCAACAACTTCCAGAACAACATATGGCATACTACATATGTGCAGTAGTGGTGTCTCTTTGCCTCGGCTACCCCACGGTATTAGGTCGGGCCGGGATCCATGTTCAAGGAGGAGTTTGACAAGTGCTGCATTGCCAGATATGGCAGCCCAATGAATAGCGGGGAGCTCGCGGTAGTAATTCTCAATCACAGCGTCTGCACCATTCGCTAGAAGTGACGAGACGAACGGAATAAGGAACGGGTCCTTGGTAGATGAATTACAGCAGACCCGAGCTAGAATGTTGCTACTCGAATCCCGGGATATCCTTGCGCCAGCGTTGAGCAAGATCTGGCCAGCAGTGTATGGAACTCGATAGAGTGTGGACCAGTCCTCAACCTGAGCTATCCAGTCCAATGCAGTTTTGTCAAAAAAGTCTGTTGCATTGATATCTGCCCCATGACGTAACAAAATTCTCATGCTGTTGAATGAGTCACCGGCACTCGCAAGGATGAGAGGCGTCTGCTTCATGTGGGATTTCTGATCGACATCCACGCCATCGAGAAGGTATTCCTCCACCCATTCAGGAAAGTCAAATAGAGCTGCGACATGAATCTCGGGCAAGAAGTCATTTGTAAATTCATTGAAGAAAAATTTATGCCTCTTTGTGAGATTAGAATTCAATTTGTTTTGGTCATACCGATGAAAACATCTCAACCAACTCGAGAAGCCTGTTTCTCCTGCGAGTAATGTTTCTTTGACTGCGGCAATCTCTTCCAAACTCTCTAAACTCTCCAAAATTCCAACACCGCTGTTAACTTTTGACAAGCTATGACGGCGCCAAAGATAGTGTGCTACCTGGAGCCATCTGATAGTCTTGTTTTTAGACTGGCACAGACGGAGGAGAATCTCGTAAGTCTCGCTTGTACGCAACGAGCGTTTAAGATGAAAACACCAATGAAGAGACGAGTATTCCAACAATGAGTATCTCCGAATGAAAGCTGCGAATCGACCGTCCATATTGGCCCTCATCCCACTTCTACTCCTGGTCATTCTATTGTCGAGGGATATCGACCCGTACGAATCTGCTATTCTTTCATCAAGTGGAACGAATGGAGCAACTTCAATGTTATCGTAAGAAAGATAGGTTAAACAGATTTGGGCGAGGGCCATGTGGGAATGTTCCGCATCGATTCGTAAAGGGACTGGTATATCTTCTGCTTGTGATTCGAGCAAAAATTCCTTCAGGGATGAATGAACGAGGGTTGCAGTGGGACATGATTGCAACCCTTTGTGAATCATGACCAAAGGCCCACAGTAATGAGAGATGATAGTTCGAAGTCCCTCCTCCGAAGTGATGGATGGCTCGAGCTTGTCTCCCGCAAGACTCGCCATCATGGCGGCACTAATCTCGTGTAAAGACAGTGGTCTCTGCGCACAGGTTATCAACTGTAGCAGACCCTTGGATATTCGACTCTCCTGGGGGCGAGAAGGGAGACCTCGCAGGATTCGAATGTACAGCAAATTGAGGTCTTCTGGTAGATACCTCAGTGTCTTAAGATAATCACTGTCGCTGAACAGCGGCTTTCGTAACTCTTCAACCATCAGTGCTACCCATAGAAACATGCCCTTAGCCCCCGATCTTAAGGCTGCTTTAATATCCTCTCTGATATCATCAGCATCAATCTCCAAGTGTGTCACCCTCTCTTTGATGTATTGGTTAATATCAGCTATGTTGTCGCCCTCTGAAATCTCGTAAGAGATAACGCATTGGGCTGGAACCAGAAGTCTACTTGGAAGATTGAAGACATTCCTTCGAAATACCAGGATCCGGGCATTCTTGGAAAGGCGAGCTAGGACAGAGTAAAGCTTGACTTGCTCTTGAGCTTCGCACTCGTCAAATCCGTCAATGACAAGAACTGCATCCGACACCTTTTGAACTATAGTAACCAAGATATCTTCGAGAACAGCTTGGCTCGCCAATTCCCTTTTTTTCTTAATCAGAATCACATCATCCAACAAGGATGGGTCTTGTTGAAGTAGCTGCCAATTCCAGTTGCTTAGGATGCCGAGAACCGACCGACGGCTTTCATCCTTTGCATCGCAGTAGAAATAGGCGAGTGGTCTGACGGACTTCAATTCTTCAATCGCCCGGGCTGCTAAATGTGTCTTTCCGGCACCTGCTTTGCCCATGACCCACAGCATTGGATATCTGTCGTGGATCATACCGGCAGACTTCCAGCCAATGAATTCATCTCTGTCGAAAAGCCATTTACATGAGCCATGAACTAGCTCGGCAAGAAGCCGGCTATGAATATCTTCAAGCAGCAGTGGTTTCAGCCAGTTCGTCATCGTTGGCATCTTTTGCTGGTATGACTCCGATGCATTTACTGAGAGAGTAGATACTGAAACCGCTAGATCATTGACAAGAAGACGTGTTTGAAGTCCATTCTGATTGCTTTGATTGATGAGGTTGTTATTGTCGATACCGATGCCGATGATGAGGTTCTTCAATGGAATATCAACTCTGCGACGAAGTTCGTCAACCTCGTCTGAGACAAACAACCCATATTGGACACTTCTGGGGGCACTCCTAAGTCTCTCAAAAAAACGACGTTTGTGCTTCTTATTTTTGCCCAAACTATCTCCAAACCTAGCGTTGAGTCGGTTTCCAAAGTGTTCTATGGAACTTTTGAGAGTATCAAGCCCCTGTGATGCTGATGGTAGGGCCGAATCATGATCTTTCAGATATTGAAGAGAATTGGCCAGGGACAAAAGATATGCACTATCCTGCTGGTAATGTTCCCGTGAGCCGTCAATCTCCTTCAGTGAAGCCGCCACTTTCCCTAGGAGCTGGATGGCGCTCACAAGGTCGCCGGCCGACCATCCGAAAGACATGGATAGATACTGAGCTCGGTAAATCTTTCGAACACGACGAAAATGATTTACTTTGTGGAAAGAAAAATTTCGTGAATTGTGTGTCAAAGGGCTAGCTGAAGATTTGAAGCGGGGTGGCGCTTATGGCCCCCTCATAGATAGGCATTGGACATATCTCACCTCACTGCCTAAACCCCTGCAGCATGCGCAAAGACGACTGGCGCCACGTCAAAACACCGCCCGCTTATATTGATCAATGAGAGAAAGCTTGAGACTCGCCCTTTTGCTCGGTTTTCAAAGTGGTACTTCATTGCGGATGTGGCATTTTGTATATTCAATGGAAGCTCGTCATCATACCTTGGATGCCGTGGGCCTTTGTCTCATATGCTTGCTCCAAAGGAGGTTGGTGCAACAAAGGTCTCATCTTTGCTTTCCCGGGGAATGTAGAGCTCCTGGGCCAGCAAGGATGGTAAGTATGATGTGCATGCCTTATGAGGGAAATGAAGCTCTACACACACACCTAGGAGAGATGACCTTAGGGCGGTGGATAGTACAGGTAAACGCGCAGACGACGTAGTTCGGCATGTGATGAAACAATAGCTCACGGAGGCTGTCTGACGCTGGGAGACTTAGAAGTTCATTTGCATAATCTGATATGTTTGTGACTTGCACCTGTGTCTGCGAATGAACTCGTCCAAAACAACTAAGATGCTAAAAAGATTGCTATTGTGTCTATATTATTTATTTATTCAATCTATAAATATCCCAGGGGGTATACAAAGACATTATAGGTCGTCACGACACACCAAAAACCGCGGGAGAGAAACTGTATCAACCCCGTTGAGGATTAGACGGCAACCGCCAAGCCCGGAGAGGCAAGTCCTGTAGCTTCTGCGCAGCGGGCTTGATAAACATAATGAATGTAAGCGTGCCAATGAGGACACAAAGCATGTTGGTCATATAGTACCCGTCACGGTCGATGTGACAGGTACCGCCGCCGTTAATGCAACGGTTCTTCTCTGGTTCGAGGGCGCAGGAAAATGCCGTCGTAATGAGAGTGTCCTTGAGGGAGTCGGCGGGTGGAGCGATGGCCGGGGGAAGACATGTTGCTTGAGTGAACATGTCGACGAGTTTGAGGACGAAGATGCGGGGGAATGTTCCACCCAGGTTGCAGACGCTGGAGGTGATATGTGAGCTATTATGTGCGGGGTTTTGAGGGAAGGGGAAGGAAGGGGAGATGGTAGAACTTACGTTGCAAGAAGAGTCATGTACGTTCCGCCAATGGCTGGATCGGCGATGCGGGCGTGGAAGGCCGAGATAGCGACGAACATGACTGTGTTCATAAAGGTTGAGAGGATGTGCTCGCCAATTACCGTGAGCATGTACCACATTGGCACTTCGGAGGCAGTGGGGTAGATCATGACGGTGAATTGGGCGAGCACGGCGGCTGCCAGTCGTCCGATAAAGGCCCAGCCCCAGAGGCGCATTGCTCCGTAGTTGGTTGACCACTGGCCGGCATAGTAGCCCAGCATAATTTCAAAGGGGAAGTCGATCAACACCACCAGGGCCATATTGTCTTGGCCAAATCCTTTATCAAGGAGCTTGAGACTGGTGACTCCGTCATTGGCCTGGAAGCCGATCTTGGCGATGAGGTGGATCAGAATGATGGTCTGAATGTTTTTTAACTTCAGAACGCTCCACATGCTTTTATACACGTCCATAATGCTGTCACGTTCCTTGGTGCGTTCTTCCTTCTTGAGGAAGGCCAGACCACATGTCACGATCAGATAAGCCCAGCCCCAGAAGTTGAGATATGTGCCGAGGGACAGCAGACCACCCTCTCCGGGGATAGTTCGGAACCATCTGTTGGCAAAGTCCTTCGAGTTGAAAGCCAAGAAGACAGTGTAGGACAGGAAGTGGCCGGCTGTCAATCCGACCGTTTGAGCGGTCGAAGCATAGGAGATGTTAGGTGGGGACATCAAAGTGATAGCCCATCCATCCACAGCAATATCCTGAGTGGCACAGAAAAGCACCAACATGAACCACCAGTATGTGAATTTCCACACTCCCGCGCCGCTATTAGCGCCGGCTTGTACCATCATATCCTCGATATGGCCACCCATATAGATCATAGCTAATCCGGCAATCACCTGCACAGGGGTAATCCAGCTCTTGCGCCGACCAAAGCGCGTACTCCACACCGCATCGACAATAGGACTCCAAAACAATTTGAGCGAGTATGGGTATGACGCGAGCGAGAAGATTCCAATCTGGCCGTATGAGAGATATGGCTTGAGCAGGAAGGGTACGGAGCCAGTGGCTAGGCCCATGGGGATTCCTTGGAGGAAGTATAGCAAGACTAACAGCAGGAAGTTACGGCGATCACTGCGTGGTAGGTTTTGGAAGGTTGTATTCGTCTGAATCGGGGTTTGGGGCACGATGGGCTCGTTGTCGAGGGAGAAGCTCGATCGTGACATGAGTTGGGCGGTTCTTTCGGCTGAAGTCTCGGTGGAGGGCGTGTCCCTCCTGCGCATTTCAATGCTGTTATTCATCTTGCCATTCGCACGTCCGTTGGACCCGGTAGAAACTGTCAGGTTCGCTTTGGAGCGGCGCTTCGAGAGGGTCGCGTTCTTGCGTGTCATTGAATGTTATGTTATGATAGGAAGGGATCGCCTGCGTCAACTTCGTCCTGATTGGATCGAGGACTGAAGTTGGATATTATGATATTGAATAGCGAAAGGGATGGGGCGAGGGTTTAGCTTGGAAGGGGCCAGCAGGTTTAGAGACCCTGAATATCCTGTATGTTTAATTCCAGTGAGAATGAAGGAGTGAATGAGGGACCTGAAATGAAAGAATCCTCAATAGATGTTTGGTGGGGGATCTTCGAACCGCTGGATGACAAAAAAACATGAGGCAAGCTGGCCTCTTGGCTGTGCAGATCCGGGGAGCCGGGGCAGGGTCTATTTTAGTCTTCTTCATACAAAAAATGGTCGAAAATGGAAATTGACATATGTTGTAGGCATAGAGATAGATCTGAATCTGATCTTTTGGTATGCATTCCCTCTCTTGTTACACATAAAGCATTTAGCACTATGAGGTCACCACCATAGCACTGCAGGTGTTAAACATGCATATATCATATCAGATCTATGTACGGAGTAAACCAAACCCTCAATCTAGATTTTGAGGCTTAGTCTCGCCTAGGGTCTACTCAGATCTTGTATTAAATAAAGTAATAATCTAACATCCTCAGCCCATTGAGCCCAAGCTTCTGCATGATCGCGTCAGATGTTGACCGGATCACGTGTCACAAACAAACAACTCCAATCCCCAATCTTCTACTAAACATCTGGCTTACCTCCTATGACAATATCGCGAGGGAACCCCCCTACAATCACCTCCAGCATTCTACACAGCTTCCCAAACCAACATTTAAAATGACAACAACCACATCTCGCGCCCCCGTATCACCAGACCCAGAAGAAGAGGAACTAGACACCGAGATCACCTCAATCCGCGCAGAAAGTAAACATCCCAAGCATCTATCCCAATGCCAATCCCCAAATCCGAACGCTAACCCAAAACAAGTCCAAAACCTCCAAAAATACAAGCGCATCCTTACATCCAGCCTCCTAACAACCGACCCAATCCAAAAACTCCTCCGCAAACAATCCCAACCCCTCACCACAACAAACCAAACCGACCCGCTAGCAACAATCTCCCCCCTCGTCCACGCCGCCGGTGCACACGCCTCCTCAAACCACCACCGCATCGCCTTCGGCGCAACCGCCTTCCCATTCAAAGACCCATCCCCAACAGCCAACGCCGCGCCCCTCCTTGGCGTGCGCATCGACGTATGCGCCCGTAACGGCCGCTTCGCGAAACCATACTACATCCTCCTCCAACATGAGCGCAGTCGTGCAGGTCCTGGTTCCGGTTCTGCGAAGGTGTTGAAGGTGCATCGACACACCGTGCCGGGGTTTATATCGATTCCGAAGCTGGAGAGTGTTTACCTACCGCGTCCTGGTGTATCGCGCGGGGCTGGGAATGGAGACGGGGATGCGGGGGGATCATCTGGAGAGGACGAAGATGCCGAACCCGCGAAGCCGTGGAAGAAGAGCGGCAGTTCTACTCGGAAACAAGATCTGCGGGGGTTTGTGCGTGAGCTTCGGAGGGAGCTTGTTGCGTGGCATATGCGTGTTGATGCGATTGACTTCCTGCGCGAGAAGTTAGGTCTTGTTGGTGAGGATGGGAAGTCCTTGCCGTTTGATGTTTCGCCGGATCAGGATACGGGCATTGTGTCTTTAGCTGCTGTTGCTGTTGAGGCACGCTATGTGCGGGTTGAATGGGTGGATGGACGGGTTGGGCGGTTTAAGTTGTCTAATGCTGGGGTTGTGGAGCGGGCTGTTGTTATTGGTGACGAGGGGAGGGATAAGAAGGTTGAGGATGCGATGACTGGTGGTGGGGGGAGGGTTGAGACGGTTTTGGATAGGTTGAGAGTTGATGTTTTGTCTGGATCACCTGGGTTATGAGGTTGTGTTTTGTTTTGTTTTTCGGCAAGTGATACCCCCATTGTATAGTTTGAAGTGTTCGAATCGAATTGAATTGGAATTTCATTGCAGCTAAATTATAAACAGGCTTGGTATGTCTATTCAATGGTCTCCACCAAACGCTATGCAATCATGACACCGAAAAGCCGCCGCAGGGCGTGTATGTGTAGGGTGACTGTCGATCCAAAAGCATAATCCAAAATTATTACAAGGGTAAAGGGCATAACAGGGACAGAAGAAGGGGGTGATTAAAAGGGTATATTGAGTAGATGTCGTGTCATCGTCTCCAATTAGAAGGGTAGATAATCCTGGCTGGGATGGATTGTATCCGGGGTTGACGTTTCGAGTGGTGAGTGTTCCACACCATCAATGGGGGTATTGGGGGTGAAAGCGACAAGCGGCAAAGGACCATATGATTGGCCATGTCGCACCTCGAGATGCCGACGTAGGACAGCCTCTTCCAAATACCAGCGGTGCCGCAAAGTTGTCTTTTTCGTATCCAAGGCTTGCATGAGAGAGGTTTCTTCTCGTTGGTGCTCGCCTCGCAGGGTAGCAATGGCCTGGATATTTTGGTCACACATCTCATCCAGCTCCTTCTCCATACGCGCCGTGGCTTCCTGCAGCTTAAGTTCTTGGCGATCACGGAGGACTTTGATGCGGGCGTCGTGGAGTTGGTCCATGCTTTTGTGGGAATGGTATTGTTGTTCTAGTTGCTCCATGTGTTGGCGAGTAAGGACACGGGCTGGTGGGGTTGAGTCGCATTCCGAGAACGATTCGGAGGAGCGTCCGGATCGTTCGGCTCTGATCGATGTTCCGGCGGGAGATGGCGGTGGGCTGGCATTGCGGAGATATCCCTCCATATGTTTGATGCGGGTACGCGAATTCATCTTGGCTCGATCGAACTCGCGCTGCTGTTCGATTTCTACCGCTAGCTGTCGCTCTTCAATTTGGGTTATGGCTTGGATGTTCTGTACAAGCGCTTGTTAGCTTAGAGAGAAAAATATGAAATGAATGTGTAAAGCGAACCTTCTCGCGTTTCTCATCCTCCTGGCGGTGGCCATCAGACTGCTTCTCTGAGATAGCGGTCTGATGCCGACGCCGGAGGGTACTTAGAGCGGCGTCTTGGAACTCGAGATGTCGGTTCCTTTCCATCCGATGTCGCTCGTGCATTTCACTTAACTCCGGATCGTCCAGACTTCTTTGTAACTCCTCTTTGCTGAATCGAGGAATTTCCAATCTGGGAAGTGATGCCTCATTGCTCGCATGGGGTGAAACATCATGGGCAGCATCATGAGGTTCCGGTTTAGGTTCGAAAAAAACATGTTCAACGCCTTTGTCGCTCGTGGATACAGTCATGCGCCCTTCCGAGGGCAAGGTAATGGCCGAGGATGTGCGCCTCTTGCGGAAATGAATTCTCCCAATGGCAGACTTCAAACTGCTCCTTCGCCTCTCCTTCTTATCAGCAGATGCGACACTGAAAATTGAATGCCGATGCGAATTGGCCTCAAATGGCTCATTATATCCGTGACCGATAAGGCCCGTTCTCCCCTCGCTGGAGCAAAATGAGGTCGGGCGTGTAGACAGCGAAGCCAGCGATCGCGTACTGCTGGCCTTAAAGTGACCCGAGGCAAGCGTGACATCCGACAACGACGAAACGATTTGATCGAGCACGGATGGCACGGGGGAGGATGGCTCATGGGACGGAGTAACGGAGCCGCAGACGGAATTCCGATCGGTCGACGATCCAGAAGACAGGACTGGCGAGGAGAGATCGACCATTCCTGAGGCGATCGAGGCAGCTAGTGGCGCGGATGCCTCGATCTCTGGCACATTCAGACCCAGCTGTTCAGCCTCTTCAGCTAATTGTTGCGCCTGCGCTGCTTCCGATTCCGGTGAGGGGTGGTGGAGGACATCGGTGCGATATTGGGCCTCATCAAGGATGGGCCCGTTCAACTCCATTGTATGTACAGTTATAGGAGGTATGTGGCGCCTAACCAGCGGGCGCACATGAAAGTCAAGGGCAGATAGAGCTAAGAATAATAGTCCACATGGACGCGTTCTATGACGGCATCTAAGGAATTTCAAGGATGAGGGGTTGTAAGGACAGTAATAGTAGTGAAGGTGGAGAGGGTCAAAGCTAACGGGTTAAGGGGTCAGAAAGGTAGGGGGAAACAAAGACCAGTTGACGGTTACGGCCTTTTTCTTGTTTCCTCATGTTTTGTCGTTTTGGGCAATTTCTCAAATAAAAAAAATAAAACAAATTGACCCACGGGTGGCCCTGACGCAATCCCTGGTTTCTCCTACGGGACAATGGGTCCATCTTGAAACGGCTAGTCTTAGACTTCAAGATACTGTAGAGACTGTAGTAGATATGAACTGTGCTATGTTGTAGAATGTTTATATACTTACGTAGCAAGGTATCGAACTTATCGGAGAAATATTGCACTATCACATTTAAATATCTCGGCATTTCTTCATATATCCTTGCGCCAACCTGCATTTTTAACTCTATGCACTTGATCCCTGGAACTCCCTTGATCAAGCATCAAACCCCTCGATTCTGGCCATATGGGGAAAATAGGGCTTAGGGCTACTATAATAACCTCGGCCCCCACGGATCAGGCCATAGATCAGGCAATGAAGAGCAGCTAAAACATACAACAAAGCTCAATAGTCACAAGCTCTACTCGTTCAACATGTCGAAGGCTAGTCTATAAGCCCGCTCTTTAGCTTGGTATTGCGGAGTCCCCACTTTTGTGCTTTTGTCCCATCCATGACTACACCCCTGCATGCGCTCGCTGACCACATGCCACCCTTGCAATTCCTTGATCTTTTGGGCCAGTTCCTCGGCCTCAAGCGCAAGAGTATCTCCATCGGCGGTGATAATAAGAACACGTCTTGGGAATCGATCTACCTGGGCGTAGAGCGGCGAGATCCGCGGGTCCCGCTTATCGAACGATGAGGGTACATAGCAGCGGTCGAAGAGGCGCATCACAGGAAGAGGAATTACAAAGTCCCCACGGGCCGGGGCGATCTTTGAAGCAGGGCCAGGGCTTAGATCAGTCACAGGATAGATTGCTATCAGGGAGCGGAACATATCGCGAGGGAAGAGGCTTGACGCAGCTGCCAGCGCGAGGTTACCCCCAGCACTAAATCCAGATATAGATACACGGGTCAGGTCGAATTCATCTGGGCATGTGAACACATATTTTATGGCGTCTTCCACATCGTTCAGTGCGGCCGGGAACGGGTGTTCTGGTGCCAGACGATAGGGGACGTCCAAGACGGTATGCTTGGTTTCCTGACTGACTTGACGACAAAACTCATCGTCGCTGCCATGGAGTGGTAGCACGAAGCCACTCCCGTGAAAGTTGAGGAGGACAGGTGATGGCCCCGAGCCAGAAGGCCGATACAGGTGAACCTTGATAGTTCGGCCAGCATCCCGGGACTTGATATGGCGGATTTCATCTGGACTGGCCGACACATTTCTGGCAAGGCGCATGAATGTTCGAATGATATATGCAAAGCATTTATCATAATAATACATGAGAATACCCATGGTGGGCGTGGGGGGATGTAGTATGTTAAAGCTGAGTCTTAGCCGAGGCCTGGGGTAAAGGATGCTAGTGCTGATCTCTACCCTCTTCTAGTCTACTTTAATGCTAGCATCTTGCAATGCTCGGCTTGTACTAACTTGGAATCGACTAACTTGTATTATTTTTTGTTTCTAATATACAATCTGCCAACTAATAATCACCCAATAAAAGACCATCTACAAGGTAACACCTAGAATGTACGATTTATGCCGGAATTTCAAGGCACCCATGCAGTATACAGTGTAACTTTTCCCGGACAATCGAACAGACTGGGGTGACCTTATTAAGTCTAACACTGACACTTTATATCTGCTACTCTTCTCCAAATTCTGTCCTTTGATAATGTCTTTAATGTGAACCATACTAATATGTTGGTGCGTCGATATACTTCACGGCTCGTGGCGGTATTTAATCTCCTATCAATTAGCTCTCAATTCCCCGCATTAAGGAAATTCCACGCAGAGCCTCATTGCTTTCCACGCACCTTGTCTGCCAATCAAAATGACTGCCTGCCGTCGTCACGCTCATCTCCAACGCCCATCGCCATCATATCCATTGTTACCTTTTGGAGTCACAGGTTATCTGGGGAACAGCTCTTCTAGTTTCTAATCTCACCAGTCTCGGGTTTCATTATTCAAACAAAGACTACTTATTGACTACTTATTGAGCTGAACAGAAGCGCTGGGTGATCTCGCTTTCAACATTGCCATCTACACGCAATTCACAGCATGTCCACCAAAACCAACTCCGTTGACACTAATTTCACAGTCTTCATACGCTTACCATTTCCCAGGGGCGACTTTGTCGACCCGCCGCCCGCAAGTCCCCCCAAGAGAACCCCCTTGAGCATCCACTGACGTAAATAGGTGGAATGGAATGCATCCAAAGACCAAGCGCTATGGGATATCCTTTCTCGACCATCTAAAGGCGACATAGACTGTATGTATTTTTGTTGCGTCCAGACTTTGCGTTGATCTACTTTGACATCGCTGACATCGCCACAGGGAAAGCTCTGTAACTACACTCTGCCCCGAGCACATTTTAAGCTGAAGGCTACTGACATCGGTAATTCAGGGCGGGGAACTTCGACGTCACCTTGCAGTTCCTTCTCCAGCAGGCGGCATGGCTCTATGATCGCCAACTGTCGCAGGTTAGGGCTCAAATGCGCAAGGTTGGCACTACGCAATCGGCCTCTCCTTCCCCGGCTCTGGGATCTGTCTCTGGCAGTACAGCCTTGTCACAAAGAGAAACACCAGTACCAGGTATATATAGTGCTTACTTTGTTTCACTATGGTCTAAGGCTGATGATCAATAGGTTCTCGGGCGCCATCACGGCAAGTATCTCATCAGAAAGATATCCCTCTACGAGGTATGATCCAAACCCCCACCCGTCTTTGTACGGGACAATTGAGACCGCCGATGGATCGATGGGGGTTGACATTGACTGCAGCGCCTGACAACCGACGTACGAGCTTTACATCAACTACGGCTACTAACCAAATTCGCGGATCGCGGGACCCTACACGCACTGCCACGCCGACAATCGACGACAAAGAACCACGCTGGGATTCTTTTGGTCGTCGGCCTTCGACTGTCAGACGGGAACAGCCCCCCGTTGCGGCTTTGCCCCGGTCCCCACCACTCGAAGAAGAGTCTCTCTCGAGCTCGTCGGAAGATTCAGAATCCGACGATGAGGACACAACTAGGCGTGCACCCCTGTTCAAACGGTTTGGCAAATTTTCTATCCACCGCTCTGGTCTCCGGGATGACGAGGATGACGAAGAAGACACCCCGGCGTTCCTCCCCATGGCCCGAGAACACCAACACACCCTTCTGGAGCGGCCGGCCCAGGAACTCAGCGCTACCCTCCGTTTAGATGCCGAGCGAGCCGCGGCGCAACGGCGACATCTCGAGCAGCGATCTGGTTCCAGGGTACTGGTAGCTACGGAGTCATCCACCAGCTCTATGAGCTCCGGCGGGCGTAGCAGTCTGCCCGGTGGATCCAGACGGACCAGCCAGGGGGCATCGATCCTGAGCAGCCAGCGCGCCGCCGAGCGCCAAAATTCTCGCAAGTCCACCGCCTCCGGTCGCGAAGCTAGCGACGGTACCCCCAGCATGGGGAGCAGCTTCAGTGACCTCGACGGTATGTGCCCCAACCCCGAGGATTCTGGATTTCAACTGATCGACTGGCCAGATGCAAGCGTTACCCAATCAGCCCTGGAGGAGGCTCTTCTAAGCAACATGCAGCATGGTGGAATGGCGAGTCGGATGAGTACCATCAGCCAAGCCTTGCGCAGTCGGTATCTGCAGTGAAATACACCTTACATAGCAACATCTATTTTGGAAAATTGCACTCCACGATGTAATATGATGTAGCTCATGCGGGGTGCCTAAGTGTGTTCCGCATATGCCTTCCACGTGATCGAGTGGCGCCTCGGCACGTCGGTGGTGCGCACCAGTAACATAGACATTGTGGATATCTTCACTTCGTCCGGAGCTCGCTATACTCAGATATTCCAAGTAATCATTGTCACGGATCGGTCAAACGGGAGCGCTAGTGCCGGATCAGGACGATCATTCTCAACGCCCACACTATATAATGGAGGGGTAGCTCAACCTAGCTGCCTAGTTGCCTTTTAAAAACGTTGAACGTGCAGCACAAATAAATCCTGGAGATTGTGAATAAGAGACACCCCCAGCCAATCGTGGAAAGCTGACCGGCATCAAAGAACATCCACTGCAACCCCACCAACGCATTAGGGTGCGGAGCGGCAAGCCTCGGCATCCCAACTGCAGTTCACCTCAACGACAGACCTTCCGTTCACAATTGTTCACCTCTTTTCCTCCATTACACAGAATTCCTCTCATAATTCACAATGGCCGCCCCATTACTCGGCGAAATGTCACCAGCGGAGGCAGAATCCGTCTATTTCAATGAATACCCCCCACCAAAGGCACTTCCGCGACATGAAGCGCTTGCGCGCGCCTTCATTAACCTCCATGTGGAGGAGAACCGCCGCGTGGTACTCGTCACATCCGGAGGCACAACGGTACCACTTGAAGCGCAAACCGTACGATTCATCGACAACTTCTCCGCCGGAACTCGAGGCGCCACATCAGCCGAGTACTTCCTCGAGCAAGGGTACGCTGTAATCTTCCTACACAGACAATACAGTCTCCTTCCGTACTCGCGGCATTACAGCCACTCAACCAATTGTTTCCTGGACTTCATGGACGAGGCGCCTGCCTCAGCGGACTCCTCCAACCCCGGCCATGGACCTATCATGGTGCGCGACGAGTACCAAGATCAGATGCGCAGCGTGCTGCGGAAATACCGGTACGCAAAGCAGAATAACCGTCTCCTGTTGTTGCCGTTCACAACGGTCTCGGAATACATGTTCGAGCTGCGGTCAATTGCCAAGCTGATGCGGCCGCTTGGCCCGAATGCGCTTTTCTATCTTGCGGCTGCTGTCAGTGATTTCTTCATTCCGCGCAGTCGCATGGCAGAGCATAAGATCCAGTCTGGTGAGTTGCCTCCACACATGCGTGGCAGCGCAATCTCATCGGATGAAATCTACACGGGCGAGAACGAAGAAAAGCCCTCGTCGAATAGCAGGAAGCTCGTTGTCGACCTCGATCCCGTGCCTAAGTTCCTGCACCAGTTGGTGGATGGATGGGCTCCCGAGGGGAGTATGGTTGTGTCGTTCAAGCTGGAGACAGATCCTTCACTGCTTGTCTACAAGGCGCGCACTGCGCTACAGCGCTACTCACACCATCTCGTGATTGGAAACTTGCTTTCAACACGCAAGTGGGAGGTTGTTTTCATTACCCCTGATGAGCCGCATGAGCGCTGGCTCCGGGTTCCCAAGTCTCGGCGCAGCAAGAGTATCTCTGGTGTTGAGGATCAGGTTGGGTTGGCGGAGGCTAAGAAGGGGAACTCAATAACGCTGGAGCAGGCGGAGGCTGAGCAGATTGATGAGACTAGTCGGGATGGAATTGAGATTGAGAGTCTTATTATTCCGGAGTTGGTTAAGCTGCACACGAAGATGATAGAGAAGAAGACGCAACCTGCGCAGTGATTATTATATGGGGGCTGTACAATTCAATACGAACAAATAATGGATATTCTTGGCTCTTTTACTAATTAATAAATAATGTCCTTCCATGTAATATTCTTGTCTAATGTTATAATACAAAATCCCCTTGTGGAAGTCTGCTTTTTTCTGCATCCTTCATGTATAAAAAGACGTAAAAAGACATCAGAAGGCCGCATAAGCGGCCGACTATACTTGTGATGTATCCTTAGGGAACTATTCAATGTTGTATATCTATATGACTATACGGAGTATATATTTTCCCGTATAGCTAGATGCTGTACATGCTTGAGACACCTTCAACCCTTAGATTATTCAAATATTGAACCATTCGCCTATTCCGTCATGATATCCTGCACTGCCCGTGCTGATCTCGGTGGATCCTGACGTCGTGCGGGACCCCGGAGCTCTTGACCCCTGAAGAAATAAAGAAGCCTTGAGAATATCTCTGGATTATAACAAGGGATTACCATATCTCAAACAGGAGAGATTGGATTCAAGGGGCAGTTATTTAAAATCTCCAAATTCCGCCTGGGCTACGCGTCCCGATGTGTCAGCGGCAAAGCTCGGCGTCAATCATCTTTAGCTCCGATTTTCCCCAGTTCTTTGCTCTTTTGGCTAACAGGAGAGGGGGAAAAGGTCTCACTTCTAAATGTTCTAGAGAAAATGATCAATTGATCTATTCTCTGTTTGGTGTACTCATATTTTTCTCAGGATGGTGCCCCGCCGGTTCAGTCGTCGCCTGATTGCAGTTGCAACCGCCATTGCGCTCTTCTTCCTCTATCACATCGGCTTCCTCTCCGGTCACAATCGCCAATGGCGTCCTCACTTCACAACAACGACAGAAGTCCCCCCCTCCTCCCTCGATGATAACGGTGAACCAGCTCCATTCTGTCCACCCCTACCAGGCATCGAAGATGTGCTCGTGGTAATGAAGACCGGAGTGACGGAATCCCGCGAGAAAGTCCCCATCCACTTCAAAACAACATTACGATGCATCCCCCACTTCGTGATCTACTCCGACTTCGCAGAAGAAATCGAAGGCGTCCAAATCCACGATGTCCTCAAAAACATGGACAGCGCCGCAAAGAAGAACCCGGACTTCGACTTCTACCACCGCATCGTGAAATACGGCCGCAAGGGTCTAGAACAACAAGATTACTCCGACGAAGCAAACTCCGCCATCGGAAAACCGGGCAATCCGGGCTGGAAGCTCGATAAGTGGAAGTTCCTCCCAATGGCGCAGGAAGCGCTACGCTACAAGCCAGACGCGAAGTGGTTCATCTTCGTCGAAGCAGACACGTACATCTCTTGGCCAACGGTCCTAACCTGGCTGGCCCGGTTCGACCATACCAAACCCCACTATCTCGGCACGGAGACTCAGATCGCAGACGTTATCTTCGCCCACGGTGGTTCGGGCTTCATGCTCTCCAACCCTGCTCTACAACGCGCCTCCGACGAATACACCACCCGCGAGGTCGAGCTGAACAACTTCACAGACGAGCATTGGGCCGGGGACTGCGTGCTGGGCTCGGTTCTCAGCCACGTAGGTGTCAACCTTCACTTTACATGGCCGATTCTTCAAAACTCCAACATCGGCGAGCTGGACGAGTTCACTACAGACTTCTACCGGAAACCATGGTGTTTCATCGCCGTAGGCCTCCACCACCTCCCGCCAGGTGATATTGAGAAAGTATGGAAATTCGAACAAAAGCGCTGGCGTGATGTGAGTTAACCAACCCCTTCCCCCATCCAATTTATCTACTTAATCCATAACATTTCTAACTTGTCACTCTCAAATAGAAAAACAAACAAATCCTCCTCCACGGCGACCTCTTCCGCGAATATATCGCCCCAGAAATAACCGCCCACCCCATACGCGCGAACTGGAACAACATGGCAACCGAAGAGCAGCCCTTCGCACACTCCGTCGAAGACTGCCGCATACTCTGCGAGACGCAGACAATATGCGTGCAATACGCCTTCCGTGAAGGCAAATGCTTCACGAGTCCGAACCCGCGTCTCGGACATGCGGTTCCGGGTGTGGATGCGACGTCCGGCTGGATCACTACTCGGATTCGTGATATGACGGAGAAGAAGGGGTTGTGTGGGAAGCCCGATTTCGGGGATTGAGATGGTCTGACTGTGTTTTGATATTGTTTTTTTGTTTCTTTTTGCTATCTATGTGTTTTCTTGTGTTTGTGCTTGCATCGAGAGCGAGAAATGGGATCGCTTTTGGCATTTGCTTGGAGCTTGGTCTGGTATTTGGGCATACCGGGTGATTTGGGCTCGGTCTGGAGAACTTGTGTTTTTATTCTCCTATGTTGCTGTACTATCACATTTATTGTTCGGTGGCTGATGATGAGCTTGAATAGACAAGCTGTCGTCGAGGCGTTGGTGCTTGGTTGATTTTTATATACTTGCTTGGTCGCTCAATACACCTATTGACATGCTTGTACGGATTCCCATTTTGCTTTTGTGGGATCGCAGGTTTTATTTTGCTCTGTCATTCATTCATTCATCCATTCATTGTTCTAATAGTAACTATAAAAAAGTAAGAAACGAACGAAGGCTAACAGTACTCGGACGGTGTCAGGACACCAATTAGGAGAGAGATTATGTATACACTTAACAATATATGCACAGGACAGGTGCTGCTGTGAGTCTGTAAAGATTTTCACGGCATTGGCCAATCACAGCGGTGGAGCGGACACATCCTCCAGACACTGGTCGATTCGCATGATATGGTATCCGGCGCTCTTGATGTATCGAATGAACTCCGGTAGATACCCAATGGTAGTCGGATTTAGGTAGTGCATGACAGCAAGATTTCCCCCCTTTCCAACACTACGGAAGAAGGCATCAAGCTGCTTCTCTGGAGTGGACGTGTTTGCCCATAACCAGTCTTCGACGTCGACACTCCAGTTCACGACGTACGGGTTTGGTATGTGTCGGGCTAGCTCCTGGCGCAGCCGGGCAGCTACTGTACCGAACGGCGGGCGGAAGTATGAAGCTGCAAATATTCAGTAAGAATCATTTCCAAAGATACATCGAGGGATACATACACTGGATGCCCAGCTTGTCTCTAAATATTTGTATGGACTGGATGATTTCGTCGTCAATCTCACGGAGGGTTGGCAATGATTCCATCCTTGATCGCCATGTCAGCCCCTTCATACGAGATCCAATGTTCAGAATAAACTTACTTTGGGTGAGTGTTCGAATGAAGAGCCACTTGGTGACCTTTCTTCAACATCTCCTTATAAAAGTTCGTGAAATTACTCGACCGATCCCTGAGTCCAGCCCCAACAACGAAGAAAGTAACCCGGACATCCTCCTCATCAAGGATGCGCATGACCCGCTGAGCGAACTGCGGCTGTCCATCATCAATACCAAACGCAAAGGAATTCGGACGGGAACAACGGAGAACCAATCTCCCACTGGGCAGCTTCCCAGGTAAGCGATAGTGACCATTGTCCGGCGTTGGCATTGGAATATCAGGCACGATCTCCACGTGATGGAGTGTGATAGGTTCCTTGGTATAGAAGCCATGGAAGGAAATGGACACGACACGATTGAAGTCGATATCAAAATGAGTCAGAGGGATATAGAGCTCACGACGTCCCGGTGGAATTTTGGTATTGCCTTGGGGGTGCTTTCGTCGACCACCCTTGGACCTTCCATGCTTGTGTTTGTTCCTCCCAGAATCGGCGTTGATATCATCATCGTCATCCCAGTCGTCGTCTTCATCATCATCGTCCCAATCGTCATCCTCGCCAAAGACCTCAGAGGCTTGATGAACTACATACCGCTCCGCCTGGACGGAGTCTGCAATGCCCGGGAAGGGACTGCGTTGAGGGTTGCATTCGTCGTTGTGTTGGTTAAAGGAGATGCTGTACTGATCTGTGCCTTCGAAGACGACATGCAAATACTCGTTGTACCATGGTATTAGGCCGTAGCAGCCGTTAGTATCGAACTGTGTGTGGAAGTTCTGATCCGGGTCTGTTGGGAATAGACGAATGAAGCCCGGCCCATATTCGACGGGTAGATTCTCACCGGAGCCGTGCCAGAATCCCAGATCGTTGCGGGTTGGATTTTTGAATGTGTCGATGACAAGAGGGGGACTTGACTTCTTTGCCTGCGTGGCGTTATACGAGGTGTTGTGGGCGAGCCCTCGGAGTTCATTCCAGTGGCCATGGTCAACAATTCCGTGAAATAAAGCTGAGGTTGGGAGGAGGAGCGAAAGAGCGGCAGGACCTATGAATAACCAATTCATGATGGACAGTTCCCTCGGGAATAATGATTGAATGGACTTGGGTTGAAGAAGTCAAGGTGGAAGTTGTGAGAAGCATCGCAGATGTAATCGGAGCGGTTCAAAGAGTCAAGAACGATTGACTAAACATCTACATAGGAAGGAGCTATACCTCCTACGTCTGTATATCTCTACATATATACGCTCTACGCTTTCCAACTTGCAGAGGAAATGAAAAATGAAACTAGATAGTTGCATAAAACCCATGAAATCCGTTATGCGGCACATCTCCACAACCTTTGCATCCGTATCACTGCCTTTGCACGCACGATAAAACCGATCCAGTCCTAATACAAGAATTTAGGAGAAAAGGTCTTAGGTTCCACAGGTCCAGGTTGCACACAGTCGAGAGATCAAGCCCTCAAAACTTCCTCTGGGCATGAGATCTGATCCTGATCATCCAGGGTAAAATTTCGAACTTCGTAAAAATCATCCCCTCCACCGATTGGAATTCTTTCGTTTCCATTTTTTTAATGAATTTTCATGGGTTTTCTTTCGCGTTCCGTTTTTGTTCGTGTTTGTTGATCTTCCGCGCGCAGCACAACCAGAAAGAATGGTCGAACTTTAGATCCAGAACGAATCTGGATCCTCAGGAGGAGGGGGCCGGGGGGCCCAGTGAGAACCGGCCAGACCAGTCTTGTTCTCCTGGCGCTTAGCTTCCTCTTCGTTCCGCTTCTTGCGTTCGGCCAAAGGCGAGGCAGGCTTCCACCATGTAGAAGCATCCTCCTCCTCGGATGTAACAGTGGGTTTGGGAACAGTGGGCTTGGTAATAGCGGGCTTGGTAATAGCGGGCTCCTCGTTGTCGGCAGGCTCGTCATCATCGGTAGGCTCCTTGTTGGCATCTTCGGCATCACTAGGTTCAGCGGCAGCAGATCCTGCTTCGGCTTCAGCCTCAGCCTCAGCATCAGAGCCAGCGGCAAAGCCAGCGTCAGAGCCAGCGTTAGATGGGTTATCAAAGAAATCCTTATCAGAGTCATCGTCAAACTCCAGCACATCTCCCTCAGGGCGGAATTCTTGGAGGAACTCCGGGATCACTTGCTTGCATTCGATCAAGATCTTAACAAGGTCCTGGGCAATATCTTCATCACGTTCGTTGTAGAAAGAGGTGGCAATGCCTTCGTTGCCAATGCGAGCAGTACGACCTGTAGATGGTAGAATGACGTGTTAGCAGCAAGTTCATCAGGAGAATCGGGAAGAAAGTGATATCAAGCTAGAGCAAAACATACCAATACGGTGAATGTATTCAGTGATGCCCCCGTGCATGGTGCTGGGGAGATCGTAATTCACCACGTGGAGCACATTAATAACATCGAGTCCACGAGCGGAGACGCCGGTAGCAACCATAACTGGACACTTCGCGGACCGGAAGGCACGCCTTTTTGGCGGGTCAGCAAAGTAAGACCAAAGGCTGGAGGGAAGAAATACTAACATAGCGTCCTCTCGCTCACGCTGAGTTCGTCCACTATGAATGGAAGTGGTGGGCATTCCAGAGTTGTAAAGGTAATCATCGACGAAGTCAGCCTGTTCCTTGCTGTTGACGAAAACCAAGGTACGAACAGGCGGCATGCTGATCAGGAGATCATAGATCGCGCGCATTTTCTTGTCCCTATCAACCCAGATGATCTTCAAGTTTCACTAAGCATTAGCATTGATCTGAAATTCCACAAGTTCCTCGGTCACATACATCCTGCACAACGTTGTGATGCGAACTACCGGCTCGGCCAACGCGGAGGCGCACATGATCCTGGCTGAGGTATTGCTTCGCAAGTTTCCGGAAATCCTTGTTGAAGGTAGCAGAGAACATCAAGTAGCGGTGGTCATCATCCTCGTTCACATCTTACTCAAGTCAGCAACACTGAAACGCAGAAATCAAAGGTGGGGTTAAGAGCGCGCGTTATGGCAAACGCTTTCAACCACTTACCTCCTCCAGACATGATCTTTTTGAATTCCTCCTCCCAGTCACTTTCCAACATCTCATCCGCCTCGTCAATGACCGTGTACCTGAGGAACCATTAGTATCCAGGATCTGCAAAGATATATGTCAAGTGAGTCGCAATCATACCGAACACGGCGGAGAGAAAGAATATGCGTCTGCTTCATGAAATCGAGCAGACGGCCTGGAGTGGCAATAAGGATATCGCATCCCTTCTGAAGCTCCTCACGCTGGAGACGACTGGGAGCGCCACCATAAGCGACACATGGACGCAGCATGGAACGATAACACAAACGACGTGCTTCGTCGAATATTTGAGTAGCCAGCTCCCGAGTGGGGCAGACAATCAAAACCAGAGGCTCTGCTCGCACAGCATCCTCCCTTGGGTTGAATCTTTCCGCAGTGTTAGGCCGAGGAGCAGCCAGCTTCCTCGCCTTGCCCATCAACTTAGAAAGAATTGGAATGAGGAAAGCGCCCGTTTTTCCAGAGCCTATGTTTTGTTAGGATCAACTTGTGCCAAACACCATACTCCACAGCACAGCACGTACCAGTTTGGGCCACAGCAATAACATCAAGGTTGGCCAGAACAGCCGGAATTGCATATGACTGAACCGCAGTGGGTTGTTCGTACCCGCAGAGACGAATATTGTCGAGCATGACCGGATGCAAACCAAAGTTTGCCCACTATGAATTGTCAGACTGGCAAAATGTTGTTAACATCTCTCGCAGACTGACCTCGGTAACCGCCTTGATCTCGTTGGGACTCTCGATGTTGACCTTATAACTATTCAGCCTGGAGAAGAAGACATATCAGTTATCAAGCTGGTATCCCATGATCAGATTTGCGTCACATACTCGTCGAGCTTAGCCCCAGCGCGCGCAATCAGTTCGCCACGGAAAAGTTGTTCCTCCAATTCAGGGACGGCAGGGCCGACATCACCATATTCGTCCTTCCATTCGTAACGGGTGGCAATTCCAGCCCAATCACGGTGATCCTTGCTATTGGCAAGCTCGGCATACTCGAAGGGAACAGGTTCGGTCCAACCCTTTTCCCGAGCAACCTTCTGAGCAGCCTGGGGGTTGGGACCGACACCGGAAAGAACACCCTCGACAGGAGGCTCTCCAGCGTTGGAACCGTCCACAGAAGCAACTTCAGCGGCCGACACCGAGTCGACAGCTGAGGCAGCGCCTGCCGCCGACGCAGCATCCGGCTCGTCGTAAGGTTCCATGGTCTACTGACGTATTTCAAATTGCAAGTGTTTTGAAGGATTATTATCAAGAAAGACAATGAGGTAGAGGATCGAATGGTGCGAGCAAGAGGAAGAGGAAAAGGGAAAGAGGAATGATCAAGTCGTATTTATCTCCCCGACAAACACAAAACGCGCGCAGACAAGAACAAACATGTTCGCGCGTAGGGTGAGCTTGTTTGTCCTCGACTCATGAGGTCCTGCGAGGTACATTGACTGGACATAGAGTTACTATGGTGCCTCCATGGTAAATGGAAGTATACCAGATGTACCTCTCTCAATTGGGAAGGAGCGATCCGTCCATACATCGACTCCATATACCAAAGGTAGCATTGAAATACTTGCATCCCTATACAATCAACTACTCATGTGGGTGTACTATGGATAATTTTTGATATTGGCCGATTTAAACTGATTGTGATAGTTAACCGTGCGGCTTCATACATGTACATGTGTACATTTTATAGTGCAACCGAATGGCTTGCTCCAATCCTTTAATATTAAATGTCTTTCTGTTATTTCGTCCATTTCAACTACATGCCATTCACCATATAACTATACAGCTGATCATGTGCAAATAAATTCATGCCTACATAGATAGGCAGTGAAGATTAAGGTACCAAATTCTCAATTCTGAAAATGATCTCAGGCGCCAAACGAAAAGCAGACTGTCAGACCGCCAGTCCGCCAGTTCATAATTATGTATGCATCGGCATATCAACAAGATCCCCGGATCCCGCGGTCTACTAGCACTAGCATGTATGTCATAAGCGATCTACGAAGCCTCGGGACGTTAGCTCCTCGGCTTCCAGAAAAAGAAAAGTGGATCCGACACCCTCCAGTGGCCCGTTCCGGGTAGAAGGAGATATACGCAGTAAGCCTGGGAACGGGTACCTTCTCCATCTCCAGCGACTCTACCTCCTTTACAACATTCATCATGGCCTCCGAACGCATGGAGGTAGATACCAATGCTCCACGGAAGCGACCGAACCGTCTGGAAGCTGCAATCACCAATCCCGGCGCTGTCAAAATCAACGTCACGGGCGCATTCATTGTTGACGACGAGCCACGATCCAAGAGTCCCGTCGATGCAGAGGGCGTACACTATGAAAACAAGGATATTCGACTTCCGCATCATACAGGCGTTGTGAGCCATGTGGCTGTCGATGTGAGTTGCTCACGAGAATTTTATTTTCTCTGCCCCGCACTGCTTCCGGTTCCCCCGCAATCTAGGGGCCGAGCAGACAATTCCTTCAGAACACCAGAAGAAAACATGACTGACGCGGAATTGGGACTGGATAGATTGGCGGAACACTTGCGAAGCTTGTCTATTTCACTCGAGAGCCGGACACCGCGGATAACGGTGGCCGACTCAATTTCCTGAACTTTGAAACACACCGGATCGATCTGTGCATCAACTTCATTCGACAGCTCAAAGAAGAGCACGAGAAGCGCAATGGTTCGACACGGGAGGGGCTGTGTGTGGTAGCTACTGGAGGTGGCGCATACAAGTACTACGATCGGCTGAAAGAAGAATTAAATGTTAATATTCTACGGGAAGAGGAGATGGAATGTCTGATCATTGGTAAGTCGTTGAATATGTGCAGGTATAGAGGATACTGTCTAACATCTCCAAAAGGATTGGACTTTTTCATTACAGAAATCCCCAACGAAGTCTTCACTTACAGCGATGCTGATGCTGAGCCGATGCAATATGCCGAAGCCCGGCCCGATGTCTACCCTTATCTCCTCGTCAATATAGGATCAGGTGTGTCGATGATAAAAGTCTCCGGTCCGCGGCAATTCGAGCGTGTCGGCGGAACACATCTCGGTGGTGGAACCTTCTGGGGGATTATGTCTTTGTTGACCGGCTCCCGGACATTCGACGACATGCTAGCAATGGCCGACCGCGGAGACAACAGTGCGGTGGACATGCTTGTAGGAGATATCTACGGTATGGACTACACCAAGATTGGCTTGAAGAGCACAGCTATTGCCAGTACTTTCGGCAAGGTGCTCCGGTTGAAAAACGATGCGGAGCAAGGGGCCGAGGATGGCGAGGGCTTGATCCGCGGTGATCCCAGTGAAACCAGTGAAACCAGTGACTCCGGCGAGTCCAACCATGGACCCAAGCCAAATCCGGAAGATATGAGCAGGAGTCTGCTCTACGCTATCAGGTATGTTACATTATATTTCCCTTCTCCGACGGAGTCCGAACTAACCCCGATTAGTAATAATATTGGTCAGATCGCATATCTGCAGTCAGAAAAACACTCAGTCAAACATATTTACTTCGGAGGGTCATTCATTCGAGGCCACCGCCAAACGATGAACACCCTCTCCTACGCCATCCGCTTCTGGTCCAAGGGCGAAAAACAAGCCTATTTCCTGCGCCACGAGGGCTACCTAGGCGCCGTTGGTGCCTTCATCCGACGCCAGCCGCAAAACTGGGGTCGCAGAAACAGTGTTGATGAAGTGGTCGCACCGCAGGCGGTCCGAAACCTCGTTCAAAATAACAATGTCCTTCAACAACATGGCAGGTCGTCCAGTGAGCTATAATATTTGATATGCTAAGCCATTGTGACCCCTACCCTCCCTCCGCTTTTGAGTCTTGATACCCCTTACAAGCAATCCATGAACTACCAATCTTGTGCTGACCTTCTTTTGTGCACCCAGAGTGGCTGCTTTAATTAGCTCTCTGTGAAAAGCCTATGGCGATCCCGTCGGGCATTTGTCTATGTTGTACATTTAGCTATCTGAAGTTTTCTAGCTTCCTGTTTGATTTTCAAACATGTTCGGTTATCATATTAGAGGAATAAACTTTCATATTTCATTCATTTTTGCTCCAGCTTATATACTTCGTATCATTCTAGTTATCTTGTTCTGTAAGTGAAACATCGTTTTAAGAGGAATAAATTCCATATTTCACCCCCTTTTAAGGCGAACTATGTAATTATATAGGTCTCATTCCAGTTCTCTTTGCATCTGATATTGGATTGCTTGTAGTAGCAAATTCTCAATACCATATCGTCTCATCAGCGCATCTTCCATTGTCGCTTTGCTTATGTCGTCGTCTTCCAACTCCTCAACTCATATTTCCATCCCCAGGGATCTTCCTTCCAGTTCTTTCTACTCCGGACTTGTTACATCACTCCTTCAAAAAGACCTCAGACTGTCACGTAAATTTCACTCATATTGCGATTTATTGGTGTGGAATTGCCGCTTCTTGCGTGTTACGTACACTCTTATTGCTACTGTTTCTCTCTTCTTCCTTCATCGCTCGTCTTTCTACCCTTCCTCCATCTGTGTTATTCTTAGCCTACATCCTCTTTATCTTCTTTATCCTTATTCTCATCAATATGGCGGAAAACGTGGTTCATGAAATTGCGAATCAGCTGGAAACTCTCACGGCGCAATCCCCGGCTATTCAAGATGCACCCCATGTATCAGCTTCTCAGGTTGAGGGAACTGAGTGTGCTTCTCAGGACTCTCTTTTCGATGAACTGGAAGAAACTGACACACGAGCTCCAGCTTCAATTGACTCGGATCTTACCGATATCGATGAGTCAGTTCTGCAAGATGCAACAGATCCTCCCGCTATGGCCCAGTCGCATTTCATCAATCCAATTGCACCGCGCGTTAGTTACATAGTTTCTGCATCTGGCGAAGTCATCATTACTGAAGACACCAAGACTTCCAATCCAGCCACTTCTGCTCCTGTGCCCCGGTCGAGTCCTCCCGCTGCCTTCTTATCCTTTGATCGGCTGGCTCAAGGGTTGCCGCCAAAGCCGATATCGTCGCCTACCACTACAACTATTCATCCTCCGTCACTTGCAGTGGAGCGCATCATGGGTCCAAAGCAGCCGATCCCGGCACAAATCCTCGACCTTCTCGAAGAGTGGCATGAAGACTCTCCTTACACCGAACATCCTTCGGCTTTGACTGGTCGTGCTCCATCTACGTGGAAGAACTTTAAAACTTTCAGTGATGATGGCGATGAATGCGAGCTATCACTCTTTCGGATCTCACTAAAAGGTCAGACCCGACGCAACGTGACATATCTAATTATGATACTTCATGCACAAAACGGACCGGAAGATCTTGTTGTGTATGGACAACCCCGGCCAAAGTTCAGGGGCCTCTTGACGAAGGGTACTAAGGGGCTATACCTTTTAGATTGGCTTGAACTCGAGAGCAAAGGGGAAGTTCAGGCTTGCGGATTAAAATTATGGAGGACAGACGAGAAGAAGATTTCGTTCAGTGCATCTATGTTTGACGAGGGACGCAAGTGCACTCGGTTCCCCGGGTCCAATGATATTTTCAACGCGCGTCTGTCAAATTCTACCCCAAAGAAACAGACCGACGCAAATGAGGATAACGAAGATGCCGACTCCATCTCATCTGAGGCCCCTTTTTCTCCCTCGAGGTCTAGACGCCAGGCTTCGACCAGCAGCCCTAACAAAGCTGCGAAACAGAATAAAGAGAGGACCCCAATTACTTCACGCCCGTCTTGGGATAAGGGCATTTCGCCCGTTCCAACGTTCGATAGTCGCGATCAACCCCGTTCTCTTGAGAGACCTTGGAAGCCTCAAAAAAGGCGCCGCAGCACCTGGAGCTCGAATGAGGAAGCATCAGCACCTATGCGCTACAAGCTGCTATCAGACGCATCGGATCATGTCCGCGTTTTCAAGACAGATGACGCAAAGGTTCTGTTTGAAAAGGCCCGTGAGTTCTACAAGGGGTTGGACAAGCGCACAGGACTTCTGTGCACTGTCTCTGGTCTTGAAGGAGTCCGATACGTTGGGGAGGGTTGCTTGGACGAGTTTGACGTCCTTCAAGAGGACATTGGGAAGACTTCTGATCCTGGTGATGAAGATCGGGTCGTCGAGGTGAGGCCCGCAATGGGCCTCTAATTCTGGTGAGATGGCTAGTTAGAAGACCTACTGAAATGGGGTGTGGCTGAAACGTGGTCGAGCCATAACTTTGATCATCAACTGCTCCGAATCGTTCTTGATGTGGTTGACCTGGTGACTATTGTGGCAAACGTGGCCTGTGTATTCTGTGACAAGTTTCATCCAAACTTGTGCAAGCCAGTCATGTGTCTATGTATGTGTACGTACCTTAAAAAAAATTCAAAAAGAAGGACATTTGTCCGATCATCGCCATCTTCATAATGTATGGATATTAGGTCAAGATGCGGCGATTCTCAGAGCTAATTATTCCTGGGCATCATTCTATCATCTTTTTTGAGTTTGACTACGGTCTCATATCCCGGTTCTCTCAAGCTCACTGACTAGCGAGATCTTTTATGCGTTCTGTGGCTTGGTTTTGCTAGTTTTAAAGACAAAGTTTGGATTACGGTCATGAATATATATCTCTTCAGATCGCAAGTACACAAAATGTTTGCGGTGTGATAAGAGGTAAATTTATGATCCGGTTATATGGAGAGTACTAACTGAGTACAGTTGATACCTCCAAAAGCCAATAAAGAAATTTGAAGCCTTCTGTCCTACCTATGAAATGAATCTGAACAACTCTTCCAACCCGAACAACAAGGGCTGATGAGGTCACGTGTGTGTATAGATACCTGCTGAATCAGCCTCTAGATGCCCGCGGACGGGTCGCGCCCTCGTTGTCACCAAGCCGTCACATCTACATTACACATCGGGCTTATCTTCTTCTCACGCCATGCCCCGAGGCTAGTTCCAGTTGTGCTCGATGACGTCTCCTCCCTCGCTAGACCCCTTCTCCCCCCCGATCCCCGTCAACACTCATCCCAACCGCGACCTAGGGCCCAAGTCTCCTGAGCTCGAACGGTCCCTCCCCGACCCCAATCGCCTAGCGCCCGAAGATGCATACTTTGCGCCCTCGCTCTCGCGTGCCCGGTCGGGGCCCACCAACTACGAGCAAAGTCTGCGGTCGTTGAACGGTGAAAGCAGTGCCCATCTTGGCTCTGCTGCGGCTTTGCGCAAGAAACTGGGTGGTGCTGGACGGCGTCGCAAGCGGAAGGGTGCTTGGAAGAAGTTACTTTGGGTCAAGCAATCGTGTATGTCTATTTGTGGTCACGGGTCTCGTGTAAGGCTCGAGGTTGGTGCTGCGCTGTTACTGACGGGTTCATAGATCCGGATAACTATACCGATACGGAAACGTTTCTCGATCACCTTCAGCGTAATCCTCGGGTGCGGCCGTACGATTTCTGGCCTCTGGTGGCGGATTCAACTGTGATTGTGCAGCATGTGTGCTCGGTGGTCATCTTTGTTTGTTGCTTCGTTAGCATTGTCCAAGATCGAGTGAGCCCTGTCTCAATTGTCTGCTGGGGAAGTGTTGGTACGGCTGTGGGCTGGATTCTGTGGGATAATTGGATCTGGAAAGAGCATGAAGAATCCATGCAAGTTGCAGATGGAACCGCTGGAGGCGATGATGGATCTAGTTCGACTTCATTTGCTAGCGCCCCCGATGCTCCCGATGCCCCCGCCGTTGACGCACAATCCGATGATACAAAGACGAATGCTATTCACGGCCTTGGGCTGTCTATGGCTGGAAATGAGTCAAAAGAACAACTCGCCCGTCGCAGTGCAGATTTCAGCGAAAGTATCGACACAGTCGCTCATTTGACTGCGCAAAGTGGTGTGCCGTCTGCTCCAGGCAGCTCCACCATTGGCACTACAGACCCGTTTATATTGCACGATACCCACCGCGTTTCGATGCTATCCCCGCGCAACCGCCAACGCTTGACTACCGTCAAGTCAGCCTTCCTTATTTACTTCGCCCTCCTGGGTCTCAGTCCCATCTTGAAATCTCTTACCAAGTCCACCGCCAGTGACTCTATCTGGGCAATGAGCTGCTGGCTTTTAATCATGAATATATTTTCTTTCGACTATGGGAGCGGGGAAGGCGCAGGCGCCACAACAAAGTTCCCTGCTTCTTTGTCAACGAATGCAGCTGTGATGGCCTCGACTGTGCTCGCCTCCCGGCTGCCTTCTACGACCCACGTGTTCAGTCTCATGCTCTTCTCGATGGAAGTATTTGGACTGTTCCCCATATTCCGGCGCCAATTGCGACAGAAATCATGGACTGGTCATGTGGTCCTGACGCTGGCCCTTGTGATCGTTGCTGGTGGCGCTGTTGGTGTCACGTTGAGCGGCGGATGGGCATCAACCATCATTGGATCTGTCCTAGGAAGCATCTTGACAGCGTTTGTGATGGGCGGGTGCAGCTGGTGGCTCATCAGCTTGCAAAAGTACAAAAACGTTGTTATCGGACCCTGGGACCCTGCCCGGCCGATCATTCGACGCCACTGGAACTAAGCCCCTATGTTTAACTATTGATGACTTTTAGCGCCATTGTAATATAGATTGTGGGCGTTTTGATGGATCTTATTGTTGCTTATACCCCATAGACCAGTCTTTCCCTTATGCCGACGCCGAATTGAAGTAGCCGTCACAGTCGCCGAATCCGATGACTGGCGGGTGAAACATCCAGTTTCAAGTGCCTTCCTTCGGTATATCGCCAAGTTTTGCCCGCGTCCCATGCCAATGCTCGTAGAGTTAGATCGTGACGTGACCGAAATCCTTCAGGGAATACTTCCAGAACCTTGTATATTATACCCGGCTGTCATCTCTATGGCCATTGGGTACAACTCAGGGGGGAATGCGGGTTTAGCTGGGAATGAATGCGCAGATCTGGCATACCAACCTTGTACATCGTACACCGTGATTCAACCGCCACCATTTACTTGCGAAGGAAAAAAACTCTCAAATGTGAAACGCCTCAATTCGGATCATGGACCCCTAACTTATTTAATCGTTTCAATTATTGGGGGCAGTGTCTACTTCAGGCGGCCCCCGAATTACTTGGCATTCCGCAGTCACTCCTTAGCGCCAGATGCCCTTTTTTAGCGGCTCAAGTCCTTTTTTTCAGGGGGCTTAATGACTGCATTATTTGATGAGACAGCCAGACAGTGATGCGACATTCCCAAAAGGAATGGCCCACATGCCCCCGCATACACAGATCAAGGCACATGTTCGACAGTCCTGGGACGATCATCCTGGTATGTTTTGGTCTTCGGGCGTCTTGCAGAAATTGAATATATACCTGACCTACTTCTGTCCCTGATGTTTTATTCTATTGTCCTTTGTTCGGTTTACTTTGTTCGCGGCTTGAAGCTGCTTTTCGACTCTCGGCGACAGACTGGGTATCTGTTTATACATTCTTTCCATTAATCCCCGGATCTACCATTCGACCTGTCTATAAAAATATCACAACTGTCGTCTAATTAATTCCCATCATGTTCAAACGTCTCGCACTTGGCCTACTGGCCGTTCAGTCCGTGGCTGCCACCCGGTTTGCCATGTACATTGACGAGTGAGTACAAACATGTCAGATTGATCTATATCTCCCAAGCCCACAGCTAACACCTATTCAAGATACCATATAGCCGATCTCCCGGGCCAGGAAAAGACCGAGGGCATTGACCATGCGATCATGAGCTTCGCTGCAGCAAAGCTATTCAACTCGGACTCACCGGCAGCTTACACGCCATTTGAGGCCCCCGAGACTATGCGAAAGCGCTTCAGTCCCGATACCAAGCTAATGGTCGCTATTGGTGGCTGGGGTGACACCACTGGTTTCTCCGAGGGAGCAAAAGACGAGGCTTCGCGCACACGATTTGCCAAGAATGTCGCTGCGATGCTCGACGCAAATGGATTCGACGGCGTCGGTAAGATATCTCCAACAATGGTTTCTAAACAATCATTAAAAAAAAGCAAATTATTGACCCATGCAAACAGATATCGACTGGGAGTATCCCGGCGGCAACGGCGATGACTACAAAGACGTGCCGAATTCGAAGAAAGTGGGCGAGATCGAAACCTACCCTCTCTTCCTCGAAGCTATCCGCGAAGCAATCGGCGACAAGATCCTCTCTATCGCAGTACCCGGTCGTAAGCAGGACTTCATCGCCTTCACCAAGGAGCAGGGTCCTAAGATCTTCGAGCCTGTCGATATGGTCAATGTCATGACCTACGATTTGACCAACCGCCGTGATAACGTTACCAACCACGCCAGCGGTGTTCAAAACTCCTTGGACACTATCAACGAGTACCTCGCCATTGGGGCTGATCCCGAAAAGCTCAATCTTGGCTTCGCGTACTACGCTAAGTGGTTCACCACCGACCCTAACTCCGATTGCAATGAGAACCCTCTCGGTTGCCATCTTGCCAAGCTCGAGACCGACGATGGAAAGGACAATGGCAAATCCGGTGCTTTGACTTTCGAGGCCGGCAATGTCGCTGCTGCGCCCAAGGACCTGAAGGATAGCAACGATGGAACGTGTGGATTTGGAGCGAAAGCCAAGTGCCCATCAGGACAGTGCTGCAGTTCTTCCGGCTTCTGGTATGCATAACGATCACCTCATTCTGATTGGTGTCTGAACTAACTTCTTATAGCGGAACTACCGACCAGTTCTGCCAAGCTGGATGTCTCTCGGACTACGGTACGTGCAAGGGTGTCTCCATTACAGAGTCATGGCGCAAAGCTCAGAAGGACGGCAAGACCGACGAGGTGGGCGGTGGTCAATACTACTTCGACAGCGATAACAACATTTTCTGGACCTGGGATACCCCCGCGATGATTGCCCGCAAGTTCACGGAAATTGTTGCGGAGAAGAACCTTGGTGGTGTCATGGCTTGGAGCTTGGGTGAGGATACCTACAATTTTGAGCACTTGGAGGCTATGCAGAAGGGTCTTGAGTCTCACACCCCCAAGGCTGTGGACCATGCCTAGGGAACTCGATTTGTTTACTATTGATGAGTCCCTGGAGCCGGGCTTGTGAAGTTATATACCAGATTGCTTGTACTTTCCTAAAATGAACCTTAATTCCCCTTGTCTGCTTTGTTTTTCTAAATATCGACAAGTTCTCTCTTCTTCACTCTCAATGCCACCATCATCATCCCAATATCTTTCATGGGATGTGGTGAAATTCAAATGATGATTATATTATCTATCCATTTGCTAGGTAGTCCATCGACTCACCCACGACTCAATGTAGCTCTGGATCAAACCACCAGCAACAGGGTCCTCGACAAGAGCCAAAAAGGGACAGTCTTGAACCGTATACTCAGTCTCGAATGCGAGTCCAACCTCTCCATTCCCCTCTTTCCCTGCGCCGGAAACATCTGCCTCCGGCTGGCTATAACCTGCGTACTTGGACCTCCAAAAATCGACAAGTTTAACACTCGGATTCTTCTCCGGATCCTGCTCACTACTCTCCAATCTCCTCAGCCACTCCTGCGGAGAAACAACCTCAAACTCTGGCAAGGCTGATTTCCCCTTCAAAGCAGGAAGTAAATCCCCCTTCCAGCTAAAAGTCTTCGGATTGACCAAATGGTACACCAAATTGGCATCGGAAGATCCAGCGGCATTCATTGCAATATCCGAAATAGCCCGACCACACTGATCAACAGGCAACCAACTCACTCGCTCATTCAGTTCCGGCAATGCACCTGTTGTCAACGCGCTTCGGAACATGAGCGCAACGGCTTCCGTCTCATTCCATTGTGCGCTAGCTGTATCACCGCCAAGCTGGCCGATTCTCAGGACTCGGGCTTGCATGCCTGTTTGACGCATGGCGTTGCGGGTGATGTGTTCTGTAACCAATTTCGACCTGCCATATCCCGTTTTCTGTGCGAGATTCAAGTCCTCAATGACAGTCTCCGGAATCGATGCAGGTTTGGGCGTGTTACTTGCAGCGCTTACACTGGAGCAGAAGAAGAAACGTGCAGGTGAGGGCAGGCGGGAGCGCAGACAGAGGTTGATGAGGTTGTATGTTCCGCGGATATGCTGCTGCTCGAAGGACCGTACGCCTAGGTTGAAGTTCACAGCCCAGGCACTGTGGATGACGCATGTCAAGGACGAAAGTAAATGCTCCAGATCGTGGTCTTTGAAACCGAGGTTGGACTGTGACATGTCACCAGGGATGGCGTGAAGCTTCGCGGCTTCAGTGTCGGTGAGGGTGATGTTGCGATCAGCTAAAGATTTGTAGAGACGAGCTCCTGCTGCTGCTTGTCCTGGTGCGCGCACGATTGCCCACACTTCGGAGACTGTTGGTCTCTTCAGTAATTCTGAGACAATGAAGGCTCCTAAGTTGCCGGTTGCGCCGGTGACCATCACCACCTTTGTTTCTGGGTTTCGGGTGAGGGTTGGGAAATGTTGAGTAAAGTGGGAGTACTTTTCGATCATTTCGCGCATGGACTGAAGCTCATCTTCTTTCTCGGATTCTTGCCCAGTTCGCAGTTGATAGAGGTGCTTTGCAAGTGCGTTGACAGTGCCTTTCTCGAACACAATATTTTGTGAAAGCTGATCTCCCGTCTCGCCGATATCAATATCGCGCATGATGCACCTCCAGATTTGCGTTGTCTGCAAGCTGTCAATTCCAGCAGAGAAGATGTCCACCTCAGCACTGGGTAGTTGTACGCCCAAGTCTTTGCTGAATCTTGAAAGCAACCAATCCTCCAACTCTGGAATACTAAGCGCAAGGGAACCTCTTTTCTTGCCACTCCCTTCGAACTTGGCATATACCTGCGTGATATCCTCCTCGAATTGCTGATAAACCTGAGCGCGTATACAAGTTCCTTTATCAGTTCGTGGGTATACAACATCAGCACCCTTGATGACGACGAGCTCCTTGGGGATGCGAGAGAACGTCTCAGCACGAGCATTCGCCGCTTCAACAGCTGGCCAGATAGCTTCCAAGAATTCATCATTGCTCAAGTGAGGCACTTTCCCAGGAGCACGGAAGATCAAAGCCCCCGGCACAGTGCGTTGGAAGCCGAACACAACGCAGTCACTCACGATAGGCTCTTCTCTAACGCGACCTTCAATAGGGATAGGAAGCACCTTTTCACCATTGACTAGCGTGATTCGATCATCCAGCCGGCTCAAATACTTATAATAATTGCTCTTCTCTGGATCAGGGTGTCTGGTAAACAAATCGGCTGTTCTGAAAGAGTTCTCTGGGTTCTTTGCGCTGTACGGTGGCTTTGAATTCGAAGGACCCTTACTTGGCAGGCCATCCAACGCAACACATTCGAAAACCCCAGGCGAGATCTCATCCATCAGAGTGAGGTCTGCAACCGGACGGTGTAGTCGCATATATTGCCACTCCTTATCCTCTGGAGCTCGGAAAGAAGTCATGATTTGTCCGGTCTCCGTCGCTCCATAGTTGGCCACCAGATTCACGCCCTGTGCCACAAGACGGTCGCCAAGATCATCTGGGCAGCTGGAACCACCATACAACACGAGTTGCGGCCTAGCCAGTGCTTGAATACCTTCTTGCTTCTCTGCAAGTAATTTGATCACATATGGCACGGCGCTGATTTGCTGTGGCTGGGCCACCAGAAGCGCATCGAAAAGATTTTGGTATGTGACTGGAAGAGAATGGTTTCCCAGGTACGCCGGTGCTCTTGTAAACAATGCTCGCCCAAGCTCCATCAGAGCATGGGAGTGGAAGAGCGGACTGATAGTGAAAAGACGCAGTCCGAAGCTCTTGCGGAAATTGGCTAGGGTTTGAAGGTTGGTGAGGAAGATCGGCTTCGGGAAACCGGTACTGCCCGAAGAATGTAGAATCCAGGCAATTTTCTTTCCTTCTCGTGATGGATCCGCACCGGGACGTGTAAAAAGAGAAGTTCCGATAGGACGGTTGAACCAGTCCTCTCTTTGTAGTAGCGAGAAGCTACTGCAACCAGGACGTTCGGTACAAATATCAGTTACAACTTGCTGAAATTGGTTTATGTTGATAATCTGGCTGCAATTTGCCATCTCCATTAGCCTGGCATAGGCCGGGGCTGTGAGACGTGTTGACAGGAAAATTACAGCATAACCAAGGCGATTCAGCGCGAAGAAAGTCACCACGACCTCGAAGCTAGATCCAGCTAGCATAGCAACCACCGGCGCTTGGTCGAGATTAGGATCCTAGAGGATAATTAGTACAGGTTAACACAGAATAATCGCTTTCTTCTTACCGCGGGTGCAAGACCCTGCTTCATGTAAAAGCGAACAGCGACATCAGTATACCGATCGATGTCCCCGGCTGTATGCTCCTCAAAGTCAGCTGCTCCGCGAATCGGGTAGCATACTAGAGGCCGTTTTGCATCATCTGGCTGAGCAGCATGAGATTTCAAAAGGCCATCGATAGTTGCGAATTGTTCAAACGCCGGCCACTGGGAGTGAAGCGTGCCGTTCAATAGCCGAGCCGCGATATCTTTGGTTTGGAGTGGCGATACGCCCTCTTCAGTAGTTGTGATGGTTAGTGTAGCCATGATAGATGTCTGAAATATCAATGCCAATTCATTCACTCGAGATAGCTTTATATGTGGCGGAAAAGCTCCATGTTGGGGTAATCCCACGCATCACGGGTGCTTTTCCGGGTTTCCGACTTGATGCCCCCCGGAAAACGCTTATCCCCGGTCTGGATCTCCACCTTATTTCCAGGTGTCAATTGCAGCTTCATCTGAGCGTTGGTGGAATTCGTATCTAAATGATGGGTGCGGTGTTTAACAGCTTCGCCATACGACATGAGACCAGCCCTGAGTCGCTGGCGTTCATGAGCTCGGATACCCGAGATGGACAGCGGATAAGTAATTCCGCAGCCGATATACTTGACATTACTCTTTTGTTAAAAGAAATCAGTCGAATGCACATTCTCCAGGCTCATAGTATAAGCCAGGTAATCGAATCATGTCACAATATGGTATCGCAAGGACCGACGTCATAGGATATGAGGCAAAATAAAACATGTACACCAATCAACTTATTTCAGTTACTTTGTACATGGTTCATATCTATAACAGATTTACTCTACATATATAAATTCTAATATACAACCCATCCTCTCAAGCACGACACAAACGACCATTCTGATCCGGAAGACCATCAAGGCTCTTCACAACCCAATTCTCACTACCAACACCAGTAGGCACATAGAACAAGCCAGTCGGGTCATACCGCTGCTTAAGTCTATACAAGCGGTCGTAGTTAGTACCATAGAAAGCCTGCTGGAAGTGCGGCTCTTGGATATCCGACTCGGACATGTATGCGCCGGAATCGGGGCAGACAGCGCGCCACTTCCCAATGGCTTTGGTAAGACCATCCATCTTGACTTTGATATCGGCATCGGAGGTGGTATTTGTCCAGGAAGTCGATGTGATGGCATGCATCAGCGTCTGGCGGAAAGCTGGGTTTGCTGAGTTTGAGGTGAAGCCTTCTTGTAGCTCGGCTTTCATGTTGAATGCGAGCAATGCAAAGCCGTCGGTGATTGTGGCACGCAGGGCGTTAAAGGTTGCATTTAGTGAGGTGGAGGTCTCCCAGTTTGCACGTGGGAAGAGGCGAGAGCCCGTCATCATGGTCGAGGAAGCGACTCCTTCGAGGGGGAAACCGGCGTTCCAGCCGTCGTAGAAGCTGTCGTAGTATGTTGAGTTTGGCTGGATTGAAATTCCCAGCTCGTGGAGGTCATCGTACCATGGCTTGACTAAAGCGTTGAACTCATCCACGGTGTGGTTAACGGCGAAGAAGGGGTTCATTAGGAAGGTGAAGGCACCGGGGCCTGTCGGCAGCACCCAAAAGTAGGCGTAGGTGCCGGCGTCGGCGTGAGTCGGGAATCGCTCCAAGTATGATCGAACGCCAGCCCAGAAGGTCTCCACGGAGACATTGTCGCCAGTGGAAAAGTTAAATGTCGAGACAGTCACACCAACCTTGGGGTAGACACGAGAGATGAGCGAAGTGACGACTCCGTAAGTTCCTAAGGGCAATCTGTTAGATGAAATCTCAGGAAGGGAAAGAAAAGCAAACATACCACCGCCGCCACCACGCAGAGCCCAAAATAGATCGGGATTACTTTCTTCAGTCACTGTGACAAAGCGTCCGTTGGCCAGCACGACCTCAAGAGCCAAAACTTGATCAGCAGCCAGGCCGTACACGCTGGACATGGGCGAGTGGCCACCGCCGAGAACATAGCCACCGGCAACACCAACAGTCTAATTAGGTCAGTCATCGAAAATATCATATTTGAATGATCAACTCACCTTCCCTTCGCCACCAACGGCAGTGAATCCAAGTTCCTGGCCCTTTGCATAGACCTCAAATGCCTGCACACCTGACCCCATCTTGACAGCTGGACCTTGATAGCCCGAGCCAAGATAATTTTCATAGTATTCAATGTCCTTGAGATGATGGGTCCAGATACCCAAAGCACCAGCACCGGTGGACTTTCCATTGAAGTCATGGCCGGTGTTCTTAACCACCAGACGGATATCGGCGTTGCGTGCAAAGTTGACAGCAAGCTGGATTTGAGCCACATTGCTCACATTCACAGCATAGCTGCTGTAGCCACCCACAGTGCAAGATGCAGAGGCATTGGTAGTTGGCAGGCAGGTTCTTCCCTCGAACAGTGGCCACATTGCCGACGCCGGGTCCGCAGCACTAATCGAGGAGTCAGTATAGAAATTCAATGTTTTATACATGGAGCGGCACTAACTGAAGATGAGAATCCGTCCACTGCGAGCCGATTCTCTCGCACTCCTCGCTATCATATTCGGGCCATGAAGAATAGCAAGACGCCGCTAGGGGGACTGTCTTGATGAGCGCGCCACCTAGAAGACTATCCAAGGTCGACCATTCAGACTGCGACGGCCACTGATGGTCACCAGGGAAAACCTTGCATTTCCCTGTAGGCTGCGTGGTCTTATCACTGCCCTCGCTCCCAAATTTAACCAAGGCTGATTGGTGCTGGCTGGGCTTCGCAATGTCATGATCTGTCAATTGGAACTTCTCGCTATCAAATAGCGGTGCACCAGCTACCGAGGCGGGAGAAACTTGTCCAACACGGGCACCTCCAGGTGTTGCTAGGAGGAGAGCACCGAGCAAAATGCCCGCCATGAACGAACAAGGGGCCATGATGGACATGTGAAAGGAAAGAAACTATACTCGAGATCAGCAAGATTGAGAAAAGTGGCTGATGGAGATTTTTAAATGAATCTCCGACGCTTGCTAGCTCAAGCTGTACATAGTACGATGTATGGATACAACGTGGATAGTACTTCCGTTCCATGAGGTTGGCATCCAAAGGGAAAACGCGCTGGCTACCTCGCCCCCCACTGCAATTTACGATGTCTCGCTCAAGCCCTCTCCCACTCCACTCCCGTGCGTCTCTTCCAACGAGAATCAAAAGATGAAGCTAAAGTCAAATGGGGCGTTTTCTCCGGATCTCCTTGATCGGTCACTCTATGCGTGACACCCGATTCGCGTTATTGACAATACAACGCCCTCCAACCGAGATTGTCGCTCGTGTGGAGACGACGATTGTCTATGCCCAATTCACCGGTCGGAATGATTGGAATTCTCAATATTCTCTCCACGGCTGAGGGTATTGAAGCACACAGCCACTACGTGAACATGCGCTACTTCGTACACGCGAGCGTGATCTTGGTTCTCGGCTTGGCTCTAACAAGGCCGCCATTTGGTCTAACCGGACTCCATCCTCCATCCTCCATGATCCACTCTGCTCCACTTAGGGAGATCATATGCTTCCTGGGCAATGAGAAACCCGCGACGCAAGGGACTAGGAGAATGTTGCATTTCATCTAATTTTGCCAGGAGTGAGGGCGAAAAAACTAATTTATCAACCGATGAACCAGAACTGACAATTTCACGGTGGGGACTGAATATTACATCCGAGACATTGACACTGATCTCTCGAACCGATGCACTCACTCATAGCACCGCCGAGATATCCTTGATGAAATCCACCCTTGGACACATTTCTTTACTCATTGGTGGAAAATATACGGAGTACTCATCCAAAGCTTAATACCGCCACAAGTATATAATTGGGGAAGTTCTCATGCACTCCCCTTTTCCACCCCCTTGCAAGGATCAGCTGCAAATGCAACGCCGCAAGAACCACCAAGTTCTCCACTGCCATCCAGAAATGGCTATCCTCTGTGCAAGTACTCCGTACTCCGTACCTGCACTAGCTGATTATTCAGCTACTGCTCGATATTACGAATAATTCCTTAGACGGTGGGGTTTCAAACCTATATTGAACGTACGATCCAACGATCGACTATTCAAATGACAGCGAAGTGACCAACGACCGGGATTTCTGTCTTAGATTGGGGCCCAGAAGAAAATCACTCCAATCTAAATGGACGCGTGGACCCTTGCAAGCAATTTATTATTGGCTCCCCACTTAGTTACCGACATCAACGGACATGCAACTATTTGGGAGACAGAGGCCACAACCCAAATTGGTTCAATTAATAATAATTTGTTTGTCTTGAAATAGCTTGAAATAGCCTCCGAGCTCCAAAGCACTAAAGCAAAAGAAGTGGACCATTGATGCTGATCATAGCTCGCTGTGGTGAACACAATGCCAACCCTGCATCTTAAGATCGAGGTCGCAGGCTGTTCGAGAACCCTTCCGCGTTTCTAAGGGGCATACACAATGATTGACGACCATCATCAAAGAACTGCCATAGGTATTGTGATCGCATTCCCGGTCCTCAGTGGCATTGCAGTTCTACTTCGGCTATGGAGCCGATGGTTATCACGATCGGCGCTCACAAGCGGTATGAAACGAACCCCCCCGGACTCCAAATCGGCACTAGACTTGGTCTATTAGAGGTTGTTGCTTACGAGGTTCTGTACAGATGACTACTTGATTGTAGTGGGATATGTAAGGTCCCCAGATCTCGAGATCTATTAGTTTGTGCTAAACATGCGTTTTCCTAGATCCTCGCCGTCTCCCAATCTGTTACCTCGTGGTTCTGTATGTGATTCCGTTAAGCGCAAAGTGAGCAACTGCTAATTCGCAAACATCAGTCATCAAAACAAACTATGTCGGCATTCACATCTGGGATATCCCCAAAGACTACAATCGCAGACCCGGGCAGAATGTAAGGTCTACTACATAGCTCCAATCATTTACTAGAGACTCACACGGACAAATCAGTGGAACCTTGCAAATCAACTCCTCTATAATCCAGCCTTGACTGTGGTAAAACTCTCGATCTTGTTTTTCCTACGCCGACTCGATTCACGCTCACGGGTGGTCAAATACCTCATCTGGAGCTCCTTTGCCATGGTAATCAGCCTTTTTATCACCGTCCTCCTCGTCGACATATTCCAATGCAACCCAGTAGCATACGTCTACGATACGACGATCCCGGGCGGCAAATGTATCAACCAAGGCGCATTCTACGTCTCAACCGCAGCGTTGAACCTCTTCACGGATATAATGGTCCTATCGATCCCGATCATAATCACCGCACGCCTCCAAATGCCCCTCCGACGCAAGATCGCCGTGTGTATTATCCTATGTCTAGGTGGAGTGTAAGTAACTCCCCAAACTCAACTCCAACTCCAATGTACCACACAGACATATCTAACAACCTATCTAACGCACAGCGCAACCGCCATCGGAGTCTGGCGCATCATAATCCTCGCCCAAGCATTCCTCTCCCACACTCCAAGCCCAGACCCAACCTATTCAATCGGATTCTGCAGCTCGGCAATCGAAGTAAACGTCGCCGTGGTAACAGCCTGCGGCCCATCCCTAAAAGCCATCAGCAGCAAGTTCCTCCCGCGACTTCTCGGCAGCTCGCGTAACGGGAAATCCACCTACGGCGCCGGCACCGGCTCCGGAACCGGCGTTGGGTCGCGCAGACTCCGCTCGAATATCTTCAGGTCCAAGTCTGCCTCACATGCCCAGGCATCATTGTACTCCGCGCGCGGTGCTGATTACGAGATGGCGGATCCGCTGGGTGGACCGCGTGTTGATGTTGTTGGTGATTTTGAAATGCGTAAGTATCAGCGGGGTGAAGATAGTTATGCTGGGAGTTTAAGTGATGATGATAAGGGCATTATGAAGACGACTGATATCTCGGTCGGGTATAGTATGGAGCCCAGAGTGGAAGGTCGGTCGCAAGAGGGTAGATCGGCTAGTGTTGATAGTTTAATTTAATAATTTGTACTCCGTATAGATATGGTTCACGAATGCAAATAGCCAATAGCCTACTTGAAGAAGAAGGATATCAAAATGGACCGAGGATCTACTCCAATTTCGGATATGAGGGGTCATCTTTAGAGTATATAAGGCATATAAGGTATAGGATTTCCCCCTCTTCTTATAAACTCCCTTGCCCGGTGAATTTAGTGAGTACACCTTGATCATATTATTGAAAACATTCTTGCTTCATCAATATGGCAACCCAGTATCAGCTCCCATTCAAGGTATGTCTTCTAATTGTTTCGTCTACCCCTGTTCTGCGGGGTATTCGGCGAGATGTCCGAAGTGTTGACCCCAACACAACACTAACACGATTTTCTTCAGTTAGCGGATCCCAGTCTGCTGAAATTCGACTCTATCATCGGCGACAAATGGGTCGGCGCAAAGAGCGGCAAGCGCTTTGAAGTCCTCGGTAAGTGGAAGTGCATCCGTCACAGAGATCACACCTAACATATCCCACTTAGATCCCGGCACCGACAAAGCATGGGCCAGTTGCCCCGCAAACGCAGCAGAAGATGTCTCCGCCGCCGTTGAAAACGCCCACGCAGCCTTCGAGCAATTCCGCAAAGTCAACCCTCGCCAACGCGCCAAGTGGCTCCTAGAATGGCACAACCTGACCGTCGCAGCCCGCGACGATCTCGCCCAGATCGTAACCCACGAGACCGGCAAGCCACTCGCAGAAGCATACGGCGAGATTGACTACTCCCTCGGCTTCCTATGGTGGTTCGCCGGCGAAGCAGAGCGCATCCAGGGCAGTGTATCGACAGCCGCGGCACCGAACCGCCGTGTGTTCACTATCAAGCAGCCGATCGGCGTAGCAGCCGCCCTCGTCCCATGGAACTTCCCAATTGCCATGGTTCTACGAAAAGTAGGCGCCGCACTGGCGGCTGGCTGTACGATGGTCGTCAAGCCCAGTCCCGAGACGCCGATCTCAGCGCTCGTGTTGGCGGAGCTGGCGCATCGCGCTGGTATCCCTGCTGGTGTGCTTAATGTGCTCACTACAGATCTGGAGAACACACCGGCGCTGAGCGAGGCATTGTGCAAGCATCCGCTCGTTAAGAAGGTGACTTTCACTGGCTCGACGCGAGTGGGTAAGTTGATTGCTTCGCACTGTGCGCATGGTCTTAAGAAAGTGACTCTCGAGCTTGGTGGGAATTGTCCTTTCCTTGTTTTCGACGATGCCAATCTCGACCAGGCGGTTGAGCAACTCATGTCGCTGAAATGGCGCCATGCCGGTCAGGCTTGTATTACTGCAAATCGGATCTATGTGCAGGCTGGGGTTTATGATCGCTTCGCTGCTCTTCTAAAGGAGCGCACTGCTGCGATAATCGTTGGTCATGGTGCGGTGGCTGGCACCACCATGGGACCTTTGACCACGCCTCAGAGTATTCACAAGGCCTCTGCGCAGGTTGAGGATGCCCGCCGACTCGGTGCTGATGTTATCTTGGGTGGAAATCCTCTGAAGTCGAAGCCCGGTTATTTCTTCGAGCCTACTATTCTGTCGGGAATGACGGATGAGATGCTCATCTCGCAGGAAGAATCGTTCGCGCCTATTGCTGCACTGTACCGGTTCGAGACTGAGGAGCAGGCTGTCAAGCTGGCTAATGATACCAGTATGGGTCTAGCTAGTTATGCTTTCACCAAAAATATCGATCGTATGTGGCGTCTCTTGGAGAACCTGGAGGCGGGAATGATCGGAATGAATACAGGTGAGTTTCCTATGGATATTCCTATGTTTAAAGAGTCTAATCAATTCGCACAGGCAACTCATCGGCTGCCGAGTCGCCTTTCGGTGGTCTCAAGGAGTCTGGTTATGGCAAAGAGAGTGGAAAAGACGTGGCTGTCAATGAGTACTTGGTTACCAAAACGGGCACTTTGACAATCGAGGGACAATATTGAACATTCGATGATCTTTATAGATCATCTCTACCAAATTGAAATAAAATTTATGAATATTGTATTTGCTTCATCGTGAGTGGTCGGCTCAATCCACTTTTATCCAAGCGTAGATGAAAATGGATGTTTTGATTGGCTACATACAATCTGGGGAGATCTTTTCAATATCAGATTTTCTTCACTACACACACCTTCAATATTCTCATCATGGACAACCTTGGACCGCTACGACACTTGATTCAGTCTCACCCACTGATCGACCACCATGCCCACAACCTACTGACCCGCGAGTCAGCCACCGACTACGAAAATTACCCATTAGAGGCCATCACCTCCTCGGCAGACGGTCGGGCCCTAGAAAATGCCCGCACCTCCCTCCCCTCACTGCGGGCCATAACCCAGCTCTCTGAGCTATACGGTCGCCACTGTGCAGACTGGACCGACATCAAGACTGCCCGCGATCAAAGCGTGCGTGAAGACTACGACGACTTGATCCGAAAGTCTCTATCAGGCACGCACGCACTGCTACTCGATGATTCTCTCAGCGACGACGAAGACATTGAACCAGCCAGCTGGCACAATAGTTTCACCGTCTCTCCGACAAAGCGCATCGTGCAGATCGAAGCCCTGGCAGAGTTCACAGTCCTGCAGGTCTCCAACGCACGCAAGAACGGCGAATCAGTTTGGAACAATTTCAGACAGCGATTCCAGGACGCTCTCGCCGAGGCTTTGGACGATCCCAATGTCGTTGGTTTTAAATCGGAAATTTGCTGTCGGACCGGATTGGACATTGATCCGTATTCCTCCGACGATACCACCCTGGGTGGCTCATTGATTCGCATCCTCGATTCTGGCACAACCAGGTCTGGGTTCGAGGTTGATGATAAACAGATCTGTGATTGGATAGTCCAGCAGACGCTGAAAGCAATCTCGTTTAAGAAGAAAGCCGGTGTTGCGAAACCTTTGCTGTTTCACACCGGCTTGGGAGATAATCGGATTAATCTTCTGCGGGCTAACCCTGCGTGTCTGCAGCCTTTGATCGCACAGTATACTAGTGCTGATATCGTGCTTTTGCATGCTGGGTACCCTTACACGCGCGAAGTGGGGTATCTGGCTTCCGCTTATCCCAATGTCTATCTTGATCTTGGGAAGGTCTTTCCCATGGTTAGCCGAGAGGCGCAGACGAAGGTCCTTAGAGAAAGTCTGGAGATCGCACCTACCAACCGTCTGCTCTGGAGTACTGGTGGCCAGTTTCACCCGGAGACCTTCTGGTTGGCTAATCGACAGTTCCGTCAGGCTCTTGAGACGGTTAGTTGGAAGCTTACTTTTTGACTAATTACCTTTCTCGGTGCTGATTTTCTTCTGTTCTACAGGTACTCGTGGATTATGTTCAACAGGGCGACTTCACTACGGCCCAGGCTACGAAGATAGCCGCCGATGTTCTGTTCAATAACTCCAATCGTCTTTACAGCCTTGACTTGACTCCGTCATACACACCTGGAGAGTAAATCACTGATCATGCAGGGATGCACGGGTATGTCTATGTCTTTACTTTCTATTCCCAGGTTGTATACTAACAATTGTCTTGTCAGCTGATACTTCTACTCTCACGCTCTCCCAGTGCACAACCGTTGGGTATTACAATTCTGTTCCCAAAGTAGATCACCGATCACCGACCACTAAGAGCCTTATATCTCTCAACCGCGCTACGAGCCTGCACTCCTGCTAGCGCCGGAGCATGTGAACTACATACATCCAAGCAAGCCTAACCAATGCACTCGCAATCCAATCCGGAAGCGCCGATTACGGCTGTTGGGACGATACCGAGAACGAGATGCGTAGTCAATGAGAAGCATGTATATTGAATTCTCAAATTAAAAACAAATGTCATCATGACATCTTTTCAACGCCGTCTTGTCCTGATCCCAAATCGTATACATATCGCAAGGCCAGCAGAGCGATCCAGCGCCACCTGAAGTAAAAAATATCTATGTGCGTGTGAATTTCCATCACCAAAAATAAAATCCAAAAAGAAAGACACGCGTATACCACCGGGCAGCCAGATCGTTGCACGCCGTGCAATGTTTAGAACCGTCCAAGAAGCGAAAGCCAAAAAAAAAACAAACGAAAAAGGTATACCAACTCCAGCCGTCACTTCCCGTGTATCCAGCGTCGGCTTGGAACAATGCAGTGTGAATCATAAATAATCTAGATAACAGGAGTTGTTGAAATGTGTGTTGAAAAAAAGGGGGGTAGTGAGAGAAAAGGCGAACCCAAATGTCATCACGTTCATTGTCTGATATGATAGTATTGATAATGTTATAACTAACAAGATCAACACCAATCACTTGGTCAACTCAACGACGGATTGATATCAGGGGCGAAAGAAAAAAACAGAACAGAACAGAAAAAGTGGTACATGTGTGTCAATTTGTTAGGTAGGGTGGGGGTAAGAGGAAGAAAGGAACAGGGGAATATGGCCAATATTTCAACATGCCATTTTCCGCTCTGTTACCATCTCATCCCTTTCCCACTCATCCAGTAGCCGTGCGACTTCTTTGAAGGAGACCGGTTTGGTGAGGAAGAGGTCCACACCAGAAGCCATAGCATCCGACTCATCGCGAGAGCTGCTGAGTCCAGTCAAGGCAATGATGATAGCCGGCTTACGGTCATCTGTATCCTTTTCTAGCGAGCGAATGGCACGGGTAGCTTCGAAACCATTCATGACAGGCATCGACATGTCCATGAAGATGATGTCATAACCACTCTGCATACGCTCAACTGCCTCAACGGCCAATTTGCCGTTCTCGGCTGGGTCCAGATCAGTCAGCTGGCGCTTTTTGAGGAATGTCATCATCAGGTTGAGGTTTATGCGATTGTCATCAACCACAAGCACTCGTGCCAGTCGCCGAGATTTGGTCGGGCCCTCTACCAATGGTCCTGGTAAGGGGTCTTCTGAAATCTCCTCGGGTAATGTCGTTATTTGTGATGGTTGTTGTAGCGGTGATATCGTCATGGGGCGGATTTCGGGGAAGTCCAGCCCCGGGGCGCTAAAATCATCGGGGGAGGATCGGAGTGGCGAAGCGACTGCAGATGGCAACGAGGACGTCCTGAGCGGTAGACTAAGTGGTTGCAGAGCGGAAGCTGGTGTCGCGGATCTGGATTGGCCGTGGGTCAAACACCTCATTACGCTTCGAGCTAATTTGTGTGGCCCACAGGGGCGCCGGATGATGTTCACGGAGGAAGCAAGGGGCAACCACTCGGATTTTGCCAGGGTGTAATCCACCGATTTGTGGCATAGGACGAGAAGAGCAGGTAAAGTGACCGAGGGTGCAACGGTGCGGAAGTTTGGTAAATCGTTTTCATCCATAAGCACAAGATCAATATGGGCTTCCGGTGTCCAGGCGACAATCTCTATGTTGTACCAGTCTGAAAGATATCGAGCAATTTCAGACCAGTTAGAGTCGGCAGTCACATCGGTTGGATCAGCTCCCCAGATGGAGGCTCGTCTACCAGGGTATCCCTCACGTAGTAGAAGAGTTTGGGTCAGGGTCTCTCTCTGTTGGATAAGCTGCCCAGATGGTTCGACGACCGGGCTTTCCTTGCCAACAGGCCGCTCTAGGGGGAGGGATACATGTACGACAGTGCCCTCCCCAGGACGACTGCGAATTCGAATGCTTCCATTTAGAGCCTTGACCAAACTGCGAACAATTGATAATCCTAGTCCAGTACCGACAGCTAGGGCGTCTTCCTGAGCAAAGGGCGTGTAAAGCTTTCCGCGCAAAAATTCCTCCGATATGCCTTTGCCTGTGTCGGTTACTGTCAACGTGACCAAGTCTTCGAGGCCTTCCCGCCGAGATCGTCCTTCAGAATGACTGGATGCTGCCAAGGATAAAGTGACACGACCAGATTCTGTATATTTCATGGCATTTCCAAAAAGATTCATAATGATGCGTCGCAAAGCGCCCGGCTGAGTCCGGTAGACCCAATCTCTGAACGAAACGTCAATAACAACTTCGACGTTGGACCGCTGATTTTGCGACTTTGTTTGATGTGGCATCAATACAGGCAGATCAGCTGAAGCAGTAGAGCTCTGGCCGTACACATGACCAAGACAAATGCCTTCGACTACTTCCTCGGCGAGGATGGCCACATCGGTAGCCACGAGCGTATCCAGGTGATGCGCCAGCTTGTCTGATCCTTTGAAATCGAGCGGTGACTCTTTCTTGCGTTTCATTGACCGCCACGTCCGTTCCAAAGATACTACTTTGCTAAAGTCAAGTACCTGGTTCATTGTATCCAGTAACGTCCGGCCACAGGAATTGACGGTCTCAAGCAACGAGTCCTGGAATTCATTGAGATGAGTGCTGTTCAAAAACTCGGCAGCGGCCAAGATTCCATGAAGCGGGCTACGGAGTTCATGTCTAGTAAAGGATAGTGGTTAGTAACTGCGGCTAGGCATACCTAATATCCCCCAGAGACCAAGAAAAACTTACGAGATACTCCCAATGAAATCACCCTTCTGGCGATCCGCGATGAGGGATTCAACACGGCTATATTCGGCCATAATAGACGATGAAAACCCAAGCACAGAACTGAGCTCGACTGAGGTGGTGAATACTTGGGTCTCAATCGTGCTCCAACAGAAACACCCTCCGAACCACTGCGAAGAAACTGCATTCCACAACGGCACAAACATGATTTGCGCCGCATTTGGGAAATACTGGTTGAGTACTGAGTTCTCCGCAGCTTTCCGCCGTTTTCGCAACGGCTTTGAAGGTTGTGTAGGATTAGGTGGAGACCGACTAGTGGCACTAGTTCCAAGAGGGGCCTTGTCTTGGGCTTCTTGGTCGTCATCATCTGATGTCGAGATGAGCCCATCGCGGTGAAAAGACCATAGCTTTCCTTTGGGGTACCGCCGAAGCAACAATTGGAGGAAAGATCGGTCCAAGTTGGCCGCAGCGCATGTCGCCATCGACCCTGCCTGGGGAGCAAACGGTTCTTCATTTGTTGATGCTGACAGCACAGAAGCAGGTCCGCCTGTGTCGGAACCATCACTCCCCATATCGGCATCCACCAAAGGGCTATTGTTTGCCTCCAGAAAAATAACCCCACTGTCGCCATTAAGGTCAAGGCTCTCACGAAGTAAGTTGGCCGCCCTGCGGAAGCACCAAGAATTGCCTTGTGAATCATCGGGTGGTAATCGATTTCGGCTGCTGCTTGTCAACCATTCTGGCAGAGAGCTCTCTACAGTGCCCGATTCAACTTTTGAACCACTACTCAATTTCGAATCGTAGTCTAATTTCAAATCAGACGGGACGGAGCTAAAAGAACGCGCGTCGGTACTGAGTGATCGATCGTTCGGTGGACTGTTGGACGGCGCTTGCGATACGTTTTCTGAGCTGTTTCTACCAGAGCCACCAGAGGCACTCATTCGCTTGTAGCAAGATGACGGAGTTGCTGATGGAGGACTGACACTGTCGGGGCGCGATTGGTCGATATTATCCACAAAACTAGAGCTTCCTTCAACGAAATAGCTCAGGCCGCGGGAAAGGCGCGCGGCCCGGCGTCCTTCGCAAGCCTGTCTGCAAACGCTTAAGTAGTCCATCACAAGCATCGATATAGATCCCAGTGTATCCTTCTCTAGCGGTGTCAATCCATCTCGGGGCTTTTTGTCCAACACGAAGAAACAACCCAAATTGATGTTCTTATCGGTTGTCAAGGGAGTTCCCGCAAAGAAGCGAAAGTTGGGGTCCTTTTCGACGAAGGAAAGGTTTTTGTAGCGCTCATTTTCCGTCATGTCGTCCACGACTAAAAATTGATAGTCCCCATTCTCGCGGTCATTGGGGGGTAGTGAAACAGTGTCCTGTTGTATGGCGTCAAAATCGAGGAGTCATAGAAATGAATACTGGGATCGAGTTTGCAATGGCTTCGGATCAGCCAGCTCGTCGAGTGAGCGAAAACTTACCTTGCACACACTCCATGTCTTGCGGGTATCGGATGCCCCCAACCAGACACTATCATTGTCGTCGTGAACTGCCGGATCGTTCAGATTGAGAGATTTTGTGGCTTCGGCAATGATATGTTGTTGATCACGATCCAATACAGATATAAACACCCGCTCGACGTTCAGGCGCAAGGCTGCTAGCTGAGCAAATGACGTCATGGTACTATTCGAGGTGCCTAGAACGAGAGCTTCTGACCCAATTGCCGTCGCTGGTCGGGAAGTTGTGCTGTGTGAAGGCATTGAGCCTTCGGAGATCGGTGGAGTGATTGTATTTGCTGAAATTGCTGAAAAAGGGAATCCATCGTTCGCAGGAAGCCAAGATGGAACCGTCTCAGCTTGGGAAGCAGGCTGGTAGTAGCGGTATAGCTCTCTTGCCCTACGATCTGCGTTGTGTAGGCCATCCTCGCGTTTCCTATGAACATCCATGGTTTTCCGCTAGCGATAGAAGGGCGAAGATGCAGTGTTGCATCCTCGGGCTCCAAATTTTGAGATTGATGAAGCTATCAAGCCAGTGACAACCGAGGCAAGGTGATGAGGGCTGGGAGAGGTCGAAGTGCACAGAAGAAGGGATCAAAAACTGCGAAATTGTTGGAACAATGAGTGTAACTAGATTAGTCACAGATTGTTGAAGAAAAGGAAAGTGGAAGTTCCTAAATTAGACACACCACTCTCCACCAGAACAGCAAGTCAGGTGAAGCGCAGAAAGGGAACTAGGGAAAGTTGTGTGGGAAGTTCGGCATGCGCAGCCGGGGATCCCATATGTCAAGGTACAATTTGGCGAGGTGGACCAGTGAGGGGATAAATGTATAGAAGATGATTAGTGGGAACCAACGCTCGGTGCACATTGAGAGTCGTGTATGGAGTACATCTACTCCACCGCTTCATCGCCTCTCTCGTAGGATTATCCAGAATCTTGGGATCGACACACCAAGATGGTGCAACTGTCGCTGGACCAGCATGTTGACTGGAGCACAATGGAGTGCAAGGGCCCAGGGGCGTCCACTGGGCAGCACCAATGTGGACAAGATGTGGAGGGAAGTAGGTTTCAGTGGCTGTGAGGTGGTCCTGTGGCGTCCCGACGCTGTCGATCATTGGCTCATGGCCTCAGGCCACAGTACTGTATTTGCCGTGAAGATCAGGCACCCCGATTAACGCCAAGTGGACCAATGAATCTTCACGATCGTTCCACTAGTAGAAGTTGCTAGTTGCAGCCTTGCTTCATGCTTCGTTTCATGTCGTAACCTTGGAATGTGAAGCATGTTACCTCAGCAGCCTTGCTAAGAGCTGTTGACCAGGATTTTCACATGCATGTCGTCACTCAAAAAACAACTGTACGCCATTTCTGCCACGGGCTGTAATTAGCCCCGCAAGCCCCATGACGACGGTGGCGAATGCATGAAGCGGCCATACAATTAGGCACTCTCGACTTCCCTGCCTATAGCAACTATAGAAAGCGACCGTCTCTTCCGTCATGGGCCTGAACACCCGAGATGATCAAAGCCTCACAAAATCATATGTTATATTCGACACTTCAAACTTTTTACCTAACTAGGAATTATGACCGGTCACCGCACCCCAAATATACGCCACCCACGACCCAAGTGTCAACAAAATTAGAGCTCCAAAGCAAAATATCGAGATGTTCCGAGTGCGCCGCTGCTGGGTTACCAAATTGCGTTCTCGAATCCGTTCGATGATAGCCGCACCTGATGTCAACCGTCTATGCCGAGTCCACTGTAGTGGCGCCAGGTTATCAGTCACAAACGAGCCGATCAGAATAGCAGAACCGACAACCAGAGCACCACCACCAAGAACTAGATACACCTGCACCACTCGGCGGTATGAATTGTCATCTGCATCCTGCAAAGCTCCCGTGATGATCCGAATTATAATGCTCATACTATTACGGTTTCCAATGTCAGTTTCTGTCTCAAGCTAGGTTTTCAATGCAGAGATATTGGATCGATCTTACGCATTATTCATGGTGACCTTCAATGCATACGCAGACCCAAAGACTGATTGGTGCCAGAGCGTGGTGCGAATGCTGTCGATGACTGAAGTTGGTCCAAAGGACACGGCAACGGCGTAAATTCCGAATGCAGCTCCTGTGCCAGCCGTCGATGTTGCAAAGTTAATGAGAACCATACTCAATAGCATACCGAGACCGCAGACAAACACTAGGGATGTCAGTATTAGTCATGTCCGGCTTGTTTTGGATATTGTCGGTCAAACTCACAGACAGATGCTCGGTTGCCGAGGACATCGATGAACACGCCCAAGCAGGGAACGAGGAAAAAGCCTGTTTAATGTCAGCTTATATCCAGCCATCAGGACCACGAATTCCAGAGATATCCATACCTGCATACTGCGAAAGAGCACTATACCACCCGGCCTTGATCGAATCAACATTGAACCGCTTCTCAGCCAGTTCGGTGGCATTTTGGCTGAAGACTGTCGCGGCACTCGTTTGGAACACAGAGAAGGCCATGACAGACCAGAACATCCACGGGAGTTCGAATATCTTTCGAAATTCGAACTTTTTATTTTTCTCTGTCAGTTGCTCTTTCGTGGCTTTATCGCGTCGCCCCTCGAAATGGCGATTACAATACTGGTTAAAGAACCAGAACGCTGCGCTGGCTGCATTCGTGAACAGATTCATGAACACTGAGGTCCAAAAGACCCATGCAAAGTTTCCAGTTTTCTATGCTCCTGTCAGCATGCCTGTACCAAATCAAACCAAGAAAAACAATTACCTTTGCAATGATATTTGCCGTCGACTTGCCAATAAACCCGCCTATCTTGCCAATAGCGAGCTCAAAGCCTAGTGTGGATGCAAATCCACTGCTAGGAGGGAACCAAGACGAAAACATCTTATACTGAGCGATTTGTGTAGCGATATCGCCGAGCGCGAGAATGACTCGGCCTCCGATCATGAAATCGAAAGAACGCACGGTCGCGGCGGCAGCGACGAGGATAGAACCGATGGTATAAACGATATTTCCATAAACGATCATCTCTATTGGAAAGGACTGGTCAGTATATCCCTCGCTGACTTGACAGACTCAGCAACATACCAGCTCCACCGACTCGATCGGTGATCACACCACTTATTAAAAGCAGAACCGTTGCCATGAAATTCTCGCTGGCTTCCAAAAGCGAAAATTGAACATTGTCGATATGCATTTGCTGCCAAAGAAACGCCGTTAGCGAGACCTCCATATCGACATTTCCATGGTATTCAGTACCTTTTTCATCGTGCTCTTCATAGCACCCGTCACGCCAGAACTCCAGTGCGAGCCAAAGCTAATACACGATATCAGTGCGACCGCGCATAACTTTGCTGCAAGTGGAGGTGGCCTCTTTCCATTAGATTCATTGCTGGGTGCTTCCGATGGAGTCTGAATGTCTTCACGGACAGGCGCCGACCCCACCTCCACGGACTTGGAGTCCGAAGTCTCAACTCCCATAATTATAACCTGATACTGGAATGATATGGCAAGTTTCTAGGTCGGGTTTCCAAAGATAATAAAGAAATTTCAGGCGAACCTAAAAAGAACGTGCCATACCATTACTATTTATGGGGCCTCGGAGATTGATAAAAGTCTAACAACAAAGTGGAGCCCTACAGGTCAGTGCTACGGTGAGCTGATCCCGGTAGATAAGACCGAAGCTCTTGGTAAGTTCTAACGTACGTATACAGGCCAAAAAGTACATGCTCTCGGCACTTGGCACGGCGCAAGTTTCATCAGATAAGATGGTTGAAATGGGAGGGATTGTCCCTAAAATGGGTTAGCGCTGCGCATACATAGTCCACCGCGGGGCAACGTCGGTGAATTTAACCTTCTTTGGTCGCTTCAGCGCTCCTGTCTACACGTGGAACCCCAACGTTCAAAGCACTTCTCGGCTCCTTTCCGAGCTGTCGTCATTTTGGCCATGCAAAACTTGGTTAAATTATAAACAAGTTCATACCTATTAATCGTGCCAAGCGCCCAAGGCACCTACCCTGTGTTGATGCGCCCCAATCAATGATAAATTTTGAAATTAGGTACTTTTTATATGGCGTGCCCATACAAAAGGCACATAAGATATAAAATTCATAATATCTATTTTTCTCAACCCTTGAACTTGCTAAGCGATAAATAAGAGTGCCAATGGATAATATAAGTATGATTAAATCGTTTTAACTCTAAGATTAATTATACCTACAAGTGTGAGAAGCATATCGAAGAACACCACATATAAAAATTGTATGTCAAACTTCGGTATTCTGTTACCCTAATTATATCTTGTCTATATTGATACCTAACTGATTAAGACCCTCTCATATACCATATATAGACCTATAATATCCCTAGCTATATAGGTGATTGAGAAAAAATATATATATTAAGAATTTTGTATCTAATGTACCTGTTGTATAGACACCATACAAAATATACTTAATTTCAATAATCATCGTTGACTGACAATTATCATTGACCGGGTAGGTGTGTGTCTCGGGCGCTTGGCACGATTTTTATTTCGAGTACTCTAAGTAGGTCAATTTTTCTTGATTGGTTCTCTTGGTCTGTCCGCAACATACGAATAGTGATTCGAGTTGGTCCCGTCATCACTTTTGCAGACTACTACAATTTACACAAGGACTAAGATATCATCAGAATTTTCAATATTGATTTTCTCGCTTTAACTAGCGACTACGCTGTTTGGCTAGTGACTAATTCCCTCAAAACCCCTCCAAGCGCCCCCACTATACGTAGCCTCCAGATGGGGCAAACCAAGAAAAGATCTGAAACAATCCCGACGGTGAGAGGCCTCCCAAGATATAGGGAAAAGAATGCATTGCAAACAATATCCCACCAATATTTAATGTGCCAAATCAAGGGCCTTCTTTGAGCCAGTTGCACGTACGGCAGGTTTTAAAGTCCATCGTGCCAATTCGGGTTCTTACTGGCAGATCAATACTATCCTCAGAAGCATATTCAAATTTCTTAACTATGGACAGCCCCACCGTCAGCCTGAGGGGATTGTTTGAAGGCCATGACCATGCGCTAATTATTCCATCAAGAGCGGAAACCAACCCTGGCTGGGAACTCAATCAACATGATCCAAGCCACAAGAGCATTAAGGAGGATCCGACTAGCCGGATTGAGAGGCACTCTTGAACAAACCTTCTCCTGGGAGTTATCTAATGAGAAAACGAACTTGGTTGGTGGTCAATTCATCCAAACCAAATGCTGGCTAAAGGCCTCAATCTACCACAATGGTGCTATAGAGAACTAGCTCTGGTAGGCAAGTATGCTTCTCTATTCCATTCAAAAGCTCCTACTATAGATACTTCGAGATGTGATATCGGAACAAGATGTCTAAAACAATCACGACGGCAGGAACCCTCCCAGGGTATATGTAATCAATGCAAAAAGAAAAGAATAAAAGAAATGCCATGCAAAAGATATTCCACCAATATTCAAAGGACCAAATCAAAGGCGTTCCATAAGCCGCTTGCGCACTGTCCACATGCGAGCTCGTTTGCCGTAAATGTACATCGGAATCGACATGAGCATGAAGAAAAGCTGTATACCCCCGATAGACAGGAACACAGTGCGCGAGCCATCGGCATCGAGCCAGTCGACGATGAAAAGAGAGAAAACCAATCCGTGGAGGATATCTGCAAGAAGAAAAGACGTTAGATCAGACAAAACGAACAAAAATTGATGATAGTGCAACATACTCTTGCTAAAGTTTAGTGTCACTAGCGCCTCGCCAGCATACTGGCGATAGCTGTCCACACAAAAAGTGATAGCTGTTGTGCTCCCCAAGCAGCAACCGAACGATATCAAACCAAAGAAAATAGTCGGGACAATCCAAGAGTCACCGATCTCAGCACTCCACCCGAAAGCCATCAGACCAATGACGGTAGACAACGCGATAGGAATTGCCATGACCAGACGGAATTCAGGCTCGTAGATGCCTCCATTTCGTATGGTCATAAACCGCGTGATGATGTCTGATACTTTGCCCGCCACTGCGGTTCCCAGGAGACCGCCAACAAACGGCGATATGTAGATCAGACCTGTCTGCAGCGCAGTAAAATTGTAGTGAGCTTTGCTCTCGAATATGTGTGCAACCGACTCCGAAAGCACGATCAGCCAGCCCACCGATAGTGAGTATACTACTGTTGACCAGAGCACGGCTGGATAGGCGAATAGGACAAATGGGCGCACGGCGACTCGATACCAGCTGTCCTGTGCGATTCGCCCGTTCCAGACTCGAAGTAACTGGGAATAGGGGATCTTCGGGCGTTCGCGGAGTCGGTTTGTGTATTGTAGGGTTGTGGGCAGCGATGTCCCAGCAGGCTCTAGTGACTCAGTCCTCGCGGGTGATATGGCGGCAAATCGAGCTGTCTCCAGGTCATCTGGGTGTGCGCCAGGCACAAGAACGTGAGGTAGTGGTTGGAGGAAGTCATCGTCTTTCTCATTAGCTGTGGGCGGTTGAGTGGTGGTTCGGTCACCATCGGTAGCATTGCCGGCCTCGGAAACGAAATGGGACTTTTCAGTCTCGACTGCCTGGTCTCCGTGTTCTGGGTGGTCATCCGCGAATCCAACATGCGCATGCTTGGATTTTTTCGGTGCCAATGCTGGATCTAAATCGGCCTGTTCGGTGGACTCTTCCAGAGGCTGGACATACGGGCGCCGCCCACGGAAGCCATGGGAAACAAGATCAGAGACACCTCGACTAGGACGCTTATGTTTGTGCACACGAGGACGGGGTGTGCGATCCCAAAATGTTTCGGGCACGAAGAAAAACAGCAAGACTAGACACATGCCTACAATCATGGCAACAATCCAGAATACCCAGCGCCAGCTCAAGCCTTGGATGATGGCGGCACTCACTAGGGGAATCAGATTCTTTCCGCCTAGTAGCAAGAGTGTGTATATCCCCACTCGATAGGCTCTTTCGTGCAAAAAGTAGATCTCTGCAATTGTCGCAGATGGAAGACACTCGACTGGGCTCACAGCAAATCCTTGGAAAATACGAGCGACCACAAGACTTGGGTAGTTTGGTGACGCTGCACACCAAATTGCCGAGATCACGAACAGGGTGGCTCCCAAGAGATAAACCGGTCGTTTCCCGTATAGAATGGCTGTGGGCGACATCACGACAGATCCTAGGCCTAAGCCTAACATATAGAACCCGGTGGTGAAAGCAACCTGTTGCGTGCTGACATCGTACGCAGCTGCAACCTTGTTGAAGCCAGCTGCCAAAATGGGGGTCATGCCGCCTCCCATCAAACAGTAGAAGCCCAGCGAGACCAATGCGGTGTCTCGTTGCCACACAGGCCAGTTCAGAGGGTCATTCACGGAGTCGTCTGGTTGGGGATCAAGCACAAATTGTCCATCCGCCGTTCTCTTCTGCGTTGGAATCGCCGACCGGGTTCGAGAATTAGATCGCGACGGACGATAAGATGAGCTTATAGATGATGTCGAAGTCCGATGGGGCTGATGTCTCATTCCCAAGGGTTCATTGCGATTTGACGATAAGAGAAGTACCGTTCCTAAACCATGCCAGTTGTCAGTGCCCGTTTCACAATACAGCTTCTCTCGGTGACGGGGAGCTCTCTACTAACCAGGAACTTCGTCGGTCTCTCTATCACTTAGAATTCCTAATGTCGATTTGGCGCGATAAGTCTGATCCTCGCTAGACTCGGGATCTTCTTTGGACTTTCCTCCAAAGACTCGTCTCCAGCGCGAAGCAGCTGGCTGCTGCGAGACAGGATCTACCCCGGTGTTTCCCTCCATTGTAGCAGAACGGTCTTCTGTTGGTGATGTCATGTTCTGTTTGACAACTAGGAATGAAGCATTCAGCCTATCCCGTTTGCGTTTGCGAAACAAGTGTGCTAAACATGCCATTATTAGCCAGAGTCTTTTGCATCTGCGAAACCAAAGAGGGAACCTTCAAGTTCACTAAGGGAAACCGGGGGAGTCACTCACAGCTATCTCAGATGACCAATAGGGGATACCGGAATTCAGTAATAAGCCCAAAAATGTTGCTAGTAAAAACTAGCAAGTATAGACGACGTGCTAGCAGTAACTAGATGAGTCCCCAACAAAAGAATAGGCGAAGTATATGTCGATGGATCTTGCGAAAGCGATCAACGCTTCTGGATCAACGCAAGAGGCAACAAATGAGCACCACTTAGAGGCATAGCTTAATGAAGCGGGAAAGACGGGGAGCTAAGTGGAACAAAACGAGCGGTCTGTAAATGGCAGACGGGCAATATATAGTGTCCTAGCGTCGTGCTAAGTCCATGCGATAACCTCTTAGGTATATCACGCGGTAAATGGTGGAAAAGACTAAATAGTAGAGACACTGTCAAAAAAAAAAAGGTGATCGACGATCTCATGTGGCAGTGAGGAGGCGGTGAGATGTCTCAGTGTACTAGCTGAGTACCCTGGCCGTCATACGATTGTCAAGGTTAAACAAAGTAGCCTCGAGGTACTATTTTTCTGATTTTATCATCTTTTCACATATCCACACAGGTGCATATGACTGCTGAACTGTCCAAGAATATGACGCAGGGCCCGATAAGCACGCCGTTTTCAGGAAAATGTACATGAGCTCCCCACAATTTGTCAAAATAACGCACATGGGTCAGCAGTCCGCGTCGACAGGTGGATCCTTCCACGCTTATTACATGATAACGTCAACAAAGAGCAATAATACTAACCAAACTCACATATATTAAACACACATCTAATATCTGTCAGCAATCTACAGGGAAGCTTAGTCGCACTCGAATCTTCCCTATCGCCGAATGCGCCCGGCCATTCCTGGTGTTATGCCAAGCCCTTCAAATCCGGCGCTTGTCGCGAGAGGTTCACTTCACGCAGTCTGCCCGTCCATAAAAACATCTCTTGAGGGATCGCAGTGTCGGTCATTACTCGAATAATGTTTTAAAATTCCCAAAATTGTCTCAGCTGACCTGCGGGAGGTGTTGGCTGCCGTCATTGTGCAGATGTCCAATTGCGGGGGAAAGGAGCCCCAGATCTGGTATTTTCATACCGTTGGATGTCAGTGTCCCCTTTCATAGATGCTTGAGCCTGCGTGGAGTCATGGGTCAGACTATGGCCTCTGATCTGTGCAACCTTATACATCATGTTTGGAGGATCCAACAAGCCAGTTGCCTCCACAAGTATTACGACTTTAGGGGACGCCACCTGGTGTTAGTTTTAAAATGAGATCGACAAACTCGTTTTAGGGTTATTTAATTCGTGATATTGCCATTTATTTGACTTGATAGCAATGTCTGCCCTTCTCATTGGCAAAACACTATTGATCAAACCTGGCCAGTCAAACGATCGCTCTAGGTGCGTGGGTAATTTCAATGCACCTTATGAGACAATGTGCTTTTAGTGTCTCTTGTAGAACGGACTTCCCGAATAGGCCTGGAATGTATTGCTCAAGGTGCTTATCCCTGGGAACTATATACTCCGGGCTCGGGGGCTTGAGCCGCACCTTCCTTGTCTTGTGCCTCTTTCAACGACCTTAGGGTTTTACGCAAATATAGCCAGGAGCGACCGGGTACTAGCCTTTGTTGTACCGACTTGGTAGTACGCAACGGGCGGCACAGAGATTGTTTGAGAATTCGATCACGGTAAGAAATCAGATAGTGTTGCTCAATGGAGTGAACAATGATGTGGATACAATAAAATCGCTGGCTCGTCGATTGACCGACAATAAAATTCAACCCGTATGGTTATGCACGGTGTTGTTTGATTCGCGCTGATTGGATACTACTACATTGTACTACCTACCTATGTGTATCAGGGCGATATGGTCCAGGGTGTCGAGGAACTACGTACGCCACTGCGCGATATCCTCCATATTGAATTTCATGTCCGAGGCACGATCGTTGGGTTCATGGTGTCTTCATTTGTGGTAGACCTTCCAGAAGAATACATCATATAAATAAGGGCATAACTCTCCAAGGCTGTCCATATACTCAAGTCGCTAATAGACCAAAAACAACGTGTAGAATAGTGTTGAGCGAGGGGTATTATATGTTAGCTAGAATGGGTTGTTGCTTTTCAACAGTTTGTCAAAAGCCATTTTCAAGGTTCTACTCAGTTTCTTAGATAAGGTTGGTGGCCCAGGAGGAGCGGTTGTGTATTCCGCAACGGCGGGCTGTAGAGGTTATAAATAGCTCAGCACCAACTCCATTTACAAAGTTACAAATATTTAGTTAGTTGGTTAGTTACTTTTTACCCTGTTTTTTACCTAATAATTGTCAGTTTATAGCATTGACCCACTACAGTACCCTTTTATTCATGCATCCAAATAGAAACAAAATTAAGAAACACGGTGTGAATATACGACTTGTATTGCGTGTATAATGTAATATACTAAATAGCAGACCACTCTGAGTAAATCAGAGCTCTATTCAAAATAAGCATATTTATGTTGACAAAATGCCAATTGCCAATTGCGTCCAAGGGTGAAACTGATTGAGTCTATTTCCATTACAGGGGGCCGTTCGCGGGAGGTCACGTGGAAGCCCCCTTTGGCAATTCAAGATGAAGGCGAAGGCGAAGGCTCCTTCTTTGATTTGAATTCTTCTGTTATTTGCTTATACTTCATCTTAATATCTCTACTTTTTCCCCTTACTATTCACGCTCATTCCGATATCCATCCTTGCCCTTGAAAATTGTCTGGTGTCGATCAAATCCTCTCACGCGACTTAGTGTCGTGGCATCACTCGAAGATTTCTCCCAACTTGGATATCGGTTCCACCTCTTTTTTTCCTCGTGGTTGTGAAAGATTATCAACTAGACATTCAAAGCGCCAATTTCAATTCTTATTCATTCTCTCTGCGGAAGAAACCGCTGTTCATCATGAAGATCAACCAGTCATCCCTCCTTCTCTTCCTTCTTCCCGCAATTTCGGCCGTGCTCGCCGACACAACATACAATGACAACATAGACTCTCGAGTCTTGCGTGAGACCGCTGGCGACAACGCTCGCCTCGTCGACTCGGATATAGTCGCATCCAATGTCGCCAAAGGGGCGCCGGACGTTCCCGTGGATGGCAAGGATGGCAGACCGCACGCTGGTCCGTGGGTGGAAACCAACGCAGACCGGGACCGTAAAGGCATCAAGGGAAGCGATGATATTGATACAGTTTCTACCAAATATGACACCAAGATTCCCTCTTCGGAGCACCTGAGCACCGAAGAAGGGAAGATGATCCCGCATTCAAACGGCGGCGTTATGGATGATCCGCATCGGGCGGGCCCAAAAGAGGGCACACGGGGAATGGAGGGTGGTGTGTCCGAGAAAGGAAAGGAGAGCCAATTGGCCTCCGAAAAAGTCCCCGGTGGGCCAAAGGAAGCACCTCCGCTCCCGCATAGTGAGACCCAGAAGCTGGGCTCTGACAGCGACGACACAGCAACTGGGAGTGGAAGCCGGTCTGCGGAGAGTCCGGGAGGCCTTGGTATGCTCGGGGTAAGTCTTCCTATATATTTTCTCGAGTCCGAGGTCCTTCGTTGAACAAGTGAAATTAATCTGCGTCTAGAAACCCGCCGACCTGCCTGAAAAGCCTCACGATATTCCATACCCCAAGCCCCCGGCCATGGTCAAGGATGAACCTCTGGGCCTTGGGCACGACTCAGTCGGCTCGGGGTCATCCTCCAGTTCATCGTCGTCCTCGTCGAGCCACGACCACCACCACCACCATGACTCTGGTATCCCGGATGCTGGCAGCTCTCTTCACTCCCTTGTATTCTCCTTCACTATGATTCTCGTCTCTGAAATCGGTGACAAGACTTTCCTTGTTGCTGCGCTGATGGCCATGAGACATCCCCGCTTGGTGGTGTTCAGCGCCGCATTCAGTGCCTTGATTATGATGACCGTTCTTTCGGCCGTCCTGGGCCATGCAGTCCCTACTCTTATCCCTAAAACGTTCACCAAATTCTTGGCTGCCATTCTGTTCTTGATTTTTGGTGTGAAGATGCTTAAGGAAGGTCGTGAAATGTCTCCAGATGAGGGTGTGGGTGAAGAGATGCGAGAGGTTGAGGCGGAGCTCGAAGAGAAGGAGCACGAGCAGCTGCGCATGAACCGCCGTCGCTCGTCGGTCACTCCTCACAATCTCGAAGCAGGTCGCGCTGGAGGCCGTCCTAAAACCCGCGGCTCCGGAAACCGCCTGCCTTCGCCTCCGGAGAGCCTGTCCTCGTCCTCATCCCGTGGCTCTTCTCCCCAACCCCGGCAACGGTTGAACGATATGTTCTCCGGACTGAGCAACCTCTTTTCCCTACTTCTCAGCCCCGCGTGGGTTCAGACCTTTGTGATGACCTTCCTCGGCGAATGGGGCGACCGCAGCCAAATTGCCACTATCGCCATGGCAGCTGGCCAGGACTACTGGTGGGTGACTATTGGAGCCAGCGCTGGTCACGGAATCTGCACCGCGGCCGCCGTGATCGGTGGACGGGCCATCGCTGGTCGGGTCAGCATGCGTGTTGGTATGTATCCTCTGCTTTTTTTCATATCTATGACACATGCTAATCTTGAATTTTACAGTTACTCTGGGCGGTGCTGTGGCGTTCCTTGTGTTTGGCGTCATCTACTTCATTGAAGCCATCTTTTAAAGCGCTGCATATCCGCGGTTGTATGTGTTCACGGAAACTTATTGTTACGGTTTTTGGCGGTTGATTTGTTGTAAAAGTCGAATGAATGCATCTTGTGACATACCTGGAGCTGTTTTAATACTATAATTACGTGTCTGGCCCACGCAATGGCCAAGTTCACAATGTTACTTTTTTCCCCTCCAATGCTCAATCTCATAGGAACAAACCTCACCGATCAACATCCTTACTGAGCACTGAGTAAGTAGATACCGATAATTCATCAAGTAAAATCCCATACCGATGGCTCTACTTTTGCTGTCCTAGTTATCCATCAACGTCACGTCGTCTAACAATTTGTTCCATGCGTGTCTCAATTGCATCTGCTCGAATTCAAACCAACAGGTCAACATAGCTTCTGATCATGTAATCACAAGCCATTGGTTCAAAATAGAAATAGGGTTGTAGGGTTTGGGTTTCGGGTTTAGGGTTTAATGCCTTATATCATAGGCATTAATCCGAGGCATCAAAATGAGGCACCAAACATGCCCAAGGCAGCTTAGCAGACCGCGCTTTATAGATTTTCCGTTTTCCCGAGAAACGCAGCCCCGAAAACCCTGACACCTCGCTCCTTGTCCCTTGAATTCAACAACACTCCATCGTATTCGCCATCCATCTCATCAACCAGCCATCAGTAACCATTTCATTTGATTTGAGTTTCTTGAAGCTCATTCAATTTCCATCAAAACGTGTGAAAAGAACCCATAACAACAACGCGTGTAGGGGCACGCACGTGTCTTGCCCTTCGCCCACCGCCTTCCATGTCACGCATCACGGGGTCCCGCATGACACGAAGTCGGAGCCGAGAGGCAAATACAGGGTTTATGCCAAGCAAAGGATCATTGGAGCGAAATTGTAGGTACTTTTCCAGTCATTTTAGTGTGACCAGGGAGCATGTCGCATACGGGTGGCTCAGGCGACTGTGCATCGAGAATTATGCATAGTTAGTTGTATCCCTCAATGCGCGACTCGCTCGATACTCACTTCATTTTGTTGTCCCGTTGCCTCACGGTTGACACAAATTCCTTGATCATTTCGGTTTCACAATTGAATGTATTCTGACTTTATTCAGGGCTAACTGGGCTAACTGAGGAGCCTTCTACCCCTTCTCCGGGGTTTATTATGCCAAGACATGTGATACCCGAGTCGCCTGAAAACCACGAAGGTCATACCAATGTCTCTGGTACAACCCTGGGTCACAATGATGTGGAGCGGGTTGATTCTCAAGTCGCCGAAAAGATCGCGACCCACCTGCCGTTCGTTCAGCAGCAGGCGACCCTTGTGATGAGTCTATTGGTTCGCTCAGACATGAACCCGGACAGCCTTGCAGCTGAGTCGAAAAGGCTCGTCGATTCTAATCACCCGAACCGCAAACGCCTGAGGCGATCCGTGGAAGGGTTGTCCGATGAACTGGAAGACTCTCCTCTTTCTCGTGATGGCAAGTCATTCTTGGACATCTCTCAGGCTCGTCGTATGCTTTCGTCCGCACAACTGGATGCGTCCATCTTAGATATTTACATGACAAACTGCGCTCTGTTGACCCTCAACATGTTCCTTCCCAGTATGGGCACCGAGTCCCAGTCAGAGGTCATTGAACAGCTGGATTCCCAATTCCCCGCATGTGTCATGAGCAACCTTGCAGACAGCTTTATGTCACGGCCATTTGGAGCGAGCAATACCACAGAGGCCACGTTCAATCTTGCCTTGGGTATCCGCACACACTTTTTTATCATGGAGTTAGAAAGACGCCAACATGAACAAGACTTCAGCCCACTCTCGATCTTGAGACAGGTCTTTGCTATGGACCTCGCGCCTAGTGAAGATGACTCCCAGATTATGCCTGCCTCCTTCCGAGGGTTCAACTTGCCGGGTGTCTTGCAGGACGATGATGGCCATCTTCCCGAACACCTCCCTGAGAAGTTTCTGGTCGCTGTTAGCGACAGATTCAATGAGCTTCACGAGGAACTTTATGAGTGGGATTCAGTTGATATTGATGGGTTGAAGAAGGCATACAGGTGGCGCTTGTTTGAACGGGACCTTGCACGTTGGATCTACGCTCGTGATAAAGAAATTAAGGACGATATCAGACGCTTGGCAGAAAAAGTGCATAACTCACCCGCAACTCGTCGCCTTACTTCTGTCCCGCTTGGAACTCCCAGTCGACGTCAGGCATCGACAGTACCTCTAAGTGGTGCCAAATCTCGTCAGGGAGACTTGTCCCATCAGAATCAATCTCCACAGAAAGAACGATCGCTGAACATAGCCCCGGGGGTGGACATGACATCCGTTGCAGATAGGGCACCTGAGGCGGAGGTGCCATCCCAGGCAGATAAACTATCTGGAAACAACGTTTCTCGGTCAGGCACCGCTCAAAATGTCCCAGAACAAACGGTCTCCGACCAGGTCGCGCAACTGGCAGCAAAGGATCCGGGTCGGCGCAAGTCCAAAAGGTAGGCTCACTCTACGGTTTCAATCTCTCTCTGTGTGGCTACTAACTTTCATCTATAGCAATTTCCGAGACCCAGCCTCGCTCGCGGCACTTATGAGGCGCCAGGCTACTAGTCATCAACAACCTCTCTCGAACGTTGAATCGCAGGCGCGAAATCTTTCTACGCACACAAGCATTGCGGCCCAAGCGAACAATCCCGGCCCTTCTGCTGGTCCCAGAGCCGCCGAGTCTTTTGAAATCCAACAATCTCCTGAGTTGAGATATACAGACATCGGCGATGACTCTACATACGTAAACAATGACGAGGAGCTGAACCTCAGCCAGGGCCCAGAACCCGATGTTATAACATCGACCAGCCCCCCTAACTCGGCTAGAATCAGCCATGTCAGCCACAATCCTCGCTTCTTCGATTCGCCCAGAGATGAAGACACACGTCGATCAGTCCCGGTCGCTCGGCGCTTCCTCGATAAGCAGCATAATGCTGGAGTTGTTTCTCCAATAAGCCAGTATGATACTCAAGGCCCAGGGAATTCCACCGTGTTGGGCAAGCGAAATCGGAATGTTGATCTCCTGGACGATGACTCGAGCGACGGGTCAGACATTGAATTTGAGCAGAACAACCAGAACCTGAACCCGAGGCGCAGGGTCGAAAAGCCTCAGCAAAATTTGCCTGCCGCAAAGCGCCAGCGTCCCCAGGAAAATGTGCTATCTGCCGGAGAACAGTTGCAATCGGATATCAATAAATCGTTCCACCACAACTCCAACTCGACACAATCGAGAGCTGAGAGTGACGATTTCACTGATGAAGAGACTACCGTTGGACAACAAGAACCGCCCCCTAGTACCCAGAGTCGCTGGGCTGCCTCTAATTCCCAGGCTGCGATAGCCAATCGGAGAGTTCTGAAGACCAGTCACAGGTGGACAGAGGAGGAAGATGAACGTCTGATCCACCTCATGGGAATTTATGGCACTGCCTATGCCGCCATAAAGAAGCAAGATAACGCTTGCCCCCCGTCTGAAGGTGGTCCCATGCTTGAACGTCGTTCTCAGGTGAATTGCAAAGATCGTGCTCGCAATTTGAAAAGGAAGTACGTCAGGTAAGTTATTATACCTTTTCGTCCTGGGTGTGTGTAGCAAACAGTTCTGACGTGTTGTTTTTACAGAGAGGGTCGACCACTTCCACCGAACTTGGAGAAGGCAACAAATTGATTTGACGCATTGATGATTTACTGGCAATCGCGGTTTTGTTCTTGCGTTCCTTAGCGTTTGTCGAGATACCCATGGAGCACATGAGATGGCGCTTCTGCTTTTGTCTTTTCTTTTCGTGTATGTTTTTTTGGTCCTTGTACAGGGCTCTTCTGGGAGGAAACGTTGTTCCTTCCTTTTTATTTTCGATTCCCTATACTGTCACGATTGAATGAATTGTTACGTTACACACTAATTGCTGCCAGAAAGCATCTCTCAATATCTGTCTGTCCAGTTGCCACACCGGGTGCATATCAATTCTAAAGATGTGCAATGAAATCAAAACAAGAACTTGCGAACTAGTTCCAGTTACTAGTTTTTGACCTCGTCCACGGTGTTCCTCTTTGCTATTATTTTTAATAGGTTTTATTAACCCTCTCCAAGGCCCTTTCAATACTTTTATTTCGTTTGGAGAATGGCCATTCATAAAGCAAAGAAAAAGGGAGAAGGGAACTACAGGAAGTGTTTTACACTGAGATAGTGAAACATAAGCTAAGCTAGCTAAGCTAATGTGGAACATGGAATGAAAGGATGGGCTGAGTCAAGTTCAAGGCCAAATTACAAGAGATCAATGGCTTTGTATGAACTGTATGAGGAATAAACATGAAGCTTATGAGGACCATATCATACTGACTACCTCGCTCCACAAATTCCCAACAAATGCTTTGTTCAACGTCTTTGGCATCTTTGATATAGGACGCTGGTAGCTCTGTGGTGACTCAGGATCAAAGAATGTTATTCATTTCACGAGTTTCAGGGGTGCATTAGCTAGACAAAGAAATGCAGATACCATGCAGAATACTCTAATAAGATGCTAGATCTACGGATGACTCCGACACGGTATATACCGGATGAAGTGATAATTTCTAGTATAAAAACGGATGTATTTCTTGAGATTAGCTCTCCAGATCAATTCCAGACCACAACGAACCGGCTACTTGAATCAAACCAGACTTCCAAGGAATTTGTTTACTTCGATATCAGGTTCTGACTCTCGAAATGGGTAATGGCAAGGGTAAGAATATGGGCAAGGGAAGAGGTAAGAAAAGAAGTCGGACTCCGAAGGAGAACAAGGTCGCAACTAAGGTCGAGAACATGTCCGAGGTCAAAGCCGACGACAACCATCACTGTCTCAAAAAGCGACCTACTCATGTTCGCACTCAGCGATGCTTTCGTTTAGGGCATATGGTTGAATGCCCGATTCATCCTAAAAGCTTCGCGCTCCGATTCAGCGAATGTGTTCCGTGTAACAATGCTGACAGGCGACAAGTGCAAGAGGAGCGCAAGGACAGAAAGAAGTAGAGCAACAGCTCATGTTTTTGGTCTTTCAAATTAGATAGCATACATCAACTATTTTTGCTGTATCTTGAGGCTTGTTATTATTATATGGTGTTGAAATGAATATACTAGTAGTAGTGAGAGGATAACAAGAATTTCTACAATATTGATACATGTAATACCAGTAGGGAAGATGTGGAGACGAGTTGTCTCCATCTCTACACATACCCACCGACCCCATTTGGGGTGTAAAAACTGAAATTGCAGTTAAAGTGGCTAGAAATTGCTCCGGGGGACAATTTTTGTATGGGCATGGTACGTGCACGACCAAAACACCATACAAAGTGGGCGACTTTTTTCAAAAGCTGAGTGACATTTGCGTTTTGTGGGACTTGGTCGTTTGAAAAACCATAAAGTCACGTGAGGAAATATTCGGGTGTGGCTTCGGGGGCAACACCCCCCAGCACCCCCAGTTTACCCCCCCAGCCTGGGGTACTAGGCCCCAATCATAGACAAGACACCCAGCGGCAACTGGCTAACCCTCGTGTTACCCTGTCAATTGGCCAATACCCCGCAATATCACCCCCTTTTCCTTTTCTTTTCGTCCTTTCTATTCTAACTCTCTCTCTAATTAATTCATACACCTTTTGACAATCTTGGAACACATTCACCGTGTTCCGGCAAACAACCCCGATGTGGAAGAATACAAAACCGAAGCATATTGCTTTCCAAGCACACGATCGACATATTGTGACCTGTTTACAATTCGACGACGACAAGATTATAGCCGGTAGCGACAACACCAAAATCAACGTGTATGACACCAAGACCGGGGCGCTTCGAGCAAGACTGGAAGGCCACAAAGGTGGCGTATGGGGACTTGAATACCATGACAATACTCTGGTCTCTGTGTCGACAGATTGCACCATCCGAGTATGGGATATTGCGAGAGCCAAGTGCACCCACGTGTTGAAAGGTCACACATCCACAGTACGGAACTTACAGATGTTATTCCCAGTTCAAATCGGCGAGCATCCAGACGGTACACCGGAAATGATGCCCGAACAACCTCTAATCATTTCGGGATCACGCGATTCGACCCTGCGGGTTTGGAATCTACCTCAACCTGGCGACAAGGAGTATTTCACTCCTGCTGAAAGCGACGAGGAATGTCCATATCTGGTCCGTGTATTGACTGGTCACCAACATTCCGTGCGAGCAATCGCAGCCTACGGGGATACTCTGGTTAGCGGTAGCTACGATAGTACCGTACGAGTTTGGAAAATATCCACTGGAGAATCACTACACCGGCTAGAAGGTCATACAACCAAGGTTTATAACGTGTTGTTGGATCATAAGAGGAACCGCTGTATCAGTGGATCAATGGACCACATGGTCAAGATCTGGTGTCTTGAAACAGGTGCTTTGTTGTATAATCTTGAAGGTCACACGTCATTAGTTGGCCTACTGTATTTGAAAGACGATATGCTCGTGTCGGCGGCTGCAGACTCTACCCTAAGAATCTGGAACCCTGAGAATGGCCATTGTCAAAACGTGCTAAACGGCCATAACGGAGCGATCACAACCTTCCAGCACGATGGTGAAAAGGTAATCTCCGGTTCTGATGGCGATGTGAAGATGTGGGATACACGAACTGGTGTGTTTGAAAGGGACCTCCTCACCGACATCAGCGGTGTCTGGATTCTCCGGATCGATACCCAGCGTTGCATTGCAGCAGTTCATCGTGAGGGCCAGAGTTTCATTGAGGTTAGTACGCATCCAAACTGATATGCCGTTTATAATTCGCTGATTTATAAAGGTTCTCGACTTCGGCGCATCCCCTGACACCATACCATCTGACCAACTGGGGAAGCGGGTTTTTGTTGATGAGCTAGGTAATGAGATCGAAGGCCCGAACGAAGATGTTGATCTGAGTGATTGAGTCAATAGGGCTAGGTAGTAATTAGGCAGCCAGAAACAGGTGAACAGACACCACACCGTTTTGTCAGGCGTAATGTTATGGATGTCCCATGAAGATCCCTCGCCAGACGAGGGCTAAAAACAACTAGAGGTGAGCTAAGGGTTTATAGTGGGTGACCATGGCAAGACGAACTTTGTGTGAATAGCAGATGATGTGTGCTAGATCTAAAGTACAACTAATTTCGAGGCGATGCATTCCTCTTGGGCCAAAATAGCTATGTTCCGGGTTATCTGCTTCAAGATTCAGACTGTGGAAGGCTAAGCACCGCACGCGGGGTATGAGGCTCTTATAGCTTGGCGCTCTCGCCACCCGCGATTGTTGACAAGTTTAAATGGGACAAAAAGCAGAAATAATCCCAAGCATTTGATGAGAGGTTTATTGAAACGATATGTTCCCGAAATTCGTTTCTTTTACAACAATATTCTTCAAACTTGAAGCCAAATAAAGGAGACTAGCTTGGGACTTTGTAGAAGATACAACAAGGTTGTGATTCTAATGGTCTCTGACTAGATATAAAAGCCAAGCCACTAGATAGAACTAGCCTCTTGGCTTTGCATCACTTGGGGTAACTTGTGCCTATGTTATGCGCAAATTTCTTGGGGTATTGGGGCTTTCACGTTTTTCTTTCTTGTTTTCACATCTTCTCTGCTATTTTTGATGTTCCCAAACTAGGAAGCCCATGATGGCACCGTCGGGGCTTGTACCCCTACGTATGTAGTTATTTTGTGATGGGCTTGTCATAATGAGGTCAATTCTAAATGGATTTCAAACCTCACAAAAGAGAAACGAGGATCACTGAGGAACTGTGTCTTACTTATACAACTCAATATCCTATTATTTCATTCTACTCCCAATTATATCGTCAAGATGGCGGAAATAGAAACACAGGATAGCTACCTTGAGCTTGGGGGTAGTTTCCTCAAGGACCTACCCCGGTCAATCAAGAGATATCCATACGAAGGGGCACCTTCCTTCTTTCGTATCTTGAATCTGGAATTGAATCGCAGCCAATCCTCGGGTTGTGACAGAACCGAATTTGTTTTGTTCCATGCGAGTCGTGAAACGATTGAACACTTATTTTGCCCAATCAATGAAGAAAATACCATCACCTCCCATTGCTCCGCATACGATCTGACTGAGGAACTTTTTCTTGCAAGGATGGCTTCATCCGCCGAACATGCCACTGCATCATATGCTTTGGACCACGCTATCACCGAATGCCTTCTCCCAATGGGGCTCTCTACTAAGATTCACGGATACCCTGGTGCAGTTATCGCAGGGAGAGATAGGGGGAAAGCGGGGGACCACGGCTGGGGTCCCAGGAGACCACCACCTGGATACCCAAAGCGCCCCTCAGTTGTTTTAGAGGTTGCGTACTCGGAGTCTGATTCAAAGCTTAACTCTGATGTTCGATTCTGGCTAGATCCAGATGATGGAAATGCAAGGATATGTCTTACTCTAAGAATCGATAGAGATGAGCCAAATATCCGCATTGAGAGATGGAATCTCCATAACGACAGACCACACCGTTCCCAAGTCGTCTGGATCAAGAGAGCTTCGAATCGAATGAGAGTCGACAACCACCCCCTCGTCATACCATTCCAGGATTTATTTCTTCGACCTCCATCCACACCCGCCGAAAGAGATCTTCGAATCTCAGCGCAAACCCTCGAAGATATTGCAGATCGAATTTGGGATATGCAGGGCTTCCAGTGATTTATCACGTGAAAGGAAAGAGCAACTCAATCTCTGCTTTGCTTCGGTTGTAAGCAAAAAATCCTTGTTCTTTGGATGGAAGGATCAATCCAGGCGAGGAGTCAATGTCCTACCTGCCTCGGACAGAAATGCTGCCTCGGACTTTTTCAAGATCGTCAAAAAAAGTGTCTTTTGAGTTCGCTAGCGTATGTCAGTCGCCCCTATTGAAGTATGTTTAGTATTACTATCTTAACAATGGCATTGGCAGAATCTTAAATTCCCCGAAAAGGATATCGAAGTCCATCCGGTAGTGAGTATTGAATGCTAATCTAGTTTGTTCATGCAATCCCAAAAATCAAAAAACAAGTGTAGATGCCCATCCCGAGACAGGCAGTAAATGCATCCCAAATCCGACCAGCAGATCCAGCAGAAGAAACATAAGCAGGAACTGGATATTATGTCTGATATCATGAACACCCTGTTGACGAACCAGCGAGGGATTTAACTGTACATGCGATGTAGGGTACAGAAATCAAAACGACAGTATATAGACAATTTCAATCACAAGACATGAAGTTTATGAGCTTCACAGAAGCAAGCCCATACCCGCAATAGCAGCGCCGAGCAGCGATGATCCCGCGCGGACCGTTCCGGCAGCGTTATTCGTGGGCGTGGGCGAGGCAGTTGCGGCAGTGCCGGAGGCAGCAGCAGACTTGGATACGGTGTTTCCACTCTTGGAGCTCACGGTTGAGGCCGCGGTCACAGTGCTAGTTGGTGTGCTAGCAGTCGAGGCAGCAACAATGATTCCGCCAGCTGCGGTGGCAGCAGTAGGTGCAATAGTAGTGGAGGCGTTTTCGGAAGGAGAGGCTTGTAGGTCCTCCGCCGCCAAGATGATATTGAAGGTATCAATGCCGCCGCCTACGTAAGAAATATCCTATCAGTTATGATCTTATTTCCGGGCTAAGTGACATTTTGGGTAACTCACAGGTTGATTCAGGCCACCCAGGACAGACAATGTCGCATTTATCGTCGGCGACCTTGGCGGAATCTGAGGGAACTTTGTTGCCACAGTAGCACATGTCGCCGCGGCTCAGAGCAGCGACCTTGAAATCGTTGTCTGCGCATTGGAACTGGCAATGTCCTGGTGATTGATAGGTGAAGGGACCCTGGTTCTTGAATGATTCGACGGCAGAGTAGCAGCCCATACTAGCGGTGGAGTTAAGCGAGTATACGGGAAGAGCTAGGGCAAGAGCCGAGAAAATGTAGTTGGTATGCATGATGATGGGCGGAATATTCGATCAACGAATTAAAGAGTGAAAAGGTGGTTGAAAGTGAGTAGGAGCGAGAATTCAAAGAAAGAATAATGTAAAAGAGGGAGTAGTCTGACAGGCGGAGGGGGAGCAAAAAAAGGGTCCTATCAAGCTTCTTTAAAGTGGCCGTTTGTTTCGTCTTAGGAACACCCGTCGGGTTCCATTTTTTCGAGTGTTTTTCTGTGGAGTAAGGCTGGGACAGATGACATCAACGTCCAATTGGGCGACCGAAAGTAGAAAATGATAAACCTGAAACACTAAGCGACATGTTCTATTGAACTCGCACTGGGGCTTGACGGGCTTCACAGGTCTCATTGGCTCGTGAGCGAACGATCGCCTGAGCGGTATCCCCAGGTGTGGCGACAAGTTTCCTCTTTGAGCAACCAATGACGGCGAATGGAGCTTTTCAGAGTCAAATGGGATGAACTCGAGGAACAGTTCGCGTGTTTGTAGTTTCCCGCTTGTCTTAATTAAGTATAGAGCGGTTCTAGGGTGTTGCATTTGTGAGGAATCCGACATTTCTGGTCATTGCTGGTCATCGCCGGTGACCCCTTGTTTCTCCTTTTCTGGTACTCTCTTTTTATGGTATTCTGGTATTCGGGATTATTCTACTCCGTAATCCGTAAGTCATCTACGTATTCTGCAAGGTACCAAGACAGTTATTGATGTGTGTGGTGTGGCCTAATTGGGAAACTGAACATCAAAATTAGGTGTCAAGTCTGTTTTGAATCCATGGTTGAACCGAAGCTTCCGCATTGTGTGGAGTGCCTTGTTTATCAGGTTACCGAGGTAAACACCATTACCCATCCCTTATCTTCTTCCTTGTGTCGTACTTAAAAAAACGACCCAAATTCGGGTACCCTTATTTTGACTCAGGGACACGGAGCCCGCACAAGTGGGGGAAAATAATGACTATTGGATTACGATTTACATTGCACCCGCTAGGATCTTCCCGCCGAACGCCGCTGAGCAGTGCCAACATATCTTTACCTAAGTTTTAGTATTAGTACCCCGTATATTTCTTTGAGATACGTCAGTGATTGCCTATATTAACATAGTCGACGTTTCAGATTAGAATAGGAGCCGGTGAACTAAGTAGATCGAGCAAGGTTAGGGGTAAGCATTTGTCAGTATTTCCTCCACTATGAGTGAGACTTGAGTCTGAGTCAACAAGGGACCTATCTGAATCGCATAGGGATTCAACCTCACGGTACATCCAACTAGGGTCGATTAGGACGAATATTATATGATATCGATAGTCATCTACCTAAACTCGACAAGAAAAAGTCACTTAAGTATACTCCGCAAGGCCAACAGGAATAATATCCGGTGGTGTCGCTAGCAATAAGCACTTGGCATAATGCTCAAATTAATAGCTCAGTGTGGCGGCTACTGATAGGTATATAGGCGAAAAGATGATTAGTTCTCATTCGATTTTGTGAAAAAAAGATACAGAAGCTAATCAGATTTATTCCATTTTTCTTCGCATTGAGGTACTCCGTACTGGAGAAGCAAATTCCAGTTGGGGAAAATGCCGAGAATCATCCAAGTTTCACATCGTTTCATGCAGTAAGACATTGGTGCGTATTTCATGTTAGCTCAAATATTAGCCCCAATCTATTATTGTACATGATGTTGTACTTTGTATGTCTTCTATATTGTACTCCGCAACGAGAAAAAGAACGAAAATGGGCCCCACAAATCTATCGAGATATATCTACTACCTTCAATCTAATTGAAATGAAGAATTATACTTCAACTATCATTCCCAACATGATCAATACATACTACACTTACCCCAACTGTCGGCAAAATGGGCATCCTGATAGGGCAATTCGCCATCGGCAAGGGCCGCCAGCCGAGGTGAGGAGAGGGGAAGATAAGAAGATAAGCCTTTGGCGTGCTCTGTTTAAGCTATTGTGAATTCCTTCACGTTAATTTTTCGAGATCTTGGGATATTTACAACTGGAAAGTACTCAATCAAGTTAATCCGACCATGAAAACTCTCGCCCTCCTCGGCCTGGCCGCGTTGCCATCGCTAGCGCTCAATATTCCCACACAACAGCGTCTCTTCCCCGATACCGATCTGTCGGACAGTCAGTATAACCCACTATCGAACCCATCTACACGGGAAACCTGTCCACAACCACCCAAGGTCAGCACCCCCAACGATGGCTTCCACTCGTCGCAGATCTTCCTCTCCGACAATGCCTTCCGTGCCCGCCAGGCAGAGCGGCTCTCGCGCGCGGTGCAGATCCCAACCACCGTTGGTGATTTTATGGAAGATCCATACGATGAAGCATTCGAGCCTGTAGTCAAATTCCAATCGCTGTTGGAGGAGCTTTTCCCACTAGTGTAAGAAATTGTCCAATCATTGAACATGGCCTTCCATAAATGAAGGGAGGAAAGTACTAAATCAATCACATAGACACAACCGCGGCAAGGTTGAGCACATTAACCGCCTCGGTCTAGTCTTCACCTTCGAGGGTGCGGACACTTCACGCAAGCCGCTACTCTTCATGGCCCACCAGGACGTCGTCCCTATCGACGACCCATCAGACTGGACCCACCCGCCCTTCGCGGGTGTGTTTGATGGCGAATGGATCTGGGGCCGCGGTGCAAGCGACTGCAAAAACGTTCTTATCGGACTATTGTCCGTAGTCGAAGACCTGCTCTCGCAGGACTGGAAGCCAAAACGCACGGTGCTGTTTGCCTTTGGATTCGACGAGGAATCACACGGCTTCCTAGGCGCCGGAGCAATCTCAGCAGCTCTGGAGAAAAAGTACGGCAAGGACTCCTTTGAATTCATCCTCGACGAGGGCGGAATGGGACTTCAGAGCCTGGGTGATGCATCCGACTCTAACGGCGAGATCTTGTATGCTCTCCCGGCTGTCGGTGAGAAGGGTAGTCTCGACCTCATTATCGATATTGCTGTCCCTGGTGGCCACAGCTCCATCCCACCCGCACACACCGGCATCGGTATCATGGCGGAGATCTTGTACGAGCTCGAGCGGAAGGAGCTGTTCCCCGCTTGGCTGGATACCAACCACCCCGCCCACGGGATGCTGGAGTGCCAGGCACGTTACTCACCCGACCACGTTGAGACCTGGCTATCCGAGAAACTGGTAGCAGATGATCCCGCCGCTCTAGGCGAGGCTGTTGCCAGCTCCCGTGGTCCCGCAGTCCGCTATACAATGCAGACATCGCAGGCCGCAGACCTGATCCACGGCGGTGTCAAGACAAACGCGCTGCCGGAGAAGATCTCAGCCGTCGTCAACTACCGCGTCGCACTACACCAGACGCCTGATGAGCTACGCGAGCGCGCTATCCGACTTATCGGCCCTATTGCCGAATCTCACAATCTTACTCTGCGTGTTGCCTTCCCCGGTGTGGCGGAGTCCACCGAAGGAGGTGTGAGCGACCGCACTCTCACTCTATCGCCTCTCAGTGTTCCTCTTTCCCCGGCTCCGATCTCCCCAACAGACCCGCTCACTTCAAAGGTGTGGGCGCACTTTGCCGGAGTGGCTCGTAGTGTCTTTGAGTCGCACTCGAATCCGCTTTCCAAATCTGCGGCTGGGTCTAAGCCGACGGTTGTCGTCACGGGAGATGTCATGACTGGAAACACGGATACGCGCTTCTACTGGGCTTTGTCGGAGAATATCTACCGTTGGAGTCCGTCGCGGGCTGGCGGATCGCTGAATATTCACACCGTGGATGAGCGGATCCGCTTGGATGTGCATCTTGAAGGCATCATGCTTTACTATGGTATGTTCTCTCTTTTCGTTCATTGTTCGTTTAGGAAGTCTGGCTAATTTATATCAGATCTCATTCGGTCCTTCGATGCTTGGGATGGAAAGTCCGAGTGAGCGTATTACTCTCTATTTTGGATTCCCTTGACCCACATATATAAAGGTTTGGCACATACGGTTCTTAGATGTAAAGATCCTCCCGTTTCAGGTCGAGGGCTCAATATATGCTGCTTGGAAATTTAGCTACTAGAACAAGATCACTGCTCAATAGATCACTTAGATATTCCACGGCTTTTACAAGGCTGCCATGCAGCAGAGCCCGCATTATGATATATACAAAGCTCCAGTAAATCCCCACGGGCTTGAAGATAGTCAAGTAAAAAGCAAGGCCTAGAACCATAACCGTGGAAGGTATATGGAACACGGAATTCCTGTGTCATTTCGAAGCTTGTATGCTACGTACAATAGGCTAATTGTATTCAAGCATGGCCAAGAAGTGAATGATCGGGATCTCCAGATTTTTAATGTAATATAAACAAATTTTAATATTGAGTGTTGACCGAAATTCGTATATTCTGTGCTATAAAACTGATATATACCCGATGCTGAAGCATCTGCACATATGCCAAATAACATGGAGAGAGGGGCGGAAGCCACAGATTCATGCATGTACGAGAATTGTCACATACTAAAATAAATGTATATGCGAGGATCTCAACAAAAGTCGCACAGCCCACGCCCAAAGGCAAGGCGATGGATGGGTATAAGCAAGAAAAAGACATTACCAAGTGAACGGAAGGTATCCGGCATATCTTCTACCATCACTAGTGGTAGATATACCGAACAAGAACTTCTAAGCGAGCGTCTTTGCGAGAGAAAAAGGCGATCAAAGGAAGAAGGCCTCAAGGCGTTATAAGTGAAATAAATCAACAAGAAGCGAAGGGATCGGCTAGCGGACAAGGAGAGGAGCGAAAGAGCCACCAATGACTGGGCGAGCGACGAAAGTATTTTGGGGGTAACTAGACTTCATCAGCAGGGATAATCACAGCCTTGGGGATATATTAGCTTACTTTCCAGTAATAGTGTCATACAGATCAGTCATGGGTCGATTTGTCGGTGTCTCGTTGATCCAGGTTGCGAGATCCTTGATAAACATATTCCGAGTATCGACTGAACTGATAGCTGCTGCGAAGCACTCCCAGTCACCTATAGAATTGTGAGTAATTTGCCAATGTATAATGAGCCATCCGGGCTTTTACCTTTTGTGTATGTGTGGCGGGTGTCGAGAGGCACACCGTACTTGTTTGCAACAGTTGGGTAGAAGTTGCTCTGCATCTGATAGACAGACTGTGGAACAAGATTCAGGCCCAGCTGGGCATCGGCGAAGAGGTTGTAGAGCAGGCCTGCACAAAGGGTAAGCAAGGCTTGGTAGACCCGAAAGAAAGGGGTGAACCTACCATGGCTAGCGGTGTCGCCGTACGACAGAGTCGTATGGGGAGGATTGGCATCCTTGGCAATAGCCAGGTTCTGCCATTGAGTGATGTAGTCTTGAGCGATGCTCGAGTAATTAGCAGCGTCAGCAGTGTGACCAGTCTGGTTGGCAATGACTGCCATGGCCTGAATACCGATCATGCCCTTAAGTGCGAGGTTGGTTTGGTTGCTAATCATGCTGGTTAGGTTTGAAAGCTTCAGAGAAGAATGGAATCACTCACGCTAGGGAGCCAGCAAAGTCGTCCGTTGAGATCTGGTTTGCAGGGTAAAGCGAGTCATCGACCAAATAACTGGTCCATTGCTTGAGCAGAGTGTAGTGGTTATTCAAAAAGTCAGAGTCACCCGACTTCTGTGCATACGCCAAAGACATAATGAGCATATCTCCGCACTCTTCCAGTGGCATTTTCTCGTCGTTGCCATCGGAGTGACCCGTGGCGTTGGGGTAAGCAGAGCCAAGATCGTGCATGGAATATTTGTTGGGATACTTTCCAGCCTCCTGGTTCTCAAACAGAGGAGTGAGAACGAGCTTCAGGAGTTCGGGGTTCGTGTATAAGAAAATCGGGTAGGCTGGGAAGACAACATCGACAGTGTTCATATTGCCGTCGGAAGAGATTTCCTTCAGGAACAGATACATTTTGTCCTTTGTACCACAAAGCTGGGTAGCACCGAATGCCTGCCGAACCGAGAGCGAAGTAATAGTGAGGTAGTCCTGTCCAGCCGTAGCAATTGAATCTTGGGCCACCTTGCTATCGAAAGAGCTTGCGAGATTGTTCGATTCAGTATGATCTTTGTGGAAGAATGAAAGAGCAGCCAACTCGGAATCAAAGTAGCTCAACCACAAGGACGGTACCGGGGCATAATTCGAAGCACCTTCGTATTGAATGGCTTTGTCCTGTGTCAGACCGAGTGAAAATAGTGTACTGACGGGCGTGGAGTCGACCGAGCCCAGATCGGACGAGAACCCAAATACGGGCCAGTTGGAGGAAATAGCTCGGAAGTTGGTGTCGCCGCCATTGGTGAGTTTTCCATTTGTCGTGAACTGACCACGTACGTCGTTACCCCCACCAGACTGATGGGTCATGCCTTTGGAGTCGTCGGTAGCCCAATACCAGTTACCCCATTCGCCCTGCTCGTTCTTTTCGGAAAATGCCAGTTGAGTCTGTCGGTGTACCTTGTGGTAGGCCACGCCGTCTGTAGTACCATACTCCCATTCTGCGATGGCATTTCGGTCGCCCGATACCCATTCTATCATTTTGTTAGTAATTGTATGTAAGAAATGGAGCAAGAGCACCAACCTGCGGAGATATCCGCGTAAACCTGCACCTTATGCTTCTGACCATCAATAGAAGAGACCTCGACATTAAGATAAGAGAAAACGAGGGACTGGCGCTTGAGATCGGTGGGTGTAACAGGCGACAAGAAAGTAATGTTCATTTCAACCTTATTCTCCACGTTCATAGTGAAGATGCTCTTAGTCGAAGTATACTCAAACGCGGTTTGATTGACAGTTTTGGTTCCGGGCAGACCCATCCAAGTATAGGTATTGCCGTCGACGCGGATCATACCTGCCCAACCCGTGATCTGGTTCCTATTCATATTGTATTAGTATAAAATGTTCGAACATAGCTCAAAGGAGGATAATGATCAACTTACTGCCAGAAGACAGGCCATTGACCAGCCAAGTATCCGCCATTACCACCGTCACTTCCTACATCAAGCCAAGTGCTCAGGTACGGTGACCTAACAGCGAGGGGTATAGCCGGGGGACGGGCAGGGGAGAAGGTCGACTGTGCTCCAATGGAGGATGCAAAGGAAGCGACCAGCAGACTGAGGCGATACAGCTGCATTATGACAGAGTTGGACGGAGAGATAGTAAGATACACAAAGTCCAATGCAGGGGCAAATCTGCTCTGTTATTTATTTATAGGAAAAGGAAATTAGCTCTCAGGAGCTCGGCTGAACAGGCACTGTGGCGGGACGACTGAGGAAAGGGATCGGTGTTTACAGGACAGGAATGCCAGTGACATTTTTATAGTCGACCTCAATCTACGAAGAGAGGGGGGAAGCCAAAGGCCCCTCCGAGACCCGCATGCCAGAATGTGCTCTCTACGGAGGAATATCAAAGCGGCTTGGCATAATAAAAACATAGGTAGCAGCAGACCTGCATGTCTCGATAAATCCCAAGGATGCTAATCTGCTGACCTCCGTCAACGCCCGGCTGGAAGAAGATTCACGCTCAGAGGGGGATAGAGTGATGTTAGGGGGGCTGTCAAGACAGGGGGGGTTGAGTGGAAGGGCCGTGAAAATGATGGTGAACTTTCCTAGAGTGGTTATATTCAAAGTCAAAGCCTAAAACGCGGTCTAGCGGTTTCCGGAAGAAACGGCATATATTCACGTCGCATGGAAGACAAGCAGCGGTCTATGCAGATCGACGAAATGAGTGGCGTCACTAGACAGACAATAACACCGGAGTAATTTGAGTCTACGGAGTAGATGGGTGCACACCTTGCAGATGACAGACCACATAGTGCTATGGCGCAAATAAAGGTGTGGAGAAGAAGAGTGTGGTGAGAGGTGTGAAAAATAAGGGTTGCGGACGAAAAAGAAAAGGTGGTTTGAGGGCATCGCCGATAGGCCGAGGGCAAATAATAAGGCACGAGTCAGTAGAAGCGCCAAGCTCATTTCCTTCGTGATAGCATCATGCGGACATATTGGCCGTCGGCTTTGGTTTAATAGAGGTAATATCAGGTCTTTGGTCTTTAGTGGATAAATCTGCGGGGAAATGGCGATCAGCAGCGTGGCATCCAACCGATGAGAGCATGGAATGAAGAGAATCGAATCTCCACGGTATTTTTGGTACGGACGGTCTCGGGGACCTGCAGTAAAGAATGAGATGTCCATGAGTTTCTTGTCTCAAATCAGAGGGGTTCCCCTTGCAGGGAAGCTCATCTTTGCATGTCAAAGTCAGCTTTGGTCCCGATAGCCCGATCGGAGACAAAAATGGCTTCAAATATCCATCAGACCTAGACTCTTGTGTTGCATGCACGGAGTACGGAGTAACTTGTATTAAATACGGAGTCCGGAGTACATGGGTTGAGGTCGCGTGCGCGACGTTGTACAAAATGCAGGATCCAGCTTGGAGTTCACGATCCACTTCGCTATTGAAACCTCCTTGCGTGATATGTCGGTCTATTCAGTTCATAGTATACTTTTTCCAAGACAAGAATATAAACCCCTTTCTGATTAAATAGAATTTTGAAATGACCAAAAACTAAGCTTTCAGTGTCCGTTCCATTCTAGCCTATGACCGGCCTTGCTACTGTGCCATCGCTTGAAGGGTTTTAATACACCCCATGATCGTGTGTTGATAATTATTGACTTGTTCATACAGTGGAATCGCGTGGACTACAGATATAAGGCCGTTTAGGAAGAAGGCAATGTCCACCGAGGCAATGGTCTATGTACAAAATTAAAAGTGAACTTTCGGGATTGTTTTAGCATGTGGAGTTTATCCCTATAGGGCTTCTAATACTCCAGATCAAGAATCCACTTACCCCACTAAATCACAGGTTATACATAGGAAAGTCGCTTGCACAAAGTATGCTTTTTGTCCTGCCTTTATATACATCTTAAGAGATATTTGAAAAGACATCTCAAAAGACCAAGTGAGAAGGCCTACTGAACACAAGGCCACAAACGCGGCCAACTATTCTTGTTGCTTATATAGCAACCACGTCTATAATATGCTTCCTGAGCTCTGCCCAAGTGATGATTCATATGAAATACTAACACTGACCCTTGTTGACCAAATTCAAAAACAAGCACGAAAATCAACATTCCTAGATAACTAAACCTGACAAGGGAAATACTGTTCACCCTATATGAAAAGAGCAAGAAGAAGCAACTTAAATATCACGGCAAGCGCACCACCCTAGTGCAAACAGCGAAGGAAATTCATAGTGACAATCTCAAATTTCAACAGGCGACTCAAACTGACCTGCCATATCAATCATGACCTGGCATTGAACTCCCTTGTGTTCAAAGCAATGAGTAGTGTAGGAATTGAATAACGGACCCTCTTTTTAAATAGAGCCACTACCTGGTATCTCTCCAGCAGTTCGTTCAGCGTCCATGGTCGATTCCGATTTCTCACACTCATTTTCGACAATCATGCTACTACACCATTGCGGCTTCCATCCCGCAGGCTGTTCAGCGTTCATGGGAATTATCGATTTGGCCATCTCTGGTCCCCATATAAATTTGTCGTCAAATCCCCGGTTGAAGGTGGTATGTTTGACAGATGGAGAGTTGAGAAGACGATGTATTTGGAACCAGAAATCTGGGCAGAAAATGTCAGTATATAATATCCATAAAAAAGACTTCAAGGGTATAATTACCTCTGTCAGCCATTGGATATTCAGCACAGATATAGAACAATGATCCATAGAAATGCACAAGGACAAGACCTCTCGGGAACGGTGTCGCTATGTCGGAAGAAAAAATAGTCAGCGTCGATCTAAAACAGCGAAACTTTTTACTAACCTTTTCGTCGACGGTAGATTGCCACCATAGGCATTTCTTTGTGATATTCTTGAGGGACAGCCTTTGATATTACCGGAATACGCTGTCCCACCTTCGTAAGAACCTTCGCAATAGCAGGTGGCCTTACAGCAAGAGGCCTAATAAACGGATGGAACTCGTGGGTCTTCCAGCTGATTTGTCCCAGTGTCCCTTTTTTCCAACAACGATCAAGTCCTCGTGCATCAGTTTCAATCCGATAGATCAAATACCATCTCTTAAGCCGAGTACTGATATCCTCATTAGCATCCGCAAGCTTCACCCCGGTAAGAAATCCACTAGGAGCTAGCCCAATATCGTGCTCCATGATCTGCCAGAAATCACCGATAAAGGCTGTAGTGTTACCAGGACCACGCAGAATACGAATCGCAAGCCCAAAGACAAACTGCTCATAGGCTGCCGTAGAGAGGGTATTGTGATCCAATTTTGTGGTCACCCACTTAGCAATTCGATGAACGTCGTCTGCGTGGTAATCTGTCATCCCGATATGGTACGCAATGAAAGGGCCACCTATATATTTCCACTCTCGGGGGCGATCTTCTCGAAGTGCTATCGACAGTCCCTGGGCCCCTTCTACCAACTTGATGTGATAGAAACTGCCCGAATTGTAGATAGACCAATGGCAGGATTTTGGCATCCGGCTCAGGCCACTCGCTCATCTGTTGGGTCGTCCGACGAGATAGACATTGGAATGGTCCGAATAATCGGCATTTGGGTTGGCCTTGTTGAAGGATTCATGGGGTTGTAGTTTGTATTTGGCGACATCGGGCAGGCTGGATTTGATCATCTGATCTTTGGGCAATTCATAGACATGATCTGAAAAGCCCTTACTCTCCTTGCCTAGGGCTTCGGCCAAAATATCATGATTGGAGACACCATTCCTCATTCGTCCCAAGAAGACGCTCGCTTTGTCGCGGTTGCGCTTGAACTGTTTGAAAGGCATGTTGGATATTTAGAAGAATGAAGAGGTCATTAGAATGTTGAGGATACTAAGTAAAGAAGTTGGATATCTTGAAAGTTGGAATGGGAATTCCCTTTATACCTCGACTTGAGCCCTTTGTCTCCCTGAAACGCGATACGCCCTAGGGACGAATACAAATGCTGCCTTGAACAATACAAAGCAGCGCAGAGGTAGTAAAAATTTTATGTTTAGCACTGCGTCTTTCTAAGTGCATTATTGCAAGGGTCATCGGGAAGTAACAACCAGTTACTGAACATAAAGAGAGATCTGCGTGAAATATCGGAATCCCAAGTGCCTCTTCATGACTCGCGTAGTAGATCAGGATATCCTAGTAGCGCTTCGCGATACGAATGCGGCTCTCAGAGGAGATAACAATATTATTTACTTGTCGTGGGGGGTATAATATAGAAGTTAAGACGGGGTGAAACAAGCACGGCGCCAAGCAAGCACGGCGCCAAATGGGGATAGAGAATTGTGTAGACGTCCACACTCGGAACAAGAGACATAAAAATAAAAAAGAGCCTAAATGGCTGGAATCGACTAGGCCCAACTTGATTTGCAGCTTTGCACTTCAACATAATATGCCTCTTTTTATCGTGGCGGGATGTTTAGAGTATCGAGTATACAAAAGCACATCCCCCTGGTCACAATCTCCCAATCTAACACAAAGAAAACGCCCCAAACGCCCAGTATCAGCCAATGAAGTCCAAGGATACAGATATATTAAGCTCAGCATAATTTCCGACAAATCAAACAGCCTGAGGACCTCCTCCCAGCATCCTTCCCAGACGATGGCCTATCACCACACGCCCTTCTCGGCCTCAGCGGCGTCACCAAATTCCTTCACCTAGACCTCTTAGTACGGCGACTAAACAACATCCAAGAATACATCTTGCTACCAGGGTAGATATGCCGCCGCAACTCCTAAAGTACCATCTATCCCTATCACGCCAGATAATCGTCGGCGAAAAGATCAATATGCATCTCGTCTGTCTCAGGGCCCGGGCGACGCATCCACATCAAACCACTACCGCCATACCTTCTAAACAAAGGATTCTAGTCCACCCATTTCACATGTAACGGGGACTATTTCAAGTCCTGCTTTTACAATGACGTAGACAACTATGAAATTACTGCCATCCACCAACCAACACCAACACCAACAGCCGCCCGCTCACCAAATCAGCCCTAGTCTTCCTAACATCCTAGATAGCGCTAATATAGCACCAAAGGGAGTTCAAAATCGCGCAATAACACAACCCTAACCCATTCACAATGGCGAGTCCTCGTACAGAGCCTCCCCCACAACGACGCTGCAAATTCCAACCTGATAAGCAGACGGATCAGTCTTGTTTCTGTTGAGAGATATGAATACAAGCTCGCTACACCTACAACATTCCTATGCTATACTTCATGATGCGAGTAAGATTAAACGCACCCTGTGGATCCTGCATTCCATCGCATCAATACTAAACATATCCATTCAGCCCTAAAGAGCAGCTTAAAGGAATATACCTATGCAATGAATGCACTTTATAAACAGAACATTAGAACAGAAGACAAACAACAAGTGTACATATACAACACAAAAGAACGGCAAAGGATAGAGATAATATACGCAAACCAATAAACAAAGTACAAACTAAAATCCCAGCCTGTAGAGCAGGAAACAAACACCTCCACCTCACATACATCCAACAACGACAGCCAGCAGCAACATCAGAAGAAAAAACCGTACAATATCTACCACACACATGATATGTAAAGATCACAATCACGCATTCCGCGCCAACTCAATACAGAACTCCCCCCAATCCTGTCCACCATTCAATGCCAAAATCTCCTCGGCAATAGCCTCCTCCAACCGCTCATGGTATCTGCGTCGATACTCATTCTTAACAAGATCAAGATGTCTCGGCTCCCAATGCAGACGCACAAGCCGGGAAATAAGTAGCTCTGAGCGCTCGCGTCCGGTCCGGGATTCACGTAGGGCTTGGTGGAGGAGGAGAGCGTCGCGCATTGGTCTGTTGATTGCGCCGTTGAGGATGTGAGCTAGTGTTTCGCCCTGATGTATATGTGTTAGTGATTTGATTTGATTTTAAACTCCAGTTGGTAGTCAGTATTGACTGGAAGGAAATGAATGTACATACCACCAAATTCCTCGACTTAGAAATCATAGCCCTGGTAAAATTATGCCCATAATTATCCTCGTACGCACGCAACACCTCACGCATATGCGCATCACTCCTGAGCACAATAATATGAATCATAGCCGTCTCGCCGCCCTCCCTCACAATCGCCCGATGCAAATCCTGCACATCATCCCTGATGAGGTGTTTATCGAGGGGGTCGCGCTCATCCTGCCGCTGACCCTCGAGCGCAAGCAAAATCGCAACGCGGAATTTATCAGCGCGTAGCTCAGAACGCATACAGCGCTCGAGACTATTATCGTAGCGGGTATCACGGAAGGAGTTCTTGATTTCGCGGATCGCGGCATTTGACCTTCCCATCAGGGACTCGATTAGTAGTTCCCGACGTGATGTGCCGGCTTGGTAATAGCAGTTCGCCCAATATGCCTCTGATTCCCAGCGCCCGAGGGCGGTTGCGTAGCAGACTTTTCCGAAAGATGAACTTCCGAGTTTGAGACGGAGGTGTTTGGCGAGGTTTATTCCCTTTCCTTGCATTCGCACGCGGGTTTTGTATTCCTGTCGTAAGAGGAGGATTTCGTCGCTTGTTAGACGGGGTAGGATTTGGATTATGGGTTTGCTGTCGATATTGCGGGTGTGGTTTAGGGCGGATTGCATGGCTGCGGCGTCTGGGCCGGCGTCGTAGAAGGAGACGCGTTTGCGGCCGGTTGTTGGGGAGACGAGGACTCGGGGGTCGGTGCTGATGATTGAGGAGCTGGAGTCGTGGCGGTCGTGGCTGGTTGATGGGCGGCTGCGACGTTTGTCGTCGCGGTCTTTGTCTTTCTTGTCTTTGCTGCTGCGGGTGCGGGATTCTTTCTCGCTGACGGAGGAGTGCGAGCGGATGTGTTTGCTGCGTCGGCTTGAGTCGGAGGCTGAGTTTCCGCCATCCAGCGGTTCCAGGTCTGAGATGTCGTCGTCGCGGATGGAGGGAACGACGATCGTGGTTGGCATGGGTGAGATGGATTGGTAAGTACCGTGATACGGCTCCAGCAGTGGACTAGCTGGGGGATGAGCTGAATGAGATGCACTGGCTCCGCCAACTGCGAGATTATTCGACGATGACACAGAGTGACTGTGTGGACGAGCGCTCGACCGACTCCCACCAGGCGCGATCTCCACAAACTGAGGCTCTTGTTTCTGGGGCTCGGGTTTATACCGATACTGGTCTGGAGGTGGCTGCTGCTGCTGCGATTGCGGCTGATACTGACCCTGCGGTTGCTGCGGAATCGGTCTGGAAAACTGCTCATGCGTAGAAGCAGGGTATATCGGCTTAGGCCCCGACGCCGGCGCTGGCGCCGGCGCCGTCTTCGAAGCATACTTCAAATTAGGATCGACTTGAGCGTACTGGTAGACGCCGGGGTTCGCATATCCCGCAGCCGGAGGTGGATAACCAGTATCACTCGCCGAAGCCGTGCGATAATGAGAAGGCATGTAACCAGCACTCGTCGCCGCATACTGAGCTGGCTGGCCCTGTAAACCGGTATACTGCAGCGACGGATTCACAGGCGCCGGCACAGCCCCCGAGCTAGCGGGATATGTCGAGGCCATAGGGAACGCGCCGGGCATAGAAGCTGGACCCGCAGGCTGCGAGGAAGGCGGCACATATCCAGGCCGTTCGCATTCCGGCACAGAAGCCCAGTCAACCGAGCCGGCAGGGTAACCCGGCTGCCGCGGGGCAGCAGACACGAACTGCGTGGGCTGCGCATAACTATACCGATTCGGGCGCGCATAGCTAGGGTGATTTCCCGGCGCATCACCATAAGCCAGATCGTCAACTGAGTCGTCGGAATCGTGTTTCACGCGACTGCCGCGGTCAGGCGACGAAGGCCGTCGTCGATTCGACCGCGACGAAGGCGCAGCAGAACCGCGTTCATCCTCCGAGTGTTCATAGCGATCATCGCGACGACGTCTTGCGCTTTCTGCTTCGCGGCGCTTCGACTCGGAGTCCGAGTCTGAGCGATCCACGTCGTAGCGGGGGGTTCTCGGGGCGCGCGAGACGACGGGGCGGGGCTCGTCGTTTGGTTCGCGACGACGCTCGCTAATGAGCTTGTATTGGCGCTCGATCTCAGCTTCTTCGTCGGGGTTGTAGCCTTTGCTTCTTGGGACTTCGACGGCTGGGGAACGTGAGCGGTGGGAGGGGGAGGGCGAAGGGGAGGGGACTCGGCTGTCGCGCGACCGCGACCGTGAGCGCTCGCGGCCAGGGGATTTGGATCGGGTTCGCGACCGTGGGTCGTTCACTTGGAGGGACATTGTTGGTCCAATGGGGTTTTGTTCTTGATTTGATTTCAATGTTTCAAGGTATTGTGTTCAAGCGGCTTATTTTCTTTTTTTGGGTCTGAGAGGTCTTTGGTCACACAAGAGGGGAGTTGGACTTGGGGATTTCTTTGTGCGATGTCCACTAGGCCATTCTATACTTGTAGATATGAAGCCTTCTCTCCACTTATGTGTAGGTGAATTGAGGGAGAAAAAGAAAAGAAAAGAAAAGAAAAGACAAAGCGAAATGTTTAATAGCACCTCGTATTTATCCTAACTTATGGAGAGCTAGTCTGTGATTCTTCACTCTCCTCATGTAGCCAAGGATTAGGGCTCTTATTGGCTTACAGCTGAACTCAAGATCGTCGGTGACCAGCGCTTCAGCCGCAGAGGCTACTGACCAATGCGCATGTCAGATTCCAATGAAGCCGAGGGGTCATACATTAATATATTCATCTAGAAAGATTGTCTCAGAATTACGGATTCAAGAGAAAACTATCAAATTACCGTGCAAACAATAGATGAACAGCACTAGTACAAGTTCCGGATTTCGAAACATTTTGTCAGAAGAAGGATAAAGCAGAAGGTATGACATAAAAAGAAGCCTTGCGAGGTGCCAGGCCGCGAAGAATAGGGGTATGTGCGGAAGAGAAAGCTATGGGAACAGAAGAAAGGGGAGCCTGTTTATCGCGTGCGACGGCCATCATAAGGTCCCTGACGGCCACCGTAGTTTTGCTTCTTGGGCGCCGGCTGTCCATTGCGGTTGAGGCGGTTGGTTCTCCAGCGCTCATACCAGACCACGCGACTGGCCTCGCGCAGCTCGGAGCGCCAATCGGAAAAGACGGAGTCCTTCAGGCGAACAAAGTCACAGTGCTCGGCGTCATATGGATCTGCAAAGCCCCAGGGGAATCGACGACCGACGGGTTGGTCTCCAGCTGCCAACGAGTGAGGGTCCGGAGACAGAATCGAGAACGGAACGTGCTGGTTGGTGGCCTGCGACGTGTTGGATCTGCGGCTGAGCTGCGATGGCGAGCCAGGAGCATCTTCGGTTGCGGCCTCGGATTCTTTGGCTTCGCTGGCATCTCCAGTCTCAGGCTCCTCGGTTTCATCTTCATCCGCGCTTTCCGACGAGGAGTACTCTTCCTCCTGGTCCTCCAATGTCAAGATCTCAAGGGGGTCGATATTGGCCTGCTTCAAGCTGTTCCAGACCGCCTTGCGGAGGTAGCTCATGTGGGCAGAGGTAATTGTATCTGCCTTGCTGATAACCGGCACCACAGTGGTCTTACCCAGCACCGTGCGCAACACCTGGATGTCCAGATTCTGGTCCAAAATCCCAACCACGGGGGCATCAGTGGCCTTGGAAGTGCCATTGGCAGCACGCTCAGCCATGGCGATGTTCTCATCGAGACGCACAGGGTCCAGAAGTAGGAAAGTGCAGTGAATGTGAGTATCACGGGCACCGGGGGAACGGATAACCTTCATCTCCTCGGCGAGGGTCTCCTCAAACTTGCTCTCCAGGAAGCCTGTCACACCACGCAGCTGAAGATCTGCGATGTTCCGCTCCAGGCCTACAGAGTCCCACAGGGTAAGTCCGACACGTTCTCCGTCGAACTCCGTTTCCAGGTATTGCGACGTGAATCCTTCCCAGGCCGAGGTTTGGCGCTCAAGCTCCTCAACCTCCTCGGGGGTGCGCGAGGGGTGCTTATGTGCGGGCATGGTCAGGGCACTGCGGAGGAAGTTGAGGAATGAGGTTTTTCCCGAGTTACGAGCACCGATGACAAGCACACTAAACACGTTCCCATTGTTAGCCGGTCTGTTCTGGTGTTGATGTCATATGTTCACTACTCACTTGTATGAGGTGGGGTCCTTGCGACGGCGTACACGGCGGGGGCTGTTCACGGTGCTGACAGCACTACTAGCATAGCTGTATCGGCCACGGTGGGTCATGCTCTCGGTGCGCCCATAGGGATCGACGCTGTTGATTGACCCAGCCATAGAAGGCGAGGCGATAACTCCAGACTCTGGGCGAATTGGGATTGGACCGGTAGACTTGTCACGTTCCTCACCTCCAAAAGTTTCCAGTTGCGGGGCGGGGGAAAGATCAGGCAAGCGGGGAGGGACTTTAGGGGCATAAGACTCGCGCTGACGACGCATCTCATCTTCCATGGCTTGAGTCTTGGACATCTTTTTGCGGGAGCCGGAAGATTTGTGTTCGCCTAGGGGTTCGGTGGATTTAGAACGACGAAGGAAACCGAGGGAGGTGCGACGGTTGATGTCTGTTTCAGGTCCCAGGCGCGTGGTTGCCATTTTGGGAATTGGTTTGTGTTGTTTCTGTTGTTTCTGTTGTTTCTATTCTTCCTGTCCTTCCTGTTCTTTCCTCGTCAGATTCTTTTCTTTCTTTCTTTTCCTTTCTGTTCTCTCTTCTATCTTCCTCCTCTTTTTTGTCTTCTTACCGCTGTGGAGGTTATCCTCTATCGGGAACGATAATGACACCCCAGAACCCCTCATTAAACGTCAGGGGTATGGAACCTTGGGAACATCCACTTACCAATATAACGATATAATATATATCGGAGTTGAACAGCGCTAATAGTGCAGATAGTGCTCAGATCCGGTGGAGATGGAGCGATTCGAAACTGCTCTGAAACTGGACCAAAGTGGGATTCAATCCAATGGCCAATCCGGGGATCGGGCTTCTCAAAAATGAAAGTGTCTGCGACAGCAGATAAATGAAAAAAAGTATAAGCGAGAGTGGAATCAACCAAATACAATATTCCCAGCCAGTGGGTGAAGGAGGATGGGGAATTGAAATTAGGACTTGAACAAAGTTCCAATCTCAAAGTTCCCTCTTTTTTGTCTTTTGTTTTTTTTAATTGAAAATAGGCCTGCTCACAGCATCCAGCAACAGCGGCGCTTGGAGAAAAGTTGAAAAGAGGATAGAAAGAAAAAGAGGGATTTAATTTCACTAATTTACGAGATACTAAGGGGAAGATCGAAATATGATCGATATAGAAAAGACCAAAGGTCATTCAGGGGTAAAAAAAACAAAACATCGAAGTCATAACACTCTGGTCCAGAGCGGCTGTACTCCACTTGGAGCTTTGGTGAACGCCGGTTCGTCCGCCAATTGGAGCTAATAACACGGGATCTTTGGATTCTGGGAAGTCTACGGAGTACTGTCTTTCGAATTGAGGATATCAAGACATTGAATTACTATATACAACATACAAAATACAGAGCAAGAAGTAAGGAGTATACATGTCAAAAGCACGTTCTCCTCGTGGCTACAACATAGAGGGGAATCTGGAACGTGCGCCATGGGCCGTTAAAAGGTCTCCACTTGCTATCCAACATAATCTCACTAGACATTCGAAACATCTGCTATATCGCTCAAATTGGAGTCTTTGATTCGGATATAACGGAGTAAAGAAAAATAGGATGATTATAACATACTGCTCCGTACTCCGTAGAAAGATGTTATAATGTCCTAAATACATGTTTGTTCTGTTTGCACACAACACTAGGTACCTAGATATGCAGATTATACCCCAATTCGGTCACTTTGCTCCCAACCTCAGCTGAACCTGGACGTTGTACGGAGTACCTAACCGACCTAGGCTAACCTGTCCCGTCCCTAGGTCAAAGCCATCGACTCCAGAACAAGTACTCACAAAACCGCTATCCCATGCACCTAATCAAACTAACTACGCCGTTTAATAACCATATCGAACCCGAGCCACCTGGGCATGTCTAAGATAAGCTAGATCAAATTCTGAAACACGGCAATTTAAGATCTCAGCCCAAACACGAGACCTCCTCCAGGGCAGTTGTCACGGGGGTGGGGCACGCGGGACTGGGATTGGACTGGGACGCGATGAACTATTTTCTTGGGGATTCCTGTCAAAGTCTTTTATGCCTTGTATATATTACATCCGAAACTATGTTTTCCTTGCGATAGTATAGAATAACTGTAGAGTAGTTATATTTGTGTATGTGTACTCTGTTCTCCCTAAAATTTCGCGTTTCCTCGAAAAATCACGGAGTGGATCAAAAGTGGGGGTGGATTTCCCTTGCGTGCAGGAACTTTCTTTCTGAAAAAGGGATCCGGGGATGGTGAGGGTAAGGGGAATAATATCACCAGGTTGAAGGACAAGCTTCCATCTAAATAACAGTCTTTCCACTCTTATCAATATATACCGAAACTATGTTCTCCTATACTATGATCATTCGAATATACCCACAATCCACCATCTCCAACCCTTCACGAAGTCGCATCCTCAGAGAAAATCCTGAACGGAAGCACAAAGCACGGCTTGGAAGGACACACCAACTGCCTATCCAATCCCTTGAACTTGGGACCATTGGGACCAGCAACGTTCTTAGCCTCACCAAATATTGAGGGCTCATTGGGCGGTTGATCGTCACCCCATCTCCCATTAAAATCCAACCACGCCACTGGATCTTCGGAGTTCACGGCCTGGAACCCAGCTGTTGTTTTGTCGTAGGTGTAAATGTAGACGTTGAGCACGGGATCCCACAGCACCCCACGGTCTGTATAGTCCATCAGAAACCCTGCAGGGAGGTTGAAGCCCGGGATGGTGTGGTCGTGTTTTCTGGTTGTCTATATCAGTATTGATATTCCACCGATAAATCATGGAAAGTATATATGTTTACCCTGCAATTGCATAGTTTGCATGCGTGCCTCTCCCAGAGTACACATATGGCCGCTTGTCCTTCTTTTCAACAGCAGCGTAGGTAAACGCCTGCCCGCTGGCATGTTGGCTGTACCATATAGCGTCAGGTGTGCCGTTAACAAAGCGGATCATGTTATGTTCCCTGTTTTTTTTTCTTAGTCAGAATGACTCTACAGTGTTCTTCACACTAACCAGTCTCCGATGTGGTCGCCGAATTCCAGACCTAGTACTCTGTTGCCTTTGTTGAATCTGGGATCAGATCAGTATAAAGCCAGACCCGGGATATATCCGCGCTTACGCATAGAAATAAAAGTAGAACGCATCAACGGTTCCATTTCCGCGATCTGCGATAATTATGACGCTCCCTGTACCATCACCTATTCGTCCCTGTGAGTCTGGTCTGATGCCTCGGAACCAGGCTGGTTCTGGATTGGCTTCAATGCCCTCTGGAGAGGTTAGGTAGACGCTTGTATTTCCCATAGAATTCAGCGTGTCAAGGTTGTTGAGCGTCAGGGGAGACTCCACTCCCTCGATAGTCGTCCAGTTAACATTGGGTTTGGTATGATTGACCTGCTGCTGGATATCGCTCGGCATGTATGTTTCCTGGCTATGAAGCCAAACCAGGGGTGCTGTAAAGCCGAATAAGTGAACCAGTATCAGAACTATATGTCTCAAATAGCTTACCGTATTCTATGACATATGGTGGGACGTCAGATGTAGCCCTGTCGTTGAGTGATGCCCAGACTGGGTGGACTGAATGTAGACCAACTAATGCCAACGAGATAAAAGCATGCATTTTGTGTGACGGTTCTCAAGTACTAGAGGGCGACAAGCACCCTTTTAATCCCTATGAGGTAAATCATCGAACCTTGCTAACTTATAGCGATGTTTAATCTAAATGTTTATCGGCATGACCTCGTCATGGGCATGGCATTGGAAGACACACCGTGGGGCGAGAAACAGCTAAAGAAAATTCAAGGTAATGGAAGTCCATAATCATAAGGTCTTTTGCCGTTCTAGCGATTCCATAGATACCTCGAGGTGACTGATCCCCGTCAAGGGGATCATGCCAGTGTTCCGAGCAGCAGATCACATAAACTTGACTCGGATTTTCCAAGATCGGGCAAAAAGGCCAGGCTGTGGACAATATAGGGTGTACTCAGGTAGTATTTCTCCTGCGGTAGGGTGGGATTGTTGAAAGGTTCCTTGATTACTTTCTTTACCCTCCGGAATAAAGTATGCAGTCTGCAACCCCGAGGAATGTGAGCCTTATATCGGGTGCCTCATGAACAGGTGGGTACAGTAGCAATAGACACAATTTGTTATTCTCTAGTCATAATATTAGTGCGATCTACATGTCAGATCTCATGGCTGAAGATCATTGCTCTAAATTGCTGTTGGGCTGACGATGTCACCTGCCGGCGAAGCCATCACGATGAAGAGTTCGGAAGGGTATTGAATTAGGTTGAATTACTTGTAGTAGTATATTTATAGTCTTCCTGTGGATATTGCCACTAGTAATTCTTATTTGTGTTGCGGGCCCTGATGTGTGGGTGGCGCTCCTCGGTTTGTCAGTATAGAATGGTGAGATTCACCAATAGCATCGCGTGTCTGTGCCAGCTGTTGACATTCCTTAGCATAACACGTTGTGTTTGTCGCTCTTCACCTTGCTGGCGGCTTGTAGCCGAATATGTTCCTGTCTTTAGATGGGATAGAGTAGTTCACCATACGGTGTACGGTTTAAGATATAAGGTGTATACTTTCATATTTACTCCCTAGAAGCTTTCATAAATTCTTTTATTTAGCAATATACAAAGCTACAACGCTAGCTTCAGTGAGTCTACTCTATTCGGCTCTATTTATTTGCTTCACTCTTCATAGTATCTATCCTCCGTGTCTACACTCGAGCACGGTTCCCTACATTCCATGAACGTAATTCATCAGCGGGTAGAAGAATTCGACTCCAAATACCGGTAGTCAGTTCGATGCCAACTATTTTTTTGATCATGGGATTCATGCTAACTTGGGTGATAACAAGGAGCAGATATGCTTTATAGCCAAGCCTGATGGTATGACGAAAGAAGCTAACTATGCCAGCCATAATAATACGTACCATGTCGTGAACTAGAGCATTCTGTATATAAATATTCATTGATTGGCATTTGTACCTTGTTAAAATAATTCATGAATCATGCAACCTCTCCTGCTTCGCATTCTCGGAATTCCCGTTCCTTCTTCATGTACTACTTCTTCTTCTTAAACAGGCTCAAATCCAACGGAAGCCGATCACCAAGCCAAGTCGCCCGTTGAGTATGATTGCGCTCATCCTCTGATGCCACTGTATTGGGATGAACGAGAGCACTAAGCGGACCCCGGTTGAGAACCAACCAAGGAACAAAGGCTCCAAACTGCGCGGGCGTGAACAAATTCACTTCGAACATTGCCACTGGGTGAGGGCCAATAGGCCGGTCGAAGAAAGTATAGATTCGAAGTTCGGGGACTGTTTAGAAGTGTAAGCAATAGATCAATTGAGAAGAGTAACTCAACCCCGCAGCAGACGGCCAGGCGATGCAGTTTCTGCGCTAGAAGGGTGTGTTGCTTACATTCTCGTCTGATTCGTTCCCAGAGGGCTTTAGCAAATGCTGCTTGTTCGGGATTATTCTGGTTGGTGCGTTAGTTTCGCTGTGACTTGACTTTGTGGCGCGGGATGGGCGGTGGCGGCATGTACTTGGAAGTGATAGATGTGGACGTCGAAGCCTCCCTCTCGGCCTTTGGAAAGAGGGTCGGGGAATTCTTCGTAGGCTTTGCTTAATACGCCATGCTGAGGGTTCTTCAATGACTTGCCATCTTCGGTGCGCTCGCTGTAACAGTGAATAAGTATATTGAGCTCGATATGGTTGCGGGGGACACTTACTCGGACAGTGGCTCGAGGTTTTCGTACCCCTCCAATGGAGAGGGGTATGAGTAGGCGGATGGGTCTGTCATTGTGTGTTGATTAGGATTATTGGGATTATTGAAGAAGATAAGAGAGCAGTGGGGGTGTGTAAAGATATAGGTGGAAGAAAGACTACAGGTATATGTGGCATCCACGGTATAACTTGGGTTGCTTAGCGAGGCGCTTGCAAATCAATGCAAATAATCGATTTGGGTAACTCAAATATCTCTAGTAAGCATTGACCAATCTTTTCAATCTTTGTGGTATCAAAAATGTCGTCAGTTAAACCTGGAGTATCATCATCTGTCAAATCTCCAGCGGGGAATTTCCGCACTCTGACAAAGCCGCGGAACGATCCACCTACGATTTACGAGTGGTTACTTACATCGATGTACGATTAATTGTACATCAACTGCTCTTTTTCCAATTATAGGAGATAGCAAGTATCAATTATTAGCTTGCTGTCAGGCAGCGTGCTTATTTAGAAATATGACTAGTTTAATCAACTGTCAATATTTTTAGATTTTATAGAATTTTCCTACACAATATATATGTTTGACCTAATGGTAATGATCATGGAGACATTGAATAATGAAATACTCCACTATATTTATATATGTTGTACCTATCTTGTATAGCATAAACAAGGTAAACTAAAATAGTCATGAATGGAAGAAAGTTAGGCCAAAAAATAGTGAAAGTCATAACATACACCTTGGTATCACTCATAGCAGCCCTCAAACGCCAATCATCAAAACATCCAGTAAGAAACACTACCAAGCAGCCCGAATGTCGATATGGCCATCGTCATCCACGAACTTGCCGCGATCCCATTCCCGTCCTTCGCCTTTCTTCGACCACTGTACATCCTCCGGTTTGCCTTCTCCATCCACACCCGCAAAAGCAGTGTTATTCTTCCATTTATCAATGACAGCCTCGTCAATTCCTGCTGTACGTAGCCTCTCCTCGCCCTTATTTCTCCAGCGTTCACGATCACGCAGCGCCTCCATTGCCATGTCCCAGTCATCGTCTTTTGTCATGAGCCCTGCGACAGGCCGGCGAGAGGATTCCAGGCCCACTGTATGTAATTTGTCTTCATCTAGATGCACATCGGCAGCCGGGTCGTAGCCGGGTGCAAAGTGTGCATCGATATTGCTCATATTGTGTTTATAGGCACCTCGCCCGCGCGAGCGGACGGGTGCTTCGTTTTGTCGAGGAGGAAGTGGCCCGACAAGGTCTTCTAGGGGATCGGATTCGTTGCCCATCTCGCTTTGGCGTGCAGCCATATCAGGCAACGGCGACACTCGTTTATGTCGCGTGCTGGTTTCAAGGCGAGAACGGCGGGAGCCATGTGGCGATGCATCTTGGCGCTTTGACCGCCGAGTTTTGTGCGACTCTGGTGAGCGGGAACGGGAAATGGAGCGAGTAGAATGTCCAGATTGACGTTTTTGTCTTCGATGGCGATGGCGGTCGGTACTTCGGTCTCTGTGTGGAGATCGGCTGGCAGACCTCGAGTATGATCGCTCACGTCGCCGCCTGGTATGCTCCTTATCTCTGTCCCGTCGATCTTTCCTGGATGACCCATGATCCCTGTGCTCGCGCCGATGTTCATCGCGGTCTTTGTCTCTCTCTCCAGTTCCGCCATACTCTTCGTTTCTTCGTCGATGCCTCCGGGACCGGTCTCGTTCCGCCGAAGGGGAACGACTTCGAGTTCTTTTCCGATGTGAACGGCTGCGATCTTCCCGATCTCCTCTTTGGTGGTCTCTTGATCCTTGCAGCTCACTCCGACCATCAGATCGTTTGGAAGAACGGTCTGTCGAAGTTGGAGCTAAAGCATCTGAAGCACCCGAGGCCTGGTATTTCAGTTGGCGCATACGTTCCCGTGCTTCTCTTTCCTCTTTGAGCTTGAGAGCTGTGTTATGATTGTCTGTTACTTTGATAAGATTTCGTAGGAAGCGAGTATTGGGTTTGGGGGCATTGCTTGTTGGCCTGCAGGTGTTTGTTAGTATTGTACTCATGCAAACCGCTAATTATAAAAGTAAACCAACCTTGAAGGCATAAAAGCACTCATTCCTTGAGACGCATATTTTATAGAACTCTCCTTAGCCTCCTTGGCGAGGATCTGTGCAACATAATCGTCGTCCATGACACAGATGAGCCGCAGATCTTAGGACTCTGAGGGTGTTGAAGGAGTGCACCGAGGAAAGCAAGGAATGCAGGAAAAGAAAAAGTATATACGCTAGGCCATATCAAAATAGAACAAAGGTGGAATGCTTTTCAGCTGAAAGAGAAGCAAGAGAGGCGAAGACGAAAGCGCCTTCCAAAAGTTGGACTGACCGCCTTTGATATAGGGCTGTTTACTGTCCCGCAAATGTTATGCCCGCAGGACTCGGCCCCTCCAAGCTCTCTAGCAATCGCAAACCTCGTTGGTTTTTCTTTTCATAGCCAGGTTTTCGATAAACTGGCCCTATCAATATGGCAACCTCATCATCTGAAGCCCTCGCAGCACTTCAGCAACTGGAGGAGAGCGGCAATTTGAAGGACCGACTCGCAATTATTCGCATCAGCGAGCCAATTTCCACCGAAGTTGGAGGATCTTACCCGTCTCCTTCAAAACGAACCTCTGATGTTTCCATCTCAAATTTCGACGATCCTACCCCTGCCTCGTTGGAGGCCGATCTTGCACACTATAAGGTCCGCGCGATGAGCCTGAATCCCGGAACGCCCGCTGCCTAGAAGAGCAAATATTGATGTTTTCGTATAGGAACTATTCTCCAAGCTGCGATTCTCCTACCTCGAGCAAGTAACGAAAGAAAAGTTTTTGCGCGCCATTGTTGGCGACCCGCCCGTGATTGTCGGACACAATGAGAACATGGAACTCGAGACGCAACTAGCGGACGTGAAAGCCGAGCTCAAGGCACGGAAAGAAGACGCACGGATTATGACTGAGGAAATGGAGCTGATGGGCCGCGATCTAGCAAGCCGTGAGTGGCCAATGACCGTGGAAGATGAACATGTTGACTGAAGCGCCTACCGCGACCATGACAGGTTACAAGAATGTAGAACTTCAAACTACACAGCTCTCAACGCTGCCTGATTCAATCGAGAATCTCGAGTCAACCATCGCCGAGCTCCGCGCCAAGCAGGTCGCCACCATGGATCCTTCCGATCCTAACAATACTTCCTCTTCGCAGAACCTTCCTCTTCCCGCGACCTTGGCACTTTTGGCGGAGCGTGAGGCAGAACTGGCAGCGTTGAACCGCCAGTTGGCTGCTGTGCACAACACATTGCCTCGGAAGACCCGAGAGGCCGAAGCAGTAGAGAGAGAGCGCAGCGTGCTTGAGCGACGGAAGTCAGATGCGATCGCGCAAGCCCGTGAAGCGCAACGCAAGAAGCAACAGGGTGAAAGTGATGGGCTAGAAGAGATGGGACGCTGGTACAGGGGGGCAGAAGAAACCTTGAAAGAATTGGTGGGGAGCAAGGCATAATAGTCTGCAGGCCAAGCCCAGGCTTGTGTACGATGACACGAGGAACGAACGATTGAGCTTATCTTAGGTGGGTGGGGATCGGGGAAGAATGGCGTTTAGGATCTACTGTACATATATGGGTCCATGGATATTACAATTCTAGGTTACGAAATCCTGGGAATCGAATTAAATCGGGTTCCAAATTGAAGCCTTTTGGCTGTGTTTGATTCATTGTATTGCATGATCGTAGAACATGAGACGCTATGCAGTCATTTTGAACCTCCATGGTATGAAGGCGCCCCAAGCGAAACCCGACCGTACTCCATTTTTTGGGGAATATTAGGAATAATTTATTCCTCCTCCTCCTCCTCGGCATCCTCACCACCAGCGGCGGCAGCAGCCTTCTTGCGGCGAACGCGACCGGGACGGCCACCACCGAAGGGCGAGGTGAGAGAGAAGTCGATGTGCTTCTGGGAGTCGAGGCGGACCATGAACGAGGGAACGTTAACGATCTGCTTTCCGACGCGGATGTGACGCTGCTTGATCAGGACACGGGCGTGGTGGATGGACTTGGCGAGGCCGAGCTTGTAGACGCAGGTCTGGAGACGGCGCTCGAGGAAATCGTCAGCCTTGAGGGCAAGGACGTAATCGAGCTTCATGCGGGCCTCATCGAGCACACCGATGCGGACGAGACGGCGAATGAGGGCATTTCCTTCGAAGAGACGCTTGGGGTCCTTCTCATCGAGAGTAAGGAGCTCACTGTGGAGAAGATGAAAAATTAGCGCCATGTCCACCAAATTGTATTTGGCTTGGCCCGATCGCTCGAAGCCTCGCAAAATCGCGAATTGTTCCTTGCACGTACCGAGCAGCACGACGGATCTTGGAGAGGGTGAGCTGGACACGCCACACCTCGCGCTTGTTGCGCAGGCCGTACTCGCCGACAGTCTTGAGTTCAGCATCACTATTGAAAAAAAAAGTTAGGAATATGAACACGACATGACCAGAAGCACGCTTCTGGTCAGTGGCCGGAGAGTACTAACAGACGGGCCGACTCGAAGGCTGTGATGGAGTTAGCCTTTAAACATTCAAATTCACCATTTCGTTGGAAATTCACTTACGGCGACGGGGGACCTTGTAGGTCTTGGAGGAAACGCGACTGCACGGGAATTGATTAGAATGATGCGATGCCTTCGATTTTGATCATATACTCACGGGGCCATAGCTGCGGTTAGATGGGCGGAGGTTGTCGACAGGAGGTCGAAGGGTCAAGGATGAATTGAGAATTTGAGTGTGTGTGATGCGAGCCCTACCCTAGTCCTAATTAAGAAGTATAATTATGTCAGCTTGATTATGTCATTTGATCTCTCCACCGGGGCAGGCCCATGGTTCCACCCGTGGACTCTTCTGCAAATCCTCGGCCCTTCAGTAATTACCTGGGATGCTCGTCTGCAGCTAATTCTTTTTATATATATACTTGTATGAATTGCTTGATTTACTGTGACGGCTATCTACTGTGAATAAGCGTGAAATTTTAGGATATCTTTATGTATCGCTCTGACTCGGGACTTCTCTTGATGTTGCATCAGGTAAATCGTCAAAACTGGGGTTTGGCATGATGATTTCCTACACCATGACAAGCAGGCGAAGGCGCCATGTGCCCCAAAATTCATATTTGACCCATCACAATTCATTCATAATCAATGGGCTAAATGCTATTTCCCCCAGCAGCCCAATTTGGTGGCCACTGTAGAATTAGTTGATCTGGCGAAGAATGGCAGTCAGTCAACATGGTCACTGATGTTCAAGTGCATGTGAGTTACGTGATAATTTATATTCTGAGATTGTGACCAAGGCTGCTGCTGGCCGCTAGACAGCTGCCATTCTGATTACGGAGCCGTGAGTATTATATTGTTGTTGCCATGTCAGTTCACTATACTCCGGACGGAGTACTGCACTGCCAGCTAACGTTCATAGGCATCCAACAGTTGAGTATTTTGTAGTTGAGGATTTCTTTGAGGCTTAGAGCTCTAGAATTTAGAGCTGCAACGATGAAATCTAAAAAGTGTGAATGTCACTAGATGTTTGTTCAAGGATGACAAGGCTAAGCCGATCGATATATGCGCAGGTGGCTAAGAACGTCCGAGTATGTTGGGAACAAGGGTTGTATACTGGAGACAAATCGCGGAGATTGAAGGAAAATACTGGCTCTAAAACCTGGAAAAAGCAGGTGTGGTGGTTTGGTTGAAGCCTGCCATTACCTCCTCTGCCAGCACCGACGCTATCACCTGGACGCTCGCCTTTTTTGATGATTATGTGTAGTACGTGTCAGTCACTATACAAATTACTAAGAGGATTGGCTTGAGATGAAATTTAAGTAAAACTCAAATAATCTGGCGTGCCCCCGAAAGGTTGGCATGGATACAGAAAAGAAGGGGAGGAAGCTTGGATAGAGCACAGCATACTTATACAACAACCTCGAAATAAAAACGATGAAGGGCTCGAGGCAAGTCAAGCTTTGATTGGCTAAAGGTTGATTATTACGCTAACCCGAATGTGGAAAATAGATCGAATAATCCGAAAGAGGCATAGCGTGGCTCCAGGGCTTTAGCGAGGTGATTATGTCATGTGAATCCCACAAATTGTTATCCGACACTCTAGTTTTTCGTGTTGAAGGCCCCGTCGACAATTAACCACCAGCACCAACCACAACACCGCCGTCATGCCTCACTCGTACGGTCTGCGCGCCGGCACTCGGGTACGTTATGATTCCCTTTGCGACACACGTCTTTTTTCATACTGGGAGGACGACCTGGATCAACTGGATACGCCCTCGGGCCTCAGGGAGGATAAGTGCTAACGAAACGACGAACAGTATGCCTTCAGCCGTGGCTTCAAGGAGGCCGGTATGATCCGCCTCTCTACCTACATGAAGACCTACCGGTACGCTCAAAACCCTCGAATCTCGAACAAACGACAAGAATTGAAATCTGACGGATATTTATAGTGTTGGTGATATTGTCGACCTCAAGGTCAACGGTGCCGTCCAGAAGGGGTCAGTACAAATCCGAAACTTCCTCCCAGCGCTCTCGCCCGACCGCCCACAGCGATCACACACCATGGGCAATGCGAAACCCGGAAAGAGAAGACGAGAATCTAACAATTGAACAGTATGCCCCACAAGGTCTACCACGGTAAGACCGGTGTCGTCTACAACGTCACCAAGTCCGCCGTCGGTGTCATCCTCTACAAGAAGGTTGACAACCGCTACCTCGAGAAGCGCATCAGCGTCCGCATCGAGCACGTCCAGCACTCCCGCTCCCGCGAGGACTTCATCAAGCGTGTCAAGGAGAACGCCCTCAAGAAGCGCGAGGCCAAGGAGAAGGGTATCCACGTCCACCTGAAGCGTCAGGCCGTTGGTCCCCGTGAGGCCCACTTCGTCAAGCAGGCTGGCAACAAGCCCGAGACCGTCGTCCCCATCGCCTACGATACCCACATTTAAAGGGCTCGCTATCGAATTGGAACGGTGTGTGCGGTTGTTAGGTGTTTACTGGGTTTTCACTCCATTTTTGCCTAGACTGAAATGGACTTTGATACTTGAGACGAAGCGCAAAGGGTTTCGGATGCCCTGGCACATCTCTCGCCTGTGCATAGATTCCCCTGAATGAAACAAAATCAAAAATCTCCGAGTTCATGTCTACAATTTTCCCGGTCCGGCATAGCTTCTCATGATTCGATCTACTGTTCTAGACCTGTGTTCGTAGTGCTGTTCGTTCTCACTCTTGGCCTTGATGGGTAGCCCAATGTCAGGACCACTTGTATTCTGATCAAGCATGGCTCAGACTTCAATTCCTAATCGTTGTACTCGTTGACTAGATTCCAAGGTTACGAATTTCGATGATCCTGAATGATGATTGAGACTATGGGAATGGCTTCGCAATCTGTCATGCTCGGATTTCTCGACCACGTCATTTGGTAGTATGGGCACGTCTGCGTTGATCACCGACCGTATCCATAGGCAATGGCAAGGTTGAGATGATGTATTAACACAATATACTGACTACATTTCACTAGGTACGAGTTCATTCTGCGAATGTACGGCACGACGTCATAGTCTGCTCTCTTTCCTCTCAGCCTAGGCCTACAACATACATTATCAGCTCACCTTTTACGCTATACTGCTGCTGCACAAAACACTTTACTTCTATCATGCCTTCCTCTCCGCTCCCTACGTGACTAAGGGGAGATTTTCTTCTAGTTGTTCTTATGTTGGGTATAGACGAGAGAGCAGGCCATCTATCTGCATGTGTGTATGCGACCTGTGCTTTCACTCGCATTTGAACAGTCGTCTCTACTCCGACCTCATCGAAAAAAGGCAAAAATATTTATTTCTGCATTAATTGGCTTTTTGTCTACAAATTGCAATTACGGGGCGAAGCTCCCTTGGCATTGTTACTCTGCTCTTTTCGCCACCCTCCGTTGTGGCAGAGCAAGAGAAAAAAAAGAGAAAAAAAGAAAAAAAAGAAAGGAAAGTGTCAAAAGTATGACATAGCTGCACAGATACTCGTACTTTGTTCACTGCGAGGGCCACAATAGTACATGCAGACTATATTCCAAATATTGGAGAACAGCCAAGTGGGCGCAGTCGTTTCCCCATTTATCGCCACCAGGATATAAGCTCTCTGAAGCTATAGCTTTGACCAGAGCTCGGCCTCGGCATAAGTCGGGCATCATCAAACTACTTCAGGCTGCTCTACCCAGGTGACGAACGCACCCGAAGCAATCACCTGCTTTCCTGCTTTTACCGATATTACCTCCCTCAACCCAAGATCCTACCTTGGAATCGTGTAGGCGAAGTATCCGGTCCAAAGCGCTAAAAAGTCAGACCGACATTTGGCAAGTAGTGGAAAGGCTTCTCGTATTACACCCCTGCTTTCAGCCATGGTTAGGCCACTAGCCCGTTCTGGACTATAGCCTACACAACATGTGTTGTCCCTGTCTACGGAGTAGTGAAGAGGAGCTACATTCGACTTGGATTTTAGCGCATCGGTCACTTCAAACTTGCGGTGACCATATTTCACCCCTCCATCCCCCTCTATCTTCTGATCGAAGCGCCCGGTGGTACGGACTACGGATTATTGGCTGCCTACGCTGATGATTGGCTTAGTTTATGTCCTTAGATTGTGGGCGAGCACTTGGGGCGAGTGAAGATGTATACGCGTGGATACCTCCAGGATGTTGTGCCCGATTGCCCTGATTGTTTACAATATAGTATGCCCAACCCGGAAAGATTCTAGAAGTTTGGCTAGTCGACACTCGAATACACGAGCACCACCCCCTTTGTGTTTCAGACCGGGAAGTCTGTTCGTATGACGTAAATGAGGGGCATAAAGTGATATTATCGTATTAGTATGTATCATATGTATATTATAATATATTTTGTTGTTATACCTCGATCGGCCTAGATGCTTATTTCTTGTCTAGACTCTAGACTCAAAGATCTTCGTGGTCTTAGATCGTTCACCAATAACCTCAATACTGTATTGTCATCTAGACTCTTTTATTTCCTAAATCGCAACAGAATACACGGGATTTCCCTTAGGGCCCGGGTGTTAAACCTAGACCCTAATCGAAAGCAATACAACATAGCTCTGGAAGTAGCACATACTGCGCCACAATGGTTTTGTTTTTGTTTTTAGGAGAATGTAATGTGATGTATCATATTCAAGGCAAAACAGAAATTGTAAGGAATTGTTCTGGAACGTGTTTTTTCCCCTTTGACGGGGCAAATTCTCCGCTACCCGCCATAATGTCTGTCTCGCATAACTTAACATGTAAGCGGTGGAGAACCACCCCACAGGTTTGCAGATCGATGGACTGGTCGCATAATTGGATATATATTTTCTGATGGTATGTGCAAGTGTCTAGATTCTCAAACTATGGCTTTCTGACGTAGACCTTCTTGAAAAATGGTGTGATAGAATTGCTAGGGTGTGTAGACCGCTACACCGCTCCTACACACCCATCAAGCACCCGTGTGACTGACTCGTGAATTGAAATGAGGTGGAGCGGTAAAGGCAAAGGCCAAGGTAAAATTCGGGCATCTAAGTGAGTATGGGTACGTATCATACACCCTACAGGCACCTGTCGACCAGAACCATCTTGGATCATGGAAGTCTAGATTTGGGCAAGCACCGCCACACTATTGCCAGAGCTCCATATATTATAGTTCATGCCAAATCCAGCCTTACATAAAACGGGGGCGAAAGAAGTAGGTATAGCGCATTACCTGGAACCCGGGTCCGTGTCTTGGCTGATAGCGGAGATCTTGAGAATAATGAATTTCTTTTCAATTACCTTTGTATTTGAATTGCACTTCAATTGAATTGAATTGTTGTTCACCAGCCACTGCCGAGACGCAATACTCAAGTTACGCGCTTGACAGGTGGATGTATGCGGCCCGGGTAGAAAAGATCGGCAGGGTGGATATACCTAGTGAGTTTATCAACCCGTTAGTTGCAATATACACAGACATGGGCCCAGGGCAGACTTGGATAGACTAGGGAGCTATTATTTCCTAGTTTGTGTGCTATTGGTGGCTGTATGTGAATTGATCCCCTATGTGGCTTTTTCCCCTTTTCTAGTTCCTTTTCAGAGAACAAGAGAGAGGGGGGGAAACGCTCTATTAACTTCTTAGCTCCTAGCTCTAGCGTGTTTGTCAGCGCTATGCTAGTTTTCTGAAAAGGGTTCGAAATATGTCTACGTATAGAACCTAGCAATCCGGTCGTAGATCCCCCACCATATTTCTTTTGAACGCCATCATAATCGCCATTACTCTGCCTACGAAGGAGAACCCGGGGTGAGCTTTCACCTTCACCTTCACGCCCGGGTTCTCTTTCGCAGGCAGCAAGATGATCAGGCCAAAAATTGAATCGATTTGACTTATAAAAGGTACTTTCTCTTCCTCTTTTTGAAGGCCATCAATATTCACACTCTTTGAGCTCACAGCTCCCACGTTGACTACTTCGGCGGGAATCTGCACCCCCAATCAACAAACTAGTCTCTCTTGCCTTGCGATTGAGTAGCTACTGGTGCTATCAATCCACTTTACTCCCTCCTCCCTCAAAATCGTGTTCACCGCCGCTCTCAACAACAATATCCGTGTTTAAGCGCCAAAATGAGCTCCAACAAGTAAGTCGGCCACATGATTTGATAGCATGCACCGCCAATAACCGCACAGCCCTCGATACTCCCAATTTCCAACTCAATCGTCTTTGATGTTATTCAACAGGAATATGATTATCTTAATTGCTAACCTTGACTTTCTCTTAGAGCCTCGTCGTCCGACTTCCTGGCGGCCAAAACTTCCGGTCCCACTACCAAAGGCACCACTTCCCTCGGCCTCAATGATGCCTCGGTGTCTACTCCCAAGTCGCAAAAGGGAAGCTCATCTATGCTTGAGTCGTGGGCGAATGCACCCACCTCGTCGGAGCCATGGTCAACGGTCAAAGCTACCTATTCGCCCCAACGTTAGGCTTTGGTTATTGGTATTTGTTGAGATTGGGTTTTGTATCAAATTATTGTACAAGGGTCCAGCGGAGTTGTGGCGAACAAGATCCGAGCTTCGTTCTATCTTTCTAGTTTGGAGCGCCACATATTAGAAGGGAAAGAATTGGGTATTTAGATTGGCTGATAGCTTTGGAGTGGATCTGGGGCTGTTTTTTTGGTCATCTGTTGCTTGTTGGGTTTTATTTCGTATTTTGTTCTGTTCGTTTTCGTTCTGTTCGTTTTCGCTCTCTCTTTTTTTTCCCTTTTTTCTTTTCTCTCTAGCGGGCATATGGGCATTTACAAGATGTACGAGGCATAGAGAAATTGTATTTGGGTTTGCGTTCTTTTTGTTCACTTTTATCTTCCCAGATCTAGACAAGGTGATTGTAGTCGGGTAATGCATGACATGACGTATTGCACAGGTTGTTAGAGCTACCTAGGTATCATTATGTTGCACCAAGCGAGCAATAGGAGATATGTATTCCACCTTGGCCAAAATCTCCCTTCAACAAAGCACCTATGTATTCAAACTTTGGATGAACCATGGTAGATAGATGAGGCTCGGTCTGTCCCGTTCCCCGCCTGATCCAGACTATCAGTAACCCTACGAGTATCGGAGTTCTCCGAAGTACGTACGAAGTACGGAATACTCTAGTCAGTAAGATTTCCCTACCTTTTTCTTAATTCTTTTTCTTTCCTCCTCTCCGTCCCGATTTATGGGTTATTGTTCGTATCGAAAGGATGGATATCTATTTCCTTAATCTCCACCCGGCCCCATTTTAATAAGTCTTGAGACAACCTCCAAATAACCAGTGATTAAAATATATGTCTGGTGAAGGGACAAAGCGATGATGCTTAGTGGCGATTATCACCAGTTGCCCAAATATCATGGGATCCCGGGGCAAAAGACAAAAGTACAATCGTGCAGATTGTCATCCGAGCACAAGACAGGTTGATTGGTACAGGGACGCACAGGAAAAAGGGGAGGGGGGGCTTGCTGCTGAAAATGACGGAAAACTGTCTCGAGCTTAATCAAAAGATTGCTTTCGTCTGAGCCATACACATACATGGAGGAAAGGTGGGTGATTTATCCTAATGCGCCCTGCAATAGTAATTAATCCCTGAATCCCTAATGATGCAGGTCCGGTAACTTTTCAATCACCTGCTCAGGAGTATTCTTTTTTTTTTCTACCAGTGGTCCTGACGAAACTACTAAGCCCTGAAGGTTTTGCTTCACTTGCAGGGGTGTTGATGATGGGATTCCAGTGTTTTTATTCAATATACCTTGCCTCACCAACCCCCTACTACCTACTACCTTCCCCACTCTTGGTCTGCCAACAAGATCCAGAAAAGTTGCCCAGGATTTTCCATCGATAAATGTCATTTGTCCGCCCAGGTATCCCGGCAGGTCCGTGCGTAGGATCCATAGGATTGCAATGATGTCTCTGCATATACGGAGTACGGAGGATGGAGTATGTATGCTATGGCCTTTTAGATTTGGGCGTAATTGGGTGAACTGTGTTATTTATTTAATCGAATATTATTTTCAACCATCCTATTGCACTGCAATTTATTGTCTACTTCGTGTCTCGTAATGAAACATCCGGGCTTCTCGGAGCCGAATCGATACTCCCAGAGACACCTTAACCGTTTGGCTGGAGATATTCCAACCTTTTGCTTCTTAACTCCAAAGAGACTGATAATGGGTGGAGGGTCGACCTGCATACTCAATATTGCCCTGGCAGAATGATTTTGTTCGAATTCTATTGTTTGGACTGCTCATATGAATCCCATTGAATTTCGTTTCCCTCGGCATGTTTATTCCATCTTTTTCTATCCATTATATGACGGATTAACCATATTCAGATTGAACAATACTAGTCTATACCTACGTCACAACATTTCACTTCATAAACTCTGAATGATCTGCACTAAACTAAAGCCACATGTGCGGCTGCTAATATAATAAGAAAAAATAAATCCCTTGTAAATCTTTTATGTACTTCCAAAGCACTGCCTCTTACCCCCCCCCCCCCCCCCCCCCCCCCCCCCCCNGAAATTTTATCCCCGATGTTCCATATGAATTGCATTCCATTTTTTTAGCAAGTCGGGATAAATATCCGGCCTTATAGGCCTAATTATCTACAATTTTGCACAAATGGCTTTGAATTGTAAGGTGAAATCATCATTCGCTGCCTCGTCCGCATAGAGGCAACAAGTTGACCGCCTCACTGTTATTCGCTCTGCTTGGGCCGAAACAGTATTATACGGATATTGTACTGAGTACGGAGTACTCGAACTCTCTTTCTCTATCTGCTTCTTCCATCTTCCAGGGACCGTTTTCTTGGGCGAAGACGTGTTTTCAACCCAAACACCTCCCCCCCCGGTCCGGCAATCCTCCCAGCCCAAATTGGGTTTGATTTTTCCCTTCTTCACCCGGGTGCAGAGCTCGGGAGGAGGCGCAGGCTAGACTCTGATTTCCTTAAGAGGGCTCTTCTTCCCCTCATTGAATCTTCCTTTTCCTCAGGTTCAAACATTCTCCACGCTCTGACATCATTTACCTCAAGGAGACCTGTTCAATATGAATATTACTTTCAACGAGGATGACGAGGAGGTCGATGAGATGATGCAGTGGCATGGAACTTCTGGCTCATCTGAGGACTTTACTGGCACGGACTATGATCAAGTGTGTACCCACATAGATATTCTAGCTCCCGGCTACTAATGTACTAATGCTTGGTCAGGACTATGCGCTTTATCACACAGGAGCATACTCGTCCGCCGACGTGACAAGCCTTATGAGCTCGGAAGCCTTCCAACAGGATTCCGCATGGATCAACACCGGGCCCATTAGCCAAGTGCCCGAACCTCCACAGCAACATGCCAGCGACCTGGATTATATTGATCCGAGGTATCACACTGCGGTCGAAAATATTCCTCAAACACTAGATGATCTAGGAAGTTCGATTCTCACTCAAAGACCAGCGGATGATCTAAGGAGTGAGAGCATTGCTCATCCCTCGCAAGGCTTGGATCGGACCAGGATTGGAATCCCAAATTCCACCTCGTTGCCTCTGCAACCTTCACTTGAAGGTGCCATGGACCAGGTTGTCGCAACATACAGAGCTCTCGTGTATAATCAGCTATGTAGTCCTGACCAAATCTCACAAGGGATGCAGGGCATTGACACGATCAAAAACTTCTTTCATTCAAAGCTCCAACCTCCGATTTCATTAAGTGGGTCCTCGGAACGAGGCAAAAAATTGTTTCGATGTTGGCTATGTGATCCTCAGAAGGAAAGAATAACCTTTACAACCTTCGGTACCTTTAAAAGACATTTGGCTGGGCATGGTATACTCGACTGCGAGTGGCGATGTACAGAGCCACTTTGCCTCAAGGTGCTCCACCGGCGCGATAGGATGCATGACCATCTTTTCCAAAAACACAAGAAATTCGATCTACTCCCGGCTGATGTGGAAGCAACCCGAGTGAGATATGCCCCTCCACGCAAATGTCCCTTTTGCGAACACGAGACATCTTCTTGGTCTGTCTATTTTGATCACATCAAGAACCACTGTCTCGTTTCTTCTGGTTCGGCGAATGCTTCAGCCAACGGCGATCAGTCTCGTCACGGCGACAATAATGGCGGGAACGGCAATAGCAACGGCCACGGTCATGGTAATGGCTCTTCTTTTACCGGACCTAGCAATTGGAACGGAGAATCCCAGTCTAACCGATCAAATAACCGGACTGGGGGCACTACTTACCATTACCCAAGCTCCGGAAGCTTCAGGAACAGGGGCAATGCGCGTCCTGGTCCCATCTCCCACTCTATTTCTGACAATCAACTCAACAGTAGCCGTCGTCAAAGCGCCGCTGATGCCATCGGTCAAATTTCAATCGACGACTCCCCTGGCTCATCTCGTGGGTCCACAGCTCAGACCCCCAGAGCCAGCAGACAGCCCAGGAATATCCAACCGCCCCAAAACCCCGGGTCGTCACAGGCTGACCATTCGACCAAGCGCAAGCGCCAGGACAAGCAAAAAAAGCCAAGAGAAGAGAAGCCCTCTAGCCCGAACAATTGCAAACTATGTGCTCATGACATGGCCAAATGTGAAGACTGCAAATCTATCCAAAGATGCCACAAATGTGGCGACGTGCCCAGGAGTTCTATCCAAGCTGGATCTTCCTCGACAATACCCGCGCAAGCTTTTCCGGAGACATCTTCTACCATCGTCAATTTGAACGGGTCCTACCTTAACTCTGGAGCATTGCCGAACTTTATAATGCCTCAGAACATGGCCACTCAACTACCTTTTTACTACCATACCAATGAGATAATGCAGTTTGATCCAGGACCATTTGACAATATGACCAACACATTCACCGATGATCCATCTCCAAATACTCGTTTTGTTGGGGTCGCAATGGATATCCAAACACAACCACCTCTGCGTGGTCTTGGCGACAAGGTCCAATACTCGCCTATTTTTGAACGTGATATCAGATTACTTCGCAGCGTTGGACTTGGCACATTGATTGACCCCATCTCTGTCAAAAGACAAATCAAACAACCTAAACCGAAAGCCTCGGGTGTCCCGGCTCCAGGCTTATACACGGATCTGGCTTTCAGAGACCATGGACCTCCGCCCATTCTACAAATTCCCCAGCCGGAATATCGTTGCCAATGTCCATGTGTAACTGTCCCATCTACCAACTACGAAGCCCACGCAAAGTTTCGATTATCGACCAACGAAAGAGTTGAGATGACATTCAAGATGTCCCCGGCGCGCGAATCCAGCCACCCCCTCCGCACCCGAGTGCAAGTCTTCGTGAAACTTTTTAGTCTTCGCTCATCTGCGGCAAAGTCAAAAACCAAGAATCATAGGACTCAGCCCATCGCATCTGAAACTACCTCTACCTTCGACGATGATGCTGAATCTACTACCGATTCAGAGCAAAATCTCACTCCCACGTCGCCTTCCAGCTCTGAAATGACGCCGCCGCTCTACTGGACCGACGTGCAAGCCTGGACATTCAGTTTTGATGTCAAGTGGGCTATATTGAAACTAGCCCAGTGGACCAGTGGCATAGATGTCGATATGTGCCGAACCCAATTCCTTTCTAATCCTCGCTATATACTCGACTTGGTGTCTTTATATATTTTGTGCGAGTTCCAGATTTCTTGGCTTTTGAAGGGTAGCAACGTGCAGGATTTCTCTTGAGAATCTAAAAGCACCCTGTTACCACTACTTATGCCCCGTCCATACTCTTCTATCCTCATGTTTGATGCCCTCCCTCTACACCCTCCTAATGACTTAGACGATTTCTTTCATGTTCCAATTTTTTGGTTTTTCTGTTCTTGAATTATCGCGCTTTGCTTTGTTTTACATAAAACCCTCCTATACAAGTCTGCATATTGTGCGATTGGGCATTTAATTTCAAGGCGATGCATTAAGTCGTCATGCGTTTGATCATGGGGAGCTAACTACTTACATGACATTTCATAAACCACAAGATTGGACCCGGAATGAATATGATTCACGCGCTATGAAGCTCTTCCTAGTCTCGCTCTCAGTTCTAGACAACCGCCACTAGAGGGATTTTCCAAGAATCGGGCTGTGCCTTAGCTACCTAGTGTATGCCTTAGTTATTTGCCCTGCTTGCACTGCCCCCGTCGGGGTTCTGCGTTATGTAGTATGCCTTGGGCATACAACACGACAAGTAATAAGCTCTATATATGAACTGGGATGTACCCTGACTCTATTGGTAGGAGATATTAGCCTAAAGTTGATTGCGTATTTGACCAGGGGTGTTGCATTACACTGCCTCGCATGCAGCTTGAGCATAGATCTAATAGCTACCTGCAGACCCTGCAGGCATATTAATCGCTCTTATACACTCCGTATTGAATCTGAAATGACGGCTAAGTAACGCGAAATTAACGTGAAAGTGACGTGAGAGTAACGAGTATATCTTACATTGTCCATACTATCTTTTCTATACCCTTTTCCCTGGAGTCTGCGTCTACCCAACTAGCTAATTACATGGATGTACAGAGTTCATACATACATGTACTCTGTACTTAAAATGGAACATGGAATATGGAATGAAAAAGAAGAAATATCCTAATACACCGTAGAAAAAAGATAGAAAAAAAAGCGAAAAATTACACAAGAACTAGGAAGATGATCTGAGAACGACCTTGCTAGTTCGGAATTTGCAGCCATTCCATTTCCCCGATAATCCCCCCTGCGCATGAGAAAGCAACCATAAAGCATATGGAAAAGAAAAAGAAAAAGAAAAAAAGAGAAACAACTTGTCTTCGATCTGAAGAAATCCCACCATGCACTAGAGACCATCATCATCATGATCCGTAGCAAGAAGCTTGAGGAAAGACCACTGGGGCCAAATGGCCCGTGATTCCCCAAGCAACGTGACGGTGTGCTTCTCAGTCCTGTCGGCTCCGCTTCGCGCCGTGGGGGTTCCAGGACCCTCCGTCGGAGCCGCTCGCCTGGTTGTTCTGGTTGTTAGGGTTGTAGTAGCCCTGATTGAACCCAGGGTTGGCGCCCTGGAAACCTTGTTGTCCTAGGATATGGTCAGGATCGAGAAAGCCAAAGGGTGGGAAGTCAGTATTTATATCGAAATCACTTACCTTGCATCGGCATGTTGCCCGCCATACCACCGCCCATGGCACCACCCATCATAGGGTTCATTCCGGCCATCGGGTTCATGCCCATGCCACCCATCGGGGGAGTCATACCAGGCATACCCATCATATTTGGACCACCGCCCATGGCGTTTCCGCCGCGACCGCCGCGCATACCAGCTCCGCCGCGCATACCGCCCATCATGTTGCCGCGGTTATTGTTGAATCCGTAGTTCTGCATGCCGCCCATCGGGGCACCCTGGAAACCACCCATCATGGGGTTAGGCGCGCCACCTTGGAATCCACCCATGGGGTTGAAGTTATTGCGGTTGTTAAAGTTGTTGTTCATGTTACCACCCATACCGCGGTTGTTGAAGCCACCGCGGCCGCGGAATCCACTTCCAGCGTGGTTGTTCATGCCGTAGTTGGGGTTGCCACCGGTGTTGTGGGTAGTGCCGCCGCCGCGACCGCCAGCATTGCGCATCGGGGTATCCTTGGGCAGAGTCTTAAATGGGTTTTGGTGGGGGGTGGTGTAGTGCACGGTGTGTTTACGCGCGGGGCCACCGTTTCTTTCGATGTTGTGCTTGGTTGCGGTCGCTGCCTGCGCGCTAGAGAACTCAACAAATGCTTGACTATAAAAATTTTTAATGTTAGTATCAATGCTCGACATCTCTTTTTCTTGCGACCGAGTGTATAATGTTCTTACCCCTTGCTCTTGCCGTTCACTTTATGCTCGCTGAAGGTCACATCCTTAAGCTGGTTCTCGACTCCGGCCTGGTTCACCCAGCCTCGGATATCATCATCGGTTGTCCACCAGGAGAGATCTGAGATCAGCAACGCAGTCGTAGCATCCGGATCAACAGATTGGTCCTCGTATTCCTTTCGCTTGACTCCCTGAGGGGGTGCAGGAAGACCGTGGTGAGGTGTCTGCTGCTGAGGGGCCGGTTGAGCTGCATTGTTGTTCACTTGCTGGGCCTGAGTGGTAGGAGGGTTCTCCTGCTTGATGGCGTTGGATGAGCCGGTGCTGGGCTCAGGCTGATTCTCGGGAGCATCCAGGACGAGCTCAGAATCCTCCTGCTTGAACTCTCCAGGCTCACTGGCATTGTAAGTGCCGTCGCCGTAGATGTCAATGTCGAAGTTGTCGTCGTCGGTAGCCATTGCGAACTAAATTAGTATCCTCTTCAGGGGATTGGACCTCAAAGAAATGATTGAAATTGCCTGAGTATCTGATGTGATGGTACAGGCCCTTCTTCTTCTTCTTCTTCTTCTTCTTCTTGATCCTTTCCGCTTCTGAGCAACTCAAGAAAAGTGCATGTCTGCAGACACAAGCCACCAATTAGCATAGGAAAAAAACATAATGAACGAAAAGCCACAGTCAGTGAAGGGGTAGCGCGATTCCCGTATTAGCTCCCAACAGCCCGTGAGTCCTCACAGGTAAAGCGAACGGAAAATTGGCCAAACCCTCGAGGGGGAACATAGGAAGGGCAGACATGAAGACATAGAGGCCAGACAATACGTACAATCCGAAGCGAAGGGAGCGCGCTTCTGGTAGAAACAAGACTTGCGCGAGCTGCAGACGCGGAGTACAGAGAATGGGATCAGGGCTGTTCCGCAGATGTTCAGATACAAAGTAGAAAGAGAGAAGGGGGATAAAACGACCGCCACAGACAGGCAGCAAGTAATGAATGAGTAAAGGATGTGGAGACTTGGTTAGAGAACAGGAGTGAACAGGGTGAAAACAAGGGAAAGAAAGGTAGGTAGCGTTAATGGGTGTTGGGGGATGTAACGCGCGAACGCCGAGCAATGGATCCCAGTCTCTCAATCACAGTGTGGAGAGCTTCTTCAAGTTCACTATGTTGTAGATATCTTTGATGACAATGAGAATAGCCGGAAGCCGATGAACGATGGCGATGTAATCGCGCGGCACCGGGCCAGACCTTGGAGCTGGAACAAATATTATCCATTCTCCAGTCCCCCGGAGAGGCCAATTGGTCATTTCCGGAGAAACCACCTGTTCTTCTTCAAATTGTCGCGACTCTTCTCCTTCAAAGTTCTTTTTAATCTTTTCATAATTCTCATCTGTCGCAATCATGTCTGAAACTTTCCAAGAGCTTGCCGATATCCCTAAGGACTTCATTCGGGAGGGTTCCCAGTTTGTTCGCCGCTGCACCAAGCGTATGTTGATCGGCAGTCATTTTGCGAGATCTTGAGTTCTTGAAACACTGACTTTTTCAATAGCCGACAAGCGTGAATTCATCAAGATCAGCCAGGCCGTTGGCATGGGTTTCCTTGTTATGGTATGTGCCATTGTGGCAACCCCTGGATCATAGTGCAAGGCGGAATACTGACATCGCCGATAGGGAGCCATTGGCTACTTCGTCAAGCTGAGTATGTTTTCTAGAATGCGGACATTAGTCTGCATGCACGTTGCATGTGTTTCTGTACTAACCTGCTTCTTATAGTTCACATCCCTGTCAACCAGGTCCTGGTCGGTGGCGCCTAAGGGAGAGGCAGATGCTCCGATCCATCTGACAAGTTGAGAGAAATGGAAACAGTTGTCTACGGAGAAATCTTGCAGATGGGAAGAGATGGGGGATGATAAGAGGCGGTATCGGTATCGCGCAAGATACGCATGCTGTCGCAGACATCAATGACACCGCTCCCTGATCTCGCCTAAACACCATGAACTACCCCGCGGGACTACCCAAACAACCCTGGGCTGGCAACCTTCCTACACTGCAAAGCCCTTTTCCTTTTACGTTTTGAATTTCCGTGGCGATCACCATATCAGCCACTTGGCGCTTTTTTTTTGGCAAGCGATAGGCGGAAGACCATGATCGCTATCTATGAGATACCACCCTTTTTCGCATCCTGTATCAATAGGGGTCCTTGTTTTTACTTAATCCACACCGTTCAAGCATTCATTCCCATCAATTTCATGGTATTGAGCTTCTAAATAGCCCGAGATCACATCTACGGCGGTATACCGGACGAAATGTGACTATCAAGTATGTATTGTGCAAAGGTACATGGATAAAGACGCCCAAGATGTGCATAATCAAAAGCCAACTACGAATGCTTTTGCTGGACCAAAAAGAACAATCATTCTTCCACTACCATATAGTGTCCTCAGCTACCTCGTCGCCAGCCCATCGGCGAACAGGTCGACTGCGCAACGGACGCCGCGGTCGAGCACGTGGTGCATTCTCACGATATTGATCGAACTCAGGGATGTATCGTAGTTTGTCGTCGTAACTCTGGCCAACCGGAGGATCTCCCTCGTCTTTAGTGGCGCCGGCATTCCAAGAATGCACAGTGCAAGTGCCAGTAGACAAGCCCCAGCCGTTCCAGGAAGTTGCTAAACATAGGGTTAGCAATGCTTACTAAAACCAATGTTCCGGGATATAGTTCCTACCTGCTAGTACCGGCGCACTCGGGTGCCAGCTTGCATCGCGAACGCAAGTCCTCCACAGCATCTCCCCACTCATCTCATACGCTGTAGCATAGGCATCTGGATCACGCGGTCGGGAGTTAAATGTCGCTTTGCCAACGTCAATGGTGCCGGCTAGCGTGGCATCCAAGTTGTACACATAAACCTTGCCATCTTCACTCCCGCTGTAAACATAGCGTGAGTTTGTGCTTCCTGGTGGGGAGAAGTGGCAGCGGATCAAGGTTTTGAGAACTCGGTGGCCTCGATATGTAACAACAGAGCAGTCATTCTTGGCATTTCTGCGGTACTGGTCTGGATACTGCTCGAAGCGGTAATCGAAGCCGGTTGAGTAATCGGCGGGGTCGATGTTTTCGATATCGGCGGATGTCATCATCTTCCGCAGATCCCAAAGCTTCATCGTTTGGTCTTTGCTATTTGATAAGACGTATCGGCCGTCGCCTTTACTGTCAACGTATGTTAGTCCCTCGGTGTGGCCCATAAAGGCACCGGCTTCACGTCCGTCACCCATTGACCGTCGGTCCCAAACTCGGATTGTCGTGTCATCTGATCCAGAATACAGGATGTGCGGCGATGATGTGTCTCCGTAACATACAGCATTAACATGATGTTGATGCCTATCTCGTAGGTTCAGAACTGGCTGTCGTGTTTCCAGATCGTAAACGATGACTGAGTCTTCTGATGTGCCGGCGACAACCTCACGTCCATCTCCAGAGAATCGAAGAGACCAAATCTATTAACCATGGACCAAATTAGCCATTGAAATGCCGATTGAAGCACCACTTCACATACCCCGAAGTGTGAACTACCCCAGCCCCGTGTTCTCCTTTGGCCCGGCGGAGCAGATAAATCTAAAACAGTAGGATCTGAATCGTCCTCTGGGTCTGTGGTGGCCATGTATGCCTGACTTCGTATTGAACTGTAGACAAGGAAGCGGTTGTCGGGACTCAACGTCGCATCGGTGATAGTCCATTGACCGAACGGATAATCGACGGTTTTGTAGTATTTCCAGTCGTATGGATTGGATGTGTCGTACATTCGAACCTTGAAGTCTTGTGCGCAGCAGAAAAAGAAATTGCCATCATCTGAGAACTGGCCCGAATAACTTCGCGTGTCATAGTGAATGATTCTGTCCGCAACCGAACTTGGAATGAGGCCCTAGTAGGCGCCAAACGTATGCGTTAGTCCTGGTCGCTATTGTAATCTCCATGTGCCGAGTATACACTTGGCCTACCTGAGAGATAGATTGGCCCGCTCTTTTCCGCACTCCATCAGTATCAATGCCTAGTTCTCGCCACATCAGGCTTGTCGCTAGAGATTTCTTGCGCTGTCTGAGCTGGTCGCCGTAGAATTTATCAGTTCCGAAATGACCTTCACCCATCAACTTCTTGCCCTCCGGGTTAGGGACCGGTGGAAGCTTAGTGCTTTCTGCAGATCTGGCTCCGAGGTGATTTCGGAATATGGGCATGAAATCTTCGTCGCTTAGCCCATCTTCCTCATGCTCCAACTGCTCCTGCTCTTCTTCCATTGCCGTCGGCCAACCGCTGGCTTGGAGGATATGTTGTAAACCACTGGATGCAAGCAACTCGAACAACCGTGAAGCCGGTACTGTAATTTGTAAGCAATTGTACTGATATCCTTCGAGAATTTCGAGCACAACGTACTACGGGTGTGCCCCTCGTTCAAATTGTCGCCCTCCGAATCGTCCGCCGTAAGTTGGATCTGAATGTTTCCGATGTTGATGCGAGTATTTCCTGTCACCAAGAGGTGGTTAGTTCATTTTCATACTATTGTGAGGGCCTAGAGTTTAGTCCTACCACTTGCAGCCCCTGGGCCCATCTGCTCATCTTCATTGGATATGTCGTCCTCCCATGAGCCATCGTGTTCCGACGACTCTAGCGCGGGGTGGTACTCAGTATCCCGCTCGTCCTCTTCCAGCCATTCGTGGGCAGGGTGCCAGATCCCTTCTGAGCCCCTTGGAGATTCTCTCCCATTGTCAGGTGTCCTCGAACTCATAGTATTGCTGTGGTAGCGAACCTTGGAAATGAGGAGATATGATGCTTATCGATACATAGTTGATAAGTCCCGACCTCGGTCACGGGCACTGGATTTGGGTTATGTCATCATCTTCTTAACTCCGCTAACTCCGATGCTGACTTCCAACGTTGTTCTTCGAGCATGGCTATACCACATTTCCTTATAGTAAATGCTCTCCAATGCAAGTTCATTCCTCACAAAGACTGCTAGGTGATGATGAGTATATATATCGCTACATTGACCAATTTCTGCAATAAGTGTCCCAGAATATAAAGCTAAAGCATGGAGTTATCCAGAACTTACCCCTTCCGGATTAAGCTTCACATTTATAAATCTGCTTCCAGTGTGTCACCCGCTTCGTGTCACCCACTTCAGCCCTGTGGCTTTGTGTGATTAAACCACATTGTTTCTCGCAAGTACAGTGCTAAATTTACCCTTTCAAGAACCAAGATGGGCACATTATATCCAGGAAAGCAGATACCCGTGGGAAATGTCTCTCGGGCTTTTGCATATGCATGTCATGCAGGGATATAGCTATACCTGGGGAGCGAAAGCATCATGTCAAACCCCATACATGTTTATGATGGTCTTGTTCTACCAGTACGCTTCGAGTGGCATTTCGTTTAGAGACTTCTGGATAAATCTATTGCTACTAGCCCTAGATTCCTCCTTCGCATGTGCTTAATTAGAGGACTGGATTGAAATGGCTTGGCAATACGGCTGTAACTTTCTAAAGAGAAGTATAAGAAGGTTAACTATTTAATAGTACCCTTAGATAATGTCATGGACTATACATATCGATCATTACTTGAACTTTAGTACGACTTACTTCCTCTTCCATTTACTTAGTTCAGCTAGCAATTTGTAGAGCGGGAAAAGAGGAAAGTAAACCATGGATTGAATTGAGTTGTTCACCTAGAGACATAGAGAGAGAGAGAGAGAGAGAGAGAGAGAGGAGAAGGAAGGTCAGTGAGGCTGGTGAGAGTAGAAGGAGGCCTTATCCGCCTTAGGTGGGAGGACTGCCTCAAAACAGTTTCACATGAGGGAACATGTATCGCAGTTGGTAGGTTTAAGTTAAGGTATTGTTGCTCACGGCTATGTAGGGTGTGTTAGTCGCTCTAAGGGAGAGTCTTAAGTGTGCAACTTTTGAAATATATAAAACAAAATGAGGCGCCCCCTTGTACGACGTTGTCTAGATTTTTTGAAGTCCTTTGTCTAAAGTTTTATACCGATAAAGTTCAATATTGCTACATGAAGTAGATGTATGACGAGAACCTTCAAACGGCTGTCAGGAAGATAAGCCAAAAGGGCGGATCAATTATTTCCCCGGTCCCCACTGATAGAGATGCTTCTCCAACTTCCGAGCTCGGGTTCCTTAGGATCTGCTCTGTGGTGTTCATTTCAGGGAATTAGAGTGAGACAAGCTGTCTTATTGAATACCCCACACTCAACTCCCCATTTGGGCATTCACAATATAAAATCCCGCTCACCTTCCCCTCAACTTTCCCTCCGCATCACCCCAACCCCACCACGATGCAGTCCGTCCCAGAATCGCGACAGCAGTCCTTCGAGGAGATCTACGGACCTCCCGAGAATTTCCTCGAGATAGAAGTGAGTTATATAATGCACAACACCTAATGCCAATGCCCGAATCAATCGCCTACCCCGATACCCCAGAGTCTCGTGCCCATATCTCTCCCCTAATCAGCCCCCATACATCCCCACCCAAAACCCGCATCACCACACCCCATCGGGCGCAAAGAACAAACATCCCAGACTAACAACGACTACGACAGGTCCGCAATCCCCAAACTCATGGCACATCTCGCAACATGTACACGTCGTACGAGATTGTGTGCCGGACCAATATCCCCGCCTTCAAATTGAAACACTCCGTCGTGCGCCGCCGGTACTCCGATTTCGAGTATTTCCGCGATATCCTGGAGCGCGAGAGCACGCGCGTCACCATACCCCCGCTGCCCGGGAAGGTTTTCACCAACCGGTTCAGCGACGACGTCATCGAGCACCGTCGCGAAGGTCTGCAGCGCTTCCTCCAGATCGTCGCCGGACACCCTCTTCTGCAGACGGGGAGTAAGGTGCTTGCTAGTTACATACAAGGTGGGTTTATTTTAGTCACTTATGCTGATTACTGTTGAACGCATGCTAATGCTTATTTCGCAGATCCCAACTGGGACCGCAATGCCTGGTAGATGATTATTACTTCAACCATTAATTCATTAACGAGAAGCATGCCTCATTTCTCGGAATTGGCTGGGCTTTGCATTCGGCTTCTTCAGACTTCCTTTCTCACCTTCATCTCCATCCCCTTTCTTCTCCCGCTCTCTCACTCTCATATCCTTCCCACGGCAGACATCTTTCGCGATTGAAAATGGGTACCCGCAGTGTATGCTATGTGATGGTCATTCCTTGAATTTCTTTTATGCTCGTTTGATATCCGAATCCACCGCTTCTTTCTTCTCAATCAGATGCAGATACAAGCAAGTACAGATTTTATTTGTTATCTTTGGACAGGCGCCGTTTCCTGATTTTTCTTCTTCCATTAATTTATCAATATGTATCTTTTCATTTTAGTCTTATCTTTCATGGTGCAATCTTTATGCACAGTGAGAATACCAGACTTGTTACATCTCTTCTTAGTGTCAATGTGATTGCCAATGACATTGAACTGCGAAAACAAAACTTTTATTGAATAGAAACTGTAGCAAAAACCATCGTGTACTGCGGGATATAGATCAACAAAGAAAACAGACCGGAGAAAAAGAAAAGACAGTGTAGAGCACCAAAAATGCAAAGCAAAAAGAAGAATGAAATGAGAATGCGAGAAAGGGAAGAAAGAGACCATCAAGAACCAAAAGAAATTCAAAGATTCATGGCATGTGTCGGCAATATAGCACATCCAAATCTTGCACCTGATTAGGTTAATTCATCCCAAATCATAGGAGCGAGGGTATTATCTTCCCACGGCGTTTCCCCTGCGGAAGAAGTACCTGCCCCCGAGCTATCATCCAAAGAGAAAGAAAGCACACCTGCAGCAGCGGGAGGAAGATACATTGAGTGCTCCAAAAAGCCCTGCGGAGGTGGAGGCAAGAGCGCAGGATCCATCTGTGCGAGATTGGACTGCGAAGAGGTAGCAGCGTGACGACTCCTCGACATCGAGTTGCGGGGAGTGGAAGTCGGGGTCGGGGTCGGAGTCATGACATATGCCTTACTGGGAGATTGTTCGGTGCTGACAGGATGTGAGCGGGGGGTCGACGCGCCTGTAGCCGACTCCTGGGCCTGATTTTGGTTGGTAAGGGCTTTCCCACTCACGGAGCCGCCGTCGCGATAGGCGTGTGGGAACTTGGTTCTGAAGCGGTCGCGGAGGTCTGTTGCTTTGCGGTGGCTTAGGTTTAATCGTGAATCTTGTTGGATTAGAGTCCATTGGAAGCCGTGTACTGCGTAGCCTTTGAGGAGAGCTTCGTCTTCGGCGGTTGTGAAGGGTCGCCGAGAGCGACGTTTGGATTTTGCGACGTGTGGTTCGGGGAGTCCGAGAGATGCGAGGGTTGAGTGGGACTTGCTTGAGAGAGCGGGTGTGCTATTTCCTGATGAGAGTGACTGCGATTGGGCGATGCTACTACTCCCGAGATTTGCGTCGGGCATAGATGAGACGGTATTCGAAATAAAGGGTTTGTGTGCATTGTGAGCCGGACTTCCTACTCCCGAGTTTGGCTCTGAGCCTTGATTTGGGGGCATTAGATTGGACATGTGGATTTTGCCAAATGTCTCGTCAGAGCCCTCTGCTTTGGCTTTGAGTAGGGTATTAGCGAGAGTTTCATGTAGTTGTCTCGCGGCTTCGTTGGGATCGGATGCACTGCGGTAATATTAGCTATCCTGATTGAATGACTTCAAAGTGTTCGATTCCCATTGCTTACCGGTACGCCCATGGACATAAGACTCGGAATCTTTAGCAAGGCGAAGCTTTAGCATAGGGCCATACAGTTGACGAAGAACCGAGCATACCTGTCTTTCAAATTTGAGGCAGTTCGCTGGTTGAACTCTAATTCTGGTTGAGCGAGAATGGCAGTCCAGTTGCCAATACCACATTTGACCACACCCCTAAGTAAAGTAGTCGTCTCTTCTTCAGACCACTTTCTCAGGTTTTTACGGGACCGGCCGCGAGTTTTAGGAGACATTGGCACATCCTCTGCAGGACGGGGTAGCAATGCCTTGCTGCTCTTAGATATTTCTGTTTCACGAACAGCTAGAGCGATCTTATCTGGATCCACCGGGTTAGTACTTGCAACATTTTCATTATTATCAGTGTCTTCGTCTTCATCCACATTGACAGACGTTCTGAGAATTTCTTCGAGTCTGACATCTCGTTTTTCCGCAGGCTGGCTATCTGGGACGGCAACTTGAGCCGAGACTAACGATCCAGGGTCGACAGCAGCATCGCCTCCCGAGGGCTTAGTCAAAAGCTGGGAGATATTAGACCCGGCCTCAATGGGTGGAAGAAGGGCGGCATTGGGCGGAGGCTCATTCAATCCATTCAAAATAGCAAAAGGCCCAAATGGAGGAGGCCGCTGCTCCTTCTGAGCCTGGGGGATAGGCAACTGTAGATGCTCGCTGAATGAATCGGCTTGGGGGTCTCGGCGTCGACGCTTGCGGGGCCCTTGGAGGGCATCATCGTCAAAGGATGATGAGAACGGAAACTTTTCCAGGGCACGGAGATTCACAAAAGCAGGAAGTATCGGCCTCGGGGGACGTTCAACATTTGACTGCGAGTCTGCTGAGAGTTCGGTTTTCTTGATGCGCGCAGCGTTTAGAAACTCCGTAACTGTTGGCAGACCTGCCTTTGCATTTGCTGGGATCTTGCCACTATTGCCGTTTGAATTGGAGATACTATTCGAGTCTCGTGCTCCACTAGCATTGGGTTCGAGGGGCGATGGGACGCTTAAGGTTCGTGATGATACTGGTTCTCGTAGAGGGGCGATACGGAGGGAGAGTTGAGGGAGTTCGCGGAGGAGTGATTCATCAAGAGGCCGCAATGCACTCGCAGATTCCATTTCGACCAGCTATCACAGATTGCATATCATCCTGGATGTCACTGACATGTTGCGTCCATGACTGGGGGGTCAGAAGATGAAGCTCTGATAAGAACAATGCGATAACGGATACGGATACGGGCGGTGACGGGTACCACTAAAGCGGGCCCCCGGAGGTGTCTACGTCAGCATTCTGCCAGGTGTTGAGATCCCCTGGCAAACCCCTTTCAAGGATCTCCTATTGGACTGTCGCTCATTGATTTGATTTGATTTTATCATACAATTGATATTATATACTTGATATTTGTCGTGGTCAGCAGCTAAACGTGAGTTGCCTTCCTCTCTATAGAAGTAAAGCTCCCGTGAGCTTTGTTTATGCAGACCGCTCGGAGTGAATTATAGCCAGGACCAAAGCATAACAACTGAGAAGATACGAACAATAATAATGTTGAACACCACAGGTCCCCAAAATGCCAACCATCTTCCCGACATGGCCGCACATTCTCTTCGGCGTCCTTGAGCCGATCTCACTGTACGACCCGCTCAACCCTTTCCCTCAACCATGCAAGAATACCACTAACCCTACTATTATTCATGCAGGGCCCTAGGCAGTGTCTTCCCCCTCTACGACCTCCGAGGCTTTATCGCTGGGCAAACACCCACCATCGCAGCCCCGGCCACCCTGCACCCAAGCAGCATCGCGCTCGCCTACCAACTCGGCAATGTCTACTCACTCCTCTTCCTAGTCGGCGTAGGGGTTTGTCACGCTACAACAGAGCCAAGAGTACTGCGCAACTATCTAATCGGGCTAGCCATCGCCGATGTAGGCCATGTGTACGCCACGTACTTGGCAATGGGCTGGGAAGCGTTCGCAGACGTTGCGGCATGGAACCTTTTGACCTGGGGTAACATCGGGGTAACGGCATTCCTTTTCATCAATAGGATCGCCTATTTCTTGGGCATTTTTGGATATGCGAAGGCGCCTAAAGCGGCTGCAAAACGAGAGTGAGGTGTGACCTACTCTTTTGGTTGGCCAGACCAATACACGCACTCTGTCCTTTTCTAGTTCGATACCCAAAAAAGCAAAGAAATCTTGGGCGGGGTCTTTGGCTCACCCCCATCCCCCTCCCTTACTTTGCGTGGGACTGCATATCTGCGCGGATTATCTCTGGCCCTAAGGCTCTTGCCTGAAGCGGCTCTTTAGATGGAATAGGATCCCATCTGATTCGTAGATCCTTGGCTGGCGCATAAGGGAGATAGGAGCATGCGTGAGATGCGGCTGGGTGGATCTGCTGATATGCTTGGATTTGCTTGACTGCGTTGGGGATTATGGACGAGACAGGATGATCTGGTTACGTTTTCAGATTCAATGAGCGTCTGCTATGCAAATGTAAAATAACCTTGAATGTCACCAGGAGAAATCAAAAAAGGAAAAAGAGATTCATAGTAGTATAATGCAACGCCGGACTCCCCCCGGTGCTGCCCGATGCCAGCATGGGTATCAGAGTAGAAATACAGATCATAAAATATAGCATTTGAGGTCGTCATCTGGTGTAGATCACCCCCATCGTAAGACTGCCAAGGAAAACACACCATCAATGCATTAGCTGCTGACCAGAGAAACGAACAATTGAAACAATCTTTATCCCACGGCCCTTGCGAGGCGGTCTCGGTTCCTGCAGCCACACAAGCCAAGCATACACCGAGGATACTCCGTAGATTGCTTTTTCTTCTCTTGCCGGGGTCGGAGCCGAAGCCGGAGAGGAGCCTAGGGCTGCTGATCTGGTGACTACCTCTGTGCACTCATTTGGTGCTTTGCAGATACTGAAAAACTGGCTGAAGCACGGATTCGCCGTTTTTTTCGTGATCGCGGGTGTGAGCGATTAAAAAGGGAATGCCGGGGTATTTCTGGTAGTGCTGACGGTAGGAAGCAAAGTTCTCAGCTGGGCTCATGAGAGAAAGGATTTCCCGTGGAACCAGGGTCTCGAGTGTGATCGCGTTTCCTTGGGGGATGTCTGTGCTGGCGGGGCGGGTTGTCAAAACGGTATAGGTGTGCAGGCCTTTGATGATAGCTGTGAGAGAATGATAATCACGTGTTGCGAGGAGGGACTGTCCGGATGATTATATGATTAGTGGGATTTGACATTTTGGGATCTCGGTGACTTTTGACAGTAAAGACTACTCACCTGTGCACATTCTTGTAGATATGGAACCATGTTTGGAAGTGCAGCGCAGCATTCCCAGATAGAAATGCTTAGTATGCGCCACTGGTCCAGCAATTGTCCCACGATAGCATCCTCTGCTATCAAACTTTGTCGGGTCAACTCTGCAAAACTGTGCTCGTCCAGGCCTCTTATGCTGCGGGCCAAGTCTTTTGGAGATGTCGACTCGAGATAATCGTTTAGGAAAGGAATAGAGGTATCAAATGGAGTCTTCCAATCCATGGTAGGAGCATGAATATACTGTCGGCGAAATTTCATTGCTAAAACGCTCAAAATCTTGAGCATAGTAGTAAGTCTTCCTGGCTGGTCCTTGAATAAGGCCTGAATAGGACCTGCGATGAATTCAAACCCAGCGGTGTTGGGTTTAGGCATGTCACGATATCCGCCATGTCGCACAGCTAGGAGGCACTGGACCAGCGCTCGGTGTGCGAATGGACTCCGCGACCGAAGGTGCTATAGGAGTTAGGTCAGCCTAGGGTCTATTTAATGATAGTCATAGCGAAGTATCTTAGATAACGTACCTTTTCTACTTCTGTGTACAGAGGAATGTCCTCCTTGTAGGCGCTTAGATGGTCCTGGAGCATAATATAAAGAGCCGCATGCTGTTGCAGGAACCACTCGACGAAGACAGCCTTGTATCCGAGAGCAGCACGTACAAACTCTTCAAAGGCAATCTGCCTAAAGTGGAAATGGCTCTCGGCATCAATTGCAGCAGCAATTTCCCGTGCATCTAGAGTAATTCTTGTTCGCGGTGGGAGCCAACTCCAAGGAATGGGCTGGAAAGGAGGTATACTCGACCGGCGTAGGATCTCCTCCACCCTCTGTATATGAGAAAGATTCCCGAGGAGTTGATACTCATGGGGCTCGGACAGCGCGACCAAAAAGCTGTCAATGGTGTCCACAGTTCGAGCGCAAAGGGAAGTCCTCGGGAAATTTTCGTCGCTAAATAGTTTGAATTGGATCACACGGCGAATTTCTTGGATATCGAATGCCCAGAACACAGTTGTCGCCTCGTCTTCCCACCAGCGATAAGACACGAAAAAGGCGGGAATCTCCAAGTTGAGATGGAAGATTAACGGGTAGGAATACCCCCAGTCCAAGGCCGTAAAGTTAGATTGAGTAGACATGATCTCTTTGTGTAACGAATACTGCCTGTCCCCTTGGGTGGGAAATGTCTGGGGAGGCGGTTCGAAGGCCGATTCTTTTGGGCTGGTCGATTGCATTTATGCAGTCACCATCGGGAAAAGAAAGCAAGGCCAACACATTAGGCAAAGTACACGCTGACGCTCATGTAACACGGCGCTTGAATAGAGTAATTACAGGGCAGGGATGCCTAGGTGAGAGGTGTATGTTAGACGCGACGCGAGAGAAGGAGCAAGTACGGTGGGAGTACTCCGTAGGTGTACGATAAATAGGAAAATAACTAATTAACGCACAGATAATAAACAGGTGGGTTTCTCGGAAAGGTGAAGGTGATTGGTTTTAAACATTAGACCAAATCCGATGGATTTCTTTTATCCCTGTTACTTATTCCGCCACGTTTGACACATCACGAGGGTTGAAAATGGGTCAAGAACTCTAGGCATATTAACAACCGGGGCACTAATTCCAGTTTCCAGGCTGCTGGAAGGCATCTGACGGGAAGAGCTATCGGGGAAAAGGGGGGAGGGAGAGGCTTACTCGATTCGGAGCCCAAGACCGGGCCTCTAAGGGGCCATAGATCGGGGAGAAACTGGTGAACTCCATAAAAAGGAATTAGATCTGCAAGTTGGGCTTCTCTGCTGGTTACCGAGATTGTTATGCCGAACACCCGTTGGCCGTTGGGCTGCAGAAAGGGAAAGATATGGCTTGGTTAGCAATATGACAAGTGGAGAGTCTCTTACTCCGTAGTTGCTGAAGGAATCGAACGAGAAGCGGTCAACCTCAAACCAAGATTATTCTAGAAAGATTCAAATCGGGAAGCCTAATTAATCAAGGGGGTGGAACAAAGTAGTGGATGTGACTATAATCGTACACTCTGTATGGGATAAATGAGAGACAGATAGTCCGTATATCTCCACCTAACATCTAAAATGATCAAGGATTGGTCAAGCCCCCCCCATGTGCACACAAAAATGGGCGCTAACGTAGTGGCCGTAAAATGCCAAATGTGTGTGGAGTCTCAACGATCAAAGGATATTTTCGGAGACAGGGAATATACGAATGGAACACTTTGGAACACTTTAGAATGTTTCTTTTGATTTTATGGAAGTCCGCCATTGGTTTGCCCGTGAATCTTTTACTAGAGAGAATCACAAGAATCCATATTTATGGAATGGAGCATATAAGCATAAACATACCGAGTTCTAGGCAAATTTCCAATTTCAGGCGATCAGGAACCAAGTATTGAACCTTGTGACCTGAAATGATAGGATGATCACCGTTATTATATCATTGTTATATCATTATATCATTATACAACATATATTCCTTATAACAATATAATTCTAGATAAATGTTTCGCTCTCTTTTAATCAAAAACCAAAGATTACAGTAGTCCATACTACCTCGACTCAATCCTTGCGAGATCCCTAGCCTTGCTTACTATGTACACCGCTAGACCCCAACCCCAAGGTTTGGAGTCCAACATTTTAAGCCCAAAAGGATTGGCATAAATTTCTCCCCTTATCCATGTTCTTTGGGTCGTTCCACCGACATTTCCACTGCCGGTGGCGTGAGAACCAATCTCCACCGCATAGCAGGCATTAGGTAGTTTCCGCAGGAAGTACAATGTAAGTAATTCTACGATGGGTACATTCTCCAGTCCAATCATTTTCTCTAAACACCACGTGAAATTCCATCAAGATTCTCCCTATTGTCCCAGTTCCTTGGAACTGGAACGGGTCTCGGAAGATCCACGCCAAAGTTTGTTGGAAGATATCATTTCATAAAAAAGGAAATGCTTCCAAGTTTCGCAACTTGATATCTTTTTTATTCCAGGGTTCCATCTGCAGCATATAACAATTGGAAGTGCAGCATATGCAGAGAATACTTGAGCCACTACTCCGTACAGAGTACTAAAAAGTTCTAGGCCCATCATTTGCATTTCCGACACATAAGAAAAGAGAAACCCCATGACTCGCTGCAATTTGAAAGACATCATATCTTGCCTATTCCGGTGCAGCTTAGACTTACACAGAGACTCCACTTCTGTCGTATTAGATCGCCAACACTTCATACAACATACGAGCTCGATTGATCGATTGTGCAATTGAACAAAAGTACTCCGTACCCTGGACACACAACTAAACCTTTTTATCTAGCGGGGAGCCCCTCCACAACTGCATTATTCTCCATCCCCCAGATACATATTATATACTCCATAGTATACCCATTTCTGCGCCTTGTGTAGCTCGAATTCCAAATTCGCATGATACACGCTAACATGCTAGTGCAGCCAGCCACCTAGAATGCAGCATGAAGCAATACAATCGCATCAAGGCAAGATCCCCCTTGCCACTTGGCTACTACCTTACTACCGCTATTAGCCCCTGCAAAGGCCAGTTCACCTCTCTCCACGCTGCATAAAATGACGGGTCAGGAATTCCACGGCCCCATGCTGTCGTGCATATTTCCAACAGTATGGCGCCTGGATCACGGAGAACTTATCCCCACTATCCCCAGTGGAGTTCCGAACGTGGGACGGCCGAGTGCTAGAATTGAGTTTGGATCTATCAGATTATCCAGTTCCCGTCTATTGTCACAATCGCCACTCATAATAAGCCCCCGGAGAAATTTAAGATAGAAAATATACTTCCTAGGACTAGAAGTGCGAGCCGTTTGGTTCTTCCATCCCTTGCTGTCTTCTCGGTTCATCGGGAGGGTGTGGTAAGTGCATCTGTGGTGTTTTATAAAGCAATTGCATTTACCTAGAGCCGCTACAACTTTTAACAACCGCCCATCCCGATAAAGAATGAAGGGTTGCCTCCCTAATCTGACACCGGAAATAAATGAGTTATTCTTAGACTCCTAGCTTTTCGCTCTCGCTCTACCTGCTTCTTTTGCATATGCTCGCTTATATACCTGGTAATGATTAGGATTGTAGATATATATATATATGTACCTAATTTCATCCACAAATAGCTCTGTCAAGCGCCCACCATCTATATACACATGCAGTACGGAGTAAACAGAATCTCAAATACTTTCGGTCGGCGGTAAAGTAAACCACCAACAACTCCACATCGGACACTTTCTACTGTTACATTGCATGAGCTAGCTCCAAATGCCGGACAGTCCTCGATTTCAATTACACACCATGTGGATATCAACCCCCCATTCAAATATCCCGATCTAGACACAAAAATTGGGCCGCGATACCTCTGGGATCACCCGTGATCGCCACTGATCGCCATTGCTGACCTCTGCAGGTGATGATCATTCTCCCATAGCGGGCGACTCGGGCAGCTCGGGGCGAAAGTCAATGATAATACGTCAGCGTGCGAATTAGAACGCCCATCGAGAAGATCCGCACTTTGAGTTTGTTACTCATCTTCAAGATTGAAAGTTGGGGATTTGGCAATCTCCGCGTTTCCCGTGCGTTGGTGCTATGGATTGATCCATTCAAGCTAACAGGGTTGCGCTGGAGATGATCTGTGTAGGAAATATATTTCTGACTGGGAAAATGCATGTCTTGGGTCTTTTATGTGAGATGCTGGGTCTCAGGTTGAAACGGCTTGCGCGGGTTCGGCCGGGGCTTTAGCGTGCAGTAGTCTTAGGTCTAGAGGACGGGCTAAATTGGTGCGAGCAGGCTTCGCGCCGTAGTATGGTGTGGGGGTTGCGATGCATTCGCATCTCGATTACATGTTAGCGAAGGAGATAACTACGTGTCCCTTGATTTTCATGAAGTGTGCAAAGGCACGCCTGGTAAGCAGAGACATGAGCTAATCATCCAGGAAGTGGTAGTGTTGAAGATCCAGGGAAAAATAAAAATACGGTCATTAAATAATTCGAAAAAGAGGTAACGTCAAATGGTATCATATCACTCGGAAACGAAGCGGTTAACCCGTTCCTGTTTTGTTTGCTATGGTTTGAACCTACGAGAATGCATTATCCAAGCCCGTTAAAGCAAGACAAGACACTGTTTCCCAGCTACTGTTTTTAGTATTTGTTTTAAGCTGTCAGCTAATCCACGAATATCAGAAGATATTGAGAATTTAGTTGGCGAGCTCGTGGGCACGGCGGCGGTCACGCTCCTCAGCAATGGAGAGCTAGAAAATAATGTTAGGGTAATTCATAGAAATCAGTGTTGGGAGAATATAACATACCTTGACACCCTTACCCTTGGGGAGGGAAACCCAGGGCTTGTCCTGTCCAATGACGAAGACGTTGGACTCACGGGTAGCGAACTGGTTGTCAAGAGCATCGCGAACGTGGACGATGTTGAAACCACCATCGTGACGCTCACGGTGAGTGATAACACCAACACGACCCATGTTGCGACCACCAGTGGCCATAATGACAACACCGGAGTCGAACTTGACGAAGTCGAGGATCTTGCCAGTGGCAACGTCAACCTTGACGGTGTCGTTGACCTTGATGGCAGGGTCGGGGTAGCGGATGCTGTAGAGCGCAAACGCAAGTTAGCAAAACCATGTTCTGATCAAATGGGATCTTACTGTTTCCATTGTCCTCCGCCGATCAACCAAAGCTTGGTCCAACGACTGAATGACACGGAACTTGTGGAGTGTGGAACTCACGTTCGCGCATCGTGCGTAACCAAGAATGGGATCCCGCCCTTGCCGAGCTGAACACGCTTGACCTTGCAGAGCTTGAACTCAGCCTCCTCAGCCTGGATGCGGTGGACGGTGAAACGGCCCTTGGTGTCGTAGACGAGACGGAAGTGCTCGCCGGTCTTCTCGAGGGAGATGACGTCCATGAATCCAGCGGGGTAGGTGGTGTCGGTGCGGACCTTTCCGTCAACCTTGACCAGACGCTGCATCATGATGGCCTTGACCTCGCGACCGTTCAGGGCGTACTTGAGACTATCAACGAAAAACATGTCAGTGATTGTTCGTCGCATGTCGAGATATTCAATGTGTCGTGTGCGTACCGGTTACGGATGAAGACAATCAGGGGAAGGCAGTCCCGGAGCTTGTGGGGACCGGGGGAGGCCTTGGGCGCGTAGGTTCCGGACATTTTGTCCAAGAGCCAGTGCGAGGGCGCACTGAGGCGCTTCTGGTGCTTTCCGCTGCAAGAAACATTCTTGTTAGTGATGGTGTTCCAATTCGAGAAATTTTCGATCACTCTCGCAGCCACTGGCTGAACTCGCAATCCGGCAGATAGACGAGGCCAGTGTGCAGAATAGTGATGTAAAGGGCGATCTCATGACACTTACGGGCCGCGCATTTTGACTGATTTGTCGACTGAAGGTTAGGTGGTCGGAGTGTCGAAAGAGAAGGCTCAAGCCGTGAAGTGGTGATCCAAATCAGAGAGGAATTCGCTTAGTGTGTGGTGATTGTGAGCCCTATTCTCCACTCAGACCAATCAGACTCCACTAGTGGATTTTTAACACTTGCTTATGTAATCTCCACTCGGGGACCTGATCCACCCGTGGACACGTGAACTTCCCTTTTAGGAATCAAGACCAATGAGATCTAATTCATTTGTACGAAAATTTGTATCTATTTCACATGCGCTGATAATTTCACTTTTCGTAACTAACTTAAATGTAGCCCTTGATAACAGCAACCTCGGCGTTGAGGATGGATGATCCAGCAGCTCCAATGACAGTGTTGTGAGAGAGGGCAGCGAATCGGATATCAAAGTGACCGCCTGGGGCACCCTCACGAACTCGGCCAACACTCACTGTGTACCCACCGGAGATGTTGCGGTCAAGGCGGGGCTGGGGACGGTCGGGCTCATCGAACACCTTAATGGCGGGCTCTGGTGCGGAAGGAGCACCCAGCTTCTGTGCCTCGGACTTGTACTCCCGCAGAGCCTCCTTGACCTGCTCGGCAGTGGGGGTCTGGCGGTTCTTGAAACGCAAGGAAACGAATGCCATGTGGCCATCAGTGACACCAACACGAGTGCAAGTGGCACCAATGCGGAGACCAGTCTGCTCGTCGAAGCCGGTGGCGCTAGCATTCAATGAACCCAGAATCTTTTGGGCTTCGTTTTCGAGCTTGTCCTCCTCTCCACTGATGTAGGGAATGACGTTGTCAAGGATATCCATGGTAGGTACACCGGGGTAGCCAGCTCCAGAGACGGCCTGCTCGGTGAAAACCTCCACTTCCTCAACAGGGCCAAACTTGGCCTGGAGAGCTGCGAAGGGAATGACGATGCCAATGACGGCACAGTTGGAGTTGCAGACAAGGAAGCCCTTCTTGAGACCGTACTTCTCACGCTGGTGAGGAATCAGATCCAAATGTTGCGGGTTCACAGTAGGAACCACCAAAGGCACAATGGGGTCCTTGCGGAAGTTCTTTGCGTTTGAGAAGACAGGGATCTCAGCCTTAATGAATGCCATTTCTGGGTGAAATGTTAGTATAGGGTTTAGTTTGCTATATCGGATACACCTGATACTACATACCAGTCTCGCCAGCAACATCGCTGTTCAGTCCAGAGAAGACAAGGTCACAATCCGAGAACTGTTCGGGCTTGCAGTCACGCATGACCAAGTTGCTGAGCTTCTCAGACATGGGAGAAGACTGCTTCCAGTTCACGGCATCCTTGTACTTCTTGTTGGCTGAACGCTCAGAGGCACCCACGGCCTGAAGCTCAAGGAAGGGGTGGTCTGCCAGTAGTAGGATAAAGCGCTGGCCAACGGAGCCAGTGGCACCGAGAACACCTGTAAAATGTTAGTTTTGAACGATGTATAGGAACCTTGAAAATTTCGAGAACGTACCACACTTCTTCTTCGGGAATGCAGCAGCCATTTTGCTTTTGAGTTTTATATGAAAACGGGTATTAATCTTGTGTAAGTTAGCAAACCAAAAGTTCCAATAAGTCGAATCTTGCTATCAATCAAAAGATATATAAAATGACAGGGGTTCCATGCTGAATTGGGTCATATACCGCCAGTGGCCTGTATGAGTCAAAGCGTTTTCAGAGCCCCGCACGCAGTATATAGGAGGGCCTGGCAGCTGCAATGCCTCACAGATCACATGGTTTACAGATCCAGGGAATTCCCACGCAAAATATCAATATGAAACAACAATTGTACTTACCGCTTCGCTGGTGATGGGTTGAAGGCTTGTAACATTTCACCGCGACAGCGATATCGCTCTCAGCCAATTGCCTTGCCCCGCGATTAGTCAGCCTTCTGCGTTCGGACAAAGGTTCTGCTCCCCGATTGGCCAGATTATATGGGTCTTTGGTCAAAGTTAAAAGGTTTGACTTGTTTGCATTGTTTCTTTCTATGGCAAGTTATGTCCTTGGACCTCATACGACTAAAAGTTTCTCTCTATTCATTGAGCACACGCTTGACGGAATCCTGGACTGTTTCAAACTGGAGCCCCAACACATCGTTTGCCAGCTTCTCCTCTTTGGCATAGTTTGAATGGAGACCCGGTGTGTTGCCAAAAACAGTGGCTCTAACTAAAGAAAAAGCACCATTAAAGTCCCCCGCAGCAAGCTTCTTGACTGCATCGGTGACTTGAATGTCGGTGGTAGTCTTATTCACCGTCCATTTTACTCCTGACTCCTCCTCCAAAGCAGCAAGGATGTCCTTCTGAGTGGTTTCAACCGAGGCGATGAACAGAAACTGGTTTCTAGTTTCATCAGGATGCATCAGCACAGAAGCAACGACATCGCCGAGGGCCTTCTGATTGGTGAAGGTGAAACTCTTGCTGCCCCCATCCCAGATAGTAGCCGTATGGGTGGCAATGTCAAATTCCAAAAAGCCATTTGCAAGACCCTACTCAAGACTCACTGATTAGCTCTGGCCCAAGAATTCCAATTTGCGATGGGAGACTTACCCAGTCAAACAAGGCGGAAGTAGCGATACCAGTCCATGTCAGTCCATCAGTCTCCTTGTTCTTGAGGTACTCGATGAGTTCCTTCTTCTGTCCGAATAGTGGCAGCAATTGCAACACAGCATCGTTCTGGCTATTTATCGAGAACTCAGATGGGATAAAACGCTTGACACCTGCGCGGATGGCAGAATCGACAAACTTCTTCTGTTGACCAAATGCAGTGGCACCCACTGCCGAAATGACGACATCCTTGCCCTTGAATGCAGCCTCGAGACCTTCGTCTGAGAAGTCTGTCTTGACAAGAGTCACACCAGGTGGGAAAGTTGCCTCGCTCTCCTTGCGGGAGATGACGGTAATTTCGAACTGGGAAGATGCCACAAGGCCATCTAGAATAATTTTGCCAATGCTGCCGCTGGCCTGCCAAGTTGTCAGCTGGGGTAACATGTATGTTTTGAGAATGAAATTTGACATACGCCGATGATTGCAACGTTCTTCAAATAGGATGCCATTTTAGGTTGTTGTGCTGTAGATGAAGTACTAATCTTGAATGAGAATACTTGTGTCTTTGTGCTTGAGAAATGTTTAGCAACCAGGATGGAATGACATCTTTATATGTTTTAGTCCGGCGCCATTTTGCTCTCTCTCTCTCTATCTGATGTTGATTTCACACCACAGACTGTGTAAGCAAATACTACCTAGCACAGTAATACATACGGACTTCCTGTCCGCTGCCCCGCCTCCACCAATCAAAAAGGACGAATTATGATTCTAAAGTAACTTCCCAAAGGGAGATTAAATACTATGATGATGCGATCTACTCTGTCTCCGAAGTGCCTGCTCAGGTGGGGCCCGCAGCTTACGCTTAGAAATGCGGACTGGGGCCTCCGCCGCTCCGCTCAAACCAATCAGCTCACAGTCTCGCATCATCGCCTTCAAATTGCTTACAACTTAGGTTGTTTTGACTTACAGCCTCACAGTTCCCCACTAGAGTTATTATGACGGTTCCAAGCAAAACTTCGACTAAGTATTTACAGTTCCGAACAAGATTTTGAGTCAATGCTTCATTCATCTAGCATCACAGTGCGCTCTTGCCTTGAGTGTCGCCGACGCAAAATCAAATGCGACAGATCCCTGCCTTGTTCGTACTGCGTCAAAGTCAAGATACAATGCAGCTATCCACTACCAAGAGCAGAGCCTGCCATTACTGAGGGCAATAAAGCTGGCGATGATATGGTGTTCCGTATCGAAAGAATTGAGCGTACATTAGATCGTTTTGGGCAAAGTCTCTCTCAACTCCAGGGGCTTTTGCAGAATAAATCTTCATCACCATCTGTTCATGGAAGCCACGGTTATAACTCAATGGACCAGTTCCATGAAAGCCACAGACATGATGAACGGGGCCCGAATCAAAGTCCATGCTTATTCAAAGCTTTTCCGACTTCCGTACTCGAACATCTTCGCCTTCCCCGGGTTCTGGTAGCTTTCCTATGGCAGAAGTACTTAGAGAATGTGGAGCCAATCCTCAAAATTCTACATGCACCAACGGTCCAGAGACAGATATTGAATACCACACAGTCTCGAGAGACCCTTGGAGCATCAACAGAGTGTTTGATATCCGCCATTTCTTATGCTGCCGTGGCAACTATGACAGTGGAGGATTGCCGGACTGAGCTTGATGAAGACAAATACGAAGCATTGAAAAGGTATGTGTCTAGTTTAAACCCATAAGCCAGCCCCGCTAATATTTCAAGATATCGCACCGGGGTTGAAAGCTCCCTTGCAAAAGCCGATCTACTTAAGTCAATGGACATGACTGTTCTGCAAGCCTTTGTCATATACATCGTACGTGATACTACAACAGCGAGAGGTCTGATATTATCTGATAATTGCTTTAGGCTTGCAGCAAGCATTATAACAAAGGGCCAGATATTAGGAAATTTCTTGGGAATGCCATTGGAATTGCCCTCAAGATCGGCCTTCACCGCGATGCATCCGCTTCAGGACTACCACCCTTCCAAGTCGAAATGCGGCGTCGACTCTGGTGGCAGATCTATATTCTCGATATCAATATCGCAGAGGACTACGGCACAAACCCGCGTATTCTGGAGTCATGGTTCGACACAAGACTCCCTTCGAATGTGAACGATGCAAGTCTTGACTCCGATATGAAGGACCCACCTCGAAATAGCAGCGGTAAAACAGATATAGTGTTGAGCCTCACAAGGTCTGAGATCAGCAATTTTGCCCGCCGGACTATCTTCTCTGATCAGTTTTGCGAAGAGAACTGCTACCCGGTTTTATCAGCTTCCCAGAAATTCATCACGATAGATCTCTTCAAAGAGAAAATCGAACAGCAATATTTATCGCATCTAGATCAAAGTATTGCGATAGACTACTTTACAGCTGCCTCCAGCAATCTGATACTCGCAAAGCTTAAACTGGCAGTGATCAAGCCCCGAGCGAGAAACGATCAGTCTATGCTCACGCATGTGAACTTCCGAAAGGTTTGCATAGAGATTCTGCAGACAACTGCGGCTTTACGACGTCATGAAAAGGGCACACAGTGGCTCTGGACTTTCCAAAATCACATCGAGTGGGATGCCTTGACATGTCTGCTCATCAATCTTTCTCTGGCTCCAAAAGGGGAGGAGTTGGATTCGGCATGGCAAGCGGTCAATGAAACATACGATTGCTTGGAGATGGACGGTGATGCCCACCGTGATCACCGCTGGGAAGATATTGAGGAACTCCGCACGAAGGCTCTGTTTTCTCGGGACATGATACAGATCAATCCATCCCAATGGGGGTCATCACCAGATGATGACAGCGGCTTTGAAAGTTCACACACCATGGCTACAGAATCACTACAACAGCCTGGTCTGGGAACATTGAAGCGCCAGAGGGAAGAGGATAGTGGTTCTTCTCGTTCTTCCCTAGGCGAGCTGGAACCAAGAGCCCCGAACCGTCGTTCTGAGGTGTCGACTATTCAATCAGAAGCCCAAGAACAGCTTCCCCGTATGTGGGCGTTGGCGAATGCGGCCGCTGCTGCTCCGACAGCTATCGATAGTTCATCCCAAGTGGAACCAGCCAGTGAACCTATAGACATACCGAGCTCAGGCACTGGCTGCCAGTGGAGTGCGACTCTCTTCGAGCGATACTTTCAGGTTCTGGGCTCCGAGCAAACATCACCGTTATAACAAGAAAATCCAATCGCACCATTTCGCTTGAAAGTTTAGAAGTTTGCTCTTCTATAATGTATAAAATGCTAAATGCTAAATGCTAAATCACAATCAATGTCCTGGGCCCGGTGTCTCGTCGTCGTAGTCGAAGATCTTTCCAGGGTTCAGCAGCCAGTTCGGATCCAATGAACGCTTGATACTGCGCATGACATTAACTGTCTCTATGCCAACTTCCTTCTTCAGAGATCCTTTCTTGCCCAGCCCAATGCCGTGCTCACCCTGTAGTACTAATCAGCTGATATTCTGGGATCTCTAAGATGAAGGACTTACCGTGCACGAGCCCTCCATTTCCAAACCACGATCAACCATATCGTACACTACTTTCTCGACACGCTCCCTCTCGGCGGGATCGGTGCGGTCATACATAATGCTTGCATGGAAGTTTCCATCGCCGATGTGGCCAAGGATACTAGCGAAAAGGCCCAGGTCGACCAATTCCTTCTTAGAGGTTTCTAGCAGGAGTCAGTATACATGCAACGAAGTACGTCTTGAAGAGGCAATACCAATGATATCAGGCAGTCGAGAAATGGGCACAGCAACATCAGTCGACCAAACCTCTGATCCCTCCTTGCGCAGCGCCAGCATACTCCACAGCGACTGCTTGCGCGCGGACCACAGATCATGGGCTTCGCGGTCATCACGAGCGAACTCGAAAGACTGCGCATTATTCTCCTGGGCGAGCTTCGTCGTCAGATCGATACTATCCGCGACACCGGCGACAGTTCCCGAAAACTTGAAGAACAGTGTAGGAGAGACCTTCCATTCACGGCCTGTTCCACCCGCACGATTAATGACGTCCATCTGAACATCATCCATGATCTCCATGCACTGCACAGAGACACCCTTCCGAATAACCTGCATAGCGGTCGAGGCCGCATCACGAATAGTCGGGAATGCCACGACGCCAACGCGAGTCTGCTCCGGGAGCGGGGCGAGCTTCAACGTAGCCTCAGTGACGATACCGAGCGTACCCTCGGAGCCAACAAACATGCCGGTGAGATTGTAGCCGGCGGAAGTCTTGCGGGGACGTCTGCGGGTCTTGATGACCCGGCCATCGGCCAGAACGACTGTGAGGTTAATCACCCAGTCCTTCATGGTACCGTAGCGGACGGCGTTGGTGCCACTGCAGTTTGTGCCGACCATACCGCCGATCATGGCGGATGGGCCTGGGTCGACGGGGAAGAACATGCCTGTATCCTTGATCTTCTCGTTCAGGTCCATCCACTGGATGGAGGGCTGCACGACGATGTCCATGTCCTCTGGGTGGATTTCTAGGACTTTGTTCATGAACGCGAAGTCGATTGTCATGCCGCCGTGCGGGGCGGAGAAATTGGCTTCTAGACTTGATCCGCCCGAGTAGGGGATCATGGGCATGCGGTATTTGTTGCATACCTTGGCGATCTCGGAGACTTCTTGGGTGGTCTTGGGGTATGCGATTGCGACCGGGAGACGGTCGGCGTTTAGGCTGGACCATTCTGAGAAGCCGTGTTGCTGCAGTTCCTCTACTTCAGTGCTGATTGTGTCTTCACCGAGCTTGGTTCTTAGCTCGTTGATGGCCTGGGAGGTGTCGTTAGTTTGGATGGCCATGGACTGGTGTGGAATTATGCTGCTGCAATTGAGTAAATTACCTTTTCAAACTCCTTCGCTGAGCCATACTGTGGCTTCTTGGATGTTTGTGCTGGTGTCTGGGTATATGAGGAGGCGCCATAGCCTAACCCCGCAGCAAATGCGGAGACGAGCAGAGCCTTGGCCGGGGTCCAAAAGGGCGAGGGGGGAGTGTTTGTAGATGAGGAGTTGCCCTCTTTTGTGTTCTCTGTTTTTCCGGCTTCGGAACTGTTCAATCTCGTACCGCGAGCCAGAATAGTGCGCGAGATCTGGGGCCGGCACACTGGAGCTGGTAGTGCTCGTGAGACCCGAAGTACTGGTCTCATTGTGAAGGAGAATTATGTGGAGAGATTATGGAATTGAGCTGTGCTGTAAAAAAGTAAGAAATAATTCCACAATGCAGGCATGATGTGATCGGCCTTTTGTACCTCGACATCGGAGTTCGGCCGAGAAAGGGTAGACTGGTTCCTTATAATGCCATAATCCACTATAATTTCACTATACATAACCACTATAATCCCACCCTCGTCTGCCATTACCGAAGATGTGGAGAAGCCAAACGTGGGGGCGAATAGGAACAGAAACGGAGTCGTGTGAGAACTCCGGTCTGCGGCAGTTACCGCCAGTTCCAATTCTGCTGGCAGTATATCTGTGATAATCAGTGTTTGATACTCCGTACTCCGTACTGGAGACTCCAATATCAAAGTTAAAACTGAAGTCTATACATAGTACTCCGTACTAACTCTAATCCTTGAATTCTTGTCTATTGTCCAACTTTCTACGGAGTATACTCCCATGACATGTTATAATGGAACTCCATTTGCACATTATATACACATCTGTCACCACCTATATTCTTGATCCATGGTATACTCTTTATTTGATCCGTATGAAGATTTATTCAATTAATTTATAGCTTACTATACAAACATAGAACAATCATCTAATTATGTACATGCTACAACTTTGAACGTAGTAATTCAAAGTATGAAAGGTCGGCGGTGAACTAGGCGGTCAGAATTGGCCATGCCCACTGGTGGTAACATACTCCGGTGCTTTTCTTTTCTATTTACTTTTTACAAGCAGAACTTATGTATATGTATTGTATTTTATATTCACAGTTTAATACTCCTTTTTAAGGCTATATGACTAAATATCAATTGAGAGAGAAAGTAGAAAAATTAAAGATGTCAGTGGTTGACGGGGCAACGGAGGGGACAGAGAACCTCGTACACCCAACACCAACACCAATCTTGAAAGTCAGATGAATCGCGTACTAACCACCAGATCCACCTAACATACATGCAAATTCTAAAGAAATGGCAGAGCAACTCGCTCAACTAGTGCGCGAGGTGGAACGCCTAGTCACCGCACCTTACGTACCTTCGTTACAGGTAAGTTGATTGAGACTGCCATTGGAGTATACATGTACATGCTAATAATATAAAATCAGGACCTCCATGATCTCGTGCATCAAAGCAAACCTTCGACGATTGGCGCCTGGGCATTCAGCAAACCCTGCCAAGTTGGCTTGTTGGCTGATGTCTTGATCGAAGCCTTATCGCGATCACGCGTCGCTCTGTCTCTGATCACCGCATTTGGTTTGTGCTCGCTCAATGAAAGTCTTGTAGAGACTCGAGTCTGACATATTTTTAGCATCTACATTGTCCTTTAGAGATGCGCTGCTCGAGCGACATCCGGTGATCTTGGATGCCTTTCTAGAAAAGGCTGTGGACACTAATGGGGCTGAGGTGAGCTTCATCCTATGAGGAAGCAGATGCTAGCTGAATGGCATCAGCTAACCAGTTCAGTATTTACCGGCATGTATCGCGTTATTCTCATCGCCCTTGCCGGCGGGTGTTGTGCCGCCAGCTAGGATTGCCACCTTCATCACGAAGCTGGTCAGCATGATGGCAGAGAATCCCTGCGTTGAGACCGTAGCACCTATCCACGCACTCATCTCAGGTCTAAAAAGCTCACCAAGGATCTTGAATGAGATTTCATCCGAAGTCATGTCCAATCTACAGCTGGAGTTCACCAAGACACTGCGCAACCTCGACGATCACATGGGCAATCTCTTGTGTCTAGCAACCTTTGCGCAAATTGCAACGGCACTAGGTACAACATCTCAAAATCAACACGGATCAGAAACACTATGGCTTCTCAACATTAAGCATTTCTTTGGCCAGAAACGGGGTCTTAAAACACTCGACTTGGTCGTCTTGCGTGTTATACTAGCTTGCTCATCCAGTTGTAATCTGGCACCGCCTGAGGCGGCTGAGAGTATTCGACTGGCGATTTGTATCACCGATACAATTGAGCCTGAGCAGAAACAGGCTTGGATGGCAAGTAATAGTCCTAAGATTGCTAAGCTGTGCGAGAAGGCTGTCAGAGACGGTTTGTATGGTCAGACACAAACTATGGTTAGTTATGGCTGTTCGCGTATCGAGACTACATGCTAATCATTGGATCATACTAGGCAATCGTATTTTTGCACACACTTCTCCCGGCACATTCATTGCCATCCCAGCTACGGGAACTTGGCATCAAGATCCTTTTGTCCAACAACGGCCAAGCGACTATGGAAAAAATACCCCATCAACTGATTCCACGGCTTGCAAAGTCTTTAGCAGTAAGCATAAAGGCTTCTATCTTTGGGAAAGCTCTGACAGCTGACATCAACAGGAATCCGGGGAACCTGCCACTCGTCAAATTTTGACCTTTACTTTCAATATCTTAAGAGGCAGTAAATGGTCTGGCATTGAAGAGATGGCAACACTACAGCTGGCACACTTGGTACTGGCTGGTATGCAAGAAGTACATCCCGAAATCATGCTCTCTAGTGTCAAAAACACCCTGGTGTCTCTGAGGGAAGTTCTTGGGGAAATGGTCGAATACTTTCCCCAGCAACCAAGTGAAAGTCAATGTAGTGGCCGAGCATGGTGCACATCCGAACTATACACAAAGCAAAACAGCCTGTTCCTATCTCTACTAGAAATTTACAACAGGGCTTTAGCGCAAAGCGGAAGCGACATTATCATGAAATCCTTTATGCGACGAGTGGAGCAATCAATGCTGAGCCTCAACTGTGCCTTCTCAACATCAACTCCCAAAGCCTTTCGCGGCTCCCTTGCCTTGCGCGACAGACATGATCTCTTGTCGGCTCCGATAAACCGCAATTGGCGCTCTGGGGTTACTGAGCTTTTTATGCAGAATTCCCAGAGCTCTCATGACAGTATGATGAGAAAGATTGAGGATACGTGCTTTGACCTAGAGCGTCGCTGTCACAATGTTGAAGGACCCCTGCGAGCTGCCGAAGAAGAGCGGGATGCATATGCGAGCGAAAACGAGCAACTGAAAAGGCAAAACGAAGAGTTGAACAAACAATTGAAAGTCGAAAGTGCAGATATTGAAACTAAGTTACAGATCTCACACGAACGTTTTGTTGAGCTTGGCCATGAGAACACACGTCTTGAGCAACTCCTTCAAAGGCAATGTGCATACAGTGATGAGCTGACTATGTCACTCGAATCTGCACACGAGGAGCTTCAGCAGCGGCAACGAACTTCCGAAAAGGCACTTCTGGTCGAGAAAGAAAAGGCCCGCTTGAAGGAATTGGAAATGATGGCTACTTTAACTGGAAAGGACGATCAACTGGAAGAGCTTCAGGAGGCAATATGCAGTTTGCAAATGAAGAATGAGCAGGCATGCCAGAGTCTTGATCAAGTCATGGGCGAAAAGGTCGAATTATCTGAACTTTCTAGCTCTCTAGAGCAAGAACTTGCTAGTACTACAGAGGCATTGAAGCAAGTCAGGCTTCTTGCTGATGAGAAAGAAGATGAAGTGAGCCGTCTCCTATCCCAGGAAGAAGAGTTGCGAAAGGAACTGGGGTCGGTGGAAACAACGGTGAGTCTTTTTTGGCAGTTCTTTTGGCATCAATCAATACGAATTGGTTTATACTGACTTTCTCTAGGTTGCGCAACAGAACATCGAAGTTGAGAGGCTGTATTCTGCATTGGAAGAATCCGAAGAAAAATCGCGAAATGAGATTGAAAAACTAAAACATGACCGTGAATCCGAAGCTTCTCGGGCCACATCTGAGGTATGTGTATGCATGCATCATCATTGTGTATGAGTGAAACTAATCATGTACCAAAATAGAGAGCGAAATACGAGACAGAGAATCGGCGATTGCATGCTGCTATGCAAGCTGCCGCTCTTGATGCTTCCAGGGATGCCCAATTGAAAGACAAACGGATCCATCACCTGGAGAGAAAGGTAATCAATACTCATGTATGCAAAACTTGGACACTCTAACATTAAATTTAGGTGCAAGCCTTACGAGACGAACGTGCCGCCAAGGCCCGGGAGTTCTCCGAAGCACAACAACACATCGGTCGTCTAATGGGCGTTATGGGCTTCTCTGCCAACGCCCCTGAGTCAAACGCCCCTCCAAAACACCAGCGAACCAGGTCCTCCGTTAACGCCACTCCAGCTGCAAGGATTCCTCAAATGATAAGTGATGATGAAGATGACGCACAGCTGGCAGAGTCCTTTGAGTCCATGACGTCCAACTTGAATGGACCTACCCCAAAACGACCAAGAGGGAATCGCAAATCAACGAATCTGCCTTATGCTTTGAACACTCCCTCCGCTGCAGGACCTAAGACGAAAAGCCCGCCGCCGGCCAGCGGCATGTCTCGCTCGGTGAGAAAGCCACTGGCAGAGGCTGACCGCAACAGTCCGACGAAATCACAGTCAAGCAGTGCATCAAAATGCAGTCAGGTGGATGACTCTTTCCAGGAGACACAGGCCCAGGAGGAGAACCGGCTTCATAATCTGGATCTGGATATGGATCTTGAGTTTTCTAGAGACTTTCTCTTTTCTAGTACTGCTTTTACTGGGTCAACGGATCAGATTGCTCCGCAGTGAGAAGGTGGTAGGGGTTGACTAGCCCTGGAAGTACATATGTCTTGAATAATTGAATCATGTCTACTGTATCTGTTGTTTTCCGGATTGTTGCTCCTAGTATGTACACTTCTACGTATTCAATAATCCACACCACAAACCATACTTGTCTTAACATTAGTCTTGGTCTATTTGAGTGCCTCGTTACTGAAAATACTCCTCGGATCTCTGCTTTATCTGCCGCTACACCAAGCCGCTACACCAAGTTGATTATCCAAAGCTTTGGGGTATGTTCCTTGATTTAATTTTCTTTTGATTATTCACTGTCTTGGTGTTTTTGACATAAACAGTGATTCATTCGCTTGTACATTCCTCGGCAGCGGAGATCCGCATCTGTTTCTTATTTGTTTTCTCCAGCATTTGCCAACACTGAGCTTGCCAAATGTGTGTAGCAAATAGTACACATCTCTGGTTTCACTACCTCTTCGGTTTTCTAAAGGCAGTAAATAATGCATCCCTCATCAAGATGTCACTTTATTGTGCTGGGTAACTCATCATTAATGAAGATATAACTATCAATTTGGCTGGGTAGGTCCGAAATAGCTGCCCTAAAGAGTAGCTACCTACCTATATAGTACTAGAAGACTCCTCAGTTTCCCGTCATTCTTGAAAAGAAGAATCGAGTAGCAATAATATAAGTAGGTCCAATTCGGAAGTACATGTTAGATGCATCTAAGATTGCTCATTCTCACTTGACTAAATTCAAACTGATCGGGTGAACTCTCACATTCCATGTCTGCCAGGTCTCTTATACCTCATTTAACAGTCAGTTCTCTAACCTTCAAGGCTACTACACTTTAAGAAGGTCGCTCTTTCCCGTTAAATGTGTTTCTATGCCTTCTAACGTTCTTAGACCGTGTAATCTTTCGGTTTTCGATCGTCACTCATTGTTGTTCTTAGGTAAATAGTATATAACCACCTGGACCGCACATAGTACCCACACGTGTTTCCTTCCAACCTTGGATGTTCCTTCCTATATATTCTTCGATCCTTCACTGCCCTTCTTCCTCTTCTTCTTCTCCTTCCTCAGCTTCTTCGTGATACTGCTTTCTTGCTTTACAATCAAGTGCACAATGGCAGGCCCAGATATCCCCAATTCGCAACACCCAAAGTCCAATCTTTTAAGACTGGTGCCCCCTGACCCTCCGAACCCTCCTCGCCATACCTCGCCAGTCCGGGACTGGATAACCTGGAGATCATGGAAGACTTGTGCCGTGGACATGCTCAATATTCCAAGAGAAATGAACACCCACGATATGTACGATGCTTTTAATAAGTATGGGAATGTGATTTCAATCGACGTTTGGGAAGACGCTGCAGGGCGTCCGGATTCCAGAGGACGCATTCGTTTCAAGTGAGCATCCTATCAATTTACTGTGTTGCTTAGATAATTTTTGCTGATCATCCATAGACCCCCTCCAAACGAAGAGTTCTGGGAATCCGGCTCTTTTGGTGTGAAGCTCCGGAGTGGCCGTGTTGCTGTGATATCGCTCTGTCTCTGTTGTGGTGACTCAAATGGAACCATCCCGAGCCCGGTCCGCCCAGATGTTCGGCTCCCGAGTGAACTAGTGAGTAAATGCATGCAATAAGGCTACTTTCGAATACTGATGATGATATTGAAGGAATTGAAAATTGTACAAGTCGACATCGGTGTTCTGTTAGGTCCGTCCACTGTTCATTCTATGCAAAGCTTTACCAACTTGGCATATCCCAGGTGTGTTGTGGATGTCATGCGCAAGTGCTTGCTGCTGTACTTCAAAGTGGGCATTCGAGGGTCGGAGACTGCAGATGTAACTCAGCATGATTATCGTGTCAAAATCACATTTCTCCAACTGACCCAGATTTACCAACAATACGACAAAGCCACCAGAGAACATTCCTTTTTGATTGTCTTAGACTCCGCCGCCATCTGGCACCGAAAGGCAAAAGAGATTCGGATGACATTGACAGAGCCGTTGAGCTGGAGAGAAGAGGATAGTTGGTATCGCCAGACCGCCGTGACACACAACCCGAACTCGCTCAAGACTCTTCCCACAAATTTGAAGAAGACGGGACATATCATTGACTTGGGTAAGCGCCATCATTCTTTATAATTATGTATGCTTACGATTATTTCTCTATAGGGCGATGGAACGTATTCAAGATCACATTCGCACCCGACATGGACTCCAATATGCAGCGTGTCGACGATACCAGTCACTATTTAATGCTCGTCGGAGATATTTTCAAGGACTACAACATCTCCATCAAAGATGGAAGTCACTTTGTCGAGAAACCAGACCGACCGGTACCGGTGTGGCACTGTATTGACTTTTCTGAGTCCAAGTCTAACAAGGCTTCCGCATTGCTGCAAGACTTGGGAGATCAGAACTATATCCACCTTCCCTTCAAGGTGCGGTATCAACTAGAGGTTTGTTTGTCCCAAGGATACCTATCTGAATTCAGTATGCCCCGTGAATTTGTGGAGAAGTTGAAGGGCCTCGGGGATGATCAAGCTACAAGACTGCTAGAGTTCGTTGCAACTGAGAAAAAGCAGTACTTTGATCCGATGGAGATCTTTGACCTCAAATTTTTCAAAGGAGTGACCGACTCGAAGATTCCGAGCTACTGTTGCTTCATGCACACAGCACGAGTCACTCCGACTACAATTTACTACAATACCCCAACTGTAGACATCTCAAATCGAGTCGTGCGCGAATGGTCTACGAAAGGTGCACCTGGGCGCTTTCTTCGAGTCCGATTTACAGATGAGAGAACTGAAGGTCGCATCAATTCTTCACTGGGCGATTCCAATGATGAAATCTACACCCGTGTCAAAAGGACACTGGCTAACGGTATCACTATTGGAGGCCGTCGCTACGAGTTCCTCGCATTCGGCAACTCTCAGTTTCGGGAGCATGGCGCATACTTCTTTGCACCGGATGCCGGTGTCTCGGCGGCAACCATACGGGCCTGGATGGGCCAATTCAACCATATCCGAAATGTGGCTAAATATGCTGCAAGACTTGGACAATGCTTTTCAACCACCCGAGCTTTTACTGGATCCTCGGTTCAAACTGCTAGGTGTGATGACATTGTTTGTAACGGCTTCACGTTCTCAGATGGCGTCGGAAAGATTTCCAAATTCCTCGCCCAGATGGTCACATCCCAGCACAACATCAAAACTCTCACTGGAGAACCCCCTTCGGCTTTCCAGTTTCGCCTTGGAGGAGCCAAAGGCATGCTGGTCGTCTCTCCGGACCCTATGCCACAGGAGGTACACATTCGACCCAGTCAGCAGAAGTTTGAAACCAATCAAGCTGGTTTAGAGATCATTCGTTGGTCCCAGTATTCTCTTGCGACTTTAAACCGCCAGTTAATTCTCGTGCTTTCTGCCCTAGGTATCCCAGACAAAGTCTTCCACGGTAAACTCAACGGCATGTTGGGTAGCTTCCATCGAGCCATGTGCAATGACTCGAAAGCAATTAATCTTCTCCAGAAGTATATCGATCCAAACCAAACGACCCTAACCTTAGCTCAAATGGTATCGGATGGCTTCCGACGAAATGAGGAGCCGTTTGCCAATACCATGCTTGAGCTTTGGAAATCTTGGCATTTGAAGCACCTCAAAGAGAAAGCGAAGATTGCCATAGATCAAGGAGCCAACCTTCTTGGTGTCATGGACGAGACAGGTGTTTTGAAGGGCTACTTTAAAAATGCATTGCCGCGCAGAGGAGCCTCCTATGCACAGAAACTGGCCGCTCTTCCTGAAATCTTTGTCCAGATATGTCGACTAGAGGGAAATGGCGAGTACGAAGTCATTGAAGGTCTCTGCATTCTAGCTCGCAACCCTTCACTTCACCCTGGAGATATTCGTGTGGTTCAAGCAGTGAACCGGCCGGAGCTGCAAGGACTTCGGGACGTGGTTGTGCTTCCCCAGACTGGCGACCAGGACATTGCGAGCATGTGCTCTGGTGGTGATCTTGACGGCGATGACTACCTCGTTATTTGGGATCCTGATTTAATTCCCGCAAAATGGTTCGTCGAATGCATGGACTACAAAGGCTCCAAAGCCCCAGACCTTGATCATGATGTGACAGTTGACGAGATCACTTCATTCTTCGTCACCTATATGAAGAATGATTGCCTTCCCCGAATTGCACACGCCCATTTGGCTTGGGCTGACAGGCTCCCGAAGGGCGTGTGGGAAGAAAAATGCATTCGTCTTGCTCAGTTTCATTCTGATGCGGTGGACTATAACAAGAGTGGTGCGCATGCGAGAATGACTCGCTCTTTAGATCCCAAGTTCTGGCCCCATTTCATGGAGAAGCGTTTCAAGAGACCATCCAGTATCTACAAGTCCACCAAAATCCTCGGTCAACTGTACGACGCAGTGGTAACTCCTAACTTCGTGCCCAAGCTAGAGAAGCCCTTCGACTCTCGCATCCTGGAATCCCCGCTGGTTCCAGCAAGTGAGATCTACATGGAATACGCCCGCGACCTCAAGGCGGAATTTGACATGAACATGCGACAAATCATGGCTCAGTATGAGATTAACACTGAGTTTGAGGTGTGGTCAACCTTTGTGCTCCGCCACGGCTTCGTAATCAGAGACTACAAAATGCAGGAAGACCTAGGCAGGATTGTGGGTACACTCCGCCGTGGATTCCGCCACCAGTGCTACGACAAAGTCGGCCATCAAGGAGGAAACATCCCTGCCTTGGTCATTGCCATGTACCGTGTTACCCAGGAGCAGGTAGCAGCGGCACTGGAGGCTCGACGCAAAGAGGCACTGCAAAGAAATGATCTCTCCATTGTTGAAGTGGACTCCACTGAGCTTCCACTCATTAGCTTCCCTTGGATTTTCCCCGACGTCCTCGGTGATGTTGCGACGGGCCGGGCACGACAGGCTCTGGTCTCAGAGGGACAAGCGGCCGACGATTCTGCAAAGTCTATCGGCGATGCCTTGGTTTTCACCCACAAGCAGATCCTCAAAATTGTTGAAGATATGGATGATAGTGTGAAGCCGAAGGGTGAGGAGAATACGAAGCCGAAGGCTGAGGCGGGCTCTGGCTCCGCGCCCCTGGACCAAGAACTCATTGCTCGTCGACGCACTGACAAAACCAAGCCCAAGCCCAAGCCCGGCGACAGCAACACAGGTGTGTGCTTTGGCGAGGATGATGAGAAAGAGGGAGGCGTGAGCATAGACGCTGCTGAAGCCGGAGAGAAGACTGAAAAGAAGGAGACTGTAATGGAGGATATTGTGGAAATGGAAGGCGATGTGCAACCTTCAGCGCTTGACGCTCTGATCAACATGATCAATGGCTGATCTTTCGCTCTATGAAAAAAGCAAAAAAGATGAAAGATGAAAAAAAGATTCACCAAAAAAAAGGGACAGGGGTGGGATTGCGGACCAAGGTTTTGAATTAGTTAGGTGATGCGAATGAACCTGGACGCTCGAAATTTCCTCCAATTTGTAGAACTAAACATCAACAGAGTCTGTGGGGGTATATCCAAGTGAAAACTCCAATTGCTTCAAAACACCGTGTATCCAAAAGGTTACCAATCCAATCCCTCATCCTCCTTCCGTTCCAACAATTCAACCACAGGCTCCAACACAGTCCTGGAGTGTCTCCAATTAGCAGCATCTCTAGTCCTCGAGTAGAAGATAGAGCAATCCAAACTATCACAGCTAACCTTATCACCAGGAGAAACACCCATACAAGAACGACAAATAGCTTCAAGATCAACGACTCTCTTTTCCGCCCTCTGCAGCCGCGAAACAACATCAAGCAACGTAATATGCGGCTTCTGCAGACAATCCCCACACACAGGAACAGCAGCATCAGACAATCTTGCCCGACAAACAACACACGAAGACGAGCGCATATAAGACTCAAGAGTCTTCCTACTAACCCCACCAGCACGAGAATTCGGCCTCGCCAGCGTCGACCCCTCAACCCGCCGAATCCGCTGCACCTTCGGCATCTCATCATACCACTGACGCACATTCGCACCAACAAGATTAAAAATCCTCTCTAGCGGCGGAATGATATTCTTCGTGATATAGTACTCCGCGTCAATCTCAAGCTGCGCATCATGCAGAAGCGTCTGCGGCGCAACACATCGATCAATAAGTCTCGACCCAGGAGCGCCGGTGACAACAACATACGGCACGCGCTCGCCGGTCTGTGGCTCAGAGCGCGGATCTTCCATCATGCGCTTGGTGCTTATCATCGCGCCGGCGGGTAGACTGCGCTCGGAGTATGTTCCCAGACGGACTTCGCGAGCGAAGCAGAAATCTTGAATGGAGATGCGTCCTTGCATGATCTTTGCGCATTGGCGCTGGAAGTAGGATTTCACTTGGGACAGGTCTGCGGTGCGGAAAAGGGTTTTTAGGGCTTTTTCTTCGATTTTTTGTTCGGCGGGTGTGCCGTCTCGACGGACGGTTTCAATGCCCTTTGCGTCGAATTCGGGCTCTTTTTGGTTGCGGTGCTCGTATTTGAAGCCTACGTAGCGTTTCTTCGCGAGGAGGATGCAGGGGTGGTAGACTTTTTCGAATTTTAGTTTGATCGGTCGTGGGTTCAGGTCTGTTACTGCTTGGGCGATTTCTTCGCCGATGTCGAAGGCTTGGTCGCGCGTGCGGCCTTTGAGGTAGACGAATAGACTGTCTGTATCACCGTAGACGACTTCAGCGCCCCAGCGTTCGATTGAGTGGATGAAGGCGATGGCCTTTTCGAGGGTTTCGCGTCCGGTCTGGACGATGCTGTCAGCGATCTCGGAACAGGGCATTCGTCCTGAGAATGAGGCGGATGTGTAGCCGTATGTGACGTTGGCAATCAGTTTTAGTGCCAGCTGTCTGTTGTTTAGAAGTCGCTGCAAGACCTTGTCGTCTTTGTCGGCTTTCATGCCGCTTTTGACCATCACGCGGGTTTCGAGAATCTCGGAAAGCATCTTGGCTAGTAGTGATTGACGTGCTTCCTGTTTCGCGTACATCATACCATTTGGTGCGATGTTGATCTTGTCTTTTAGTAACTCGAGTAGCCTGGGCTGTCGCTTGTAATCCATGAATCCCATCTTATCTCGTCCGCGCCAGTGCATTGCTCTGCCCAGGAAAGTTGAGTAGCAGTAGTTGTACGCGATCATGACACTTGGATACAGTGACTGGAAATCAAGCACTAGAAGTGGGCTAGTGTAAAAGTCACTTTGCGGTTCCATGACTAGGGGCAAGCATTCCAGTGCGTTCTGCTGTCCGACCTGCTTTCTGCTCGGTGAGACAAGCAGGAAGTTCTCTGGCTTCGCAATTCGGAACATCAGAGACTCGACTTTGAACTGGGATCCTCGGGAAATCACTGAGGCAAAGTCAATGCCCAGCAATCTCGCCTGCTCGCTTGTCCTCGGTGCCAATTCATTGGCCTCGAGAAGTTCTAGATTCATTTGCACGCGAGAGGTGAAATATTCCACGACTTTCAGGAGATTGCGAGGCTTGCCACTTTGGTGCCATTGCGTCAGGTCTTTGGGCGAATAGTGAGGAATTCGGCGATGCAAGACATGGAAGACGACATTCTCCATAGTATACTGTAGTAGGTTCAGCTCGCCTTTCATAGCGCGCCAGATATTGAACATGTGTCGCCCAGTGATACGAATAGACGAGGAGTGGTTGAAACCCCATGAATCTGCCTCTTTTCCAAATCGTCCATTGGATTGAGATTTGGTCCTTGAAAGCTCCTCGCAGATGTCAAAGTCGTACTTCTTGCGCGCTCGCTCAATCACATATCCCCAGGAAGCGTTGTGGACCTCGTAGCCCGCGATAATGTCCGGATCGTAGTACCGGACAATATCTATGAGTCGGTTTATCAGGTCCAGTTCCGTAGGCTCACACTCGACATCAATAGTTAATGCCTTGGAGATTTTGGATTCCGGCCTCTGGCCTTCGCCATGGTAAACCATTCCAACATGGACTCCGGGAAGATGGCTATTGACCTCAACATCCTCATCCTCGGATTGGATGCACCAGAACAAGGAAGTGATCTCGTCCTCTTCGGGGTTAGGCATGAGGGTTCCGCGCGTGTTCACATGCACTTCTAAGCTCATTGTGCTCATGTGTTGAGCTTGGTGTTCCACGCTAGTGGATACTCCATTCAGTGAATATTTGAAGCCATGTGCGTCCTTCTGTGTGGGGCCCTCGATCTGCGAGAGAAAGTCTGGTTTCGTTTCAGCAGTTATGGTTTGGGCTACTTTTTTGTTAGACTCTTGCGAGGCTTGTAAATCTTCAAACCATTGTATTACTTCCGCCCGGCTTGGTGGAACAGGTGCAAACTCCCAGACCCTGGCGGTACACCCTTCTCGGAGGTGCTGATCGATTTTTTCTTGCTGATCTCGGTCGTGTGCTGTTGGCATCTGCTCACCAAACATTGCAGGTGCCTCTGCCGTTGGGTCAAAATCGGGTAGATAGTGGATGGTGTTGCTCTCTAGCCGAAATTCTCTGCCGCCATATTCTCTTGGTCGTTCAGGCACATCCGTCTCATCACTGTAAAATGCTTTCTGGTATACAACCGAGGGGCGCCCATGTTCATGTATTGTCGCACTGACTTCGCTGGAAGTTGGGCTGGCAAATTTGAAGCAACGTAATGATGTGTTTGGTGTAAAATTGAATGACTGATGAATGTTTTTCATGGTCTCGGCGAGATGTGGATCAAGATAGGATAGGCCCGTCACTGTTGCGGACGAATGTAGGTCTGAGGAACTCTGAGTTTTGCCTGACAATTCCGCGACATATCCGGAAGGGAAGGAACTCGAGAAGGGCTGGGATGACTCGGTGTCTTTTCTTGGAGGATTTGTCTCATCTTGGCTATAGCGCAAAATGGTCAGAGGATCATTGGGGTCCTTGACTACCGGGAATTTCAAGCCTCCGGTGTAACTATGCGCCTTTGGGCGGACTGTCTTCTGCGAGGAAGATGATTTTGGCTCTGACGACGGATTTTCCGCGTGCACATCCAATTTGCTATCAAAAGAGACATTTTTTTGCTTGCCCTCTTGCTGCTGCTTCAGCGTGTGGGGTATTTCCAATGGCCCGTCAGACAAGCCGTGTCCGGCCATATGTCTAGGTCTTTTGAGAGGTGAATCGTGGGAATCGAGAGTTTCGAAGTGTTGTCTTTTAGGGGCTACACTTTTGCTTTGATTCTGGTCTCTGGACCTTTTTTCTTGGGCTACAGAATTCCCTTCCTTGTAGACACCATGCGTAGTTGCTTCTGGGTTGTTGATTCCCGCAGGTGCAGCCACATCTGAAAAGGGCATTTCATCAAAGACCTCATCGTAAAAGCTCTCCCCTAAGGGGTCCTGTCTTGTTTCAGACTCCTGTTCGGTTCTCCCTCCCGATGAGTCCCCTCCTTGATCAGAATCTGAGTAATACTGTCCGTCAGCTTGAGAGGACAAAGCGAGATCCTCATCAACCGAAATTTCGGGTGGGTCTTGCTCGGCTGATTCGTGGGAGCGGCTACTATCAAAAGTCAAAGTGCTGATTTTGTCAGGAAAGAAGTCCTGAACACTATCCAGCGCAGTCTTGACGTTTTTGGCATGATCATCGGTATCCAAGAATGTCCCAAATGTCGTGTCTTTGTTGTGATCCTCGTCTTTCTCGTTAGCAGCAAGCTGAGATGCCATCTCACGAAATTCTTCCTCGTGTATCCAACCACCTCTCGACTGATTTCTCGGATCCGCAGACATTGAAACCAATTCCTCGGGTCCAAAAGGAGTGCTTCCGGGATCAGTGATCCCCATCCTCTTTTTGCGTCTGCGAGTTTCGTCCTGCCACAACCCAGCCATGCTAGGAACAAGGCGCTCATTAACCGCGACAGGTTTCAAAAGCTCGGTGAAATCCTGGTGTAAAGGCCGTTCCTTTACATCAAGACGGTTCAGGATATCTTGAACACAGACATCAACCTCCAGCGCGCAATTGCTCTGTTTCTGTAATGCAGGGTGATCAAGTATGCTCTCGGGTGGGATTGAACGATCGTGCCAGCGATGGGCTAGATTGCTTAGCTCGAAATACTCAGGTACCGGTGCTCTGAACTTGACTTGACTGCAGCTCATAGTTGCACACCCGTACAAATTGTAGTCACACATCCATTGCGGAATGTATTGCACATGTGCCTCATAGGGTTGAAGCGGACGTTTCATTACAGCTCCCTGGTGCAGAAGATCGACTAGGCGAGTTGTATGGAAGGGGTTCAAAAGGTAAATTTTGAAGAAGAACCGCCATCCGACATGGTATCCGTAGAACGGGACTCCTTTCACCAAGGTGATGTGCGCCACAAACGCTGTCCTCCGGTCATACGCATTTCGGCGAAAGCTGACCGCCAGAGCGTGATCGATTGAGAGATGAAGGGTTCGGATTGCCGAATTTACTACAATTTTGGTAAGTCGACACATCAAATCTTGAATGCGACTATCACTAACCATCTTCTGGGGCTAAGGACCCGTTGTATTCGATGTAGAGGTATGGAAACGCGCCATGGACATGTACGCAAACTCTCTGGCCTGTCTCGGTGGCTCCAAATATTCGAATTACAGGCACCTTGGGCTTGAAATCTTTTTCTGAGACCTCATCACGAAAAGGTAGTGGAGGATCCAACTCCGACGCGGTCGCCTGGTAATGATCGATACAGTTGAGACGCACACGGAATGACTCCATCGCTCTGGTGTGTGGCGACCAGAAGCCACAGCAACATTGCGAAGGATAAATGGTTCACGCACCGCTTATCGCAAGTGTGTCCTTTTTGGCATCTCAGTAAGGATAGTTGAGAAAACGCGACCAAGGTATGTCTATGACAACGCGAGATAACGCCTAGTCACGTGTTTAATATCGATTCTCCACCCGTCAAGCACGGGCCTATCGCAACTTCACTCATCTTTCATCTTACAACAGGAGAGAGCTACAGGTGGCTCGATCTACTTCATCGCTTGCTTGCCTTTCATACCTACTCAAAACTCACCCCTTCCCCATCGAATCAACCCGTCATGTCACGCAAACCCGCGGATGTGGCGTCAAAAACGCCCAACGAGTACATTCCATCCTTCATCTCCAAAAAGCCGTTCTACGTCGATGATGAGACAAACAACGATTACCTGGAGCATCAACGTCTCCAGAAGGCCATTCCTGACCAGTCAAAATGGTATGATCGAGGAAAGCGTGCGGGTCCAGCAGCCACCAAATACCGCAAAGGCGCATGTGAAAATTGCGGCGCGATGACACACAAAACCAAAGAGTGTCTGAGTCGACCCCGAAAGCATGGTGCCAAATGGACTGGAAAAGATATTCAAGCAGATGAACTTGTTCAGAAGGTCGATATGGGGTGGGACGCCAAAAGAGATCGGTGGAACGGCTATGATGCCACCGAATATCGCCAGGTCGTCGAGGAATACGAAGAGATGGAGGCCATCAAACGAATGGCGAAGGATGATTCAAATCTCAAAAAACTTCAAGCCGGTGAAGATGGCGATGAAGCCCCCGATTCAGATATCCGGTACGCCGAAGAATCCGATATGGGACGACAACAGAGTACCGCAACCCGCAACCTACGTATTCGAGAAGACACCGCCAAATACTTGCTTAACTTGGATCTTGATTCCGCCAAATACGACCCAAAAACACGCCGAATGGTGGACATGGGCGCGCAGGATGATCAGGCTGCTGCACTTGTCGCAGAGGAGAATTTCGTCCGTGCTTCGGGCGATGCTGCGGAGTTCGAGAAAGCCCAGCAATATGCATGGGAGTCACAAGAAAAGGGTCTCCCTCAATTACATATTCAAGCCAATCCGACATCTGGAGAAGTTCTCCGAAAGAAGGAGATGGTTGATAATGAAGCTAAGCGTGAGGCGCATCGCAAAGCTCTCCTGGATAAATATGGTGGCGGAGAGCACTCAAAGCCAAGTGCTCTGCGAGAGACTATGGTCGTTGAAAACGAGCGATTCATTGAATATGACGAGAGCGGTGCCATCAAGGGCGCGCCCAAGAACGCAACCAAGTCCAAGTACCCGGAAGACGTGATGGTCAATAATCATGCTTCGGTCTTCGGCAGCTGGTGGTACCAATTCAAATGGGGATACGCATGCTGCTATTCCACTGTGAAGAACAGCTACTGTACAGGGGAAGATGGAAAGAAGGCCTTTGAGGAAGAAGGCAACATGTTGCTGATGGCTGGGGCAGCCGACGACAATGAAGATGTTTCCGAGAACGCTGAAAATGCGGATCTCTCTCACGAGTCTGAACAAGCCGACGGCAAGGATCAAGGGCAGGACTCAAGTGCTAATGGTAAAAAGCGGACGCTGGAGGAATTGAAGTCAGGTATCACAGAGGAGGAATATGAGTCATACAAGCGGAGCCGGTTGGCTGCCGATGATCCTATGGCGAACTTCATAGGGAAAGATTGATTCTGATGATGTTCTCCATATACTACTTGCATGGGCGTTCGGATGTACTAAAATACCCTCTTGATGTGCTGTTTAAACAGTGAACAAATGCACAACCCAATAATTCGTGTTTATACCTCTTTCTCGTGTAGTGCTAAAATTCTGCCTCGAATAATACGCATCAACAAAGTAGAATCAATGAATCAATGATATCTACAACTCCGTAATTGGTTGGCTTTCCAAGATGAACAAGTGTCACGTGACTTTTCATCGGCACGGACCATCTAGCTCCAATGAGGGTTAGTCGATCACGGGATCTAGACAAGCCCTGATGGGTCCACGTGATTGACTAACGCACTCGCTTAGAGCACAATCGCCAGATCTTGGGCAAGTTTTGAGACGCTTAGCGACGACGACCCGACAACCAGCCCCTTCAACGGAATTGCCAGGTACGTCCGCATGCCGGTCCCTTCACCATTGCTCACTTCGTCCCCGTCATTTTACTAACATATATCCTCGTCCACAGTTCCATAATTCAAGATGAGTACGTCCGATGTCGAAACATCGCACCGCGATCCTCCGCACCGTCGAATAACTTCAAACTAACAACCGCCACAGCTAAGGGTACCTCCAGCTTCGGAAAGCGCCACAACAAGACGCACACTCTGTGCCGTCGTTGTGGTACGTATTACACCTATTTTTCACGATTCCACCCATCCGACCCGCAGTCGCAAATTTCTACATCGAAAGACGGAATTAGCGATTACGGCGAAGACAACCACACAACCTAGCAAGGATAAGGGCTAACCGGTGATATCTACGACTCTACAGGCAAGCGGTCTTTCCACATCCAGAAGTCGACTTGTGCCAACTGCGGCTACCCTGCTGCCAAGACCCGCAAGTGTACGCAAATACCCCTCCCGAGAAATTGGTGATATGAATGGTGGCCATTGTTTTGGAAATTGGGCACCAAGTCGAGAACTTTGGCTTACATAGATTTTTTCACGAACAGACAACTGGAGCGAGAAGGCTAAGCGCCGCAAGACCACCGGCTCCGGCCGCATGCGCTCCCTGCGCGATGTCCACCGCCGCTTCCTCAACGGCTTCCAGACCGGTACCCCCAAGGGTGCTCGTGGCCCCGTCACCAACTAGATTCCCTTTTTCGTCCGCTCGGCGTCGCGTTTTCGGTATCGGAGAGGCTGGAATAGGAATGAGGGGAGGGATCCTGGCATGACATGAATTAGCATTACGGGATAGCATTACTCGAAATGCAATGGCAGTTCCGGACTCTTATCGCTTTCCCGTGGAGTTGGTGTGTGTGCAACTGTCGATCACGTTGGTTCTCTTTGCCACGCCAAGGATGACAAAGTAGAACTTGCGAGACGATGGGAAAAGTTTCGTTGAGGGGCTCTTTTCTACGGAAAAGAGCTGGATTTAAAAAAACCCTGGGAAAGCGTGAATGAATTTCCTTTTTTCGTTTATGGCTGGCGAATATCCCATGTCATGACAGATACAATGTGAAGACTCTTCCTACCATTTCATGGTCTGTTCTACTCAGTACGAGGCTCTTCGATTGAAAGACACAGAGACTTGAATTGGACATGATTCAATGACTGTTCCTGATAAGCTCGTGGCTCTCGTGAACGTCTTACCCATAGTATACAGCCTAGGCTCATGATTCCCCACGACCAAACACCGTGACACCGCCATCCCGTTGGATGAAGTACAACGCCTCCCGCTCCTCCAGGGCCTCTTCTTCACTCGTGTTCAGTCCACCACCTCGGCTGATTCTCAGTACCCCGCTCACATCTTTTGCGGCTCCAGTGTCCAAAGTGCGGAGCTGCATGACCGATCGAGCCCGGTGCGCCAGCCCAATAACAAGTGCAGCATGTTCCGTCTCTAGTGGCGTAGCCAACTCCCCTCCCGAGGTAGATGCATTGTGTATTAATGGGGCATCCGTAGCTAACGTCAAAACCGTAGCATGTGCATGCTGTCGAACAAATAGTCAGCCTTGCCGTAACCGTAAACCTTGATTTTGCCTATCGGGGAGTGATAAGGCCTTACCTGTTGTAGCGCTGTGATCCACTCCGACATCTCTGTTGCTCCAATTCCCATAGTTGGACCTGTCGCAGCAAGGAGCAGGTCAGGCTGGTCTATAATGAGGAGAAGCTCATCACCATCCTCCATTGAACTCTTTTGCTGTTCAATCACTGATAGGATATCTTTCTCCAGCGCGTCGAGGGAGGCGAGACCACGACCAGAGAAATGGAGCTTCTTTGCAATCCCAGGTTCAGCCTGCTTCGAGGTCACATTTCCTCTCGCTCCTGCGGCTATTGGCCCTGCCGGGTGTGGTGATCTTCCAGGTACAGCACCAGGTGGAGACCTCATTGGGAGCGTTGTGCGTGGACTACTTCCCAAACCAGCCGGTGAGATACTGGGAGTGGCTGTAGCTTGTGGTGCGTAGAACAGCTCAGACAGGCCATCTATGAATGCAAATTGTTGCTTATCTGCTAGACGTGCAAGGTCAAGGCCCTATCAAGCTAGTTAATAATGTCGATCAAAGTATGTATCAATACATGAATAATATAAGAAATTGAACGCAGATGCAGGTTCCAAATTCAAATGCCACTCATTCCGCTGACTGGACTTACCAATCGCTTTGCCTCAGTCCTCCAGAACTCATAACTCCGCATGAAGCTCACCAGTACCACTTTCTTCTTAATGCCATTGTGCAGCTCGTCTGAACCAAATGCCGCATTAGGGCTTGGTGAGCTCAGCGCAGCATGAAGGAATCTCAGGACCAGCCAGTTTGAAGTCGCCCCAAGGATAGAAGAGACTAGTGTCAAAGATGAATCGGGCAGATTTGATACATATGAAGCGAGGAGGGGCGGTAGTGGGGGTTGAGAGGGCATGATTGCGCCTAGATTCAGATATCGATGATGCCCTTCGTTCCTGGCAAGTGATAGTTGAACTAGGCTGAAAATCACTCTTTCCTTTTCAATGATTGAGTCTTTGTTTGGAAGTGTTGCTACTGATCGAGTCGTGGAGATGATGTCGAGAAAAAATGTCTCCGGCTTGTGATTGGCCCCGCGGGTATCCAGTCATGCCAAGACATAGCATATCGAGATGATGTTGCTTGCAGTTTGATTTCTCTTGCTGTTTCTCGGTATATTTTTTCTTGGGTATAGAGATAATACAATGTTCAATCTATATTTGGCTCTCCGGCTGTTTCCTTTGTAATATCTCTGGCTTAACTTTTCCTAGAACGATATGTGCGTGCGATATATATAGTTCGAGTTATACACTACCCGCTCAATGTAACATCATGTACCTGAAATCTTGGTTGATGCAGTTCCTATTAGTCAAAGTACAAGAAAAACTACGTCGGATATTTGAAACAACATACAATACAGTCAAAAGAGCTGTGATCAAAATCACAAATGTTTCTGCCTGAGGCATCAATATGAGTTTTCTGCACTTATCACCTGACCGTTTTCCCCACCATCGAGGGGAATGATGGATGCATCTTATCCATCGCATTGCAAGAGGCTGTGCTCTAGCGCCGATCGTGAGTACAATTTCCATTCTAGAGATCACTTCCACACCGCCATGTGTATACGCATCCCAGCCCTACCGTGCTCATGTGCTATACATGATACCCGATGTGGGGGTCTGGCTGTGAAGCATTTTCTGCTTAATATATCAAATGCATTAACTAACTGTTTATACAGATGACTGCCGTTGTATGGCATGATCATAGCGGATTGGATACAAGATACGAGACATCCAACTTACCTCGATAAAGATGGCTAGCACTCGTGATTCCCATTCATTTGCTGTATGTATTGATCGGCCTGCATGATAGCTGAGGTATAAAATGCCAGAGTTGAAGTCTGACTGTTCAAATAGTGCGACGAATGCCGCTTGCGCAAGTCAAGAGTAAGTGTTTTCTTGTGTTGAATACCTGCATGTCTCGGCCCAATTAACCCGAGTATTTATAGTGCTCGAAAGAACGACCAGTTTGTCTGCAATGCCGACAGCTGAACAAAGAATGTATATACAGCCCCAAAGTCAGCAGAAGTCCTCTGACTCGGCAGTAAGTGACTAGAACCGAAAAAGTTTGTATTGAAAGACCAAGACTGACTTGACCACTTCAGACACTTAACCTATGTTGAAGATCGCCTACACTCATTTGAAACAGCCTTAGGAAGACTTTTCCCAGGTGGTGATCTGGATGCTACACTCCGTTCTCTTTTGCAAAACCCAGAGGTCCCAAGGGCCCCCTCATCCAAGTCCTCTTCCAGGCACTCAACCCCCAAGCATGAACCAGAACGGGCTGAACCAGCACCGGAAGCTCTCCCACAGCAAGCGGATGGCTTTGACTGGGCTGAAAAAGAAATCACGCTTGGCGATTTGACAGACGGCATGGCTGCACTGTCTATTAAGCCCGAAGGAGCTGGCTACTTTGGTTAGTTCCTTCAATATCCCTTGTGGACTATGCTTTACATTTTCCAAACTGACACATAAATTACAGGAGCGTCTTCAAGTGTCGTACCATTACGAGCTCTTTTTGATCATGGATTTGACCTGAATATACCTGTTCGTTCGGCAAGGTCAGGAGGCGTGCCTCTTAAAGCACAGCTTCTAGAAAGTGCCCCATCTGGGCTGATTGAACAAGCATTCATCGACGCTTTCTTCCTCAATTATCACACCAGCTATCCATTTATCCACGAGCCTACCTTCCGGATGCAGTTTAATGACCCATCTCTACGCCCGCATGGTAATGCCTGGCATATCCTCTTAAACACGATATTAGCTCTTGGAGCCTGGTGTATCGGCGATGACAGCTCAGACCTGGATATCACATTCTACCAAGAAGCCAGAGGATACTTGCAGCAGGCATCTGTGTTTGAGACTGGAAATTTGACATTAGTCCAAGGACTATTGTTACTGAGCAACTATGCACAGAAACGAAACAAACCCAACACCGGATGGAATTATCTTGGTCTAGCAGTTCGAATGGCCATGAGCCTGGGTCTTCACAAAGAGTTCCCTGGCTGGAAGATCAGTCTCTTACAAAGAGAAATCCGCAGAAGATTGTGGTGGGGAGTTTTCATCTTCGACAGCGGTGCAGCCAAAACCTTCGGAAGACCGATCCTTCTCCCAGAGGACAGTGTCATGGATGCGAAGCAGGTTCGAAATATCCACGAAGAGGTATTTGCAACCAACATGGAACATAAATAAGCACCTATAACTAACACATTACAGGCTTTAACTCCCACGACAACAACTTTGCCGGCCGAATCGCCCGGCCCAACCATCTACTCCGGCTTAATTGCCCAGGCCAGCTTCCATCTCCTTACCAACAGCGTCTACCAACGCCTCATCTCAAGCCCCAGCCTCACGCCAGAAGACACACTGAACCTGCAAAAACCCATCGAAGAATGGTACAACGGTCTTCCATCCTACCTCCAACACCCACAGTTACCTCTCTCTATGCAGCCAACCCATCCAGACCCGGACTCTCTCGCACTCGTGCGCAACCGCCTGCTATGGCGAAACTGGAACCTCACCATTCTGATCTACAGACCAATCCTACTCCGCTGGGCCGCTAGACGCTGGGCCCCACTTAGCGGCAGCGGTCCAGGCACCGCGGATGCAGGGTCTGAAGATCCCTTCGAGACAGAGTGTCGATTGCGCTGTCTCCAGAACGCACGCTTGACCATCTCCTCCATCTCGGAGTACATGGCGAACTATATGTGCACCAGACTGGGGGCATGGTATATGCTGTATGTATTACCCTATACCTAATACTCCACCAGAACAACATCTAACATAATCAAAAATAGCTACTTCCTCTTCCAAGCAGGCTTGATCCCGATAGTCTTCTTAATGACCGACCCCTCAAACCCAGAAGCCGCCTCCTGGCTCCAGGACATCGAAACCACAAAATCCCTCCTAACCCACCCCTCCCTCGGAACAAACCGCTTTGCAACCCGCTGTTTCGAAGTCATCAACCGACTCCTCGGCCCACCTACGCACTCTGTGCCACAGGGACTTCCAACGGACGGAGACCTGCTCGACCCCCAGCAACATCAGCACCACCAAATGGCCCCGCAACAGCTGCCTAACATGATGCCGTTCCCCGAGCAGCTTTTCAGTGACCCCGGATTCGGTGGAAGTCTGTTCCCAGTCGAGCAGCACTTGCAAATGAATACGGGTGGTATGGACTTTTCTGAATGGGTGAATTTCCCAGCGGCAGAATGATGGATTTAGTTTTGATATTGATTTTTTTCCTTCTGTTTCTGTATGTATCTTGCATTGTAGGATGGGTATCATGGGAAAATGGAAATTAGGAATTTCTTTGGAAATAGTCGCATAAGTATGGGTATTAGCGAATACTTGAAATGCATGATTTTGACAGTTGGATTTGATATAGAGTGTTACATCCTATGTCAAGAATAACCTATTACTCACGCCTAATATTCTCATTGCGCCATGCGTTGTTTGTATGGCACGTTGGCGTTCATGCATGTTCCTCATGCGAATTGACCGGCTTGATAAGATCATCTTCTTCAATCGGTGTTCCGCGCAACTCGGCTTCAATGTGTTTGATGCGTTTCTTTTCTTCGTGAGCGGCCGTGTCACCGAAAATGAGGTCCATATCTTCGAGTGTCTGTTGAAAAATAGTTAGCATGGTCAATCTTAGATAGACAACAGGTCCATGCTGGAACAAATGGTTGCGGAACGTACCTTCCCACGGGTTTCAGGAATGCAAAAGAAGGTGAAAGCAAACGCAAGAAGACAGAAGGCGGCGAAAAAGATGTATGTGCCCCAGGTGATGGACTCGAGCATATCAGGTGTGACAAGGCCAATAATACTGCAAGGAGTTATTAGAATCGAATCGAATGTTTTAACTAGGAATGCTGTCACTTACAAGTTGCACATCCATGTTGCCGAGGTTGTGATGGAAATAGCCTTGGATCTGATCGAGAGGTTGAAGATTTCCGAAGGAAGAACCCAACCGATGGGGGCTGATATTGAAAGTTGTTAGTTGGTGCCGAGAAAGAGGTATAAGGCATGATCTTACCGAAGGAATATGAGAAGTTGATGTCGTAAATGTAGATAAAGGCAATACCAGCCCAACCGGCGGATTTATTGCTCACTAGTGATGAACCGAAGCCACCCAAGATGCCGCCGACAATGACCAGCGAGATACAAGTTCCTGCGGCGCCTGCCATGAGTAGAGGTCGACGACCGACTTTGTCAATGAAGAAGAGCGCGGGGAGGGTGCTAAGACAGTTGACGATGCCGTAAACACCAGTAGCAAGAAGGGAGGTGGTATTTCCATCTAGGCCGAGCTGGGCGAAGATTGTAGGTGCGTAGTAGATCATGGCTATATGAATTAGATACTGCTATGGATGGAGAAGGGTATAGTCGGAAACGTGACATACCATTACAACCCATAAACTGCTGGAAGAACATTACAATGCAGCCAATAGCCAACCGTTTGAAGCGGGACCATGTTGTGAAGAAGGATATGTACTTTGAAAATGTGTTAGTGAGATTGAAGTATAAGCGGGGAATTGGTAACAAACCTGAGCAACGTGCAACTTGTATCCGGACAGGTTAGGGAAATTATCCCTTGCAAAGGAGTTTTCCAACATGATAGAGGCCTTGATTTCAAGGTACTCGTTGAGGAGAACGGGACTATCGCGATCCTGACGACGCAGTCTTGAGAGCGCGTGCAGCGAATCGTCATCGCGCTCCTTCATCAATAACCAACGGGGCGAATCTGGGAAGAACAACATTCCAACACCGAGGATAACAGCTGGAACAATCTGCAGGGCAAGGGGAAGACGCCATGACACCTCGGATTGCCCAGTGCAACCACCAGCAGGAACATCATGGTAAGGGTCGAAGACAGGCTTTGAAATTGTACCACCGGAGTATGGGATATCAGGAGCGCATCGGGTGCCACCGATGTAGTTCGTTCCATAGTCGATCCAGTAGCTGAACAAGATTCCAAGAGTAACGGATACTAAACGCAAATTAGTCGATGTGCCATATTTCAACTCTCGAGAACAACTTACATTGCTGCAGAACGACCAGTCCTCCACGAATCTCTGGAATAGAAACTTCAGAAATATACAGAGGCACTACCATGGTCAGTTGACCAACAGCCAAACCCGCAATAGCTCGGCCGGCGAACAACATTGGGATATTCATAGCAGCGCACTGGATGACGGAACCAATGACGAAGACCACTACAGCCAGATTGATGGACATCTTCCGGCCAAATCGATCGGCGATAGGTCCATTGATCAAGGAGCCAGCCCAAGCTGCAAGCAACAGTGTTGACACGAACCACCCCTTGAAACCACTTTCAGAAAAGACACGAGGGTATCGAGCTCCAAAGGACTCCATAGTGATAACACCGCTAATAACACCTTGATCATAGCCAAATAACAGACCACCCAGGGTCGAGAACTGTGCTAAGGTCAATGGATGAACGACATATCATGCAAGAGTAGGCACTTACCGATGCCACACCACAGAGAAAGGGATTCTGCAGGACAAGCGCAAAGCCGCCCTTCGGGGCGCTATCCACAACAGTAGCCATGATACACCAGTGTTTTCTGATCCGACGAGATGGGATATGGCCCCTGTTCACTAGGCTTTATATAGATGCTTTACAAGCCAAGTACTGCAACTGCACTCTGCCGTTCAGGAACACAGTGCTCCGTCTGGGGTATAGATGAAAGAGGAACACAGTACTCCGAAAGCTCAGAGCAAGGCACAAGGGACATGGTCTGATAGAATGAAAATCAACGGAGTAGTCTACTCCGCACCAACTGAAAACTGAAAATGGGAGAAAAGGAGGGGAAGGCCGAAACTGGGGCAAAGCCTTTCCCCGACTTTGGTGGGCCGACTGGAGGTTGGTGAGTTTGATATTGCGGGGAAACCCTGTCAAAGAGTCTACAGATATTTCTACTTCTTGAAGTGAATAAAACTCGGAAAAAGATATCAACACTTATTTATATCTACTTATATATTATATTAACAAAAGTATTTCTCATCATCAACATAAATCGAAATAAAATCCAAAGCCCTACAGAAATTCGGCAGCGCCATCCCGAAGCCCCCCCAAGCCCGGTGGGGAACGGCCTCAGGTGGGAATTCTTGTCTTTTCGGGTTCGGGTTTATTCCGATATATCACGAAAACCGGGTTTTTAGTTTCAATATCATTAGAAAGCTGCAATATTGGATATTGTGATTGAATTGTTCTGTTTAAATCATTGGAATAGATCACAAGATGACTCATTATGAGCGAATACCTCAATCGGGACCATTGCAACGGTGATTTTCAACTCTGTGCTGCCCATGTGAAACCCATCTTCGCCGTCAAAAACAACTCAACTTGCGCGATTATGCGCAGATTTGCTAGGGAATCGCCAAGGCCCGTGCAATTCCATCCCGCCCAGTGACAAAGACCAGCAGCCGGGCCTCTAGACGCACGTCAGCTGCTGGATAGTGGTTTCTCAAGAGATATCAGGTGCAGAAAATTGGCATATGACCTTCCCAGCGCAATGTGATAAATCCCCGCTCTGCTGGAGTCAAACTTCCAGATCGCAAAGTTCAAGATCTCAACCTTACCTTCCACCCATAACCATGACCTCACCCCTCCGCATCGGCGTCCTCCTCGTAGGAACCGTCCAACTCCTCGACCTATCAGCCGTCGACCTCCTCTACATGACAACCCCAGAATACCTCCAAGAATGCTCCCTCCCGCAGCCACTAGTGGACCTAGGCCGGGCCTGCGAGATTCACTACATTGCACACAGCGGACCAAATACAACAGTCAACACGACCTCGCAGATGTCTATACAACTAACCGACTCGCTTACAGACTCTGCCGTTTCTCCAGGAAAACTAGACATCGTGCTAATCCCCGGGCCACCGCCCATAGCCATGCCGCCTGCAGAAGAATACCTCGACTTCGTGCGAGCGCATTTCGCAGCTGGCACGCCGATCCTGAGTATCTGCACCGGGGCTTTCATTATCGGGTACTCTGGGATTGTGAAGGGTCGAGAAGTTACCGCGCCGCGATTGTTGATTCCTGAGATGAAGAGGAGGTTTCCCGAGGCGAAGCTTTGGGATGATTCGGTTAGGGTTGCTAGGGATGGGAATTTGTGGACTAGTGGTATGTTTTTTTTCTTCTCTTTTTTCTTCTCTTTTTTCTTCTCTTTTTTCTTCTTCTTTTCTTTTTTTGGGGGATCTGAGTTTAGTTTAAGTTGGATGCGAATATGCACGCTGAAACTCGCTTGTAGGCGGAATTACAAACGGACATGATCTGGTCGTTGGATACCTGCGTGGACATTACCCTGCCGCTTTAGTGAACACGATCCTCGTCGCTGCGGACATCCCGTCTCGTCCAGCGGCATATGCTAGTTCTGCGACGGGTGATACTATCTATGTGCTGTGGCAGGTTATTAGGGCGATTCCGAATGCAGTGACTCGGTTGTTTAGGGGGAAGTGATTGGTGCTTCTATGCTTCGAGAAGAAGTGTCATAAGATTCGACCGACGTCATCCCGAGGAATCTCCATACGTTAAAATTAAATTCGACGATCAAGTGCTTTTTTATTTTTTTGGAAAATATAATAAAATTCAAATTTTATTACGGAGTACAAAGTACGAAGTACCTACGGAGTACTTTATTGCAATTTTTTTTAATGAAATGATATCCAATCAAAAAAAAGCCCGAGTCCTGCAGTGTTTCAGGGCTACAAGGAACATAGGTACCCATCAAGCCATCTATCCGAATTGAGCGAGAAGAACAATAACAAAACACCAAGATTCTCCCACATGTACCAGTCTTCAAAATGTAAAAGGGATTGAAATCGAACAGGTTGACAAAACGGCTTTCATGCCCTGAGTGTTGCCATAATCAATTCCATTGGAAAGAATGCTGGGATGCATCACGCCACTATCAGTGTAGCGGTGTCGAGAAAGAGAGTGATGCCCGAATATTAAAAGACAGGGATGAGAATCCTCTTAACAGCAAGCCCTTATGCCGAGGGCTGCCAAGGACTCCACTTGGTAGACGAAAAAGTCGACACCTCTATTCCAAGGTCTAGACCGGCGATACTCCTTGCTTGAACACCGGACGTTAATGAATGTCCGACGGAGTGGGCTTGAAGCGTTGAAGTAGCTAGTCGATCATTATTTCTTCTTGCATGAGTTTATTTTGTGATATAATAACGAAAAGTGGAAGCTTTTTCCGGCTTGATATCCGGAATCAAGAAAGCGGGAAAGTCAGGGAGGAACATGGATGTTTTCGGAGTTTTATAGAGAGCTGGAAACGAGGTCTGGATTTGAATCTCTAGCTATTTCGAATTGCTGTTGTAGTGAGTGAGAAAAAAACCAAGAATCGAAGCTAGAGAAGAGGTAATATGAGTGGTTTCATCATAGTTTGATGAAGTATCAATGCGTACTTTTCCCCTCGGAGCTGACATATGATATGATCTCCCACCGATTAAAAGCCCCCATTCGGGTGAATAATCACTTTTGTATACCCATCTTCACGCTTATCAAATTTCTCATACGCCACCACCACACCGTCAAGGCCGATCTCGTGAGAGATGACAAAGCTAGGTTTCGCCTTCCCAGCAATGATCATATCCCGGAGGTATCGATCATATGCCTTAACATTGCACTGACCAGTGCTGAGAGACAGACCCTGCAACAAATTAGCAAGGTTGACGGCCTCGATGCATGTCAGCAAATCACTTGCCTTCTCAAAGAGCTTTCCGAAACTAAGACTAATCATGCCATTGGCGGAGGCCGTATCAGCTGCACCGGGGTCGCTAGCAAAGGGCCATGTTAATAAATGATTTGCCATATCGAGTGTTTATAATGAGGCCGCGTACCTGGGGACGTAGAGCCCGGGAATCCCCATTCCCCCGCATGCGCGCGTTACACGAATCATGTTTTCAAGAATGATATTCGCCTTTTCGGAAGAGCCACTAGAGTCGACAGCCTGGTAACCGACGGCGTCGACTGACCGGTCTACCTCTCCACCATTGTGACTGATAATTTCATCGACGGGATCACCCTTGGTAAAGTCGATCGGGATACAGCCGAACTTTTGGGCAGCTGCTAGTCTCTCGGGGACACGGTCAACCACGTAGATGTTGGAGGCGCCGCGTAAAGAGGCCGAATAAGCGGCCATCAAACCAACAGGGCCTGCACCAAAGACAGCGATGCTTTCACCTGACCGGAATCCGGAAATTTCAACACCGTGCCAGCCTATAAATTATCACTAGTGTTAGATGACAGCTATTACCTTGATTTGCGGGACAATGACAGTAGGATCCGTACCGGTGGGGAAAATATCTACGCAGGTTAGCTCATCTAAAATTTGTTATAGTAAAGAGGCGTAGACGTTTTACCTGCGAGAAGAACGAAGTCGGCTTCGTGTTCTTTACCCGGGGGCAATTTTAGAGCATTGAAGTCTGCAAAAGGAACGCGAATGTACTGAGCTTGGCCTTCACACTCAATCAGGTTAATATAATTCCCATTCCTCAGACTCCCTGAAAACGCATACCTCCACGATAAGGCCCCATAGCGACGTAGCCTGTGTGATGTTAGCCAAAAAAAAGACAACCCACACCGTTGAATGATGCATAACTCACCATACGCGCCACCAGCGAATCCGGGGTTGACGCCCGTACAGAATGCCGTCTTTCCTTCTTCGCAATTGCGACACCGACCATCAGCAACGTTAAACGGCATCACGACACGGTCTCCCTTCTTCAACGATATCACTCCTTCACCTAGTTCCTCGACGATTCCCATATTCTCGTGGCCTTTGATTGATTTAGCGCTGGAATCACTCCATACTTTCACTCGAATCTTACCGAAGGTAATGCCTGGCTCTGCGGCAGTTCTGCCTTCATACATGCTGTGGAGATACGGTTAGTTTCAATTGCACCAATTCATCGTGCCTTCCCGCTCTTTTCCCCAAGACTTACTGCAAGTCTGAGCCGCAGATTGCAGCCTTCATTCTCTGTTAGTTCGGACTTTTCTCAGTGGAGTCTATCCATCGCTCACCGTTGTAACTTTCACGATGACATCGTCTGGATGCTCTAATTTAGGCTTCTCAACTTCCTCCACTCGGACTTGGTATGGCCCGATATAGTTCAGTGCCTTCATAGTAGTGGCCGTTGCCATTGTAAGTCCCTGGAATGACTAGTAGGTAAGTGCGCGACTTGTGTGTGGTATGGACAGTGAAGGCCAACGGGGTATTTGAGTGCATTGGTCATAGGATTGCCGAATGAATGCCTGGATTACGAAGAAAGTCCATCACCACTCTTGAATTGTAAAACATGATGCCAATACAAACCCCTACCACAACCAATGAATGGCTTGGTGCATGAGCTGGCAACGGGTAATGGCGTGCGAGGCAAATCGTCCTTTCTCTGCTTCCAGAAGTGGGGTGTAGCGGTTACCGAAACTGCTCTATAACATAAATAACATAAATATTGTTTATCAACGTGAGATGGGGTTAAATCCCGCACTCTCTCACCTCCAGCATCGCGTTTCCGCTCGCAATATTGACCCCCACCTAGCTGAGCGGAGACCCCCATCTACGGACAAGAGCACCATATAGAAGACCGGGTTTCACAATATCAAGACCGAGCCAATAATTCCCACTTGAAACCCTCCGGTTATCTCCGAATTGTATAATAGGAGCAGGAAAACCTCAGAGCCTTTTTTTATTTTGAATAAAATCAACAGTGGGTTCACCCCGAACAATAGTACGACCATATGCACACGAAAGGCTAAAAACTTATAGTGTCATCACCTGACGCCGAAGCGATCTCCACTGTTCTTCACGCCTACGGAGCCGCTCTAAAAGCCCGAAATGTGGAGGAAGTACTGGCCCTTTACACGACCGATGGAGTGATTATGCCGCCGCACTTCCCGGCGAGTGCGGGCATCGACTCTCTACGCGCATCGTATACGCGGATTTTCTCAACGATTGAGCTGGTTATAACTTTCCAAATCGAGGAAATTGTTTTGATGTCTCCAGAGTGGGGGTTCGCTAGGACGACGGCGGAGGGCACGAAGACGATACTTGCGCTGAATGAGTCGGAGCCACATGCGAATCAGGAATTGTTTATTATGAAGAAGGAGAATGGGAAGTGGTTGATTGCTAGATATGCATTCTCGACTATGAAACCGCTGGTTCAGAATGGGATTCAGAGGAGTTGAAAAATATTCTTTAAATGGAATTTCGTTTATTAACGGAATGAGTTGACATTGTTATCTGTCAGTTCTTTCAAATAAAAGAATGCAGTTTATTCAAGATACCAAGTACAGAAAGGGGAAGAGAAAAGGAAAAGATTTATGACCTATAGAACGAAGTGAGTCCTCTCAGCTAAGAAATTTAGAACTAAGTTTATTATCAATTAGCTTGAGAAAGAGATAAAGTACTTGCTATAAGCTTAAGATTCGTAAGGGAGGTGTCTAAAATGAAGAAGCCAAATACATAGATATGGTTCAATAGTAATGCATTTCTTGCAGTTCCAGAGCCTAAAAAAATGAAGTGAAGAAGAAGGTGAAGAGAAGAAGAAGACGCGAACAGAAAAGCACAAAGACCCCGAGGTTTGAAAGTTTGAAAACGATGGAAAAGACACAATCTGGGCGAGAACGCTCGTACCATGCAACGCGCTGCACCACGCTAAAGAGGACAATCATTGAGAAGAGGAAGAGGAAGAGGAAGAGGAAGTGGAGGAGAAAGGGGATAAGAACGAGGGGAAATGTGAATCATGCCTATCCCTAGACCCGGAAGGCAAAGGGGCAAGTTTCATCAAAAAGAGGTTGAAAGTGAGATAGATGTGCTGGCCTAGCCCGCCTGAAAAACCATGATACGAGTCGAGCCAATTAACCCAGGTTGATCATTATGAAGAAAAAATGAGAAAGGAAACGAGATCCATGGCTCTTCTCATGCGTGACGGCCCGAATTTCGTTCGTGCGGTTCCCAATGGATGGGTTCAAAGTCAGAATTCTGGAAATGGGCTTGGTTATATGGGGAACTAAGAGAGACAAGTCAGTAACGACGCCGATTGTATTTTACTGCGGATTACCTTGACAGAACTTACTTTTTGAAAGGTGTCGTGACTGGCAACGAGCGACTAAGATTCGGTTTCATCACCAAGGGGTTCAGGCGAATCTGCGGGCCATCTGACGTTCGACTAGGCAACGAAGTCATCGGTGGCGGGGCGGATGATGGCGGTGGGAGTTGTGGAGGAGAAACAGGAATCGATGGAATGGGCGCATGGGTTGGCATAGGCGATTGGTACATGTCTTGTTGCGGGGACATGCGGAATGGACTGGCGGGGGTTGGCGAGACAGAAGGCATTGGCGACATGGGAGCGCCCATTCCAAAGGATGTGTCCTGCATCAAATTGGGAATGGCCATTAAGCTTGAGTTGACGTCGAATCCGAGAGCAGCTTGATCCCAGGGGGAGTAGTCGGACGTCATTCCGTATTGGAGGTTGACTATGGGTGCCATATTTAAAGCTTCGACAGGGTAAAGGATATCATAATGGCCTCTGTGTAGAATGTTAAGCTTGATACGACACGTTCACTGCCAAAGTAACTCACGGTCGGTATAAGAGGCGGATTGTTGCACCATTGGGACTATTAGATGATAGTTGGTGAGGTGTCACGACGTCGCCTTCACTTCGGTCGAGGTAGAGAATTTCAACGCCAAAGCCGGAGCCTTCGATTACACCGTCGATCAGTGCCTGAAGTCCGACTTCGTCGATTTCCGTCTTCACCGGGTCTATCCGCGAGCTGCAGTACTGGTTCAATGGCATAGGAAGGAAAGCCTGGTACCGGTTCGGGTTGAGCTTCATCCACGCGCTAGTCAATATCTACAAGGCGAGACAATCAGTTTACGTCCGGTACGTCCGGTGACAAGGAAAGAGAAAGCAAAAAACTTTATCAAGGGAAAAACTTACTCGGAAGTGGGTAATGATAGCATCAGAGCAGTAGACCTCATTAAAAGCTTCGACGAGGAAAGACTCGTCTTGAGCGCCATTCTGGATAGCAGCATGGGTTCGGTTGAGGACATCTTCTGTGGCATCAACAAAGATCTCGTAGATGGAATCCGATAGGCCGACCCGTTCCAAAAGCGTAGTGAGAGACTTCATTCTCCGAATCTCCGTCTCGATACGAAGCGTGTCTCGGAGGGCGAACAGGGTCTCGAAATAACCAAATGCCACAGCTGTATAGGGTTAGAATGAGAATAAACTTGATATCAGTTGCGCATGAGTGTACCTCTCCAACCACAATTCCCATCGCCTTTCATGATACGGCATTCGGGATGAGTGATAGCAAGCGCCTGTAAGCAGCAAGTTAGATGCGAGACATGTTGTGGTAACACAAGAGGCCCAAGCCACCAAAGCTTACATTTGTCTTTGTAGCTAGAGTGGGATCCGCATTCGAGTAATCCAACGCGATACTGTGGCTAGACTGTTTGGTTGAGACAAGGGGACCCTGTCGACATGGTGTCAGCCATTGCCGTGGGCCGGGATAATCGAAACCAAATACCTGGACTTCCGGCTGGTAGCTGTTGGAAAGCTTCTGGAAGCGCTCCATCTCGTCGGGCGAGAGGGCGTTCATGTTGGCGGGGTTGGAAGAGATTTGGTGGGAGAAGGCAGCTGATAATGAAAGTGCTACAGGAGAAAGAAAAGACGGGGAAAGGGCGTCCCGGTAAAAATCGACGTGATTCTGCTTTTCCGGGAACGGCTGATGAATACCGAAATGATTCCAAGTAGGTCTTGATAAGGACATCGCATACGGTTGGAGTTGTGCTAATTCGAAGGATGTCAAAGATTCCATGCAATGGCTATTATGTCAAGGTTTTCTGGGGATGTTAGAAACAAACTTGACAACCTCTGGAGGGGGGACAAATATAAATGGAAAAATAAGTCGACATACAGCTCGAATGGACATTTCCCCGAAATCGGGCGAAATACGGCTCAGCACTTTTGTCCTGTGCAACACTGTAGTGTGTTCCAGTACAGAGGATCGGCTTTTACTAGCAGAGTCTCAGCATGACGATCCAGAGGCAAAACATCCAAAGCAGTCATTGATGATAAGATCAAATCAAGTCCATGAGCATCCGGGGCCAATAGGAGGATACAAGGAAGATGGGAAAAAGGAAGGGTGTACTACAAGCCTATAGGACAGGCAGCCTCTCCCACTCTGATTGGGTGTGGGAAGAGAAATTTCGTGATGAAAAGGCCAGAAGCCATCAAAGGGGAATATCACAATCACATTGTGGAAAAGAAAGCAGCAATGATGTCAAGAGGAAAACCTTCACGGAGCCAAGGCTATAAGCCGGTTGGAAACGGCCTCGGGATCCTCTCAAGGAGGGGTGCACGAACAACAAACCAGATTGTGTGAGTTCGACAAGGATGATCCGCGAGGGAGCGGATATGGACTCCGGATAATTATAAATGGAAGATCCAACAAAAAGGGGGCTGTAAAAGGGCCCGAGAGAAGAGCGATAAAGAGTGTTGTATGACACACAGTGACAAAAGAAAGAAAAGCGATCGGAGTTGCCCACCTTGGTTTATGACCTTGCCGATGAGATAATCACGGAGGGTTGCCGAGTAAGACCGGAAGAAGTCCTGAGAGAGGAGAGAGTCTGTAGGCGGACGATCTCTATAAGTTGGATAGAGTTGGATACAGTAGAGTTATGGAAGTTGGAGGAGGAGAGATTTTGGGGGGGGGGGAAAGGGGAGTTTTTGCGGGGAGAGAGAGAGGATAATTGTTAAAGGCAGAGATTTGGCCGAAAAAAAGTAGGGGAAGTTCAACCTTCTTGTTTTCTTCACTGGAAATTAGTTGAAATCCCAAAAAAGATAGGGAAAATCAAAGTAGAAAATGATCAAAAATGATAGAGAAAGAAAAAAGAAAAAGAGAAAAGCAAAGACACCGAAAAAAAGAAAATAAAACACACACACATAAGTATGAAGTAACGATGCACCGTGCCCCAGTTTACCTCCGTCCATACATAGATGTCTGAAAATGCTGATCGAACAACACAATCATCTCGCGTAAAAATCTGGTTTTCTTTTTCCTTTCTTCTTATTTCGTTATAAAAGATGTAGTACATCCTTTTAAAGTTGTACATAGGTTGTACGTACTTGAAGTTGTACGGGAGTACACAATCCCCCCGTATACCCCACAAACCCTTCGAGTTATCAATATACCTAGGTTAGAAATAATCAAAATAATATAGGATTGATAGAATGGGATATGTATATTCCAAAAAGTTCTTTATCTTCTCCGTTATACATACGGAGTATGCATATTGACTATACTATTGCCCAGGTGTATGCATCGGATTAACTATCAAATCCCTTTATAAGCACCCCACATCTAAATACCCACCCTCCAATTGACACCTCGGACTAATCGGAGCTCCATATTATCCACGGACTCTCCTAACTGGGTATATAACAGAAAGAAAAAAAGCAAAAAAGCAAAAAGCCAACAATACATATCCAGGGTAAAAGGCAAAAGCGGGGTTTGGAAATCTCCAGGGCTGAGCTCTGGGATATTTCGTTTGATGGCCCCCGTCATGATTGGTGCAGCCCCCCGATTTGGTGCATTCGACGGGCTTTGCTTTTTTTTTTTTTTTTTTTTTTTTTTTTTTTTTTTTTTTTTTTTNCTTGTCGTTATTTTCGGGATGATGATGGCATTACTTGTTTCAATTTTGAATTATCCTTTCATTTCTTTTTAATGACTATTTTACATGCATGTTGGTTAGGGTTTTTGGCCATAAAATTGTCCATCACCCGACCTGGGTGCTCGGATATTCCTTGATAGGCCGAGAATTTCTCTAGTGTTGGATTTCTTTGTTTGTGTGATTGGGATTTTCACTAGCCTAGGCGCATAGACATCCATAGAGCTCATATGCCGGTAGCTTAAGGGACTCAATCTTCCAACGTCGGACCCGAGTGAGGCTACATGGTTCTGTGTTCTCCGAAGTAAGAAATCGGGAAGACCTCGGCAGAAAGGCCCCCGTACCTGATGCACATCCCATCATGCAATCCTATATGCCTATGGAGATAAGAAAATGTGTTCACATGTCTTTGGTCCCATAGTATTGCGTTTTAAAAATTTCTTTGTATCGGACCTTCTTTTTCTAAATTGTAATCTAGCCTGTTATTATCAGGGTATAAGACTATAAGATT